GGATATCCTTATGGTTGTGAATTCAGTCATGCTCGCACTAAGACCTCTCTACGCTCCGGCGGAGGCTTGTTTTTTCCAACGCATGATTTTCCCTTTCCGCCACACGCCTGCGATCGCTCTAGGCCTCTTTCGGATCAGCAAACCGGACCCAAAAACTCGAGCGAGCTAATGCAGGAACTGAAATCATCCACACGGCTCATTCGTTGGCCGCAAGCAAGGTTGGAACCTTTTGGACCTTCGGACGCTGGACCTGGTCAAGGAAATAAGTCCCATCTGTCGCCCTCTCCAATCTTCAGTCTTCAGTCTCCACCGTCCACAAGAGCCACCGAGCCACCGAGCCACCGAGCCACCGTCCGCTTGTCTGCCGAGCAGATAGGCAGCAGCATCACACGTCTCGCATATTCGCTATTTTCTACCTCTGATTTCGCAAGTTGACGGCAAGACCGAAGTACAGCAGTCGAGGACTTTGGTACCGCACGTTCAAATCATGTCTTGCAACGAGACATACTGCACTGACACACTCTGCAGTACAAGTACAGGACCACATCTTGAACCTCAACCTCGGCCGCGGAGACATCCGTGGGACGCTACCCGCTGATGCTATCGTGGTGCCTCCACCCAAGCGAACCGTGGAACAAAAACCGGTCCCTTTTACCCCCCCCCCCTCGACTCTGGTGTCTGAGTGGGTGAGAAGAGGGAAAAAGAGAGACAGAAAGGGAAAAGGGAAAAGGATCCAAGAGATTCAAGACTGGTGGAGGAACAAGTTACCGCTTTGGCACTTTGGCGTGGGTGCCCGAAATTCGAGTCTGTCCAAGACAAGGAGTTCACTGAGAGACGCCAAGCCCCCTTTCTTTACGTGGGGTCTGTTCGCCGGTCCCAATGGGGGTTGATAGGCTTTTTTTTTTCTTTGACTGTTTTTTTTTTTTACCATGCGCTTCGATTCTACAGTTAACACTCGACGAGTCTGGACTGTACACTCCTGCAGTACACGAGGGATTGCTCTGCTGTCTGTACTTTGTAGTGGTTACCCATTTGGAGTATAAGGATCTGTTTCAGGCACCAGATTGACATTCACATAACTTGTACCTCGATCGACGAGTCTTGTTGGTCAAAACTCCTCACACACAGACCGAGAAGCGAGATCAGTGCCACGCTGAGAATAGCCTCAGCCTTTCGGGATAATTCAAGCGCACCAAACACGCACGGTGGACACTGGACACTGGGGAGTGGATCTCTTTGGAGACTGATTCCGGCATCATAGTGGATCTCCAGCTTGCCCTGAGGCGGTGGCCGATCGGAATTGATTGACGCTAGCATGACCATCTCACAGACTCACGGGACTTACGGGGCGGTCGTACACTAGTACACTTACAGTAGCACCCGTGTCCGTGCAGCCAAGATCGAGTACTTGCTGAGTGATTCTCCGGGGAGAAGCATGTCTGACGGGAGTTTCGTTGTCGGAGGTCTATAGCACATACTGTATCCATGACAGGAAATGGGGGCGAAGCTCTGAGATCCGGGCTGTGTTGGATTGAGTCACCACTCACCAAAGGATTCGCAACGTTGTCACAGTATGGTGGTATGACTATGTCGTGTTTTCATGTTTCTATGTTCGGAGCAAGCAATCAATCTGGAGCACCGACGCGTGTCAGGATGAGATCTTTCCTCGAACCCCGTTCTGGAAGGATGATACTCCTGCTGCGATGCAGGTCTACGTTAGGTTTACGGCATGCATGGTTCGTGTCGACGTGTACTGGTTGCTGGTTGTACATACTACGTATGTTCCCGGTTGCTACTCGTTCGACCTTGTGCATCCGAAGTCTTCTATTATGGATGGCCATATCGAGTATAAACTATATACTGTTAGTCTATACTCTGTACTGTATACCATTCACATTGTTGTAGCGCGCGCTATTGTACCTATCTCGACATAGAGCATACAGTCTCGACGGTGATTCTCGGTCGAGTGCAGAGTCACGATAGAACTGCAGAGGTCAAGCCAAGGTCCAATCGGCGTGCGCTGGTCCCGATTCCCTGGAAAAAGACGCAGGCATGACCGAGCAGGACCAAGCACCGCGAGCAGAATGCTCCATGCAGTAATGCACAGTACTACTGTACTGTGCAAGGGTGCAGTGGTGGACCAGTGGTGCACGCACTTGCAGGATGCACCAGGATAACCATGACTTGTGGTCGAGGACCGAGGACTGCAGGCCTAAATCCACACTGCAGGCTGGGCCCCGGCCGGCTACAATTCGCGACTTTGCCGCCACCCCCTAGAAACACAAGAAACTCATCCGAGTGGTACAGAGTACAGAGGGAGGGAGAGAGGGAGGCAGAGACTGCAGCACTGCACCAGTGTACCGGCGCACACTCGTACCGAAAGAGGTAATCGGATCGGATGTGGAGATGAGGGTTTATTTACGGGGGATTCAAGCCGGGCTGGCATCATCTTTGTCAACCTTTCCAGATTCGGTGCATGACTCGGCACCTGGCAGATCAAGTAGGCGTCACAAGTAGATCAGGCATATTGTACCCAGCACTCTAGTTCTGACAAGGGAGGCACCACACGCTGGGTCCAATCCGTTGGCTGTCATGTCCTGAATTTTGTTTTTGTTTTTTGTTTTGGGTTTCTCCGAGCTCATGATTTTACTTCTTGGGACCATGAAACTCATTCGCAAATCAAGATCGCCGCGCGCAGGCTGTAACCTTCAACCACAAGATCGGCAGCGTGGCACAAGCACAGAATTGCAAATCGCAGTGATGCAGTCACGCAGATACGCAGAAACGCACTACCGACATGATGTTGCCCTGGCGAATTGACACGTCCTACATGTGGAACTCCCACAATTGTGACCTGTGGTTGGAGGCGATCCCTTGTAACAAACCCGCTCCCCCGGTGCCGCTCTCGCGCGATGCTCGAGCGCCTCATTGAGATCCTTCCCGTTCAAGTCGTCAGCGCCAGCATCTGGCGCCAGCGGCTGAAGGAACAGGGAGGAAAGGGGGAAAAAAATATTCCTCCAGGCAAAATGACCTGTGCGGGACGTTCTAGTGGGGTCATGAGCCCAAAGAAGGGCAAACGAAATGGATGTGTACAAACTTACAAAGTTGAACAATGACTCGGAACCTCCACTTTGTAATCAAAATGAAGTGTGGGATCTTTTTTTTTTTTTTTTCATTTCTGTTTATTTTATTTTTTTTCCTTGGAGGGTCTACCGATTCTGGTATTTTCACATTGAATCCGAGAATCTGTTTCCTCGTGGGGCTGGTGGCCGCCCACAATCAGGAGACATCACGAGAGAGTGTGTGTGGGTGGTCAATCGAGTCATATGACTTTTATCTTATCGGGTCCAGAGAGAGAGAGAGAGAAGGAAGGGAATTGCAGCACTGACGAGAATGGTCCAAAGGGGAAGATCCTTGCGGGAGATAGCGTGTCAGTCTGCCATGTGCGGGTAGATTCGACATCATCGCTTGTGGTTACCTCTTGATGAGATTTGGTACGCTAGTCTGAGCTCTCCCGACTCCCCGACTGCCCGGCATCAAATGAAAAGCCCGTCAGCGATGGGTACCTGATCCGAGGGACCAGATGGAGCAGAGGAGATCGGTACTAACTCGTACACTAAGACACTTAGTCAGTGAACACAAACCGTCACTGCAGCTTTCCCCAATTCCCCAGTTCCGAAACTGGATTGAGAGCTGTTGGTCCCTCTGTTCCTTTTGGGGGGGGGGCCATGAAGGTGATGGTGGTCCCTCAGTGAGAGGAATGAATCTCGGAAACGGGAGCTGGTCTGTATTTAGACAGTGGGGCAGGGGCACCGCCCATGACCGCTGATGACCGGGCATCTGGATGGATGGCATCCATCCATCCATGAGGCCTGGCGCTGCAATGGCTGCAAATGCGAGGGCACCCGGCAATGGACTCATGGAGACAAGAGGCACCCAAATTGGGAGAGACGACTATGCTGATGCATCGCTATTCGGGTCCCCGTTTGGTCCCCATGCACTCCTGTACGACGATGCAGTGGATCACGGGATGCACTCGATGCCAAGTTACTCCTCGTAGTCTAGTGCGAAACTACCTAACGAGTAGCCATCAGGTACGGTACCTGGTAACTTACCCGTGCTACAGTAAGTTCCTACAGTAAGTTCCTACGGCCCTCTGTATCGTGATACCGTCGGACCCTCTCTGGCGAAAGATTGTCCAAACGCTGTCCGATCGCATCGCCATTGCGGCCTCTCTCTCGCTCTCTCTCTTTCTCTCTGCGGAGCGCATCTCTCTACTCCTCGTCCATCTGCACTTCCTCCTCTTTTCCCTTCTTTTTTTCTCTTCCCCTCTGTTTCTTCATTGTCATTCCCCATCACACTCTTTTATTCCTGGGTCTGTTTGATCGTCTCTCCTTAGTCTATACTGACCTCTAATTTGCGGTGTCAGTTGCTCCCGTCTCTCCTTCTGAGCATCCTCCGTCTCTCCTTAATCACATTGTCATATGCCCGCTATCGGCCTCATCTTTTCTTTTTCCAATCGACCACCAACCACACTCCTTCTTGGCTCCCACCTCGGATCCCATCTCACGCTGTTGAAGCGATCCTCCTACGCTTGACCTCGCACCTGCTTCCTTCTCTTAGCCTCGTGCGCTCACTCTCGATCCTCAACCCGCACCTGTCAATCCTTCTATCGGACACTCAAATCGTACCCTTTCATCCGTCTCGCATCGACCTATTTTCCTCTCACTTTGTTCTCTCGCTCTCTCTATCGCCTTCTCTATCTCTCTCTTTCTCTTTCTCTCTCTCTCTCACACACACACACACACACCTTCTCTCACATTCTCTCTCACACATTCTCTCTCACACATTCTCTCTCTCATATTCTCTCTCATATTCTCTCTCATATTCTCTCTCATATTCTCTCTCATATTCTCTCTCATATTCTCTCTCATATTCTCTCTCACTGCCTCTCTCTTCATCTTATTCTCTCGGTCTCTTGAAAATAATCAGTATCCGCCATGAGCTACATTCATCCCTCATGGAACTACCAAGCTCACCTCGGAGTGCCAATGGATCACGCCATGGCCTATGACCCCAACATGATTCCACCGCCAATGATGCACCACCATCCAACGGATGGTTACCTCTATCCGCACCCTCCCACGGAGATGCTCGACTACTATCACCAACCAATTATGGACTACGACGAATACGCAGAGAACCTCTCTCGCCCGCGATTAACCAAAGAGCAGGTCGAGACCTTGGAGGCACAATTCCAGGCGCACCCCAAGCCAAGCAGTAATGTGAAGCGACAATTGGCGGCCCAGACGAATCTGAGCTTGCCCCGAGTTGCGGTAAGTCTTTTGAGGACTATGCTTTGTCTCCTGTCCGGTGTGACACCATAAATTTCTCCGGTTCACTGACGAGATGACGCATTGTTCGTTTTGCTTGTGTTTAGAACTGGTTTCAAAATCGACGCGCCAAGGCCAAGCAGCAAAAGCGCCAGGAGGAATATGAGAAAATGCAAAAAGCCAAAGCGGAGGCAGAGGAAGCAGTGCGACAAAAGTCCAATTCCATCGATCCATCAAACTCAGAGCCTCACGAGGAGACTGCGACTGATCGGGAAGTGTCCGAAGGCTCATCCACTCCGCAAGCAGAGGACTCCGACGCCACAATCAATGCGTCCACGTCAGAAAACAGCAAGGATGATGGCAAGACGAAGAAGCATCAGAAGACCAAAAGTGAAACGGCGAGGGAAGCAACCTTGGCTTCACTGCAGCGAGCCTTGAACGCAGCGTGTGCGGCGCGCGACCGGTTCACAGGGCGAAAGGATGCCAAGGCCGACTCCACGCAAAAGGCACTGTCCGAGTCCCCCGCCGCCATGGGCCCACCCATGCAACAGTCCAAATCCCAGGAGAGCAATGAGCGGACGACGTACGCTAATGGTTACGGAGGGTTGTCAAACGAGAAGGAATCCACATCCTGGCATTCCGCACATGGTCGGGGCGGGTCTAAGGCCTCTCAGAGAATGTCCGAGGCCCCGCGGTCCGTGCCAGTCGATTTGAATGGCTTCCACAGAGTGCAGTACGCCTCTCCAGGTGAGGACTGGTCGGAAAATTCTCAGGGCCAGATATCCGACCATGCGAACCTCGACTTTAGTGGTATGCAGTATCAAGGCTCGATCCAGACTCCAGCAATCTCCATCACCAGGCGCGAATCAACCGACGCACTCGCCATCTTGGATGGCATCGGCATCCATACCGGTGACTCTGGGATGCACCAACCCTCAATCGCTGCCGCTGCCGCTGCCGCTTCCTGGAGAGAGTCTGGAAAGGAGCTTGATCTTGCTGCACGGCGCAAGCGCCCCCGCCCGGCAGCCATCGGCACCGCCCCCTCTCGTTCTCTGAATCCTTCCACTTCCATGTCATCTCTATCGCCTACAGACCGCGACGCGGGCTCTCTCGGTGCTGGTCACTCGATGAGGCATACCAAGTCAGCGCAAAGCCTCAACACTCGCTATGCAGGTGTTCGAAAGTCCTCTGCGGTGCAGCGCTCCCCTCTTAATTTCACATTTGCCGAATCGGGGTCGATGAAGGCCAGCAAAGCCCACATGCTGCGTCCATCTGTCTCTGCCGCGAGCTTGGCGCCACCCACTCCCTTGACCCCTCAGGACTTTCAGCACTTTCTACCCGCCTCGCCCACGGACAGCAGTTACTGTGTGTCCGCGCACTCCCGCACAAACTTCTTCCCTACCTCACAGCCTATGCAAATCAACCTTGCCTCCCCGCCGGCGACCCCCCTGGATATCTATGCACCGTTTGCCTATCAGAATGTGGCTCCCCCAATGTCGGCACCGGCTCAAGTATCTGCGTTCCCAGAGTACATGAACTGTGACTCCATGCCTCTGACTGCTCGAAGCTGGGTCGACACCGGGTCCATTGCCTCGCCGGTCTTCCCCAACGGTCTGCCGGTGCCCTCGTCGGCGTCAGCCTCGCCCGCCGGCTTCGATACGACCATCGATCAATCTGGACACGGCTTCCGGATGGATACCGCATCTGTCTCGCCGTCCTTGATGTATTCTATTGAGGACACCGATCTCTCTGGCTCCCTCGACTCCGGTACCGGAAAGCAGCGCAGTTTCATGATGTCCGACTATCAGCAGCATGATACTCGCATGGCATCCCAACATGTTGAGTATGAAATGCCCATGCGGCCGTTTGCCATCACAAGCAATCCCTCTTCGGGTCAGTATGCTTCCTAAAAGCGGCATTTGCAACGACTCGTTGAAGTTGTGGTTCCCCCTCTTCTCTTTTTCTCTGGTCACTGGGATGAAACTGGTTATCGGTGACAGAATACGTGCCACGCTTGGTATAGCACTTGAGTGGCCCTGCACATGTTCATTCTGCTATGATGTTTCTATATGCATCTTCATCAAGGTCATTTTCCTTGATTATTCCGCGCAAGATGTCCGTTCTCTCGCATTCCTTTACGGATCTCGTGGGAGATACGAAGCCATCTCGGGCGTCACCTCATACATGCTTTCTCTTTTTCCCTTCGTCTGTTCATTTACTGGTCATCAAAGGTTATTTCGCCGGTGTTAATACAAAGTGGGAGCGCCACATGCATCTTGTTTATGGGTATGGGCATATGTGATTTCTTATTTTGTGGTGTGCGACATGACGTTTTTACTGATCTACTTCCGTCTCCGAGTGTTTTGTTCACTCTTTTCCTTGTCATCTACTTGAGCACTTGTTTTCTTGGGCCGGACTTTCTCATCAGTTTCCTGGTCAACCGGCAGAACTCTTATATAACTCGCTGGATTGACGCCTTGAAACATTCAACATTGCTATGTCTGTACTTGTCGCTACTCGAATCATGCTTATGCTGTTCACTTGAGCTAGATCCCGTTTGATCGTGGGATACTTCAATCCACAACGCCTCGTATTGAGGGAAAACGCAAGCCCACAGATACTCGTAGTCCGTCCGGACCATATGAATGATGGCAGACACCCTCAGATGACTTTGTGATTTCGGGAATTGAACGGCAAATGAATTCCGGCGCTGTTTCCCAAATACCAGCCGACATGAAATCGAGCGCGGTGTGTAGTTCAATATCAGTAGACTTGGAGGCGATCCGGATGAATGTTTAGCTCATGGATCATCAGCAACCAACTAAGAACGTTCCGTAGATTGATCTCCCGCCACGTGCCCGGTCCCGTTGGCCATGGCTTCTCCGCTTCGCTTTTATCCGCCAGTTGTTCGACTCGCTTTCTCGTCCAACCGTGTCTCCACTCGGCGCCCGCGCAGGTGCTTGTTCGCTCTCTAGCATGGTGAAGTGTGCACAGGTCGGCTACAAGGTCGAACGAGGATAGCACTGCAGCCGCGATATAAGAAGCACCATGGCCCTGATGAGTTCCTAGCTGAATCAAGCGCTCTTCTCTTCATCTCGTTTCCTCTAAGTCACTCTCCGTACGCCATGAAGGTCATCGACTTGAGCTTGGCCCTGCTGGTTGCGGTCTCGGTCTCCTCGGCTCAAGCCACCGCTACTATTGAGTACTCCACCGTGACGGGATACTTCTTACAGGACGAGGCAGCCACGGATCCATCGACTTTTGACTATGTACGTGAGACGCGACTAGCAATCTGACGTTGATTTCCAACCCATATTGAAAGATGAAAGGGCTGACTTGTCACGCGCGCCGTTGGTGGAATCCAGACCGCCGTCAACTTTGGCTTGATCGACCGTGCCTATCCGGCTGATAGCGAGAAGAAGAAGAATCACTGCGAGACCAAGACCCTTACTCAGTGGGAACGGTTCTACAATCAAGTTGAGAAGCTCAATCGTGATTCTGATAAAGATGTCGAGTATAAGGTCCTTTTCTTGGGCCGTCATGGCGAGGGTTTCCACAACGCGGCGGAGTCTTATTTCGGCACTCCGGCCTGGAATGTAGGTCGGCCTCAAGCTTTCTCTCTCTCTTTCTCTCTCTTGCTCTTGCTCTCGCTCTGTGCAACCCCTCTCTGGGCCACTTTTTACTTGACGCCGGACTCAAGGAAGCAACACTGACATTGTTCATTTCCTTCCATCGCAGTGTTACTGGGCAGAGCTTGACGGCAATAGCACCGCGAGCTGGCGCGATGCAGCCCTGACCCCCAACGGCATCGACCAAGCACTTGTCGCACACAATTTCTGGCAGAAGCTCATTCAGGAACAAAAAATCCACACCCCAGATGACTACTACGTCTCGCCTCTCACCCGGACCCTCCAGACGGCCAACTTCACATTTGAAGGCCTGAACCTGCCCCATGGATCGGCCCAATTCAAGCCCGTCGTGAAGGAGCTTTTCCGCGAGGGCATCAGCATTCACACCTGTGACCACCGCCGCAGCAAGAGATACATCCACAACCTGTTCCCCAAGTGGCACATCGAGAAGCATTTCACCGAGGACGATGAGCTCTGGAACGGAGTCACTTCGGAGACGAGTGATGCCCAGGATGCGCGCAGTGTCCAAGCTCTGGGTGAAGTCTTCTTCTCGTCGAGCAGCAAGAAGCATTCCTTTGTGAGTGTGACCAGTCATTCGGGTGAGATTGGTTCGATCTTGCGGGTCGTCGGCCATCGGTCTTTTAGACTGAACACCGGCGCGGTTATCCCTGTGCTTGTCAAGGCCGAGAAGAAGAAAGATTACGTACCTGCGCCGACGACTACTGTTGCCTGGACCACTGAGCCGCATTGCACCGTGCCGCCTGTGACCAGTGGCTCGGTCTGTGTGTGTCCGTCTAGCGCTGCGCCTGTCACGACTCCTTTGGTGACGGATCTATAAGTTTTTTTTTTCTTTAAAAGGGTTTATACTATTGAGATCCGGTCATAGCCTTGGCTCGTTGTATACATGCGTTATGAAATATGCTATAGCCTACGATCCTCAGTGTTCTTCTTTGAAATATGCTATCACCTAATATCTTCCCTCTCTCTCTCTCTCTCTGTCAGTGCCCAAACATGTGGTCACGACCTACTCCCCACTACTTAGTACTTGCCATATCGTCTTCTTGACATGTTTGAATACAGTTCCTGGAAGGATGTTAGAACTTGGTGCAGTAATTCGACAGTGACATTCAAATGTGGACGGTGGCTAATGCAGAGTCGCCGGTGAATCCGAGATTGATTTCAATCTCATATATGAGTTACTGAGACGTGTAACCCATCTAATAGTAGCGCAATATATATACCAACCCAAATTTGTTTTAACAAGTGTCCTCTCCATTTCGAAGTGAGTGTTGAAACCAAGACGGCGATGTTTACATACTTGGTTCGGCTATTATAATTCCCCAGACGGGGATTTCCCGGGAGAATTCCGAGCTGGGGAGTTGCATGGGTCAAGCAAGATACTACGATCAAGGGCCATACCCCAGTGGTGCATTCAAATGTTCCGTCTCGTCCAGTCCAGTGTTCCAACGCTGGTTCTGCAGATTTCAGAAACTGCATCGCCTCGGTCAAGCTCCACTTTTGGCAATGTCGTCCCGTCGGTTCAAACTCTGCGAACGAGTGTCCTGCCACACACCTACTAATACCTGCTAATCAGACCTCTTACGTCGCGCATTGCACACGACGATGCCTTGTGCGTGTGCTCCAGTCGAGGCCGGAGAGGTATGAGGTTCTCGGGCGTTTTGTCAGGTCGTTTAGTAGGTGCACGCGGGACTTGATACTGGGAACTTGATGGATACCTTGAAGTACCAACCGGTCACTTTTTCTGCATAAACGAAGAAACAACATTATTAGGTGGACCTGGTAGGCTTACTGCTCTCCAGATGCTCCGGCCTGTACGTGTGCTACCTATGACCTTAGGTAGCTGTCGGGTGCCAGATGTTGAATTTGGGTTGAATGGATGTGGGTAAACATATATCAAGATACCGGCAGCGCATCCCGCTCATTCAAACGATTTGATCGGACACTGAAATGGAACATGAGCTTCCGCTGGTCACGATGCTCAATCATCACTACCCAGAGATCAGGTCGGTGATCTACCGGCAAATATCTTCTCTATAAACTGTTCCCTCGACAAGAAGATAAAAAGGTATTGATTGGCATCCATCGTCTGCCTGGAAATGAATATGCGTTATGTTCATTGTTTACAATCAAAAAGGGCAAGTGCAAAAAGGAAAGTCGCGCGTCCCCGGGAAGGCTCGAACTTCCAACCTCCTGATTAACAGTCAGACGCGCTAACCAATTGCGCCACGGAGACAGCTGCTTGGAAGAGGACGACACGTCTTGCTTTATATACTTTTGAGAAAACTCATTTACGTCAATAGAGGGGCTGTTGGACGTACGTCCTGCAGGCAAGCCAAAAAAAGATCTGATCGGATGACGTTGGAGCTCGATTACATAAGCTTGAAGAGCTTGGTGCCTGAGGCCACATGGAACAGTTGTATCCCACGTGATCATGGACAGTAAATCCAGTCTGTCGGCTACAGACGGGAGCTAAGCTAGAGGCGGCTTTTTTTTCTTCCGACGAGAGGCCACAAGTTACAACCTACGTCAGTCGTCCCTCTGATTCTCTCGGGGCATGGGAGTACGGGAGGATCCCGTAGTGAGAGGATGCTGTGGTGGTCAATTCCAGCGTCAGGTTGGGAAGATGCATTATGTCATGTACATGGGCATATTCAACATTATGTACAGTCCGTCCGTACGACCATGGGTGCATGATGCTCGTTCCGCGGGTTTGATCGACACACGAATGCGAATGACATTCAGGCCACGGGATGAATAACGTCTATGAGTGGCACAACAGTCCCAGATGACGTCGATCTGGACTTCCTCGTAGTGATCAGCTGACACGATGACACTCGAGTTGTGCTATAGTACGGGCAATGTTCATCAGCTGTTGTAATAGCGGTACTACTGTAGCGATTCGCTACCGAGTATATATTACTGTCTCTTGCTTCATTAACACAGGTAAGGTAGGTGGCTAAGTGCCTAGGAATCCAGACCAAACATGACTGGCAGGTCGGGAGGTCTACCCGGCAAATCAGTGCAATAAGCATGTAGTGGCCATGTAGGCATGTATAGTCCGATGTCCCCCTCAGGGCCCAGGACCGAGCGGCTGCACGTGCTTAGATCGGTCGATCATGGCTTCATAGATCTCATCGGAGGGGAGGTTGATTCCCTCGGAGATCCGACAATAGAATCAGGAACCGTGGAAAGTATCCCCCGACAGGATTTGACCGTCATGTTCAAATCAGATGCATTCCATGCCGAGGCTCAACGAGATTATCCTTAGACGCTGGCCATTGCACTCCATGAGAATGGTACATTACGATATGATCGCCACCGATTCCTTGTTTATGACTCTCCGGCTCACGTTATGTTTTTAGTAATCACTGTGATCAGCCTGAAGGTTGTCCCAATGGGGAACCACCACCTGCCATCCCTGATCTATTGTTGTTGACTGGAACGGTGGAAAGCTGCATCCAGGCCTGGACAATCAACCCCCGAACAGGCAAAGACCAGGAGGGAGAGGGGGGGGGGGCCGGAGACCAACAAATAAAGCAGAGCACCGCCACCGACTCAATCTTGGGTGACCGCCGAATCGGGATAGTCAGTCGAAGGCAGCACACTTGCGCAGCATCATTCTATTCTTATTATTATTATCATTGTTACTCTCGAATCTAGACTAACTGCGCAACCTCACCTCCGTCGGTCCATAATAGCCGACCAGGCTGGTCCAAAAACCAAGTTTCGAGCTGCTCTTTGTGCAACGCAGCTCAGCCACGACGTCACAGCGGGACCTCCCGAATAAGCGCCACTTTCCCCATATCGGGCGTAGTGGCTGGACCCAAAACGGACCGTGGGACTGGAACGTGTCCAGCGCAGCTGCAAGTGCCAACTGCCAAGTAGTTACTACTTTGAGGTAACTAAGTGACGGGTCTCGTGGTATACCTAACCCCAAACTGTAGTTCAGCTGTCGTCGAACAGTGCCTTACCTTAGTAGAACCTTCTCTCCCCGAGGCTCCGACTGAGCCTCGGCGTGCCCCCCTTGGAACCTTTTTGAAGGAGGGGGTACTGCTGGGGTACCCCTCATCGTGGAGGTCTGGATCTTTCGATTGTGCAGGAGCACTGTGGCAGTACATTACGGAGGTGTATTACCTCTCTAAAAATGTCATTTCCTCAAGTCGCATCTACAGGACAAAGTAGTCATCCTCTCAGAGCTCCATTGCACACCGAACGTCAACATGACAGGGCTCGTTCCATGACTGTTCTCGGAAGTGGCTTTCAACTGACTCGGTGGCTTGACTTTCCTCCAAGCTCACTAGCCAACACCACCTTCACCTATGCCACTTTCTTCCTCCATCAGACATCCGATGCAAGCCTCTGTGAGCGAACTGGGTCCATTCTGCATCGTGGCGTGCGATCAAACCTGGATGCAAACAGTAAACTTCCTCAAACTCAAACGGCGCTTGACCAATTGATCATCTCATGCACCTCCATGCAGGTCTCCACTTGCAGATCCACCCGCGTAAGAAGTCAATGACGTAGCATATCACCAGACACGCCCGGACACGCTCAATGCCGATGCCTCTCACAGTATAAAGAGATCCAGGAGTTCCTCCTTGATCGTCAGTTCTGAACCATCAACAATCCATCTCCTCACTTTCAACCTACTACACTCTTCCAACCACTCCAAACCAAACCACCTTTCCACAATGGAGACCGTCAAGGTAAGCACGCCATCGTTCCATCGGCATACCACGCCCAGTCGTGGGAAAGCACTTTTGGACGACTTGACGATTCTCTAACACCCTTTCTCATCTATAGAACACCGTCAACTACGTTGCCGAGTCCATCCAGGGTACCGGCGCTGAGGCTTCCAAGGAGGCCAACAAGCAGACCGCCAAGGACTCCAACGCCAGCATCGGCACCCGTGCCAACGCCGCCGTGGATGCCCTCAGTGACAAGAAGGACGAGCACGCCCACAACACCAAGGCTGATGTCCACAAGGGTAAGACTCTCACCTCTGCGTGATTCGTGATCTTGGCTCGAAGGAGCTTTCGAGTGATTGCATACTAATGATCATCACAGAGGCTGCCAAGCACTAAATCAATCCGTTGATCGTGTCTCTCCCTCTCCAATGGCGTATAATGAAGACAGTGGACTGTCGCGGAACATTCAAGGGCCCTCCCATCAACAGGGCGCCTTGCGCCGTTTATAACTCATGTCGCTTCTCTTTGTAACGAATACCTCATACGATATGAACCTGGCCTTGATGACTTAATACAATGATGATTAATTTCTTCTTCCACTGTGATTCGAGAAAGCAAGTAGTCGCGGTGATAGTGTCCTCACCAAACTTCAATTTGGGTCTCTTCCTAGGCAACAAGCGCCAATTAGTTCTGAACTTCCGTGTTCCTGATCATTAAGATCTTTGTCCTCCATTCTTCAATACATCCCTGGCACAAGTCTCCGCGGCTGTCTCTCTAGCCTTTATTGTACGTACGAACACCGAGTGTCCCACTAGACTTTCCGCAAACCAATCCTTCATGCTTCGTTGCTCTCTCACATGGTCACGTGCAAACCCTATCCTCCAGCCCATATTACAGCTACGGTCAATCCCAAGTCAGACCATTCCAACTTCGCGATTCCGATGCCGATCAAGCTGCAACGATAGCATCCTCCAATCTGGGGATCCGCAGTTGACCATCCCGTCATCTTCGGCGTCTGTAGTTATTCTGTAGTCCGCACTAACCGTGGGACACCCGCCGAGATGAAGAAACCAAGGTTGCGCATTCCTATCAGTAGTCAGCCTTTCAAGGAGACGATGTCTTGTATGCGGCCCTGCACTGTCGCCCCTTGTGACATCTTCACTCAAGGATAGTTAATCTCCATTTGATCTCATCGTCCTCATCGGCCACGTCCATCGATACACCCTATCGAATTGAGATCCACTGGGTAAGCATCTTCGTTATCACAAGAGTCTGTCGATCTGCGTTTGTGAGCCCGCTCCTCTGGTAACCGTCCCGACAAGAGGTAGCTCGTTGAGTGGATCACACGAACAGGATATCAAATCCCAGGAATATTCTGCGGTTGATATCACATCAATCTGGAAAAGGTCGTGGTTTGGTTGGTCGTCCAGAGAGCTATCTACGAGAGCCAGCGAGGAGGATGATATGACCTTTTCTGTCTTTTCGTCTTCCGAATGTCGCCGTCGAAGAACAGTCGTGGAACATTAGCTTCATAGTCTTTCAATATCATGCTGGCAGCATCTTGAATCAATGCCATTTCAATCGACTTCTGTCAAGGACGCTCACTCTTTGATAGACACTCCCAACTGAAGGATAGACGGCATGGTTCGAGCAGCGTCAAGTGAGTGGAGACTTCCAACCAAGGCTTTGACACGAGTGATATCACCTCATCAGGCGCACCAATTCAGTTGCCGTGTGAATGAAGATGGTGGTATTTGTCAGCTCAAGCCAGCCTTTTTGATCGGAAATGGGCATGAAATCAAGAGTCTGGATCCTCAGGCCGAATGTAGACCTACCCTTATCAACCTGGTATAACTAATTCTAATGCGCCAGCATGAAATTCATACGGTTATGGAACGATGGACGTAAGCTCGTAAGTGTAATTCCGTGTATCAGTACAAATAGACGTTTCCTGATCAGAACTCGTTATTACCAGAGATACAGTATAGTTGTACACAATACCGTAACTCTTGAACGCCATGAAGTTTTGCTGCCACTTTTAGGGTGGGGCTGCAATCGCCCGAATCCAGACACTCGTGCCTCCTCAAAAAGTCTATCTCCATCCCACTCCCGCTCCCACTCCCATTTCCACCCTCCCCACTACCACCGACGGATCAATCCACGTATTCGGCGCTCAGGACCCATCTCGGCATGAGTTCTAGTTGGTGGCAGATACCCGAAATCTTGAAGTTCACAAAGCGATGCTTATGTGCAGCCACCTTAGTGCTTACTTTGACGGAGATATGCCCGATCGGACCGGGTCCAAGTCCTCCAATTTACTACCAAGCGGCCCCAAGGACGCGGAGAAAAGCAATGAATCAGATCTTGGCGTCTGCTGCATCGCGGATCTTCCTCATTCCTGATGACTACAATGCAACCCTGGCTCCTGGACTAACAGCGCCATCTACGGCGAATTAGCGGAAATCCAGCATCACTGCTTGCAACGCGAGGTAGCGCTGAAAAGGCCCGCCCCCTCCTCCTCCCTGCGTCGATAGGACTTGGAGGACAGATCAGTGAAACCCTCAATTGATTTGCCCAAAAAGAAAAAAAAAGATTCATCAACAAAGAATCCTTCGTCTTTCGATTTGCCAAACGATGTCGACCTTCGTCACAGTGGAGGGGGTCCCCAACGTCCGAGATATCGGAGGCTATGCATGCGCTCCTCCGGTCTCAGTCGTCCATGACGAGATAGCCACGGACGCACAATGGACCATTCGCACAGGTCTCCTATTCCGCGCAGCTCAGCCATCCCAAATCACTGTCGCCGGTGTGGACACCTTGACGAAGACACTTGGTATCCAAGCTGTATTTGACTTTCGCTCCGAAAGCGAGATAGACCTCGTGCGTCAGCGTTATCCCAATTCCCTTCTTGATATTCCGGGAACGACACGCCATGCCGTGCCGGTCTTTCAAGCAGGAGACTACTCCCCGGTCTCGCTCGCAAAGAAATACGGCGTGACGGGCAAACCGTCGGAGTCGGAGCGGGATCAACAAGTCTCTCGACCGGGCTTTGTCAAGGCTTACGAAGCTATCGCCCGCAGCGCGGCTCAAACGGGCAGTTTCCGTGCCATCATGCAGCACCTCCTGCATGACCCCGCAGCAGCGATCCTGTTTCACTGCACCGTTGGCAAAGATCGCACTGGGGTATTCTCGGCGCTGATTCTGCGATTGTGTGGGGTCGCCGATGAGGATATCGTTGCGGATTATGCGCTTACTACGCAAGGGCTGGGCGTCTGGCGAGAACACCTTATCGCACGACTGCTGCAGAAGGGTGATGCGACGACCAGAGAACAAGCTGAAGCCGTTATTAGTAGTGACCCGACAGATATGAGCGTTTTCCTGAGAGACGTGGTTGATGCCGAATTCGGTGGCGCAAGAAAGTATTTCACCGATCTCTGCGGCATACCAGAGAATGACCTTGATCAGATCATTAGCCGACTTGTCAAGCGATGACTCAGTTTGATGAGGTTCTAATGAAGAATCATTTGATGTAGAATGTGGACAAGACTACACAACCTCCTTCTAGTATCGAACCTGGACCTGTGGAGGATAGTAACAATTTGCATAGCATTCTAAAACTTCAAATGTCCATTTGCATCATAAAAGTCGTCTGAAATGAATTCAAGAGGAGAAAATCCAGAACATGCATTCCCACTTTGCTCAACGTTGTCGCTTCATTCATCGTTCAATGACATTCGTGCAAGGATCTTTCGAACAGCAACATTCTCACCGAGCCCTTGCTCTTCCAATGAAACAATCATGTCTGAAGCCTCAGCCTGGAGCGTGGCGACAAATTCCCGGATATACTCAAAGGTCTTAGTGGACTCCATGTAAGCGACCGCAAATCGTTTGAGCTCTTCATCCTGAGGCTTCTGCTTCAAGACGTTGATGAGCTGACGATTGCTCGGATTTGCTCGGATACTATGAATGATGGGGAACGAGAATTTGCCTTCAGTGAGATCCTCACAGAGGCCCTTTTTCTGCAGGTAACTGGTCGACTTCAGGTTCAGATAATCGTCGCAGATCTGGAAGATCATTCCGAATTGTTGGATCAGGGGAGTGAAATCCGCTTTGACCGGGCTACCCAGTTGAAGCAGGTCGACGGCGAGACAGAAAAGTGCGCCGGTCTTGTTGGCCACCATGTCGAGATATTCTTGTTCGGTTGGACAGATGAGAGATTCCCGCCAAAAGACATCCATTCCTTGACCGCGGTGTAGCTGAATCAATGCGTCGACGAAGATCTCGATAGCTCGTGGGTTGTTGAGCTTGTAGATCTCCCGAAGGGCTAGGAAGTACACGTAGTTACCCGAGTTGAATGTCTGCGCAACTCCGTAGATACTGTGGGCCACTGGCCGACCTCGTCGGAGAACGGAACTATCCTCGATATCATCAACGAGAAGAGACGCCGTATGGAGCATAGAGATGACCCTTTCCACGATTTGCAAGTGCTCAGGTGGCGCTTGAAGCCAGAGGTTGAACGCCTGCAGGAACTGAGAGCGCATGTTCTTCCCGGGAAGACTCTCAAGGTAGTCAAATGGTCCCAGTAGAATTTGTTCATGCTCTTCGGTCCAGGGTGTCCTCTGCCTCAGGCTTGCTCTGCCTTGCGTCTCAGCCGGCGATGACGAAGATAGGTTATCATGGTGCGAAGAGTCACCACCCTGCGTGTCGCAAGCTGGCGCTTTCTCGATTGCTTCCTGCGCCTCTGCGGAGGTCACATAGCCAGAATCAAGTTCGCTGGTCTCGCTACCATTTGTTATGGTATCCGACTGACCACACTGATCATTGTGTCCGTTGACTCCAATGATCACCCCATCGGTCTCTTGGTGGATCTCCTCGCTGGTCGTGATTGACTGTGACTCGCGATGCTTCTCCGTGCACACACTCTGGGCACTGTGCAAAGCAGCTAAGACATAAGCCTGTGAGAGAATGTTTGACTCATACGTCACTTTTTCCACCCAAAGATGCTCTGAACCTCCTGAGTGTAGGTCCGAGTGGAGGAAAGCACAGCCCTTTCTGACTGCGAGACTCAGCTCTTCGACGCCAACGTCTATGTTCTTGTATTGCTGTGCGTACGTCAACATGAGAACGGCGTACGCGGTTTCTTCTTTCGAGCTTCTGTGCCCCCACGACCCGCACTGATTCTGCTCGCGAATCACAAGACGGGCCATCTCATTGAGTAGGCTTAAAAGCTCCTCTCGGAGGCTACTTTCGAGTGCGGGCAGCTGGTTGTCTTCGCAAAGTGCGTTGACTCGAGCGATCGCTTGAGACATGAGCATCCACGAGTAGAAAGCAGACAAATTCCACTTGTCCTGAACCTTGAGACCCTCAGATCCCCGGAAGTGCTTATGCAAAAATCTTGCAGCTTTTTCGATCTGCGGGGTGTAGAGAGATGGATGTTCGACGTGAAGTAATGCGAGGAGAACATTGCAGTTCGCAGAAAAGCTGGGATCGCGCTCCAGTGGGTAGGTCTTGAAGTGTTTCTCCGTCTCAAACGACTCTAGCATTGCGTCTGGAGACGTCTTTTGCTCCAGTAGATTGAGTACCAGGAGCGCCTTGGCCGTGTCGTCAGCATCGGGGCAGACCCCAGGAACAAAACCGACGGTTCCTTTGTTCAGGTTGAGCATGTTCGACAAGTAATTGCAGGCTTTTTGCACGGCCACGGGAGAGATGCTTGATAGATTGAAGTCGGCCTTGAGCAGCGTGGAAAATGTCCAGGTGATCTCAAAGATCGTGGATGGGAATGCACTGGGAATGCCACCGGTTCCAGCTCCAGCCGCATGCTGAAGGACATAACGTATGTATTCTTCACATTCCTCGTCCCAGTCTGTCGCGTGCATCAGAACTGCTGCCGTTGAAGATGGCGATGCCATGAACGATCCATCGATTTTGTGGTGAAGAATCCGGTCAAAGTCCACCAGGCCGATGAAAGCTTCTAGAGAGTGCAAAGCGGTGGTTTGAATGGGCGAATATAAATACTCGGCTTTGAATCGAGCCATCTTCTCTTCTCGGATTTGTAGCAGTGCCTCTCGCGCCGGGAATTCAAAGATAATGCCTTCTTCTGCCAGGTAGCCCAGCAGAGCTGGAACGAGAATTTCAAACCCAACATGCAGAGTGGATTCCACGTCCCAATTGTTCAAGAGATATTGCAAAGCCGTTGTTGCCTGATTGATGCGTTCCTCCAACGATTGTTGCGAGATTCGAATCATTTGCAAGGGCTCGTTGGAGTGTTTTTTGAGAGCAAGCAAGGAAGCGGCCGTGTTGAGGATTCCATCGATTTGTGAAGCATAGGTGGCCCAGCTTCCACCGGCAAGTTGATTCTCAACGAGATATTCAAAGCATTCGGGAAACAGCCATGTCTTTTGTTCTCCCTTGGTCTTTTGGATCATCGATACCCACGCCGTGTCGTAGATGGCAGGGCTCATGAAGCCCAAGCCATGTTGTCCGTCCAGTTGCTCGGTCAGTCGATGGAGCAACTCTTTCGCCGAATGTTGCAGAGTGGCAGAGTCCATCGTGTACGCAACAGTCGTCATGGGCTAGAGGGTTTCTTTCACGGGAAGCATACGAGTTTGAAAAATCGAGATTTATAAAATGTCCTCACCGCGACGAGCATGTTCGCCGACTCCTGAAGACACGCTTTCAACCCCTCTTCAGGCTCCTTCTTGCCCTCGTCGAGTAAGACATCAATGGCATCACCAGCTCTCCACTCGACCGGTTGCTCTTGCTTTCGCGCTCCGATAATTGGCCGTACACTCTTGGCGCCCTACTCGTAGTTGCATCAACAAGTAGTGCTGACCTGCACGTAAGCCTGTGTTGTCGCGAGACATCATCAGACTTCCAGTGCGCCATGACCATCCCCAATCCGGCTCTTTTGGCCGCTGTATATGCATACAGGTGGTAATTTTCGGTAGTTGATCGGTCCTCAGGTAATTTCGTTCGACTCGAGGCTCAATGGTGGCTGAACCTTGATGGATGGGACCAAGAGTCAGGAGTGCATTCCCTCAGGGATCATTGTTTCGATTTCGCTTTTCAGTCGGCTGCAGATTTGACCAAGCCTGAGTAGGCAAGTGATGGAACGAGAACAGGTACTGCGTACAGACACCGAGATAAGCTGCGATCTATGGAAAGCCTCTCTCGATTCTCTCCATTCTTCATGCGCCCCAGTGGATCAAGACCGGCGAAAAGTCATTGCTGAACTCAATTAGGTATACCACAGGACATGCAGTAGGAGGAAATCCCCGCGTCAGCATTGCTCTGCCCCGCGTCTACTCATTCGGGGTTATCTTGGCTGCTCTGACACTTTGCGAGTCTTTGCCCAAAGGCTTGCCCTAGAGGGAGAGTACCGTCTGGAGTATTAAGTGCCTATACAAGCCTGATTCATCTTCATATCGACCATCCTACGGTCGAATCACTTTACGACCAGCATAGAGCATCTGCAAAAGATGGCTTACTCGTGGCTTCGCAGCCTGACTGTCTCACAGTTGGCGCTGCTTTCTCTCGGTGTGGTAAGATACCATTTCGCTTGGCCGTGCCACGGATCTGGTGGTTGAACTGTCGCTGACTGTGTAACAATTCAAACTCCCTACCAGACCATCACCTACATTCTCGGCATTGTCATCTATCGCGTCTACTTCCATCCGCTGTCAAAGTATCCCGGCCCCAAGCTCGCTGCTGCCACTCATCTTTGGTGGACCTGGCATCAACTTCGCGGAAAATTCCCTCTAACAGTGCACGAACTCCATCTCAAATACGGCGAAATCGTTCGTATCGCGCCCACCGAGTTGTCATTCACCGGTGCAGAAGCTTGGAAGGAGATCTACGGATTCCGCAGTGGGCTGCCTGAGAATCGCAAGGATCCAGGAGAGAACACCGATGCGGACAAGAGACATCCCACCATCATCAATGCAGACCGAAAGACACATGGAGACTTGCGTAAGCTTCTCTCCAATGCCTTCTCGGACAAGGTGTTGAAGGGTCAAGAGCCGGTCTTGCTTCACTATATCGATCTCCTGGTCACGCGTCTCCACGAGGTCGTGGATAAGGGAGAACCAGTGGATATTGTGAAGTGGTTCAATGTACGTTCACGAAGCTGCCCGTCCAACAAAGCGGATGTTTGCCTCAGATCCGCTGACCTTGAAAATCACAGTACGTGACCTTTGATATCATCGGTCATTTGGCGTTCTATGAATCATTCGACTGTCTGAAGAACACAGAATACCACCCATGGATGTCCATGATCTTCAACGCCATCATGTATGTGCACTATATTCGCACATTCCAGCGCTTCATCGATGTTCGCTCCATCATTCTGGCCATTCTGCCGAAGCGAATTGTGGAACGGCGCAAATGGCATATTGGACTCGTGGCAGAGAAGGTAATGCGTCGAAAGACGCAACATCCTGACTACATTGATTTCATGAGTCACCTCATTCAAGCCGAAGAAAAGGGGAAATTGACCAATCCTGATCTTGTCGCCAATGCAAATCTTATGGTCATTGCGGGAAGTGAGACGACAGCCACCATTTTGTCTGGCACAATCTACTATCTTTGTACGCACCCGCGTGTGATGGAGAAGCTTCTCGATGAAGTCCGTACCTCGTTTGAAACAAGTGACGAGATCAACATCGCCCGGATCAGCCGACTCAGCTATATTAATGCGGTTATTGATGAATCCTTCCGTCTTTATCCTCCGGCTGCGGGCAGTCATCCCCGCATCACGCCGCCGGAGGGTGCGATGATCATGGGAGAATGGCTCCCCGGAAATGTATGAAGTTTCGTCCCTATCCCTTCCTTACGCTCCTGGTGCTTGTTTACTAACCCCTTGCGCATGGTGTCTAGACATCTATGGGAATGGCCCAATACGCGGTCTTCCGCTCGCCCGCCAATTTCAAGGACCCTGAGCTCTACCTTCCCGAGCGTTGGCTTGATAATGAAGGGAAATATGCTCAGGACAAACGAGAGGCACTTCAGCCATTCTCGTTCGGTCCCCGAAACTGCATTGGCCGCAAGTAAGACACCCTCTTCTTCGCTCCCCCTTGGTGGGGTATGACTCAGGATGTGTTTATGTTACTAACGGCGGTTGGTCTGTCTTCTTCCCCAGTCTGGCCAACATTGAGCTGAGACTCATTCTCGCAAAGATGCTCTGGCACTTTAACTTTGAACTTATGCCCGAATGCCGATATTGGCCCGACGAGCAGTACATTTACACGTCCTGGGAGAAGATTCCGCTGAAAGTTCGTATCACTGCCCGGGTGTGAATCTGCATGTCAGATTTCACAACCTTCGTAGCTGCCGAATCAGGTAGCGTCGGTTCGCAGTAGTCGGAATTTATGACTTGCTTTGCGGCCGCCCTCAAATCAATCCCTCAAGTGGTGCTCTGAGCTCCTGAAATAGGTGTTTATTCTTTTTGGAGGGGATAATTAGCATGATTTTTGGGGAATGGTATCCCCAGATAATCGAACCAGGCATTTACTGTCGATTGTAAGGCGAAAAGACAGGACTTCTGTACTAGTGAGCCTTTCTATGATTCATGCAGGGTAATCTTATTAGTGGTCCCCATTTCTTCTACGAGTCAATCTCCGTTATCGGGAAGTGATGCCAATATCTGACGAGATGCAGAGTATCGTTGCAACCATCTAGCAAGCATCAACCGAGAATTACTCCGTTGAAGAGCCTTCTAATCTTGTCACCCGATTTTTCTCTTCTTCCTTAATCCTGCAGGCGTTGAAATGGGTTTCCTACCCACCGGCGATTCACTGTGGGTCCATCTTAGATGCGACGCAACCAAGCTTCAATCCTCATTATGTGGCCCCGACACACACAACGTTCAGGACCTCAGCGCGCAATTGGTATCAAGCCAAGTGCGGGGTCATAATTATCTGGAGTATTTGGCAAGGGATCTCTGGGCCAAGAAGTTAGTGAGCGCTATCCACAATCCTTCGGAGGGGCAATTCTGCACAAGCGACATCTGGAGGCAGATCCACTCATGGATGATGCATTAGTCCCGACTGCCTACTAAGTTTGGCCCCCAAAGTGGCAAGTAAGCACTTGTGGAAGCATGCTTCTAGAACATTGACAGTTTACACTTGTATAATTACTTGATGATTGTCTGATAACGAATGATACTCTGTATGTAATGTACTTTTACCCATGCTCTCGTAATGCCGGTAATCTATGTCACTTGGATGCGCATTTCTGTCTCCGCATGTGTGATGGTTTGTAGTTCTCTTGGGCCTCACATTCTTAGTATCTGCCTTATTTTGAGCAGCAAGAGAGAGCTCTCAGTGGGTACCTTCAGAGATTCATCTGACTTTTCGCACCGTCTACTCGGCAGGAACCAGGGCAAGAATCATGCACTCATTAGAGATAGCGATATTCGGCTGCATCGTGCAGACCGCAGTCTCAAGTCGAATCTTCCCTTCTCTGTCGATCTTGGCTGCAGCACTATGTTCTTTCGTCTTCTCGTTCTCTCTCATGGTGACCTGGAAACTATACCTGTGGCCAATATGGTTCAGCCCTTTGCGAACCCTGCCGGAACCTCCAGTAAGTGCCTTGCCATATCCAAGGACGAAACAGGAAAACGAGATAGCCTCCCTAAGTCGTGGGTAAACTATGACAACAAGAGACTCACAACAGCCAACAGGGTGGTCGGCTTTTATCGGGTCATGTGAAGCTTGTTCCTAACGAACGATCCGGAATGCCCCTCCAAGAATGGATCAATGAAATACCCAATACAGGACTGATCAGATATCGCATGCGGTTCAACAAAGAGGTCGTCTTTGTGACCAGTCCCAAGGGCCTCTCTGAGGTTTTAGTCCAGAAGAGCTACGAGTTCGTAAAGCCTGCAAAACTCAGGCTCGGGCTGGGTCGAATTCTTGGAGTCGGTTTGATCGTGGCCGAGGGCAGTCAACACAAGGTAAACTCTGTTTCCGCATTATCTTGTTATTGCAAGCCAGTGAGACGAGAGCCGACATAGATATGCTAACTCCGTATACAAGAAACAACGCAAACTTTTGATGCCCGCATTCCTGCATCGTCACATCAAGGATCTTTATCCTATTTTCTGGGACAAGTCCGTGGCCCTGGCTCGTGTCTTGAGCGAAAATATCTCTCCGTCTCAGGACAAACCCGCCAAAGTCTTTGACGTTGCCGACTGGCTTGCAAGAGCGACCCTCGATATCCTGGGGTCCGCTGGTCTGGGTGAAGAATTCGATACCCTTCACCATCCGGACAATGAAATCTGCAGTGCCTACCGCAATGTCTTCGAGCAAAAGCCTCCTCGGGGAACACTAGCCATGGGGGCTTTCTTCGTGCGCGAGGCCTTCATAAGTATATTTGGTATTTCTCGCAAAGATAGTATCAGTATGGCGACCAAGACCCTGACCGATGTCGCTCGCCGACTGATCGCGCGGAAAAGATCAAATAGACAGGTTGAAGGTTCAAAGGATCAGCATGACCAGGGCCGTGATATCATCTCTGTCATGCTGGCGTCCGATTCCTTTACAGATCGAATGCTCGAGAATCATCTTTTGACCTTCCTTGCAGCGGGACACGAAACAACGGCCACTTCAATGACGTGGGCATTGTATGCTCTATGTCTGTATCCCAACGTACAACAGCAACTGCGCGATGAAGTCCGAAAAGCACTGCCTCAGCACATTGATCAGGCACACGCAGCGGAGCCCATGAAGGCCGAGCTTCTGGACAGTTTACCGTATCTGCATGCCGTCTGCAACGAGGTCTTTCGCATCTACCCACCTGCTGGACTCACTCGGCGGGTGGCGGTTCAAAACACCTCAATTCTGGGCCAGTTCATACCAGCAGGTACCGAAATCGTCATCTCACCACGCGCAGTGAATGTTTCGAAAGATCTCTGGGGTCCCGATGCAGCCACGTTCAATCCAGATCGGTGGATGAGGCCAAGTCAGGCAAATACTGGAGGTGGCTTGACCAACTTCTCGTTCATGACCTTTCTTCATGGTATGTGAAAATTCTCATCACTTGATGATTGAGCATATGCCTTCCGCGACAGAAAAGCGCAATCTAACCTCATCTACTAGGTCCTCGCTCTTGCATCGGACAAGGTTTCGCCCGCGGCGAGTTTGCAAGTCTTCTCGCCGCTCTGGTCGGTACTTTTGAGATGTCTCTTGCTCAGGATCCAGATATCGTTATTGAGACGGGGCTCACATCACGTCCCAAAGGAGGGCTTCTTGTGCAGTTTCGGAAGATCTAGCGGTGCTTGAGCTCTTGAAGCGAAGCTCGTGAGATTCGGCTCATTAATGTGCTAAGTGAAGCGGTCATGTGTAACAGAAGAGCGATAGCTTCTTACAAGTGTGATAGCAACTCTCTGATTATCTTTAAGTTATCATATAGAAAGATCATTCTGTCTACAAACAATCTCGGGATCTTGCCACATGTCACTCGTCGGGATGTAATTTTGAGCTCGAAGAGAATGCCATGCTCGCTTCGTCCACGCGTGTCAGAGTCCTCTCGTAGCACTTACTGCGCCTCATCCATCGGGTGATGGGGTGAAAGAGCAGACATGGCGTCTTTACCAAGATCTTGGAACCCAACTCTCATCCAATCCGGCAGCGCCCGTGTGGGAGGCGAGATATAAGCCAAGCTGGGAGTCATTCTATTCTGCGCCTTTCCACTCCACAGAGTCTCAGCAACAACCTCGGCGATATCAGAAGGTTTCAAGAGCGTTACAGAGGCAGGCATCTGAATTCCTTCGAACATCTTAGTCTTGACCGCCGAAGGCGAAAGACATGACATCCGTACCGCAGGTGCCTTGTAGACATGTCGCAATTCAGTTTGGAGGCCTTCGTAGATTGCAAGTGCAGCGGACTTGGTCGCTGCATAGTCTACAATCCCGGCAGTGGCAAGGTGAGCTGTTTGCGAGGCCATGATCAAGAAATGGCCGTGGTTGTTCTTGACCATGGAGGGCAGAAACGTCTTTGCCGTCCATATCAAAGCCAGGTTATTAACTGCGAATGTTCTGTGTTGAACACATCAAGTTAGACTCTGGAGTTTGCTGCCGACCATGACGCTGTCGCAAATCACTTACAATTCAATGTCTCGTGGCGTAGCATGCAGCAAAGGCTTGCCGCGACAGAGACCTGCGTTGGCAACCACACACGTGGGATCTCCGATCTCGCTGATTTGAAGTCAGACAGGACATCCAACGAAGATCTTCAAGTCATCGTCACGCCGTGGCTTAGTACTTACCCACGAAGACGCTCAGCCACCGCTTGCAGCTCTGATTCCTTAGTCAAGTCACAGCGATAGTAATGCACATTCTTGGCTGTCAGTATCCAGATCATTAGCTGCTCTACCTGATTTGAGACCCCTTTCACCAAAAAGGTGAGGCGTTTGCGCACTTACGCGCATCGTACTGCAAGGGGCGAATGTCCAGCACGACGACAGTTGTCCCGCGTTTGGCCAACTTTTGGACACTTGCGGCCCCGATGCCATCCGAGCCTCCCGTGACGAGCACAATCTCTTTTGACCAGTCGAAGCTAGCGGTGACACCATTATTCAATGCGCGACTGCTGAGATATCGATTGACGAGATATATTGTATAAAGCACCAGGGGGGACAAAATCAACACCACCATCAGCTTTGACATTGAGTATAATCCATCAATGAGATGTTGGCCATAGCCGAGTGACATGGTGACGAGTGAATTTCGAGCAGAGTTGTTCTGTCTGAGGATGATTGTAAATGGAGAAAACTCTCCCTTATGTACTTTTTTCTCTTGAACGACTTAATTTTGCAATAGTTGAGAAGTACAGAGAGTAGAGTGTCTGATTTGGGATAAGAATGTCTGATAATGGAAGGTCCTTGTATTTCTGGCACGAATATCAACATGCAGTGAACTACCCGCCGTCCCCGGCACAGTTTGTGTCAGTTACCCACATGAAGTTGTGTACAGAAATACCGGGTCATGGTGACGTACTATCAAATTACAGTCATGGTTGTATGTAATTACGCATGTATGTGAATCATGTACTGATCATGACCGAGTCTTTCAAATCTGCTATTCCCGATATTAGCTATATCGCGCATTAAATTGTAGGATTCCACAGTACGTCGTACCTGAGTATGGCAGGAAGGTCATGGTAATGGTATACGTGATACTGATATGTAATACAGGATGAGTTTTCAGTGAGGTAACACTTGTTTTTACGGCACGACTAGTATTACAGTAGCTACTGTCATTATTCAACGATTCATTCGGTCTGTCACGGCTTTTCAATACGAAATGATGTAAGCGGGACACACCTAAGTTAATGGATCATGATCGATTGCTTGCTTTTGGCAGAAGCCAGATATGACTTGGAACTTTAGGCCTTGTGCAACAAGTGAAAGACATTTCGTTGTTGACTGGAGTTGGTCAGCTCGATAGTCAAGAGTTTTACCTATCTGGTAAACATTATCTGATTCGCAGTGATCGCTCGAGTGGAAGGAGCGTCTTAACTTAAGTCGATCGGATCAGTGGGCTCGCTGGGCTGTACCTCGAAAATCAAACTCACCAGACCCGAAGTATATCTCACTACCAAAGTTTCAATCCAAATGCACTTACCGCTTTTTCTTGGTCGAGGCTGTCGTGGTATACTTCCGGTTCTTTGGCCAACCAAAATGTGACTTACGTTATAAGGGATCTTCGCACGCAGGTCATGGACAGATAGTTTTCAATTTTATAGATGCAAACTATTCGCCTCCCTACAAGCAACTGTCTCCGTGGCGCAATTGGTTAGCGCGTCTGACTGTTAATCAGGAGGTTGGAAGTTCGAGCCTTCCCGGGGACGGTTCTTTTTGCTTTTGGGCTTTGGCGTCTGTCACCAGGTCCCAAGGCACTAGGCAGATAAGGCACCCATCTAGTCAGTTACCTTACTGTCTTTGTGGGGACTCGGGAGGCGGGAGTCCGTCCTACTTTTCAGGTGAGAGGAATATCAATATTGACTGACGTTCCTTCCCCTTTTACATTTTCTACTTTGATTCGGCTGATTCAATCAAATACTATGATCCAAGGACAAGATGGAGGTAGCCGAACTGGAGGAAAATATGTCATCTACCACTTTTTAGCAGACGCCGGGCCGTTGGTTGTTGGTATGCAACGCCTAAAGTGAGGCCATCATTTGGCCCACAATATATATCGGGCTTTCAGAAGTGACAGTAAAAGGGATTAATTAACCAACGGCGTAGGACTCAGTGACTTAAGGTACTTACAGTTACAGAACAAGTCATCAGTAGACCTCCGATGGTCCTCACTAATCCCGTAAAAATAATATCGCTGTAGTACGAGAAACGAAGTCGATGATAAGCAAGTCTCATGTAAGAAAGGGGATCATTACAATCTCATTAGGTGTTGGAGGTTCGGCAACTTAGTAGACCGAACGTGAGGACACTCAAGATGGAAGCCAGCCGTAGGTTAAGGCCGTTACGACTGAGCGAAGGACTCGCAGATTCCCCAAGATAAATTCTCAGAGGAAGGCAGTCTGTAGGGATTCAGGGAATCAAGAGTCAGAGTTGTTATTTATATATATCTAAGTCTACTTACGCTGTAACTCATAAGATAACCTTTCCATCACGTATTTATATATTTTTACTACTATCTCTTCGCATAACTTTCATACAATCCCGCCCCCCTTAGGCTATTCCTATTTAGGAATTAGTCTTATATCTCAGCGACCGGATGTGTTCGAGTCAACATGGCTGTAACCGCTATATACTTTGTAGAGGCAGCAGTACCTTACTTACCTACCTGTATTAGTATTATGTTGTCCACCGACAAACGGCAAAATATCCCGTCGTTGATAAGCAACGGAACGTTAACTGTGGAACCTCGGATGCGGCACGTAGACGAATTTAAAACAATAAGAGAAGCTGGTTATAATGTCAAACCTTTCACCCCTTTACAAGTAGCTGTCTCCGTGGCGCAATTGGTTAGCGCGTCTGACTGTTAATCAGGAGGTTGGAAGTTCGAGCCTTCCCGGGGACGCATGGCTTTCTTTTTTTGTATATTCTCCATCAAGCAAGCTATCGATGGAGTATGTTCTCTATTTAGCTACTAGGTGAATCAGAGGGTTCTTTTTTACAAGGCCGCGGAGAGAAATGGCGCATATCGATAAGCTAGATGCAGAAGGAGGCGAAAGAGACCGGTAAATACATGTATGACCAAAACATATCGACCACGTTGATTATTTGTGCAGAATGTAGAATACAACGGCACCAGAGCGATGGCCACCATAGCTTCACGTGCCCGTATACGAATCCCAAAGTCCGAGGGAAACCGCGATTCAATGATCTAGTGAGACGGTGGTCTTCTACACCTTTTGAGCCGAGAACATAGGACTGACCTGACTGACTAGTGAGTACTCCATGACTCAAGCGTGGAATCGCAACCACAGAAGGACACAATCGAGCATATCAAAGAACGGGCAGCAACTGTGTTCTGATGGAGATCACCCATAGGACGGCGCTTGAATGGACAAGAGCAGGACTTCGTGTCATGACCTTCTTTTCTTCTAGAGCCACATGGAAGCAAAAATATCAGTGGAGTCGCACCTAGAAACTCGAGATGAGAGACTGAAAATCATGGAAACTCTAGCCCAATAGTATATGATGAAAGAGCACCTGTATGAATATCGAAAATACAAGAGGCTGAGGGGTCCAGAATTGCAATAGAATGAAAAGTGCACACAATACTCTAACGTGAGCAAAAGGGTACAAACATCGACTTTATCGACAGGGAGATATTGTGAAGCAAATTGTCAGGATACGAAACAGCCAAGTCCAATCTACCCATCACGACAACAGTCACAACAAGGGGCGGAAATAACAGACCAGGGCCAGCCAGCAGGAGCAAATAGAGACAACCATGGTAAGCTTGCGTATATGAGGCAAGTACATCTTAACGCCCAGGAAGTGGAGAGACAAACAACGCCCGATAAAGCCTCAGACAATCTGGCCATCTGCGAATAGCGAAGCAAAATGGTAACACAGGCGGGGAAAACGCAAAGCACCGAGGAAGACCTAGCGGCTGGAGCCGAATTGAGTACAACAAAGGGTATAGGAAGGCTGACCTAAACAAGTATTACAGCGAGCCTCACAGCAAGGAGTTGTCATACAAGCAGAGCAATGAGACAGGGACATACAACGAAGAAATCAAACAATGAACAGGAGAATAGAAGATGCAACACAGTGATAGACGAACAGTTTCAGCCCCGTGAAGCAATAGAGCAAAGAGAAGAAGAAGAAGAAGTGCAGAAGCCCCAATGGTATTGAACATGCGTCCCAGAAGCATCAAGCGCTAGGCCCGGGCTAGTAACTTAATAGCCGGACCACCCTCCTAACGGGCTACCGGACTGGCCCGGCTGAGGCTGACCGGGCTGCATCGGAGAACCTGCTCCGGCGGGCCAACCAGGCATACCGCCAGGCCCCATTGCCATTGCCATTCCAGCCTGCTGTGGGTTGCCTGCCATGATGGGCTGTCCGCCCGGTGCTTGAGGTGGAGGATACATGGTACGCGCCATACCAGGATATCCAGCAGGCGGGCCAGCGGCAGCATATTGCATTTGCTGCTGCATCTGCTGTTGCATTTGTGGATGCTGTGGCATCTGCTGGAATTGTTGTGGCATCTGTGGAGCTGACGGGCGATGTTGGCGGGGCGACTGTTGGGGCGGCTGGCTGTGGTGCATTGGTGATGGGACCTGCTGTGAAGGTGCAGTCATCTGCTGGCCGTATTGACTCATATTCACACCTTGCCCCTGCGGTCCAGAAGAGGGCATGGGGGAGGGCTGAGGCTGCGGTGGTGGCTGGCCCCACATTTGTTGCGGCTGCTGCTGAGGAGGATAGGCAGAGAATGAGGTCTGAGGCATACCTGCCGGCATCGGAGGTGCCTGGCGCTGATGCATGATGTTTGGCTGCATTCCAGTAGGCATTGTTCGAACCGGTGACTGCCCTACCGGTTGCTGGTGTTGCTGTTGAGTGAAGGCTTGCTGGGTTGAGACCATAGGCTGAGGTGGAATCATGTGCTGAGGATGACTAGAGGCTGCGACGCCTGCTGGTGGCATCGGGACGGGCTGAACTGGCTGTGACACGGAGAGACCCGAATCGAGGGCAATGGTAGTTTGTCCCTCTAGATCAGGGATTTCATGGGGTTTTGCGTAGAACTCATCCAAGCCCTTTAGACGGAAATTCCTCTGTGCGTGCAAAGCTTTGTTGAAATCTGCTGCGGTCTGAGCCTGGTGCATGATTTCAGCACCGGTGCTCGTTCGAGTGTTGTCCTGGTACGGTTGGCCAGTTAATTCCTGCCGTGAGCGTGGCATGGCATTGTAGTCTCGAAGCCGAGGATCTTCAGTTGTCGTCATTTGGATCAGCGGGTGCTGGGAAAGCGAGGTATTGTCGCTCAAGTCTAGCGATAGACCGGGGGGCAACGGTTGAATCGTGTTGCTGAAGATCACATCGTTGTGGGGAAGTGGCAGCAAGTTAGAGGCTTGACTCTCGGAAGGCGTCTCTCGAACCTTGGCAGTTCCTGGACGCTTCTCACCGGCCATGTCCTCTTCGGTAAAACCTTGTTTCCTGGCCTTGCTCTCCCAATAGTCATCCCGAACACGCCTTCCGTTGACGATCACACGGCTACCGAACTGGCGGAACATGGACCTGGCGGAAACGATCGCGATTTGTCGGGAGCGATATGAATAGGGCAGAATATCTTGCTGGATCAAATCATCCTTTTCGATCTGGGAGGCAATGATTTTATGCAAAGAGCGGTTCTTGTTGAACAGGAGATAGGAATCCCGGTAGTTCAGAACCCTGGCGCACTCCGTCGCAAGCATGAAAAGCTTGTTACCTCTACGAGGCACGCGGAAGGTACGACATTTGTATTCACGCCCACCAAGAGGATGGCCATCCGCATCCACCTTTGTTTCACCAGCATCGTCGAATTCCTTAGGAATGTATTCATCACCCGCATCATTCAGCTGATCAGACGTGTGGTCTCTGACAGAGGGAAGGGCTTTCACAAGGGACTTTGTCGGTGTCGGTGTTGGTCTGTCAGGAGGTGAAGCCAGCGGCGACCCGGCGGTTTGAGCAGGCAAAGGCCGACTCTGCATCTGTGGCGTTTGGATCGGGGTTGTTGCAGCTTGGTGGTCGTTGGAGCCGGCTCGGGATGTTTTCGGAGGCCGTCCGCGTTTGCGACGACTCTGATCTTCTGTCATGATGGCGAATAGCAGTTAGAAGTCCGTAGAGAACGGGATTGGGTACTGGGGAAGAGAGCAAATAGAAGAGAGTGCAGCTGAGGTGTGGAATGAAAAGAGGACGCGCTTCATCTGAAAGATCAACCGGCAAACATAGGGTAGATTGTTTGCCATATCTACTTTCTCCGCTGTCGCGCACGTACCGTCGTCTTGATCACCAATAGCAAGACCATTCCCGCTATGATCTGGAGTGCGGCTACGCTTAACACCACGAGGACTGGGCTCAAGAGTGGGCGGTGCCGGCATGGTAGAGACTAGGAGGGGTTATCAGTTTACAGGAAGGTGACCAGGTAGGCACCGGGAAGGATGTAAGAAGACGGAACGAAATAGAGAAAGGCAAAAATGGCGTCATAAGCGCTCGCCGGTAAAAACTTTGGGGTGAGCATGTATCTTCCTCAAGTGAACGACGACTGTGATCCTGGCGGAAGGTACACATAATTTTGCGCAAACGTGAGGCGCGAAGTAGGAGGGAAGAAATGAGGACATGACGACACAGCAGTAAGGCGACCGACTGGAAACATTTCGACGGGGCAAAACAATGCACTTACCAGAGTTACTCAAACTGGCGGGGTCGATGGTTCCTAGGCCATCAACTACCTCGCCTTGTGCATTCATTGTCGCGTGGGGACGAGGTGTTCCCGTACCATACATGGTCAAGGAATCCGACACTGAAGCCGCGAAATAGCGCGTCAAGCGAACGCGCCGCCGGAAGGGGCAAGACCGTAGTCAAGTCGCGGGCAGTTTGCGACAAAGATCGGAATGAATCAGGCGACTTCACTATGCTTGCATTAGGACAATAAAGGAGACCGTCTCGAGGTCGACCTGCGTGAGCCGTTGGGTTAGATATGAGTAGTTAGTTGATGATGGAGCTTCGGGTGTCGAGATGCGCTCGGAGCGCAAGAGGGGCGAGGCGGTGAAGGCAGTTCCAAGGGCACCTGATGCCTGACATACGTCTGGCGTGCCTGAGGGTGCCTGATCGTGTGCCAATGATTTATGCCCGAAATATCAGGGTGGCCGACTTGACACGTGAGATGATCAAATAAGGCGGGCCCCTGGGCCGAACGGGTAGAGTGGTCGATGATGACCTTGGAGCGCAGTCGCTCGCTCTCAGGTCGAGGGAAAGAGAGGCTGTCCTAGGAAAGACACCGCGAATGCTTCGACCAGTGACGAGCCAGAGGGCTTCGATGCCGATAAGTGACCGGTAGTATCAGCATCAAGCTCAGTTTAGACCAAGATATAGAAAAGTGACGGAGTTCTGGTTGAGGGGAGGGGGATGAGGATGCTCCCGTCCATTTTCATCCATGAGTAAAGAACCTAATGTAGCGTCCACGTCGCGTGATTAGGCAGTCACGGGAACGGACGCGGTACTGGGGAGATGAAACAAGGTCAACGCTTGGGAATTTATCTACGAAACAAATTCATTGTGAATGTCGCGAAACAACTTTTCTATCTGAGAATCCAGTTCTCGCTCGCTCTGGATACTAAAGTAGAGACAGTACCGCCTTAATCCGTGGCCTGTCTATTACAATATGGATTTGGTAGCAAAGCAAACAGACAATTAAATGTCGCCGAAGCTGCCGAAAGGATGTATAGTAGGTAGTAGGTAGTAGGTAGTAGGTAGTGGTAGTGGTACTAGGTAGTAACTACCTAGGTACCGCTCCGACTTTTATCTCGCAAGTAAGGCAGCAAGCATATGCGGGAGGTAATGTGCACCGAGAAAGATGCGGCTGATGTCGGAATACAATTCTTACTCCTTTTGAGGGCATTATCTGTAGCTTGAGAGTAATGGGCTTTATTGCAGACATAGTACCAATGCGAAGAACAGGATGACAAGAGGACAAGCGCTGGTCCGCCTGGGCGCGTCTGAAACTCTATACCACGTTCAATATAGTAGAGAAAATGAAGCGACGAGGTGACAGGAGACGAGATGAGTAGCTGCCCTATAATATGTGAATGAAGCTCCCGGCGATGAATATAGTAAGGGAAAGAAGCCAAAGTTGCATTCCGACAAGTCATGTCACTCAAAGGGAGTATAATTCACAGTTCACACCCTTGTCTTCTTGCTCGATTCATATAGCCATGAGACACAGCCACCGGCGGCTTGAAGGGGGTACAATACATGTCAAATAAGAGCAATCGTCAACACAGAGTCAGTCATCCTAGAATTACTAGTAAGCACATATGGCTTCGTGTTTGTCCGGCGAAAATCAAGGTAAGATCATTAAGCTCATCTATGTATGAGGTGGCGATGTTTCAAGGCCGACGAAAGTGCAGTCGGCTTGATCAGAACATTATACCAAGGAGACCACTTAAGAAGCTCCTGTTGATCTTCCCGTCATATTTTACCAGTGAAGCTGTACCCAATATATGCACCGAGATTACCTCAAATGGCTTGGACATAAAAGTGCTCCGCGAGAATGGTATCCACCGAGTTCATTTAGATGGGAACAGGTAGTCTTTTTTCCACATATGCGCATCGCAGCATACTAAAATTTATGAAATCTCTCATCACTACAGCCAGGTAGACCCGACGAAAAAGTAGGAGCCAATAGAACAATGTAGGTACACGAGACGATATAGGTCAATTTGAACCCGATGCAGTGAATGAAACGTCATTTCATGACAATTTCACACAAGGAAAGAGTTATACTGCGACTCCGAGGTGGAGTTCACTGCAGATAATCAAAACACCTCACTGACCTGAGGCTTGGTTTGAGAACAGGCTCGCAGTGATTATGGCCTCAGCCTTTCACTTGATAGCTGAGCAAATGAGCATTGTATGTATTTTTTTTAGAAGCATGAGCAACGGTTTCTCAAGGGCATCTGCCAGATCGGGCTTTCGTATACTCTCCACTGTAAAATATTCAGGTCTTTATCTAGCAGAGGCCCAGGTTGGGCATTAGATGAACATCGAAAGAACACATTGCGAGGTTGTGTATACCACCACCCTCAACGCGGCAGGCGAATCAAAACCACGCAGCTCATGATTGGCATGTGAGTCCCCCGCTTTCATGTCCGAGGGCAGCTGACTCTTTTCTCTCAAACACCGAAACTCAGTCCTCGTCGATCCGAATCATGACACTTTTCCAACACCCCGAGCACTCGGTCATGCAGAGTAGCTGGTTCCTGCAAAATGATATACCGTCTGAAGCAATGAACAATCAGGCTGAACAGGAGGTCTCGAGGGTCGTCCACAAGTCTATGTCGATGTCGATGTCGCCCGTTGCACCATCACGATCGCGACACAATCCATGCACGGCAACGGGTCGACGTAACGACGAACAAATGGAAGCTGGGCCTGATAGGCTCGAGGGGTGCGTATCTGGTCTCACCACATGACGTGTTCCTGTGCGGCTATTGATCGGGTGGAGGAATTCAAGACTGAACTGCTCATGCATGTTTTCGTTACACGGGACCCTGAACGGAGTTGGAATCGTTCCGGTAGCTAAGTATGCCTAAGAGAACGCACTTACTTGGCTGTTGTAGATGGTGGCTCTCGGCGCGTACCAGCACCTCATGGACATTGTGTTGACTACCTACTACCTACCTACTACTTGAGCAGAATAGATCAAATCCATGGTGTGCTACACGAGTCGTATCCCGCCTGATAGTTGGTCGAGATCAAATCCAGATGACTGCGCCCCGTCCACTCTCAAGTATTCTATATCGTAGAAGACTATCGTGGTATCTTGATTTGTATGGAAACCCTAGTGCAAAAGACATTAGCAACCGACGAGCAGTAAAGATGAATGGCCAGAACGTGTATCTCGCTTTTGATTGCTCATGGACCATATACCCTAGGAGTATCAGTTTTCCCCTGCAAATGAAAGTGATGATCATTCTCGAGAAACAAGAATCGATACCCTCCATGGACTATGTTGAGCGTGTGCAATTCTGCCATTGTACTCATGCCCCGGCCGTCTCTAAGCGCCCACCCTACTCTACCTGCTACAGGACTGGAGAATAATTGCCGAGACCGGATTCGTACCCGAGATTCAGAACTCTTCTGCATGCATGTGGCACTTGCTGTATCGACAGCCATGGATTCGACCGTCTCGTCGCCATCTACATCTTGACAGACGGCTTCTCGACCATGCACCGGAATATTGCGACATACGGCCAACACTTCACCTGATCGGCGGATATGATCGATCTGCCCAATCGCATGGTTACAAGAAGATTGCGTTGCATACCTACCTCCGATATGCGGACTGTGTACTGTGTACACCTGTACCGTATACACTGCCAGTAAACTTGTCACGCGGGACCTCTACAGCAGAAGGACCCTGGCGAATTACATGGGACCCCAATGGAAAAGCTGATCATATGACGGATGTCGATTCTCGTGCCGAGTACACCGGTGCAGCGCATTGATGGATTAAGAAATGTATGTTGCAGATCGTGACGTCTTGAATTGGCTACGTATCTCAGATGCAAAGAAATATGATATCGAACACAGCGACTTGGTGTTGGGGGGGGGGGGGGAAGACCTTGGCCGTGAAGAAGAGGTGAAGTGCCTGTGTGCCTCACTGCCTACCTCTTCACCATTCTTGAAATGTAATCATGTGTGATCTGGGTCATCGAACAGGACTCATTATTCGACCTGTCCGGAGAAGCAATCTGCGTGATGGCCGGAGATTGTCAACTCTCAGGTCTACTATCTCGGCGACCGGGTAAGCGATGAGTCACCGGTCAAGTTTTGGAGATTGACACAGGGCATCTCCTCAGACAGACAAGCATCTCGATCCCAGCACATGTCACTGCACTCAGTACTGCTTCTGAGGAATGTTGCAGACTTGCCAGGCCACACGTGCAGAGAAGGGACATCGCGGTCGGCGGCTCAAGCCGCCACTGACCGGCTTCTGGTACTCTGTCTCAGGATTGCACTCTGGACATTGAGTTGCCTGCCCGTCCGAATGGAATGACTGAGATGATCATACTGTAGGTGGGTTACCCCGACAGGCGTAGGCGCTATACGACATCCTCAGGGTGGATCGAGCTGACACGCGGATGATCTTATATCGATAAGCATTAAGCCTTCCCGGAGTGTCGAAGACCCGCGGGTTGAATGTGAACCTAATTGTATGGATCTATCAGCGAAGCTAATTTCCGTTGACTTCCAGGTTCAGTGCCTACCTATTACCTACTCAACTGCAAGTGTTCCAAACTTCTCTATCTCAAATGCACCCCATCTCAGGACCGACCCGCCGGTCAAGTTGAGTGGGACCGTGACAACAAGCAGCTCGATCAAGTGGCCGGGCGTGCGAGAGATGTTGTGTGCACCAAAGTGAGGTGGGACACCGCATATCAATGGAGCGAGAACATGGTCAGGCGTCTCGCATTTGACTTTCCATTGGAGATCTTGGGGATCTAGACTTTAGAATACCAAAAGGCTGTCGGCTCTCAAAAGGCTCTCACATGTTTTGTTTGACAATGACTCCCGCGAGCACCATTCTATGGTGTATATACGTATTGTATTGGCTCTCAACTCTACAGATGCTGTGTCTGCTCATGGTAGAATCCTAATGGATCTCCAAAGGCAACACAATACGACTGGATTTCTGTCAATACTAATAAGGAGGGGAAACATGGTGCCAGATCACTAGATACTGAAAGTAGATACTGAAAGTAGATACTGAAAGTAGATACTGATAGCAGATACTGATAGTAGATACTGATAGTAGAAAGTAGATACGAGATACAGTAGTTACTTAGTTACTACTAAGTACTTACTCCTTATTTGGTTCAGTATCGACTACCCATGTACTCTGACTCTTGCCCCCCGTGGAGTTGGAAAACAGTGTGTCAATCAAGAAGAGCAACACCGCGGGGTTGTCCCAGGAGACAAGTGGCGACGAGATCTGCAAAAAAAGATCCTCGTTCGAATGCGATCTTCGTTTCCGGCAATGACACACTCTGGGGAAGGGACGCGCAATTGAACAAAGTGTGAAGGAGAGCAAAATGCCAGGAATGATTTATATGTAATCATCATGGCTCTACTGACATAGTATGATAGTACTGGCCGACTGTATCTGAAATTCGAATGGAGCCTTTTATGATTCTTCGCCATCGATCAATCATAGTATGCAGTTATGCACTATGAAACGACTACATACTACAGATCTGGACTGGCCGAATCAGTCACGACTCGTTCCTCTTTCCCGACGCGGGGAGGGGCGCCCCCCCCCCCCTGGTTGGAGAAAGTTTCCCGAGCCTGGCAGATGTGCATATGGAGGAGACTTCGAGTGGACTTGCATACGTCGACGTGATCGCATTGACACGGTGACCAGCTGACCAGCTGACCAGTCTGACCAGTCTGACCAGTCTGACCAATCTGATTCTGACGCGGACTGAGAGTCTCAGACTGTTGACGTGGACGTGCCGGTTAAGAGGCCGTGGAACGTGGGCGATCTGCCCCCTGGAGAAGACACGCTAGACCCATCATTGAGGAGAGTAGTGTGGCCAGGACTGTACTAGTAGTTGCAAGCTACTAGCTAGTGGTATGTTAGATATTCCATCTTCTAGTTGCACATGAGGAATAAGAACCGGGCAGTTGACTGGACTGCTAAAGGCCCCCGATTTCAACGACTGGTCTGAATATATAAACGAGAAGCGAGGTAAGACGACCGTGATGAGAGCATCAGAGTTTCCCGTGTTCTGGATCCGGGAATCAAAATGGGTACCAGGCGTGAAAGATCTACGCTTGTGATGTGGTCGCAGAAATGAAGACATCCGGACTTCCAAAAGGGGGAAATCCGCGGGGATCGTGAGATTTGTGTCGCGGACGGCGTGGAGGATTGGTCATAACTATGCAGCATGGATGCATTGCACTGCACTGCTACAGCACGCATGTGGTTTGGACGTGAGAGAAGTCCAAAGCGCGACCGAGCGGGTCTGGAACATGGATTTGCAACAGGAGTAGAGAATAGTCCAAATCCTACTATTAGTCCATGATTAGTACGGTGGTGCCGACGATAGGAGCGATTATCAATAAGAATCAGTTAAGCTCCGCCGGACAGTCTCCATAGAAGGAACAGAAAATTTCAAGAATCAACTGATCCTGAAAAGAAAAAAAAAAAAAAAAAAAGAGATTAGACTCCACCCTTTTTCTGGACCGACTTACCCGGACTGACTTGGACCCTCCACACGCGCCAAACGAGAAGAGAGAAGAGGAAGACCCCACGCTTGGCAGCAAATGCATGTCTGCTGTAGGCTAACGTGGTCGAGGGGCGAGAACTTTGCCTCTGCTCACTTACAGAGTCGACACTTACAGTCGTACTGGTCCTGGTCCTGGTAGTCGACCATGCTTACCCACCAGTGTTGATCATTTGATGATACATCATGGCGAGAGCTCATGGTTGCATCGGTATCAGTCCAGTGAAGGGAAAAGAGGTAGCTCTGCCGGACAACGTCACACCACATAGCATTCTTAAGGTAGCTACAGATGCTTCAGAGTGTCACAGTGGCAGGTGGTCCGAGGAGGTGATGAATCATCTAGAAGACGTCCACACCTGACTAAGGTCCTACATGAATCACAGAGTCAGTATGGCAGACGGAGGTAGTGGGATCTCGTGGGTGACGAGTCACTTCAATTTATGAGTAGGGTAAGTTAGCCTTCCTAACTTACTGAGGTGCACTGGCAAGTTGCAACTACCTCAGGTGCACACCTCGTGGATGAAGAGGCGTCTCTGATCGGAAGAGGGTTGACTGGACGGATGTGGAAGGTGAAGCGAGGGTGGGATGCTCTCTTTGTCATCCGCGGTGGAAGGGTCTCCCGAGTGATCCCAAGACCCATGGACCCAGACAGAAGCTGTACTACCACGAGTCCACTCCTACTAACTTACTTCAGGACTGAGTAACTCAAGTGACTATTTTTCCCTCCACTACTATCGTAGGGCTTTCCTGAGTGTACTCCATACTGGAGTAGACCTCTTGGGCCTACAGTGGAAGGCAGATGTGCTGATTTTTGGTCAGCTGCCAATGGCCGAAGCCGCCGAGAAGTCGGCCAGATCCATGCAGACATGCAGACAAGCAGACAAGCAGACAAGCAGACAAGCAGACAAGCAGACAAGCAGACAAGCAGACAAGCAGACAAGCAGACAAGCACGGCCTGTTGCAGAGTGGGCGGGTCTAGAACCAGTGAGGGAGTCAGGGCCGGTGGAGGGCGGGTACACAGAAACTCTCAGAACTCTGAGAAGTCTGTAGGACTCGAAGCAAAGAGTCCACTCCGAGGGCTAATGGACGAGAGTATTGGTCGAGACCCCCGTCGACTGAAGCTGGATCGCCCGAAATGGAGACGATGCGATCGAGTCCGCAGGTCCTCCGTCCGGTAGACTGGAGTACAGCACGAGTACATCTGTGCATCGTAGCAATTGGCGGAGAATCGGAAGTACCTGTCGTGGAGACGTGAGGTCGCTAGTCCGAGTCCCCACCATCAGAGCAGACGGCGACAACGGATTCCAGCCTTTAGCGCCTTTCCTGAAATAACAGCCGTCGTCTACATGTTCAGATCTTCTTTTTCCTCCCCCCTCCCCTACTCTGCAGATCTGCTCTCTTCGCACTTCCCCGTATATATATAAGACTGACGGGGGCCTCTATTCCAATCTTGAATTATTTTCCCCCTCCTGGAAATCATCATTCTTCCCCCTTCAAACCTTCTTTCCACAACGCTCCACCAAAGCAGTTCGGCCTCATCACATCCGCTCGAGCCCTCAGCATACCAGACCCATCACAATCTCACACCACTACCACTACCGCCCACCATCACCATTGCCTGACTCGAAATTCTCTCCGAGATTCTTGCTCGCCGCCATTGCTCAGCATTCGCGTTATATAACATCGCCACTGCACGTCATCAACTCAGACCAATTGATCAATCACATTCAATCACAATCAATCACAACCTTTCTCTCTCCCCCTCTCGGAGCGGAGTCATCTTAAAAGACTTCCCCCAAAACTCCCTCGACACCTCCATACCAGACGAGAATGTCCTTTTCTCTCACATTACAAACACCCGCCGCGCCCAAGCCTGTACCTGCCGTGCTCAATTTCACCAAACACACCAACAAGCGCTGGCCCCCCATGGCAGACCGCTCAGCCCTCCCCCTACAAGCTCACCGTCATCTCCAAGGAGAAGTTGGCTCGCGAGGCCACTGCCCCCGATCCCAATCTGCGCCGCTGCGTCGCCCACTTCCGTCTTCACTGTGGATCTGTCCTGTGGACGGAGAATGATATGAAGTCGCGCATCAGCTCCTTTGACTTTGAGGAAACAGACGAGGAGGATAATGAGGATGACGAGGACGATCTGCCGGAGATTCAGATCCCGCCCCGAGGGCGCAGTGGCTTTGTGCGCGTCGACGTGACCGAATCGCCTCTCGACGCCAAAGTTCTCAACACATACTCGGCCTCGTCACCCCCGCCCGCGCACGGCCTGTTCGCCAACGAGAGCCACTGCGTCGACACAGGCTCGAATAGCAGCATGTGCTGCATCACGGTCTCTGCCGTGGCTGTATAAAGTCGAGAGAAGCTTGTCGAATGGATCCCGTCTTCTCTCCGAGATTTGAACATCTCGCCACCTGATGTGTGCGACGTGGAACCAAACTCCATTACCTCTTTGTCGACACCGTCCAAAAAAAACCCCTCCCGCGTCCAACCCTCTCACTCATTTCCAACTCTCGCTTCTCTCTCTTTTCTACCTCCAACCTTTGATGACTTGAACGACCTTGATGAATTTATGACACATGATGATACCGAAATTGGAAAATTGTGTATACTATTTTATATGGAGTTAATATTGCAATCTTATATATATATATTTTTTTTGCTGGTCAAACCTTTGAAGTGTCTTTCGCGTAATGACAAAGACGAATGTTCCCACGTCTCATGTAGTCAAACACGATCTGTTTCACGCTCGACAGGTCACCTGAGTCCGACAGACTGACCGTCCCCTGTCAAGACGAGCATGGCATTCGATCTCGATTCTGGACCACGAAGTTTTTGCCTCATGATCCAATTTGACGTCTGTGCCATATAGCCCGCTGATCAGCCCCGATTGGCAATCCAGCCCCAAGGCTAAACAAGCTTATCGCTCATCACGTCAGTCCCGACCTGACGACATTGGGAAGTCGATCTTCAAGCCCGAGACTACGCCGACTATGTGGACGGTACATGTTGAAATCAACCATCAAACTACATAGACCCTTCCATACTTCCGTCCTGAACTGCCTGCCAGGGCAGTGGCAAAGTTGGCAACTGCCGACTTGACCCACGGTCATGATCGCTGCCGGTGTCCATCGCTGAAGGATTACAGTAGTTTCCTCCTCTCGCCACGGTCTTCAAGACTGAGTCTTGTGTCCCACTTCACCGGCACTCTTCTCCGCTCAACTTTCCCGCTTCATTTCTTCGATTGGCCCCGTTATTGAGTTGACATCCGCTTTGCGAGTGGAGATCAGCACGTCAGGTGGATTGAGATGCCACTTCAAACGCCTCAACTCCCTTGCGGACAGTCGGACACACCTGCCTCGCTTCCGAGGAAAAGATTCCACTAACGCGAGAGGTTCTCTGTACGGGTTCTTGTCGGACCACAGGGGGCCCCCTGTCTTCATACCAATCATGTTCACGCTTAGGATCATCATCACTGAATCGAGAAAGAGAAAAACACACACACAGAAAGTAGACTACTGGAGTCGAATGGGGAACCGCAAGATCGTGTAGGGATCATTTCACGTGAGAGGCTTAGAGAGGCTGGACTGCATCCTGGATCCCTAATTGATCGACCCGCCCGTGCCAAGTTCCTGGGAAGTCGATGCCCATGAGAAAGGGAGTGTACTGTGGATGGTCACGTCATTCGTTGTCACCGCGCATGTGAACTCGGAACTGTGGATGTTTCCTTTGATGGTCGTTGGGGGCTGTCGTGCCTTTGAATTGAGAGACGAGTTGATCAGGTGGTTGATCCCAGATGCAATGGATGCGACGGATGATATGTACCACATTTGACAGGTGCGATGTGGACCTCCTGCTACAAAGTCACCTGAGTGTAGGCGGTTTGTCATCACACTGCTTCAATCGGTCCCTTCAAGCTGCTGGTACTGGACTTACTCGACACTGTGATTATCTCCACTACTCCTGCAATCTAATCTAGCATAGAGCCCAGACTACCCGGCCGAAATCTTGTCTCGATTCATCCAGGCCAAGTCCTCTGACCGTGTCAAGCACGGGTTGGATCACATCATGAGGTCAGGTAGTCCAAAGGACATGGATCCTCTCATTCAAACGGTCCCCCCGGAATCGAGACCGTCTGCAGTTCGGCTGAATGGATTCTGAGTTCTGACGGCTGACGGGAGGCGTTCCGATCAGAAGATCGATTGGCTGGTACAGAGTCCGTTGATCGTCCAAGGCACGTCACTCACACTGTAGAGAGCAGAGAGTCTCGGGATTGCACCGAGTCGACTGTGTTCTGCTGGGGTTCGTACAAGGACCGACTACTCCAAGTGGGACTCCGTGGGTCGGGTGGATTCGATCAGACTGAGAGTGAGGAACTCGAGCGAGATGAAATCATAAGAGAGGATGAGGACAATTCGGGATATCCACCTTGGGCTGACCCTTGCAGCTGCTCCGATGGGGTGAGCCGATGGATGTTGCCAGTGAGAGGATACCGTAGAAGACGCAATCATCGTGCTATTTGGCCTGTTTCGAGGCAGTAGATGCATGCGTGTTTTACAAGATCTTGTGGCTATCGTACGAGTTGGCATTGTACTCCGTAGAGTTTACACGATCCATTCTACATGCACATGACTGAACTATGGAAGCGCTTAGCACATGGCCATGAAAATGCAACCATCCTGTCTCCGTATCCGACCTTGCGGCGCATTGCTGATAATTGTGAAACGGCAAAGTCATACACCCCCCGAGCCCAGCATCATGCCGAGAAAGTGTCGGTCCAAAATCCCCCGAGTAATCATCGCCACGGAGGGTATCGGGAAAAAAAATGAAATCCGTTGTACATGGATCCATCCTGTCGGATGTTGCTGAGGGGGTTCCTGTGATTCCACCGTATCCGACGCGTAACAGGGAAGTGTCGGCCGCGGTTGGGCGGAATTGAGAGACGAGCGGTTGTGGCCGTCTTGGTGAAGTTGAAGTCGCTGGATAGAGAGATCATTGCAGACAGACGCCGTCTAGCCGCTGATCTGGAACACTCGGCTCGTTTCCCAAACTTCTGCTACCAAGACCGGACACGCACTTGCTCCAGTAGTAGATGCCTTCCTGTCCCGTAGAATCCCATGCCATCTCACTTCCATACGGCACGGCTTCCATATCCCACGCCTCAGCCCTAATTTTCATGGCAGCCTCCACAGCATCAGCCTCACCTGTCCAACCCTCGCGGCGGAGGTCCGCCCAAAGCTCTCCCACAACGGTCTCACGAGAGGAGCTGACTAGCCCCCGTCTAGGTCGGACCATGTTCGGACGACTTGAAGCGAAAATATCAGAAGGCAAAGTTGCAGAAAGATCGGCAGCAGACAAGGCCTGGGTCGGCATATTCTTCACTTTCCTTCTCATCCTTGAAAGAGTCTGCCGAGATCCAGGTACTTGCGCCTGACGCTCGGGATCGAAACGTGATATCGCCATTGTGATATTGACCATTCGCTGCTCGATAGACGTGATCATCGAATGGCATGAAATCGAAATTTTCATCTCGTGGCTTCAAGCGAGGCGAGTATTTGTGAATCCCTCACCAATTTGATGTCAAAATTGCTCGTCGCCAGTGACGTCTATCCGTCACCAAGCCCCAGGGGGGTCATTTTGTTCCCTCGCCGCGAGAGCAAACAAGATCAAAGAAAGATGATGTACCAGTCTCATCTTGTAAGATCAACGGTATTTCACAAATGATGAAAATGTCAACATGACACTCTTCCTGCTTTAGAAGCACCCATAAAAAAGCATCAAGTGTCGACCGCCATGATCGAGGATAGCTTGTTTGTCGAAAATCTCCTGCGGAGATTCGCCCGTGATCGACAATTGTTGATCGAGTCCAACCCTTCACCCACTCCTCAACGTTGCCATCAGATTTGATATTCACAGAGACGGGATTTTGTGGAGGTAAAACTTTGCAGAAGCAGATCTTGAAGAGATTTGTTGAGATTTTCTGGACGCTCAGACATGTCGATCAGTTGCAGCTGAGCCGGAGGGAAGCAATAATCCAAACAGCTCCATCATCTTGCGATACATAAGATTGGTATTACCGGCGAATGCAGCTTTTCATGTCTAAATGAGGTTCATGACCTTGGCTCACCTGGGGCCAGCTGGCATGGTTTCCCATCCCCCAAGGCTCGGCATCAGTAACATTTATTTACATATGATCCTTGCTGAAACTTTGCGTACTAGCTTATTTCATCGTGCTGTCGACAAGCTCACGGTAGATCCGTTTCAGATCAGCAATGTCAGCCTCCAATTCTTCCACTTGTTCGCTCTTCTCACCGAGCATCTCCAGGGTAGTCAAGTAACGCTGGTCAATATCGGCAAGTTGAGCCTCGAGGTCTTTCACCCGTGAGTCCGCAGCCTTCTTGTCTTCAAGCTCACGCATAAGGTCGACCACTTGTTTGCGGGCCTCGTCGCGCTGTGCGGTAACGCGAGCAAGCTCGTCCTTGACCCCAGCACGCTCACTTTCGAGTCGACGCACCGTGGCGCTCATGCGTTCGACCAGTTGCACGGACGGCCCTGCGCCAACGGTTGATTCTGAAATGATGTCGTTGATCCCCCGTGAGGCGGCTGTTTGAGTGCCTCCAAATGCAGATGGAGTGGCCGGTTCGCCAGAGCCAAAGAACTCGTCCGGTTCAAAGGTGATGGACGGAGTTTCTAATATCGTAGACGAAAATCCTAGAGAGGTGTTGATTGGAGGAGGCGATAACGTCCCCTGGGTAACCGAAGCAGGGTAAGAGTTTTGTCGAGGTGGTGTCGCAATGTCAGGCGAGCCAGGGGGCAAGGTGGACGAACGACGACTACCAGGCCGATAGTCTGAAAGCATAGAAGGGATGGTATCAAGGTTGCTCGACCGGCGCGTCGAAGGCACCGGTGAAATACCCCGGGGTTGCTGCAGGCTACTTAGTTGCTCACGCCATCGAGCTCTTTCTTCCTCCAGCTTTTGAGCCCAATTGGCATCCGAAGTCTTCTTTTGCTCAATGATCTCCTTCTTGACGGAGGCCAACTCGTTGGTAGCGGTCTGGAGCTTTTCCTGCACCTTCTCATGGTCCTGTGAACGTGCATGTAGCTGACTTTCAAGTTCACTCTCAGTCTCCCGACAGCCTTCCAATTCCTCTTCTAGCTCCTTCACTCTCAAAGTCTTTTCGAAACCAAGAGAGCTGTCAGTATACAGATTCCATGAGTGACCGTCGTCGGGGGCCATTGGGGATCTTACCATTTCCCGGAGTCTCTTCCGTAGATCCTTTTCTTTGTCGCCGATCAGATCGCGTTCCTTCTCCGCAGCGTCAAGTCGAGAGATGTACGAGCTCTCTAGAGCGTGCCAGTTCTCGCTAGCGACCGAGTACTGCGTCTGTAGAGTCTCGATTTGACGTAGTAATTTGGCCTGTGTGTCCCCCTGAGCCCCGGAGGATGCCTCTTCTGCACGGACGCGAAGGCTTTCCATTTTGCTTTCCAAAGCGGACTGCTCTGCCTTCAACTCGATTTCCAGCCGTTGGGCACCTTCTTTCTCCTTTTCAAGACTGCTTTTCAGGTCGGCGATCTCTTTCTGGGACTTTGCCTGACAGATCTCGAGCTCGATCTTGGTCGACGACAGTGTCTCTTCAAGTTCTTCGACCCGGCGCTCCTCTTTCTTAGAAAAATCGGAGCGAGCCTGAGCCTCAGCAGCTTCCGCACGTGCCACTGCTCGGCTGATCTGGGCCTTCATTTCTCGCACAGTCTGATTGAGAGCATCGCGCTCGATTGTCACCGCTTCTAACTGCTTTGTCGTCTTCAAATGAGACGAAAGCGATTCAATCGCCCTTTTCTCTGCCGCCTCGGCTCGGCTGGCCCGACTCTCCATGCCAGTCAAGTCCTTCTCCAACTTTTCATTCTTTCTCTTGAGCTCTGCTTGCACTCTGGAATTTTCTGCAAGTTGCTGCCGTAATCGCCTTACCACAGTCCGTGTATTTGCGGCCTCTGACTCGAGTTTTTGACCCTCCTTCATCAAGAGGGCATATTTCTCTCTTGACTCTGCCAATTCCTTGGCAGGGCTACCAGGAGAAGCTGCTGCTGCGGCACTCTTCGCAGATTTGGCAGCTTCCTCGACCATATTTCCAAGGTTTCTTTGAAGCTCATCAATGCGCGCAAGGTATTCGTACCGCTCTTGTTGCCACTGAGACTGAGGTTCCTCCTCACTTGCCCGCGTTTCAGATGACGTATCAGTGCTCATGCGAGTACTGTCGCCTGAGACACGGCCGTTCTGACGCGTGCCCCGTTGGGAGCTAGACAGCTCCAAGCTGGGGTTGCCTGAGCGTTGCTGTGCCTCGATTGAATGGCGGGGTTCGGATCCAGATATCTCGAGAGACTGGCGGTTGAATCTTTCGGACTCGTGACTTGCCCGAGGTCTGTCAGAGGAGTCTAGGACGCCCTCGACGTCGAGCGAAGGCCGCTTGGTATCTTCAGACATTCTCGGGGCCACTGAGGGAGAAGAATCGAGATCTATACTCGACCTTACATCTTCAGTTGTGACAGGACTGCCTGGTGTTGAATCCAGTGCCGGCGAAGACTGCGAGTGCCGGCTGGGCGTATTGGATTTCACTATGGCTCGTGCTAGTCGCTCCTGAAGCCGGTCGTTTCTGCGCGCACTGGAAGAGCTCCGCGAAATTGCTGAATCTCTCACATCAGCCAAGGACCCTTTCAAGTTTTCTGCCACTGAAGGTTCTTACATCCAGCGGACGACTTAGCGATTGGAGGCGTCGCGCTTTCGACCTCTTTAGTTGTCGGTTTCGTGACCTTTGAGCCGTCCTCCTGATCCATTAAAATGTTATCTAACCGCGATTCGACGCCTGCGACGGCTTGCTGAAAAAAATTGCCCACGCCCCATTTGGATTTGGGAGCTTGGGGATTCTGCGCCATTGCGTTGAGAGTTATGAAACGGCTAATAACACCTTCAGGCAACAGGACCCGTATGTGCAGATCGCATGAGACCGTCAGAGCGTGCGCTTGAAGAGCTAGTTTCACCGAATGGTAGCGCAAGCAAATGAATGATTTCTTGTGTATTGTGAGAGCGCTATATTTGTCTGTTACACTCCGATCGCAGACAATGTTGAGCGCGAGAGAAAGACAGATGTAAACGCAGAGGCCTGAGGGTCGGAACGCAATTTAGCCAAGAGTCGGTGCCGATGTTGCCAAGCAAGTGTCGTGACGGACAGTAAATAATGTAAACGAGAGTTAGGTGCGAAGTAGGCCGGGCGCTAGGGATTCATTAGATGTGCTGGCTGTGAGGCCGATCGACGTCGGATCAAAAGGGACAATCGGGATGTTCGAGAAGATGCGATAAGCGCATGTGTCCGCACCGGTGCTGGGAGGCCGACATGTGGTCTTGGCGTCACCAGCTTCCGTCATCTCCACCCCTCGAGCTCCTCCCTCCTCCATCCACACGGCCTAGTCAACTCCCACACACTCACCTCTCCTTCTTCTCTGGCCCCCGAGGGCATAGTACAGTCGATATGTCGCTAGATCCGCCGTCCTACCTTGGTTCTCTTCAAAACAATATTCGTGCGCGACCAATCCCGTGGGAAGGTGCTGTCCGCGCTGGCAACATCACCGAGGATCATCTCAAGAAGATCAAGGCCGTGGACAAGGTACGGAAGGAGCAGCGCATCCAGACGATAAAAGCGGATCTACCTGGCTATACGGCCCTGCTAGCGGGTGGATCTGAATCCAAAAGCGTCCTAGAATCGGCGTCGCGGAGAACCGACATTGTGCAGTACATTCTTGTGCTTGCCTCAGATCTTATTCAAGGTGCGCATGAATTGTAATGTCAGCCTCCCAGTCTTTCCAAAAAGCTTACCAAACCCTTTTGTCCAGATGTCTCTGAGCTCGCCGACTCGCTTGTGTCTCACCCCGAGCCTTATAAGCCCTTCTTACCTTTCCTGCACAGTTCCAACAACGCCGAAGATCCGATCCCCCTCCTGACCTCCACATTTCTCACTGCTCTTGTTTCACACAGCCTTGTGACCTCGTCGAAACCTGCTGCTCGAGATGAAGAGGCTCTTCCAAAACTATACCTTTATCTCTCCACCTTGACCAAGAATTCCGACAGCGGGCTACAGGACATTGGTGTCCAAGGATTCTCGGAGCTTTTACGGAAGAAACATGCGCGGGAAATCTTCTGGAAACACCGAACGGAGACGTTGGACCCGTTGATCGAGACACTTCGGACCGCAGCAGGCACCAAGGAGAACGGCGGCAGTGCAGGAGGAATCGGCACGCGGAGCGTTGAGCCTGGTCTTGCGGGCGGCGTGGGCCTGCAGCTGCTATACCGTATTCTTCTGGTGGTCTGGCAGCTCACTTTCGAAAGCGAACTCGTCGGCGAGGATCTTCAAGAGTACGTCGGAACACAAATGGTCAGGTAACATGGATCAAACACATTTACTCACCTTCTTACTCATTAGGAATTATGAGATTATTCAACTATACACGCAGCTCCTCCGTCTGTCACCGAAAGAAAAGACCACGCGCCTTCTACTTGCCACTCTATTCAATCTCTGCAGCAGCAATCGCTCAACTCTTTTACCCGTTGCAGTCTTTGTTCGACTTCCGGCTCTGTTGAGCAATCTCGCTGGTCGTCATCTTATGGATCCTGACTTGCTTGAGGATCTCAATGGGCTCTCTACCATGCTTGATGAGTACACTAAGACGCAGACAACCTTCGACCAGTATGCCGCGGAAGTTCAATCGGGCCACCTGCGCTGGTCTCCTCCCCACAAGAACCCTACTTTCTGGAAAGAGAACGCGCGTCGCATCCTCGATGAGGGCAATGGTGCTTTGCCCAAGAAGCTGGCCGAAATTCTCTCCAAGGACTGGGAGCATGATAAGCAAGTTCTGGCGATTGCCTGCAATGATGTTGGCCATTTAGTGAAAGAGCTTCCCGAGCGACGCGCGCAGCTTGAACGGGCCGGTTTGAAGACTCGAGTGATGGAGCTCATGGCCGACAAAGATGAGGCAGTTCGGTGGGAAAGTCTGCGTGCCGTAGGTGAATGGCTCCGCTACACCTTCGATGGGTAAATATGGGGGACACTTGCTCGACCACATCGGAGTAATTCCTGCCATTGGCATTACGCCCCATTGATTTCCTTTATATCTCTAGAGCAACGACGCTGTTGCCGACCAACCAGGTGTATTCTTCCTCTGTTCATAGCGCATGTTGGGCTCTTTTTGCCTGCCCACTGTCATGTCCTCTTCCGTAGCTCTTGTGTGCCTTCTACCTCAATGTGAATATGAATATATCAACAGACTTATTGGCTTAATCTCTACGCGTCATTACAGACAAGGCGCGACGGTAAGTTTTGTGTGGTAGACTTGCAATTATCTCACGTCCGCGATGCTCTTCGAGACAATTCCGAAATCTCTACACTCTTGTGATGATACTCGGACCGTGCCGATGACCCGTTCAAAGTGCTTTCCTCCTTGTCGCTCCATTTCAAGGCGATACTGATCAACAGCATCAGCCTATAAACTCCCGACCTGTCAGCCTGAATCGGCGCCGAGAGAAGGCGGGACCAACCTTACCCGTTATCTCGAACGTATCTCCCACACGAGATCCGGCCGACCGGAGATAGTCTGTCTTCCCCGCAGATTTCCAGCTTCCTCTTCTTCGAAACTCTCCAGTCTAAACAGTCCTGCTAGAATCCATGTCGAGGTCTTTTACCGGTTGTGCAAGATGTAAATCGCGACGTCAGAAATGTGACGAGCAGAGACCAACATGCGGACGTTGTCAACTTGCAGGGGTGGAGTGCAAGTATGCCATGATGCTTCAGTGGGGTGGACGTGCGTTTTCTAGATCGCGGTTCGGAGCGTGCGTCGATACTGGAAATATGCAGAGACTGGGTATGGCGCAACGGCAGACTCTTTCTTGCAGTGGACATGAAGGGCAAACTTGTATTGACTCTCTTCAATAGAGTACTCTCCCGGCGAATTCATTTACACCATCAAATCCGCACAAGCGCAAGCACAAGCCCAGACTGCCCCGGATTCGAGATTGACCAACCCCGTCGATCCATTCTCCTCTCTTGCGCCGGATCAGAAAGCTCTCTTGCACCATTTCATCAACGATGCGTCGCAGATCACCGCCAGTCATTCAGGGATGCAGCAGGATATTTGCCGAATGATTGTACCCATGGCCCTTCAGTGTCCATCTCTACTGCATGCCACGACCGCCCTATCTGCCATTCACATTCAAGCTCTTCATAATCAATCCGAGAGTGTAAAATCTGCCCCAGATATTGCAAGGCTGATGGCTCTTAGCCTTGAACACTTCCGCAAAGAACTACAACATCCCTCATCCCAGAATTCAGAGGCTCTCGTAGCGACAGCCCGAACCCTCTGTCTGGCAGAGATTCACTCCGGTGCCGTCCATCCTCAGTCATGGCGAGCTCACATCGAGGGCGCAAGGGCATTGATGAAGACGCTCGACATGACTGGCGAGGTTCCTGTCCACACACAGACCGGTTTCCGTCGGTATCTCGACCGATGGTACTGGTCTATTGTGTCGCTTACGGCATTGACGGGGAATGGCCCGCCTGTGGGAGACGTCCAATCGAATGATCTTTTCTCAGGCGAGACGAGAGAGGAATCTCGTCCGGATTATTTGGATGATTATTGGGGCTTTACAGTTAATTTGGCAGCCATTTTTCGACAGATCGGAGCTGCCGCTTGGAAACTTGAACAGGCCCAGAAAGAGTCCTGGCAGAGCCACGGCTTTATCACTGAAATCACCAGCCATGCTGAGAATGAGGCTGCGGCGCTAGAAGCATCAATATCAGAGCTCATGCGTCGGGGAGCAACGTCTGAGCCATCGTTTTATCCCGGACGGGCAGAACGACTCTCAGCAGAGAGTGTGCAACACCTCGCACTTTGTAACGAGGCATTCCAGCATAGCGCTTTGATTCAAATACACAGACGTCTACGAAAGACCCCAACCACGTCAGCTCTTGTCCAACAGAGCGTACGGCGAATCCTGGAGTGCACGGCACAGATCGGACCGTCGGCCGGTTTGAGCCCTTGGGTTATGCTGACCACGCCGCTCTTCATCGCAGGTTGCGAGGCTCGCAACGAGGATCGTGATACTGTTCGACATTTACTTTCATTGCTCCATGACACCATTAGAGTGCCTAATGTCCTCCAGTCCTTGAGATTTCTCGAGCAGTACTGGACCCATCAGGCCAGCGAGGACGAGAATTGGAATCATTTCCTAGGTATGTGTGCACTGGACCACCCAGGGTTGCTTCTGTCTCACCAATTATCTAGATCGTATGCACATTGACTTTATCCCCTACTGAACCAAGCTTCTTGGATGTTATCTTTTTTTTCTCTTCCTGATAACCGATTCGGCATTCTACAACTTCAGCCTTCGTCTTTGGGAACTATTTGTTTGTCTTGATACCCTCTGTCTAACAGAAGTACAATTTTGGCCTTGCGGCTTGCGCCTAGAGTTCATGAAGCCTCACTTATTCCATTGTTGATCTCCAAAGTTTGATCTTTCATGTTATTGTACATCAGGAAAATAACAGACAAACTCATTCATAAGGGACAAGGTAATTAGCATGTCGAGTCATTGGACTCCGCGCTAGATGCTGGCCTAGCCAGCGGCAGGTCATGAGACTGAACGACAAGAGCACGCCCAATTTTCCGATCCCAGTTCGCCAACAAAACATTCAAGAGTTCGTTCGCCACACCCAATAATAAGAAGATTGCGATCACCTGGCCAAAAGTCCATCCTCTCTCCTGCGGGTCGAGGTTGTTTCGCTGAATCGTCTGTTCCAGGGAAACGATCAGATAGATGCAAAGCCCACAGTATGCTGCTTTGTTCAAGGTGAAGTTAAGCAAAGCTTGACCAGACATCCTCTGCCCCGAGCCTGCATCACGGTCTCGACTCGGCCTCGGACCCCGAGTCTCACTCCTGGCAGATGGGCCTGGAATAAACCATTTACCACATCCCCGCGTACCCTGAGCTTGAAACGAGATGCTACTGTTCGGATGCCGCCGTTTGTACACCCATGCGCCACAAACGCAAGGCAGCATGCAGGTGAAGGTCAATATGAACCCGCCGGCAAGCGCACCCAGAGTCCCGAGTATGATGTATCGGAAGATTGGCGAGACAGCACGTATGCTCACGCCGAAAACGACGTAGACTGTGTCTGGGTTGCATGAGGGTTGGCTGCCGAAAGTGGGTGCCGTCACCCAGAGATACACGTTGAAGGCGATGAAGGCGGCCAACGAGACAACCTGAACACACACGAAGACCCATAGCCGCCAGGGGCCAAACCCGGAATATCGTCCCTTGCTAGCCAGATCGAGACCGAGTAGCGCAAGGAGATGCACCACACAGATGGCATGGAAAAGCGTCAATTCCTTGCGAAATGTCTGGTAGATGGCCGTGCACAGCAATGCCATGCCTTGCATTCCCAGCGCAGACGAGACACCTCTGGAGAATTCTTCCTCATCTTCACCTGGAGAGAAGACACGAAGGGCATAGCTTACGATCGTTCCGCCTAGGCAGAGCGCATAGATGGATGCCCGAATCTATTGCAATCTCAGTATCTGCTCGAATGAAGTGGGTCATTGAGAAAGGACAGCGGAACAGGATATGAAGACTTACTCCCGTTCCTGATACATCAGGATTGGGCTCAATCACACAACTTGTTGAATTTGACATAGCGGAGAGGACGGCATCCTTGACGTGCTCCGTCTTCTCTGGCATGCGATCGAGGTCTCAACAACGGACTGTCAGGCGGCCGGAGGATCCCGTTATTTGAGCAGTCATGCCCTCTCAGCCCGCAGTTCCACCTCGTGTTGCGGCATACATCCAGTTCTTGTCAGCCGCTGCGAGACGCAAAACGACAAACTAGGCTTTTGGGCCGGGGAGTGTGCTGGTGCAACTATGCATTAGCCTGCAGGCGCCAAGCCTTGACACTTCGCCAAGTGTGCCCTCAGCCCCGAGACAGGGACAATCAATGCTGTTAACCGAAACTGTTCGAAGGGTACTACCAATGGCGGTTCACCATTGTCTTTAGTCACATCGTCCTCTCCGCCTTCTTTGTGACGCAAGTCGTGCGAGTCGAGTCTCAGGGCTGAATTGCTGACAGCAGAAACGAAGTACCAGATGCATCGCGGATTGATGAGGGCCTCGGTAAGGACTGCCCGCTATTGGCCACTTCACGAGTATAGTTCTTGGCTTCATGCAGCTTTGTTTTCCGCCTTCCCTTTTTCCCATCGGCGTCCACGCAGACTGGCGAGTTTCACGAGGCTACTCACATCGCGGCTCTTCATAGCCATGCAAGCCTGCAGCCGCTTCTTCTCAAAGGACGTCGAACGCACCGGCCAGGTCCAGACAGGGCGTGAAGTCCACTAAGCCGGAAACCTCGTGTCCTGTTGTTCGGCATGCGTCCAGCAGATCACCGGGCGCGAGGCTGAATGATAGCTGAGTCGGAGACGCTTATAAATTCAATCAATAAGAAGACCTCAAGCAAGGCCCTCTGTGAAAAGTAACTCGAAGCTCTCCCGTTTCCTCAACACCCGGCACTTCTTAGAAAAATGGTGACCGACTACCCCAGCCCTGCCATCAGCAGTAAGAAAACCCCAGTAACCGGTCAGCAAACCTAAAAAATCTTACTAGTCACCTCTTTGCTAATGAAAATATCTCCCCTCAAAAGTATGGGTGTTCTTCGCCCTGGCAGCTCTCGACATCGCCGTAAACGCAGCTGCAGGACCAGCAGCAGTAGCGACGGCCGTCCACGTCAGCGGCGATAAACTGACAGCGCGATCTTTGCAACTCGGCGCCCTCGCAGGAGTCACAAAGGCCGGGGTTCTGGCTTTTGTGGAATTCGTCTCTTACACGGGTATACCTGCCCCGGCGTGGTTGGTTCTCATATTGTTTGCCAGTAGTTTTGGCATTTGCGTCTTGGTGACGGCGGAGATTAGTAATTTGGTTCTTGGAGAGAGTGAGTGGAAACTGATAACGAGGGAAGAAGGGCATATACATACATGCAGAGCGATCTGTTAACTCCCTTCTGCAGCACCCAGCGCCCTGCTAATAGCCGCTATCGTGGCTGCAATCCCATTAGGAGGGGAATGTATCGGGATATACCAATGTCAGTTTCAACGTCTGGGTTCGAACAAAACAAGTCAAGTCATTACGGACAGTCCATCGCCGCAGCACCCGGATTACTACTGACCAAAGTCTTCACGTTCTAGCGGCCGGTGGTCTATCCGGCGGCAATGGAGGCGTTCAGATATTCGTCATGGGCCTCGACGCCCTCGGAGGATACGTCTTTGCTCGAATGGCGCATAACGAGGGTAAGCTGAAGTTGTTCCCGGTTCCAGGAGGATTTCGAGGGTTGCCTCCACCTGCGTTAAATTCGGGATCGAATACCAACCCATGAAATCGCTAACGGATGGCCCGTTCATGGCTAATTTGGCTTCCCTCATATACTGGCTTAGGGTACGATATCTGCGCGTACAATGTCGCGGCTGCGGCTGGGGCTGTCTACGGTGCAATCACGGGAATCTTTCATACGGGGATTGGATGTATGGCGGGGGCTCAGTCTACGATCAGCGTTAACGGGCATTACGAGACGACGAATATATTCGGTACGAGGAAGGGGTATGATGAGAATTGGCGGACAAATGCGGGGTTAATCTGAATGACGATCTGGGAGATCAGGTTTGACGCAGGTGGTTGTCATGACTTGATTGTGAAAGCCGCCGTGGAGACTCAGTAGGTGCATATTGAACATGGAGTATCTCTCCCATTGCAGAGGCATGGAACTTGTTAAGTTGCGAGAAGATTGTTCCGCGCCATTGTGTTGAAGTAATTGTAGACGCAAAGGAGCGTTACACCACGACCCGAAAAAAAAGAAAGCTATATACACAAGCGAAGAAGAAAGAGAAATGGAAATGTCATCAAGTCGTAATCGACTCACGCTGAGCTCGCAAGTAATTGAAAATATGTGGATAAAGTATGCCCCCTTTTTCAAAGTCATCTTCCTCGGACTAAGACTCGAAAAGCATCAAGACGGGCGGTGGAACTTGCTCTCAATCCAAGGCATACCAACGACAGTAGCCTTGCGGACCTTGTTGCGGACCTTGACCCCCAGCTCGGTGCCTTTCTTGTGGAAGCCATTCTTCACATACGCCATCGCAATGTTGGTTCCACCTAGCGTGGGACTGGGCAGGCCAGAGGTAACGACACCGATCTCCACCGGGTTGGCGGGGTTTGCCAGATCGACGACAAGGGCACCCTCACGGGCGGGGGAACCCTTCTCCACGGTGAGACCAACACGGCGCTGCTTGAGGGTCTTGGGACTAGCAAGCTGGGAGAGAATCACAGAGGCACCGTTGAAGGTTGCGGTAGCCGGGTCCCGGCGATCACGACCGACGACCCAGCCAAGGGCGGCATCTGGGGGAGTCTGGGCAGTGGTGATATCGTGGCCGTAGAGACACATGCCAGCTTCGAGGCGGAGGGAGTCACGGGCAGCGAGACCGGCAAGGCGGACGGTGTTGTTGTCTTTCAGAAGAAGGTTGACGACTTGGTGGGGCAGGTCGGTCGCACCGGTCGAGGGGATGGAGATTTCAAATCCATCTTCTCCGGTGTAGCCAGTACGTGAGATGAGAAGGGGAAGAGGGGACACTGAGCCATCGGCCAGGGTGATGAATAGCTCACGGCATTGACCGAAGTAAAGAGTGCTAAGGTCGGTGTCCTCGGTTGAGACAGACGTGTTGATCAGAGGCTGAAGAGCACTGGCGGCGAGAGGACCCTGCAGTGCGACCAGCGCACGGTCTTCAAGAATATCCCACTTGATGCTGTCCGCACCGTGTTGCAAGCGGTAAGCCTCAATCTCGCCTTGGAGAAACTCGAGATCCTCTGCGCGTCGGCCAGCATTGGTGACAAAATAGAAAGAGTCCTTGCCGCGCCGAGTGATCACGGTATCGTCGATTATCCCGCCAGTTTCCTTCTCCAATAGACACGACAGAGTAGATGTGTTCGGACTGAGCTTATCCAGCGACGATGGAGTCACCTTCATCAGAAGCGGTAGGGCACCGGGGCCGCTAAGGGTATGCTGGACCCTACGCAGAGAGCAATTGATCAGTTCGTGTGCTTTTGGAGAACGTCACTTTACAAGGCGTCTTGCAGATCGCCGGACCGTTTCAAGACTTACATGTGGCTGACATCAAACAAACTGGCCTTCTCACGAGTCCACTTGTGGCTCTCAACATGGCTCAAGTCGGCATACTGAAGCGGCATGGAGAATCCCGCAAAAGGCACCATTTTGGCGCCATGAGCCTCGTGCAGGTCATAGAGTTGTGTCTTTGCCAGCGGCGCACTGGTGCTGGAAGCAAAACGAACATTTTGTGAAACCAATTGAGGCACGACGGCTTGCGTCGTGATTCTCGACGTAGGCTTGCGGGGGCATGCCCGCACCGCGGAGGAGAGCTCCCTCCGCAGCACTGTGGAGCCAATTGAGGCGCGGGGAGTAGAGACGGCAACAGCCCTGAGGGCGGCGCGGTCAATACCTCTCGCGAATGAACGAATGCTGGACATGGTGAGATTATGGCTATGCTTGAGGAATTGAGAGGAGGAATGAAATTCCCAAGAGTCATTGATCTCAGGAAATAAGAATGCATGATCGAACAGCGTACTTCTCCGCCGCTCGGGGAAGACCGGCGGAAAAGTCACGTGGCGATAGGAGGATGAGCGGCCATGTTGTAAGGCGACCGACGAGGGAAAGTTCATCACAAGTCCGAGTGAGTGGGATACAATTCCTCGGAGAAGATACGGCCTACGAATATGGTCATGGCTTGGTCTATTCGAGTCCGAGGACCCAAAAAGGACTATGGACGGAATATGGATATACCGTGTCACAGCGAAGGATCGTCACCTGCCGAGTTTTCTGCAATGCTGCTTAGGTGGCAGAGCTGCTGGCAACGAGGCTGGGCTGAATGTGTAGGATGTAGTCTAACTGGGTGTGCAAATCATGTGCAAGAAAAGGTCGAGGGCCGCATATCAAAAATAACCCACGGACGTCTCTCAAGATGACTTTAGGACTGTTTGGTCCAAATCGCCATGGTTGATCCTGCCCGAGCTGAGTGAAGACAGGCAAATGAGCGTCGCTGTTCTGAATTAAACGCCATCAATCCAGTCGCCTCGGCTTGCGAGACTTGTGACTCATCAATGAGTGGTATGGTATCATCCAACCTCTTCGGGGAAATCATGACGAAGAAGAAAATATGAGAAAAAAATCCCCCGAATCCTTTCGTTAAGGACATATCCATTACAGCGCATTGCTCTTGCATGTGAACACGCCGCCCACAGTGCCATCACGGTAACTTTGGACAACAGACATGACAGAGGCCTAATTACCACTGTTAGTGAACGTCACATTAAGATAATTGAACGTTTGAAACTAGTGTCACTCACATAAGTTCCGGGTCCGAGGAAGAAGAATCCCACGACGATCAAAAAGACATTGAAGATGAAGCCAATCCAGCCTCGAATACCGCGAGTTTTGTAAAAGTCGGGGCCATGGTCGGCGGCCCGCATTCGAATATAAGCGACGCCCCAGAAAATGAATCCGAAGAACGAATCGAACAAGGAACTCATGATCGAGAGCAAATCCGAGAAGAAGGGAATCACCTCGGCGATGATCCAGGCTGCGATCCAGAGGGTGGCCAGAATGGCCGCCCATGCGGCCCATCCGACGACGGTGTTGTTTCCCTTGTGGCGGGTGCCATCAAACAGGCGGAAGAAGATAAAACGCGCGGACACCGAAGCGTAGAGGACACCCAGGAAGATGATGGTCGGAATCATGAAAGAGAAAGCGACCTTCTTATAGACCTCGTTCGACAAGGAACCAAAGGCGGGAGCAGTCGTGTACTGACCGGAGTACACATAGATGACGGCGCCCACGATGCTGAACACAATGACCTCGGCGATGGTAACGGCAGTTACGGACTTCCAGAAGTCTCGAGGCTCTTTCATCTCCGCGATGAAGCTGGGAAGGGTGATCTGTCCGATGAATGTGTAACTGATATTCAGGAACGCGCTCATGCCCTGGATGAAAGAGGTGCCCTTGGCGGGGATCACCAGCCATTCCAGCCCGGTGCTGGCTTTGTATTTGGCTGGATGTCCCTCGATGCCGGCAAAGATGGTCGCCAGAAGCACGGAGACAAAAGTGAAAAATGCGGAAAAGGTAGCCACCCGAGACAACGCACTGAACGTACGAGGCAACGAGAAGAAGAAAGACACAATTGCCACGATGAGGGAGAAGACCACAGTGCAAACGGCACCGCCAGACATGGTGTTCAAGTATTCGGCACCGACCACGCAGTGCAGACCTTGAATGAAAGTGTTGTTCAGGAGGAACATGACGGCCGTGGCCCACCACGCGATCTTGGAGTCCCAAAAGAGATATTGACCCAAGTCACACACGTCGCGAATTTCAGGGTGTCTGAGACAGAACCGCCTGTAGTTACTCATTAGCGTCCACGCGTCACATTGCACTCGAGGAGAAGTCCTCCGATGCGACTCACCAGACAGTCAACGAGGTATATAGCACAATTGCTGCAATCACCACCGTCGCGATTAATCCAGGTACAAGACCCAAAATTGAGTATGACCAAGGGAACGACATGATGGCCAAACAAATATACTCGGAGAATAGCAGAGCCGCAGTCTATCGAGTGGGAATCCACGGATTGTCAGCATTCATCGCAGAAGCATGGAAAGGTGCCTCTTGTCTCGAGGGTGATCCCTTTCACGTTTCTCTCGTGGAGTCTGCTTTGCGACACGCATCAATAAAGCATACCTTTTGCCAACTGCAAGTTCGATATTTGATCTGGTTCTCAGACTCAAGCTCAATCTGACGACCGACACTTTCGCTTGTGGACGAGGTATCGTCCAGTGTCGTGACATGGTGATGGGACTGTCGAGGGCCTTGGCCCTCCAAATCCAGACTCTTCAGTTTCTTCTGGTTCAGCTCGTCACTCAGTTCTGGAGAGCGATCGTCACTTCCATAGTGGTGACCCATTCCTGCGGTATCTTCAGACCAAGCCATTGTGGACTTAATGAGCGGAGGAGCCACTGTTGACGGTGTTCAGAGGAGTTGAGGGGGGATGTGGTTGCGTAAACCTTCGAATACATGTAACTGTGTAGTTGCCGGATTGAGAAGTGGATTGCACCGATTGGAAAAATCCGCCAAATCAAGAATGAGGGATGGCGATTCTTGTTGAGGATCGAAGCGTGTGCTGTAGCTGGTCAATTCCCTGAAGAAATGACTGGTTGTTTTCTGCGACGAGAAGCTGCCAGTGGCCGTGAACGTTGCGTGCTGTCTTCGGCGAAGCGAGCAGGTGAACCACGAATTGGTGTCGACGGTGAGTGACCAAGTGGCAGCAGTCACGGTCCGATCAGTGGATGTAAGAGTGCCAAAGATGAAAAGGAGTTTGCGACCAGGATTTAAGAAATAGTCGAAAGGCTCACAAAGCACTAGGCCTCTGTCGTCAGACCAGGTATCTCAAGAGGCAATATGGGACAGAGATTTACTTTGAAAATGGATTTAAAAGAAAAGACTGCCAAGTACCCAAAGAGAAAAAGCAGTAAATCCGATAAAAAAAAACCTCCAGCGCGATAAAAAGGCCATTTTAGCCTTGTATAATCAACCCCGTTGAACGCGGGCCCGAGCTCTGGATGAGTGGATGAGTGGACGAGTGTTGTATGTTGGTATTGGGTATCCCGCTATACCCTCTGTGAGGCTGCTGCTGGCCATCATAGGCTCCTGCGGCGGTAAAGTGGTATCATCAGAATGGGGCACACGCCCATGGATAGAGGAGGAGACGCTCCACGGCTGGGCTGGCCAAATGGACGGAACCTTCGAAACTGCCAGTGCTCGCCAAGCCGATCAAATCAACGGGCTCGTACGTTCTCAACGCAAGTCTTTCAGTCCACTCCACATTGTGACATTCTGGAATGGATGGTGTCTGTGAGCAGGATGAGCCAGAAGAAGAAAAAGATCCTGGTCAAAGTTGGCGCGTGGCATGACGTTATGGACAGTCGGATGGTCGGATGGCTGCCGCATTAGGCAGACCTCGAACAGCCCCCGCTCGTCACGGGAACAAGATGTACTTGTACTAGGGAGTAGTAGGTAATGGTAGTAGGTAGTAGGTAGTGGTACTAGGTGCTAACTACTTAAGTTAGGACTTACTAACCACTTACTCTTAGCAGTTAGTTGACACTACTTACTCTTAGTGCTTAACTTGCCTAGTTGTACTGTAGTCTGTAGCACTACCATGTATGGTTGAATTGAGTGTGTAGTGTAGGACTGTAGGTTGTAGAGGTACACTATCGGCATTGACCGAACCAGTTCATCCGGCAGTGGTGACGATACACTTGACTGGGGTAGTAGGATGCTAGGATCCACAGCCTTAGTGTCTATGCGCTTCGAGGCTGACAATCATGTCAACATGACCTTCAAAAGCATGACTATACAATACAATATACATACATGAAAGGTGTTTCGTAGGAGTAGTGCGCATTTACCTATACTCTTCCTGAGTAGTAGATGGCTTCAGTAGTACAATGACGAGGCCCAGCCGCCGCCCAGAGTGCGAAGCTCACCGCCACCAAAGTCAATGGCTTGGATGGTGGTTGTACCGAGACTATCAACTGCCGGTTTAATTTAGCGGAGAGTCAGTAGACTCAGTAGTGGTACTAATCACTGTATTATCATAATGATATGTACAATTGTACACGTTGTCAATCTCTCCAAAACTTGGTAAGTTTGGCGGAAATGTTCACCGCAGCATCCAGGCATTTGAAGACGTACAGTACGGTCAAAAGAAGAGCAGTGTCGCGGCTCGTGATAATTATCATCGCAGCCTCATATCCTTGCTTAGCTTGAGAAGCAACAGTCGCTTGTATGTCCATGCAGCCGTTCACAGACCACCCCATCGTGGTCATAGTAATATGAAATGTGGTCGAGCGACTCGAGCCCGACAACCGCGGTGCGAAAGGCTGTGCCTTCTGGCGACACATGCCGATCAGGGCAGGGTAAATTCCATGTCCATGGGGCTCGGGATCGCCACGTTACATGGCGTCCGCCATTAGTGTCCCGTCATCAAGCCACGACCTGCCTGAAAGGGCATCGCTTCAACACACCAACATGTATGTACTTAGTGTGGATGTGCGGAGAGATCTTGTTTTAACAAGCACTGGAGTAGTGCACTACTGCACTGACTTTGACTCTCCACGTCGGTCTGGAGAGCGACCGGCTAGGGTCTGTCCAAAATAGGTTGTCAGATCTTTTTGCCCTGTGGATCATAACTGATCAGAACATGGGATACCTTAAACAAGTTCCCAGGTACAGTACCCATCGCTCATGGTCCCAAGACTCACAGTTCAACGCGGCCATGGCTCAAAGAAGCAAGCCGCCTCCAGAATGGACATTGACTGACTTTACCGACTCAGTCCACCTTGGGTCCACCCCCAGCTGGGTTCCCAGTCTCCACGCGGCCTGAACATCAGCCTCTCAAGACCAGATGATGCACGTAGCTCCATGGATGGCCAGCGGCGAGGGATCGGATGCCTGGTACGATGGGGCGAATTCCGAATGCGGTGCTGAGCGTCCCTTTTGGCGTCGGTCGGGCGCCGCTCGCAATGGAGTCGGTGGGTCATTAATCCACTCAGCACGGATGGATCTGAGGTGGAGGAGAGGTGGGGGGTATACAGAGAGAGGCCCGTTGCCGCTACGGTTGCTGGATTGGTGGGACGGCTGAACCAGACATGGGTTTCATGCTGACAACAAGCTAACCGTGCATGCTGTACCCAGTCAAGAGCACGGCGGTGGATAGGGAGAAATGAAATTCTCAATCTCTGCGGTGATAGCGGAGACAAGAATTTTCAAGTGTGTGTGAGGGAAGGCAAAGATGAAAGATAGAGCAGAGGGAAAAATTCGAGGAAAGAAAAAACGAGGGAACAATCGACAGACACAATAGAAGAGTCGGAGGCAGTGCCTCGGCCAAGTCAGGTGGGGAGCGCCGATCTGAAAAGACTCAAAAGAGTAGCCTATCTGGGACAAGCATACCTGGCGTGAGGTGATCCGCCATGGTCACATGATGACGGCACGTTTGAGAACCACCATGAGGTTCTAATAACCCGAGGCTTTAAGTCCTCATGTTGTTGTTATTTGGGCAAGGGACCAGCCACTTCTCAGTGATGTACTTTTGCGGTCGATTCAGGTACATAATAGGGTTGTGTGCTGATCACCTCTCCATGACCCACTCCTTACTGTCAGGTATCACATATCTTCGTAAACGTAGCATCTTTCATTCACAATGAGTAGGTAGGCAAAAGGCCGTGTGGCTAAGAGTCTAGAACGCCCCAAGAAGCATAACTATCACATACCGACTAGAGAAATTCAAATGCGAATAAATCCATTCCGTCGAAGGTGATGTTAGGCGGACAGAGGGACTCGTCCGGAAATGCTTTTTTTTGCGAAAGAAGGTAGAATCTCATATAATGGTATAAGAAGGAAAAGAGAAACTATGTCTAGATATCCGTTCAGACAAAAAATCCAATGCCTTTTTACATGCCCTCGTCCTCGTCGGCCAGCAGGGCCGCATAGTCCTCCATCGAGGCAAAGGTGGGCAGGTGCTTGAGCTTGCGGCGCTTCTTCTTGTTGTCCGCTGCCTCCGTTTCGGGCTCCAGGGCGACACCACCAAGTTCCACATCAGAAGGCAGATCATCGTCGCTGTTGAAGAAGGCCTCGTCGTCCGAGACATCCATGTCAAAGTCATCCTCGTCCTCATCCTTCTCCACCTTCTTGGCAACCTTCTTAGCGGCCTTCTTCGACGACGGCGCAGGCTCGACCTCTTCCTCCAGACCAAAGTCGCTGGCCTCGGCCATGTCATCGTCGGATGGCACGTCTGATTCATCATTGAAGATGACTTCATCGCTACCGGCGGCCTCGCCCTCCTCCTCCTCGTCATCATCAAACGCGGAATCCAGATCATCCATGTCCAGATCGTCATCATCATCGTCATCCGCTTCCAGTTCGGGCCGAGAGTCGACAAGTGCCTTCCAGATCTCGGACTCGTTGTCGCTGGCATCCGTGTCATCCGCGTCACGCTCGCCGCTTGCTTCGGCGCCCTTGGCCTTCTTGACCTTGGCCTTGTCCTTGTTGACACGGTTGAAGTACTCGTGGAAGAAGACATCCTCAGCGGCGACCTCATCGGCCTTCTTCTTCCAGAAGTTCTCCGAATTGAGGGGCTGCCCTTGAAGCGCAGACTTGCCAGCTTCCACCAAACGATCCTTCGCTTCCCCACCAGCGAGGGGCTGCATGATCGAGGCGCCACGTGACGAAGCACTGGCCTTGGGAGTGCGGTAGACAAATCGGTCGAGGAAGTGTGTGAGAGTATGAATGGTCATGTCTGGCTTGCCGCTCATCACCTCGTGGTCCAGAAGATTGGAGGCATTGACCGAGACTGATGGGTGGAAGTGGGAAAGGTAGGGGAGCTGCCACAATGTTAATAATGTTCGGCTCCTGGAGCTCGAAAGAAGGGAAGAGTCGAAGACATACCAATTCCCAGAGACAGGTTTTATCCGCATTGCTGTGCTCAGGATCACGCTTGCGAGGGTCGTATCCGTTTGTCTGTTTGGGCTTGCTGACAACAGGTGCAGGTGCAGGCTCATCGTCCTCATCAGGCACGTCACGGAAGACTTCCTCGCCATCGCTCTCATTATCCTCCGGCTGATCGAATAATGACTGGAGGCCAGTGAATGTCTTCTCCAATTCGCGAATCAAGTAAAAGACACCACAGATGAAGGCAGGCTGATGCATGCCCAGCACTTGAACCAAACGTTTGACGAAGGCTTTGACCCGTCGCACGTTCAAGTCATTCTTGAGGGCTTTGAAAAGTAGGTTCAGATAAAGCGACTGCTTCGAAGAAGTGGCCACACGAGGGTCCAAGAGAGACTCATACAAAGTCCTGTAAAACCGATCACTGGCGACTTGGGTTGTACCAGTGAGTTGTTGAATCAAAAGCAGTGCCTGAATACTGGTGTTGAAGTTGGACGAATGTGTGATTCGGAAGAGAGTGTCAATGTGCTTCGAAAGCCTGTCAATGTTGTTAGTTAGTCTCCAGTGGCGGAGGGAAGAAACAGACAGACAGCTTTTACTTACCGGTCGGAGTCGGCATCCGAGAAAGGGTACGCGCGGTTGACACCGGTCAAGACACCAGAAGTCAGCTTCTCACGCATCTCGTCGTCTTGTGCCTCGCCCTTCATAGCATGCTTGTTACCCTTGCCCTTACCCTTACCCTTGGGTCCCTTTTTGCCGTGGGCCTTGCCCTGCGGTGTCGATTTGTCAGATTGGTTGGGCTTCAAAAGTATGACGAACATTCCGAAGTAGATATCCAAGAGTTGCATGGCCACCTGTTGTTCCTTCAAACTGAGAACTGTCTGGTTGAGAGTAATGATAGCGTAGTATTTGGCGTTCTGACTTTGGCCGGGACGGAAGAGCAATTCTTCAACAGCCTTGATAATGAGTGGTTTCATCATAGGGTGTGTTTGTTCAAGCTGCAAAAGAAGGTAAGAGGCCCGGGAAGCAATCTTCTTGCCCGGGTCACCGAGTTTATTGACGAGTAGACGCAGCAGGTTTGCCTCCTGTTCAGGCTTCTCCTTAAGCAGCTCGTAAACGTAACTGACGGCGCGCGATCGCGAGAATTCGATCTCATCATTACACCAGACCTCCAAAATCTTGAGAATCGCGAAATACTGCTCTTTCAAGAAATCTTCAAAGGCCCAGATGATGAGATGACTTTTCTGGAGACCACCCGGGAGCGGATCACGTTCTGTCCATCGTCCGCCAGCGCCCTGGAACGCAGCAACGAGACCAGGTTGGTTGGCGAAAGATTTCAACCGACGATCAGACGGCAAGATCGTGCCCTGTGCGAACATATCCTTGAGAGAACGAAGAACCTCGACAGCTTGGGCACGGCTTCGCTTGCCTCCGAGTCCTATAAGGGTCTCCAGGGATTTGGTGTTGTGAAGAGGCGACTCTTGCACAGCCAGGGTGAGGGCAGAGATCTTATCACTCAGTGTACCGGAGCTCATAATGGTGGTATAGAATTTGTGCGATGAAGAGGCAGAAGCTTGCTGGGCCTTTGCGTATTCATCGTTCTCGGCTTGGAGGAGGGAATTGGCGAGCTCATGGATGCGGTCAATGAGGTGACGAGGCAAGGCGCTCACCTGCTTTGCGCTAGCAAGCGGTGGTAGAGGAGCAGTGTACCAGTCAGATCGAGGCATGATCGCCTGTAAGATTGGGGAGTTAGCCTTAAACTCGATTTCAATGGACTGGAAATTGTCGTACAAGCTTCGCGAATTCCTTGGGAATCACAATTTCCGGTTCCCTGGCCTTGGGTGCCGCCTTCAATTCCTCAATATCAGACACTTCTGATACATTGTCCTCAACATCACTTGTCTCTTCACTATCACCTTCAGAGCCTTCATCTTCGGGGTCCTGGCCTTCCTCTTCCTCTTCCTCGGCCTCAGCTTCATCCTCTTCAACCTCGTCTTCGGCTAAGTCATCGGGAACAACATGACCGGCCGCCTCGAGCATCTTGGAGAGCTCTTTACGGAGGTCCTCATCGCCGCCCTTTGATTTGGGCTTGTAAGTCTCCCCTTCAACTTCCGATTCGGACTCGATGTCTGCAAGTAATTCAAGATCCTCCTCAGTACCTCCCAACGCTAAAACTTCTTGGCGGAGAGCCTCCTGGAGGTTGCCTGGTTTTGATCCAGCAGCAGGCTGAGCCGCATTGCGATTTCCTCCTTCGTTCGCATCTCTTGCGATCACTTGCCCGGTGCGATCCCGCTTTCTGCCTTGCACGGAACCTCCGTCCTTCTTTCCGACCTTGTTCTCAGATTTTTGATCTTTGGGAGCAGAAACACTAGAAATGGCAGTGTTCTGTTTGCTGCTGTTCTTTGATTTTCCCTTTCCAGAGCTTTGATCCTTCAAGCGTTGTTCAATCTTCTGTCGTAGTCCAGCGAAAGCACCCTCGTCAATATTGGGCATTTGCATGTCGGGAACGGTGGTATTCTCGGAACTTGGGATCCCCTGGTGAGAGGTATCGTTTGCGCCAGAAGAGCGCTTCCCTTTACCTTTGACCATGTTTTGGAAAATCCGAGGCTTCGGGTGACTGTCATAGCCTCGAAAAAAGAAAAATGAGCGGAGAAATTCTTTGCGGAATCCTTATCGTGCGCTCGGACCACCAGATAAGAAACACGCCGGAGGACCACCGGAGACACGACGCTGTTCTTGAAGGCACATTAGGGCGGCCAATTCAAAGATATTCGGTGGAATATATTCTGAACCCGTGAGAAAGAGGGGCCTCATGTTTTCCAGAACATGGGCTGGGTCCCGCCGGCTCGATAGGAGACTATCTACCACTCGTACTCGCACACAGTGCAGCCAGCTTCATGTATGAATACTACCTGACCTGGCCTTCTTGACCATGCGAAAAGCAAGCAGCTGAACATCTCTAGTACGACGGCCGAAATCGTGTGTCCAATTTTTGGATACCTACTGGTGGAAATTTCAAGAAGGGAGACGAAGGTTCGAAAGGTTTGAAAATCTCTGGACGATTGTCACACATTATATCATTCTCACCTTTGAATAGATGATGCGAACGACCTGCTCGTCAAAGGAGGTTTCCTCCGTCAGGTAACATACTTCGAATCTCCCGCCATCATTTTCACTGTGGCTGATCAAGCATATAGGCGTACTCAGGTGTTTTCCATCTTCTACCACTAGGTCTCCGAGTGCAAGACAAGCTTGAAAAGCTCATTGACAAGCATATGGCAACATTAGGTAGGGAGACATCTGCCTCGCATGCTCTGTACAGGGTACTAACGCTTCAACAGGAGCCTCCAAGGTGGCGCTCTCCTCGATCTCCTCTCAAGAGCTGTGGGAGCAGTCTGGGCGGTTAAATAAGGACTCATCCGAGGTACGGAGTACTCAGCTCAGATTCGCTGATCCAGATGTTGACAGTCACCCAGGTGTTTCGATTTGAAGATCGAAAGGGCGCGCGCTTTCTTCTGGCTCCAACTCACGAAGAAGAGATCACAAGCCTCGTGGGTAATTTGACGACCTCTTACAAAAGTCTCCCTCTGAGGGTGTATCAAATAAGTCAGACTGTCAATTCTCAACTGATCAACCACCTGCTGACTTCCCGAAGCAAGAAAGTACCGCGATGAAGCGAGGCCAAGGCAGGGCCTTCTCCGCGGACGGGAGTTCGTCATGAAGGATCTCTACACCTTTGACTACAGTGTTGAGAAGGCTCTCAAAACTTACCACCTCGTCAAACATACATATACCAAACTCTTCGACGAGCTGAAAATCCCGTATCTCGTCGCTGCAGCTGATTCCGGAAACATGGGCGGCTCTCTGAGTCATGAATTCCATTTCATCAGCGCAAAGGGTGAGGATCGAATCGTCAGTTGCTCGACTTGCGAGCATGTCTATAATGAGGAACTCGCAGATGGCAAGAGCCATATCTCTTCAGAAGAAGCTCTGAATCACTCGACGCCCGGCTTTCAAACAGAAGACAACACTGTATCCGCTCAGAGTGTTTCGAGAGTTTCAACAGGATTGTGGACAGCTATCTCTCAGGATGGCAATACTCTGCTACGGTGCTGGTACCCAAAATATTCAATGGATGATGCGTCTGCTGAGCCGGCCGAGCGTCACGTCAATTCCCATGCCGTGAAAGCAATTGCGACGGCCGCTGGCATCGAAATTGACCTTAGTGTGGAAGACCCTCTGGCGAAATGGCGCTCTCATGTGAAGCTCCGCATTCCCTCTGCAAAGCCACACATTCTGGACTTGTACGACTCGCAAGTGCGGGTTTTCCAACGCCCGCCACTCAATGATCTCTTGCAGGGAACAGGATGCACTGCTGCCGATGTTGCGTCCAACATGCTCGACACCTTCCCTGGAACGGCGAAGAAACTCAATATTCTCCGAGTGCATGACGGTGACAAGTGCTCGCAATGTGGGGATGGATTATTGACCAGCAATCCTGCTGTTGAACTGGGCCACACATTTCACCTGGGCACACGCTACAGTGAAGTTCTAAATGCCTGTGTTTCAGTCAATCCCTCAGTCCTCGGCGACTCTGTGGACAAGGGGGCGAAGTCCACCAAAGAGGTGATTGTTCCCATGCAAATGGGCTGTCACGGTATCGGAGTTTCACGCATGATCTCGGCAATTGTGAATCGGTTGGCGGATGATAAAGGCCTGAATTGGCCTCGGGCTGTTGCTCCCTACGAGGTGGTTGTGGTGCCCGCCAAGGGGCTGGACTCGGTAGCCGAACAAGTCTACGATCATTTGACCTCGAGTGGCAACAAAACGTCTGTTGATACGCTTCTCGACGATCGTGACAAAGGCATGGGCTGGAAGCTGGGTGACGCTGATTTGATCGGCTACCCAGTCATCGTGGTGATTGGCAATGGCTGGAAGAAACATCAGACATTGGAAGTGCAGTGTCGTCGCCTGAGTGTGAAACAGGAGGTGTCCCTGGAGAACCTTATTCCTTTCGTCCATGGGCTGCTGTCCCAGCTGTAGTGTTGGTCGGTGGTAGAAAAGGGTGAGCTTGTATGATATTGTGTCTATCAATGTACTGAAATAGCTTCTGGTGACACTGCCGTAGACGGAGCAATCGAGCCGTTCTTCAAGAGACAAATTTGAAAACAAATGAGGATTGCAGGTGAGAACCTGAAATATCTTCCGAATGCCCGGACATTAAAAAAGCAGTCCTTTTATTGACTGCAGTTTTGCAGGTGTCTCCGGACTCAGAACCACAGGTGCGTGTGTATAGTGAAAGCCTTCCGGACCAAACAAATTATAACCACGCGCGACCCTCCAAAACTCAGCATACCCACTAAACCCACTAAACCCACGGCCACGGTCGCTTCTGCTCTGCCATTTCCCTTAAGCTGCCCGCGAAACCCCACATTACTTCCGCCCGCAGATCTCGAGAGCAAAAGGGCAACTCCCCACTGACGAGCGCATCACTTATCGTTCCGTGAAGCTCAAGTTCATATTTCAAAGTCGCCTTAGCACGAAGTGTCAATTGACAACAAAAGTAATCAATGGCGTCTTCTGAAGGCGGAGCTCCCGCCGGCCAAGGTGAGCTCATCTTCTGCATAGCCCTCTCACTCCACCAACAGCAAACTAACAATAGCCCGCGGCTTTGATCGAAAATAGTGAACCTCGCCTCCCTTACGGTTCCCCAACTCCGATCTGTACAGACTCGCCTGACTTCAGAACTTGAGCATTTGACTTCATCACATACGAAGCTGCGTGCAGCGCAGGCGAAGTTTCGCGACTGCGTCAACTCGATCAATGACGGCGTGAAGGGTTCCGCGAAGAAGGGTACCGATGGCCGGGAGGAGATTCTAGTTCCCTTGACCAGCTCACTATATGTCAAGGGTCGATTGACCGACCGAGAGAAGGTGCTGGTCGATGTAGGCACCGGTTTCTACATCGAGAAGGTATGGTGGATGGAGAATCATCTTCAAAAAGAAGGAGTGCTTCGATCTTGATTTAACGAGAATTCGTGTCCCAGACAGCGGAAAAGGCAATCGCTTTTTACAACGATAAGGTCAAGGGGCTCGACGCAAACCTGCAAGAGCTGGAGAAAATTGTACAGGGCAAGAGTCAGCAGCTGAGGATTGTCGAGGAAGGTAAGTGTGAGGTGCAGATCTTCTGGCCCAAAAATTTGGGGTTGACATGTTTTTCTAGTCCTTCGGCAAAAGATGCTCAGCGGCGAGGGTGCACCGGCACAGACCGCTGGTGTGGCAGCTGGGTAAATAAACACACGCAGCGCGAGAAGCATACCAACATCGTGAATACAATAATACCACAATTGGTTACACGTCTCCTTCCGATAGTCTTGACCTTTGGTGTCAGTCCATCCACATGAGGTGTGATGGGATCCAAAGATGTCCCACACATGTCAATTCATCATAGATTTTTCAGTGGCTGGACACGGTCTCTCTGCTCAAGCTTCAAGCCTGAGCTCAGCATGAAGAACTCTTGCGGAACATTGATCCAAGTACTCGAAGAACAGTCAGGTGTTCCAGACATGGAGAGCAGACAGGAGGGACGACGATATGAGATGACTGAAAAAAAAATTGTCTCGATATTCGCACTAGAAAAGCGTTCCCAGCTCCAGATCGATTAGATTTGCCATTTTCTCGCCCCTCGCCTTCTTGTTTAAGCCTAACTCTGGCCCTCCTAGCAGCTCAGCTAACCTCTGGACAGTCATCAAGAGATATTGTAGACCATTGGCTTCGTCTTCACCCAGTGTGCTGTCCGATGGTTTCGGGAAGAATGCTTCAAAACTGACCGTGGGGGACGGCTTTGAATCACTTTTTGCGCTCGTGATCTCTTCCATGAGAGTGTCCCATTTTGGGTCGTGCAAGGTGGCGCCATATTGCGTCCTCAGAAACGAGGTCTTTTCGTAGACATCGAAACGGGAGAGTTCGAGCGTCAAGTTTGTCTTCTTAACTCTGAATAGCAAGGCCGATTTCTTGACGATACGCACATCCATGGTGCCTCTTGGGACAAAGATGCTCATATTAGCAGCCGCCCCGAAATTCTGATTGTCACAAGTGCTGACGAAACGGATACCTGACGCAAGCTCTTGCTGTGCTTTGGTCAGGTCCCTGTCTCGTACCACCTTGAACGACTCGATGGTGCATTGCCAATCGGCCCTGGGAGTGCTGATCAGTGGATGTCGTGTCAAGAAGTGTTCGATTATCAAGTACCGGTTGACGTCAATCATTGCCAACTGTAAGGGAGTCGCTACCAGCCGGTCTACGCCTTGGCGTGCTTGAAACCAGCGTTGTCCCTTGATCTCAACTTCTCCGGTTGATCTGATCTTATTCAGATAAAGCTCTAATCGACACTGGGAATCGGGGCTTCTAAGAATCTCAACTGTCGCCGAATGAACTGGCTCCATCAGCTCGAGTTCTTCCAAAGAACGCTCTTGGTTGATGGGCTCGAGCACATCATTCGCATGGCGAAATCGTCGTAACAATTCACTTGTGTCAATCTTCAATCTGTTCGAAGATTAGCATGGAGACTCTTGTCGTCTCAGGCGCCACTCGACTGACCCAGCGGCAAGGCGGCCTCTTGCTTCGGTGTGGCCGATCATCGCCTCAAATTCATCGGGTCTGAAGAGCTCTGTGCCATTTTCTGGGTAACAGTACTTCTCCAGAACGAAAGTACCAAATCGGAAACGCAGTCTGAGTGTGTCATTGTACCGATTGATCCTGGAGATTGAAGCTCGTAGACATTCTTCTGTGATTTTGCCATTCCGAGAACACTGAATATCGACAAGGGGAGACAAGTCTCCATCAGCGGTGCTCGACTCACAGGCTTGTGACGCCTGCGGTAAAGGTCTCGAGAAAGCGAAGCCCTTTGCGATTACGATGCCCATTGCCCTACCTTTCTCATTCATCGGCGCAAGCAAAAGCTTCTTGATGTGCATGTTGATGTCTCTCGTTGCTTCTTTCCATGCAGTTCTGAGAACATCGACCACATGCGCGGTATCGAATCCATCCGTGCTTGTGACAATAATGTTTCGCTCGTTTCTAGCGTCGACAAAAACGTGGCATTGAAGATCTAAGCGGAGATTGTCGAGCTTTTCGAGATCGTCACCCAGCCACTCATGAGGCGAAGGGCCGTCATCAGGCCAGAGGAACAGCAGTTTGTTCTGCCAAACCAGGTCAGTCAGTAAAGCTCGCTCTGGAGATATCTTCTGAGATTATTGCTGGCCCACCATCTTTTCCAGTCGATAGGGGGCTTTTCGGAGCTCCGCCAATGCCATCACGGCCCGCTTTCGATTTTGTTGCTCAATGCTATGATAGGCCGACAATCTGCTCCAAGGCTGAGGCTTCTTGTTTCTTGTCTGATAACGTCTCTGTGGACGAGGCCGCGCTAATAGCTTGGGCCCAACAGCTCGTGCATCGGGAGAAGATGGTCGGTTCTCGCTTGCCAGAAGCCGATCACGATATCTAATCACTAATTTTTGCAGGTTTACTTTGGCAGCATCAACCTCGACAGTGGTACCCCATATTGAAATTTCCTGGTCTTGTGTCAGGATAAGGTCAGCTCATCATGGTGAAGTTGCACGCACCGTATCACTGTCGACAGGGGGTTTGATATGCGCGCCTGTCAGTCGAGCGATTCTCTCCAAATCCTGATTCCGCTCAGCGGTAGATGTTGTTGTGGGAAATAACGATGCTACTGAAGCCTTGTCGACCCTAGATCCAGTACATCAATTTCTCAGCAAATTGGTCTCGGGGTGGCGAAGGGTTCCAGTTGACCAACCCAAAAAGGTCTCCTAACTTCAGAATACCTGTAAAGTTTAGTAGCTGTTTTTCTCTACAGCTAAGGACGGGCAATTCCTTACAGTCAGGCTTTGGCCCATCTTGGTACCTTGTCTCTGCTGAAGCGACTTGTGTCTGCGAAGCCAGTTTCGCGGATCTCTCATCCTCTGGGTGGTTACCCTGCGCTTCTGCAGTGGAATGAGTCGGAATGATTGGGAAAGCTTTCGGCTGGACTGTCTTTGGAGTCACGGTGACAGGCAGTTGTGGTATCTGGCTTTCTGCGAGGGGATCAACCGCCTTCGAGCCAGAGGTATTTTGTTTCTTTCCCGGCTTCGGGGACGGTGAGGGACTGTCAAGGTCAATCAAATCCACCTCAGCAGAAATCTCACTCTGAGTCTGCGGCAAGACCTTTGGCTGCGATGAGTTTTGCATCGTGGGAAGAACGTTCGCTCCGGTGGCATATCGTCGGGATGCGTTAGTTGGTTGCGTTCGATGCTCAGGGCCTTAAGGTTGCCACTCGTTATTGAATATCAAGAGGTTGTCAAACAAGACGAGGATCCGTTATTGTTGGTGCCTAGGTAAAGGTCGCTCATGACTTACTTTCGACGCCATTTTCAACTTTGCGGTTAGGGCTATCGAGCGTCATCGGTGCTGCGCCTGGCACGTTTCATGAATTTCCAAGTGAGTACAGACTCTATCTTTAGTTCCGAACGCCAAAAGGGTCAAAAGGTACTGACAAAGATGTTGGACCGGATTTGAGAGATCAGTATTGCAATGGATTCAGTTGTCAGGTACCGTAGAAGGTGTTTCTGGGATTTTTGTCGATTTTGGACCGTTTAATGACATCCAGGTACCACCTGGGTAAGGAGACTAAGGTATCTAGTTAAGGTACCGATGCGACATTGCCATTTTTATATACGTAGTCCAGTCTATGGCAAGACCATCGGGAATTGCCTTGTCAGGTGATCTCTGGGACTTCTTGAGAGAGGAAACTTAGATCAAAGAAAGTGAAATGGTTAGCCAAGACTTCTAATCTGACAAGACACAAACGTAAGAAAACACCCATACATATTCCATGAAACACTACCTGGTACACAAGAATTTGTAGGAAGTGGACGGGTACTCATTTCTCAGGGGGCCGTCCACCTTGACTGAGAGACTGACAGTAGCATAACTTGCTGTTTTACTCGTCTACGACTAAATGACCAGTAGGAAGGAATCAGGCGTGACATCACAAGCTGCCTCATAGCTCAGACAATCGATTCATGGGGTACAAATACCTCAATTGTTGTTGCAAAGAGGAGCATTTGCAGCTCTCAATTAAACATCGACAGAGCTCCGCTGGGAGGGGGTGGTTGGTTGGCCAACTCCGGGAGCCGCGCTAAGCCCAGTATGGAGTAAAGTGGACAAAGTGGAGAGCGCGTGTTTGCGACGCGGATTGACAATTTCTCGACACTCGGCACATCCTCGTCTGGCAAGCTTGCAGTCTGCCATTTATGTCGCCAGCGCAACATGGAAAATGAAGCCGAACAATTGAGCGATGCGACCGCCGAGAAGCGCCGCAATATACGAAAGCGCGCCCAGCAATGGATGACCAAGGGAGCTTTGCTACACGAAGATTCCGACGACGAGCTGGGCACCGAGGACCACCCGTGGGAATGGATTTACGATGTCGATGCTTCGGACGCGAGACAGGAAGCGGAATTGAACAAGAAAACAAGCACAACGAAATCGCGACGGCGGGCATCACGATCTGGCAAGGCTGGTCCGACAATTGTGGGCGCACGAATGAGTACCTTTGAGTGCAGGTTGGGCGACGTTGTGCTTCTCAAGTCGCCTGAACCCGGCAAAGACTGGGTCGGTATTATCACAGAATTTCTGGAGGTGGAGGATGAGGATGAATCTGGAGAGATGATCAAGTCGGTCAACATCATGTGGTTCGCATCACCAGATGAGTTCATGTCAACCAGGAACAAGCGAAGAACAGATGCGCTTCCCAATGAGCAATACCTAACGGCTGACTTTAACGTCAACCCTGTCACATCCATCAATGGCAAAGCGACTGTCATGTCAAAAGATGCGTTCTATGCCAAATATCCAGGCGGCATACCCCCCAAAAATAACGCCCAGCGTGCCGAATTCAACAAATGCATTATCTGCCGTCGAGGGGTTAATCAAGCACAAGGTCGATACACCGAAGAGTTTAATTGGGAGCAGGTCTATGGAGACCGCAATATCTACAACTTGATCGCCATGGTAAAGGAGGGGTTAAAAGCCGCGCGCAAACGAAAGACAACAGATGACGATGTAGGCGCGCTCTGATTTTCTCTAACAAGCCGACCTCGCCTCTTAATCGAAACGCTAACGCTTCCTAGTATACCGAACCAAAACAGGAGCCTGTCGCGCCAAGTACGCCCAGAAAGCGCCAGAAGATGACTGCAACAAATGCAACACCAAAGACACAGCGGAAGAAGACGCTGACAACACCTTCAAATAAACGGTATGTCACCTTCACTCCAACAGTGCCGTCGCAATGTCAATGTCCTCACACGATTTGCCTCTCAGGATTATCGTGAAAAAGCCACTCGAGTTCACCCCACTAGGGACTCGCGTTCTTGAGCCATCTCATTTTGCATCTCCCTACCGGCAAGCACGTACACTACTACACGTCTCGGCTGTTCCAGAATCTCTTCCCTGTCGCAAAACCGAGTTCAATACTGTCTATAATCATCTAAGCGCGGCGATCATGGAAGGCACAGGGGCGTGTATCTACATTTCAGGGACTCCGGGCACCGGCAAAACTGCAACAGTACGTGAAGTTGTGGCGCAACTGAACGCGGCTGTGCTCGCTGAAGAGATGGACGATTTCATATTTGTTGAAATCAACGGCATGAAAGTGACCGACCCGCATCAGTCTTATTCACTGCTATGGGAAGCACTGAAGGGCGACAGGGTCTCACCTTCGCACGCACTTGACCTTCTCGAACAGGAGTTCTCTCATCCGTCGCCTCGCAGAGTCTCTTGCGTAGTGCTGATGGACGAATTGGATCAACTAGTGACCAAGAACCAATCGGTGATGTACAATTTCTTCAATTGGCCGGCACTGCGTCACTCACGTCTCATTGTTTTGGCTGTTGCCAACACAATGGATCTGCCCGAGCGAACCCTCAGCAACAAAATCTCGAGTCGTCTCGGTCTTACCCGAATCACTTTCCCAGGATACCGTCATACCGATCTAATGGAGATTATCAGTACCCGTCTGGCTAATGTTCCTGGTAACATCGTTGACCCGGATGCTGTACAATTTGCTAGTCGAAAGGTTGCAGCCGTCAGTGGTGATGCGCGTCGTGCGCTCGATATTTGTCGCCGCGCAGTGGAAATCGCCGAGCAAGAAGCGGATGAAGCTGCCAATGCAGCTGCAGCAAACAATGATGATATCGACGAGATGCCGGCAACCCCGAGCAAGACGCCCGCGAGACAAAAGAAGGCGCTCGAGGGGAAGCCAGCAGCCGATACCCAGCTTGCCAAGCCCGCTCCTGCAAAGAGTCGGCCGGGTCGAGTGACCATTTCTACGATCAAGCAAGCTATCCAAGAAGCCACATCAACGCCTCTACAACAATCCCTGCGCTGTCTGCCTCTTTCCGGCAAGCTTTTCCTCGCCGCATTACTAGCACGGGTGCACCGCACCGGAATCACCGAGTCTACCTTCGGCGACGTCTTGGATGAGGCACGCCGTATGGCAGACGCAGCCGTCGCCGTTGCAGGCGTGGCTGGTGTCGGTGTAAAGGAGTACTTGCTTGGAGGCGGTGCGGCTTCTAGGGTGCGTGCTTTAGGCTTCGCTGCCATGGAACTCATGAATTCCGGTGTACTTGCGTTGGAGCAAGGGTCCAGCACCAAGAATGTGATAGGTGGCTCCACGATCCCGACTCGTGGTGACCGGAGCAGCAAGATCAGGCTTCGCGTGGCGCCGGAGGATGTCAAGTTGGCTTTTCGCGAAGATGTGGAGGCTCGGAGTTTGGGTATTGGAATTGAGCAATAGTCTGATCGTGTACTATACATTTATGAGCGTGATTGTTCATGTGATGTTCATCGTGGGTTGTGCATTATTGGGGCTCGGGCTTGATACTATGTTCCAGGCTCACTTTTTATTGTCCGAGGAACTAGATTTGCAGCTTATTGGGCATGAAAGACCCTGGTGGTCTTTGTCAACCTCATATCCATGTCCTCCTCAATTATTAGGCCAGACATCTCCAGGCTCAGGTGCCTGTAGGCAAGCAAAACGATGTAGGCAAGAATTTGGGATATTTGGAGTGATAATGGTACAAAGAGGTTTGCCCATACATGATAGAGTATCAGTTCGCAGTCATTTTGTGTCTCTAGGTAAGAGCATTTACAGAATACAAGGTGAACAGTGAGGGCGCCTTGAACGCCATCCAGTGCGATGTTTGAGAAAAGCAAGCAAACGGAAGAGAAGAATGGTCGAAGTGAGGAGAATGGGTTGAAAGATTCTAGTAGCGCTGTCTTCCGAGGGTCGGCGCCCACTTGACTGGATGAGTCTCTGGAGTGGCATTTTCGTCTTCTTTCCAGATCTTGATTGTTTTATCGGCCTCCCCAGTAATGAGGCGCAGACCGGTCTTATCAAACGTTGAAGCCATGATGCCAGCTTCAGCCTCGAGCGAACCAGGCTGAGCGAGAGTATCAATAGACTGGAATTGATGCCCAGTCTTCCAATCCCAGAACGACATGGAGCCATTATCACCACCAGAGAACATGACATTTTCATCATTGACGGAAAGGGTGTTGATGATGGCATTTTGTCCTTCAAAGTTCTGCATGAAGTCACCTTCGGGACACTTCCATTGCTTGATGCTGCCTGTACTGGCGCTCGCAAAGGTAAACTCAGTAGGGTGGGTGGCAAGGGCACGAACACCCTTTTTGTGATGGGTCAAGACACCCATGGACTTGCCTGCAGCCAGATCCCACAGACGAACTGTAGCGTCTAGCGAACCGGAAATAACCTGAGGGTCGGCCTCTTGGCACTGAATATCGGCAACAGTACCCTTGTGGCCCGCAAGAACATGGACATTACTTCGCGTGCGCATGTCCCACACTCGGCAGACGCCATCACGACCACCCGTTACCAAGAGGTCCAAACGAGGATGCAAAGCTAGAGTGTAGACACCACTCAGATGGCCATGGTAATGGCGGATGACCTTGTTTGTTTCTAAATCCCAGCACTTGACCATCTTGTCTTCACCGCAGGAGAAAAGGTATGGGTGCCGAGGAGACACTGCGAGACCGCGGACAGTCGAAATGTGGCCAGTCAAGGTCAATCTGAGGGCGCCTGTTGCCAGATTCCAAATTTTGATTGTTCGGTCTCCAGCACCACTGGCAAACCACTGGTTGTTGGGCTCAACTGCCAAAGCCCGCACCCACCCCAAATGCCCTGAAATGACGCGCATCAATTTCCATGGCGCATGCCAATCTGGCCGTTGTTGCTTGGTCGCAGAAGGTCTCTGAATCAAACTCTTGGGTTGCTCCTCCGCCGCCGCCGCGCCCGCGCCAGCGCCTCCGGGTCGCCGGACTAGAGCCATTGAGGCACCGCTTCCATCTCCAGAACCTTGAGCCTGCGCGGGCTGAATTTTGGGGCGTTTCGTGCGTCCTGCAGTAGCTTTGGCTTGCTTCTCCGCCAAGGCTGGGGGCAATTCCATGACATCTTGGTATTCTGCTTTCCGCCGGTATGATACCCCAATCGAGCCGTCTGTGAGTGTTGTAGGTGTGACCATCAAGTACTCTGTGCCAAAGAGTTCGGCAGTTCGCTTCGCAGAAAGACGCACAGCCTCATCGGCGGTCCGAGAAGGGAGCGCGTCCATTTCGGTGACTGAATGAGAGGGTGTCGTCGGCTGAAGCTATGAAGGTGTCGCGGTCTCCACGCGCAGAGACTATGAGTTTCGACGAGGCGTGTGAATCGCGGTGTCGTTCCCTACGGCTGATGATAGAACGATTTTGTAGAAAGCTGGCGACCACTTGAATTGGGGACTTGAGAAGACTTTGCGTCTTTATGAGGCTGCTGAGCGATGATAAATTTTTGGCGTGAGTGAACTCAAGACAGTGACAATATTGTTCCGCATCAGAGGTTTTTTGGCCTTGTTGCCTCAGGCTACAATATGCACGATGTCAGCCTCTCCTCACTTATCGTAGCTCTTATCTCGAATCACTCCACCTTCATTCAGTATTCAACGCAGTAATGGATCCTAATCACGACGCCAAGTTTCCGCTGCATGAGGCCGCTCGAGAAGGCAGGAGTAAGTGAATTTCGCCAACTATTGCAGTTTCAGCTACTGATATGGCCCATAGCCCAAGTTGCAGAATCTTTATTAAGCGTGAGTGTTTACGAGAGCTGTTTTATATCCCGGCGGCATCCTATACCCTTCGAAACCCGATGATTTCAGACCGATTGCTTCACTGAACTCAATATGGATTGGATGATACTATTTCACGAAGATGCCACCAACTAACTCTGCACCTCAACAGGCAAATCCTAAAGCTGCCCTCATCAAGGACGAGGATGACCGCTTGCCAATCCACTGGGCGGTAGCTTATAATCACCTACCTATCGTAGAGCTCTTGGTGGCGACCAAAAATTTCGATCCTGATGTAGAGGTTGGTCGTCTTTTGAGGCATCAGTTGGCGAGGCCAATTCTGATCATTTTGAAGCCTTAATCTGACATATGCACAGGATGGTCTGGGATGGACGCCACTCATGATCGCGGCCAGCCTCAAGGACGCCGCGGGTGATCCAGTCATTGATCTCTTACTTCGCAAAGGCGCCGATGTGACGATGAAGAGCAATAACGGACAAGTGAGTAATCATTGCCTGAAAATCTGTTCTGTGAAGCGGCTGACAAAGCTCAGAATGCTCTTCATTTCGCCAGCTCTAAATCCAACATCGCCACTGTTCGCACTCTGTTAGCCCACAAGTGTAGCGCTCGAGTGAAAGACATTCGCGGTCAATTACCACTCCACCGAGCAGCAGCAGTGGGCTCTGTACCCATTCTCAAGATGCTTTTGGACGAGGGTAAGAGCCCAATAAATGCGACCGACAATGATGGCTTGACGGCCTTGCATCACGCTATCTCCGAGGGCCATGGCGACGCAGCCATACTTCTCTTGAAATCTGGCGCAGATGCAGAGAAACGTGACTCGGAAGGACACCTGGCGATTGATCTGGTTCCAGATGATAAGGTACGTGTATCGCATGGAAGATATTCCGAGTGCTTTGAGCCCTTCCTCCGTCAACCCTCCGGCAATATTTCTTCCTTGCTACTGTTCTAACTCTCTGTGGGCAACTTAGGTCAAGCAGTATATCTTGCGAACCGCAGAAAGAGATGGTGTAGAACTTCCATAGTATTGAAGTTGTAGGTGTCTCCGCGAGGCGAGGATTAGTCCAAAACAACAATGTTTTTATCTCGCTTCTTTGTCACTTTCTGATGATTCGTTCTATTCGAACTACCTCGGCGTGTCGCCAAATTGCCGGAACTGTCGTTTCCCCGCACCCCTCACGGACGATTTACCGAGCACGGGCCGTGATGATCCTTAAGGTTTATGCGCATCAATCTTCAGTTTTGAATAAAAGCGTGGATGCACGAGTGGTGTTTTGCTGATAGTTATTGCTTATGGATAACCAGTTTGAGCAAGAAGGTGTGAAACACAGCGAGCCATGAGATTTGAACACAGGCATGAGGCTCGCGATTAATTTCCAGTCCTGATTCCTGTCATTTGCCAAATTGACCATGCTTCTGCAAGCATGAACGATGCGTACAGCTTTCCTCGGCCATGGTACAGAGATAGAAGGACGTAGTCATTAGTGGTCGGTGACCCGAATGAGGGGCTCGGTTATACATACATCTCCAGCTAGATTCTACACCTGGTCACTGGCTAGACGGCAATCTTATCCCGAAAGAAATGGTACAGCACTAGCTCGATGCATTGGCATACCACTAGATTGTCCAGTCTTGTCTAGGTTCAAAATCCTCAAGCTGGCTGCAAGGAACTTGAAAAATTATTTTTTCCTCGCACTCTGAACACTCAAGAGTCAGCTATCAATCGAGTCTCTTGCCAAAGCTTGCTCAGAAAGAAACCGAGATGCCTGCCACATCCGAGCCTCATCTCCCGGTGGGGAACAAGGACTTTACAAATGCGACAGTCGTGATCATTGGAGCCGGTATCTCTGGTGAGCTACTAGACTACTCAAATTCGCGAGAGAAAATGTCATCACGAGAATTATACTCATACTGGCGCAGGCATGAACATGGCCATTGACCTGATCAGACGAAACAATTGTCGCAATTTTGTTATTCTTGAAAAGAGTAGCAGTATCGGTGGAACATGGAGCGATCAAAAGTATCCGGGCTGTTGTTGCGATGGTAAGTGTGATAGACTGGCAGTGTCGAATGGGAAACCAGAGGATCTGAAACGCGAAAGTACGCTTTGCTAATGTCAACAGTTTGGAGTTCATTGTACAGTTACTCATTCGAGCAAAATCCTAATTGGACCCGAGAATATCCTGGCCAAGAAGAGATCTACGTATGTTGCTCTCCAAACATTGCCCCTTCAACCCAACCTTACCCTGTCCACGATAGTGCTCTTTCCAATTTCTCACACTCTTTTCACAGGCGTATCTGGTTGGGGTTGCACAAAAATGGGGGCTATACAAGCATGTTCGATTCAACTCGGCTGTTGATGAAGCCCGTTGGGATGATGAAACGTGCAAATGGAAAGTCACTGTTCAAAAGTCTGGGCAGAAAGACAGCGAATTTGCCTCTTCCTACGTGATCACCTCAGATTTCCTGGTGTCCGCAGTGGGCCAGCTGAATATACCGCGATATCCCGATATTCCAGGTCTTGATGACTTTGAAGGCCGGGTCATGCATTCGGCTCGATGGGACTGGAGCTACGACTTTAAGGGCAAGAGAATTGCAGTGATCGGGAATGGTACTTCTGCCCCTGCGTCACAAATTTCTAGCAAAAGAAAATGAGCTGATTGGAATCTCGCTCTGCATGCAGGTGCAACTGCAGCGCAAATTGTCCCGGAAATTGCGCCTTCAGCTTCACACTTGACCGTCTTTCAACGGACCCCAAACTGGGTGATGCCACGACTCGACGCGCCGGTTTCCGCGTTCCAGCGGGCGCTGTTGACCTATATCCCGCCCCTGCGTTGGCGCAAACGAGCACAACAGATGGAATTCAGAGAAGGATTCCATGCTGCCATCTTTGATGATCAGTCTCAATGGGCGCAAGTAATCCGCGACGGATGCAAAGGACTACTGGAGACGCAACTGGCTCATAGACCTGAGCTCTGGAAAACATTGACACCCGACTATGCGCCTGGCTGCAAGCGAGTCATTATCTCAGATGACTACTATCCTGCCCTGGCCCGCGATAATGTGGCGCTGGAGACTGGACGTATTCAGCGTATCACCAAGAATGGTATCGATATTGAAGGGGCCGGCGAGAAGGAATTCGATTTCATCGTGTTGGCTACGGGCTTCAAGACGGTCGACTTTATGTACCCGATCAAGGTTTATGGCGCCAAGGGTCGCTCTGTTGCAGACGTGTGGAAAGACGGCGCGAAGGCCTATCACGGCGTAACTGTGGAAGACATGCCGAATTTCGGGATGTTCTACGGTCCCAATACGAATCTGGGTGAGTCTCTAGAGCTAGTCCTTGTCTGAGGTCAAGTAAAGAAACGGGATTTTCTGGTTGCTGACCTAGCACAGGTCACAATTCCATCATTCTCATGATCGAAGCCCAGTCACTCTACCTGAACGCACTCGTCAGTGAAGTGATTCGCTGCCGACGACTCGGAAAGGAAATTGCAATAATGCCGAAGCCAGAAGTTTTGAATGAGTACAACGAACAGATACAAGCTCTACTGCGCGACAGCAGCTTTGCAGATCCTAAATGTAACAGTTGGTACAAGAGGGATGACGGAATCATCACCAACAACTGGTCTGGCACTGTGGTTGACTACCAGAAGAATCTGTCAGAGCTGAAGTGGAGTGATTACATCGTCGAAGGCTCTGGGGAGTATCTTGTGAGGAAGAAGAGGAGCTCTCACGTGGGACGAGTGCGCGAGGAGTCTTATGTGAGTGATACTACGCTTCTTGCTGGTGCCGCGAGTGTGTTGGCCATGGGAGGCTACCTTGCGGTTCGGGCTGGTCTTTGGAGAGTGGGCAAGACCTAAGTAGCCTGATACGGCGAGGCTGTACCTTGCCAGGAATGACCGAGACATCTCTTACACCAACGATTTGATTGTCAATTGAAGGATCCAGGTGGCCAGAGACACAATCTTTGTCAGCTACATACTCCCCATGTAATCTCCGACATCTAGCAATGATTCATACTTGTCGTACGGCAGATATTAGCCTCGTGCAATCCTGGTCAATATACCCTCATCTACATGAATCAACCTTACCACTCTCACAGCATGGGCTCCACGCAAACCTTCTAGAAGGCATGGCGATACAGGCTGTCCAAAATCAAAGTCGGCGGCCCCTACTTGACTTTTCCAAACTGCTGCGGTGCGACCCACTCCAAGTCTCAGGTGGATTGAGCTTGCTAGGAGGTCTAGATGATTCCATCTAGCTGCCACAATATTCCACATGCTGCCTTCTGATGGCCGACCGGGCACAGCCCTGCTAGATGGAGTGGATCATGGAATCTATACGAGGGAACTCAACTTGACTGCAGAGTATGCAAAAGGGGCAAAAATGGATCATTGACGAACAGCCCCGACGTCTAGAGTACGAAGTCGGCTTAGCAGAGCATGAAGGCGGAATTCGGGCCGGAGGAATGCGACTAGTCGGAGAAACCTCATGTCGGGACACCGACCGTTTTCTCTGCACTCTCTCATAGCAGATTCCCCGACTCCCTGCAATTTTCCTACACTGAGGTACTCATCATACTGATGATCAAGACGTGACATCAGGTAACAGCGTCCAGTAAGGTCTCCCGGGTACTGCGAAATGTTGACAAGAGTGTTTCTGGACCATTAGAGTACGTAGCCTTCACCGAATCCATCAATTTCCTTGGTTCTCAATGATGCACCAGCAAAAGACGCTAGAGACGTACTGACTATATATGTACATCAATGTGCTGTCTACAGGTGGTTGTCGAGCGACGTAGGTCAGGTAGCCTTTTACTACTGATGCCCGTCTGGTAGAATGGTATAGCTAGTCACGCTCCTCGCTCCTCTTTTTACGGCTCGCTGTTCGAGTCTCAGGCAGAATGGACTTGATTTATTTTCAACAGACAGGATGAGCGTCAACTAGCCCCTTTTGTGTTGAGTGCTGGGTACGGTACGTACTTGAATTCTTCACCGACTAGTTACTATGGAGCTGGTACTTATTATTATATATCAATAATCTAATAAGTTATGACTGGGAAGCACTTGGTTGGGCAACTTCTAACGCCGCCTGGCGCTACAGTTTGGAATCAGATAGTGTTCTTGGCACTTTATGGACAATGCGTCCTGAATCACGTTGTAGTTCAGGCGGCATGTCTTCTTCTGTCTACGCAAACCTAATAGCTTTCCAAGCCTCTGACGATGGTCGTGGGTTCATGAAGGGCAAGGACAACGTTAGCACTGACGGTATGACACGCATCTTGGATATCCCCAAGACTCAACCGAGACGATGCTTTCGAAGAGGTCATTCGAAGGCTGGGTATCCGTACGTGGAGACTAAGGGTCAAGCAGGTCAAGGCCAGCGGAGGGTCATGAATGAGCTCTATGTCACTTTTGACTGTACCTCGAACATCATTGAGGCTGTTCTATTAGTGCGCCAGCCATCGGCTTCAGCTAGTGCGATTCGCATGGTTAGCATCACGCTCGGTCTCATTTAATGGCGTAGTAAGTACTAAGTACTACGTAGTTTTTTACCGAACGCTCAGTCTTGCATTCAGCCTTCACTTGAAATCCTCCTGAGGATCTCTTACAGTTAGCGTTAGCCATACGTCAGCTGAATTCGTGCGTGGCTTTGGGTCATTAAAGTAGTTGTCCAATTGACTCTGAGGTTGACCAGCCTTGCATAAAAAGAGGGAGTGTGTTCGGCAGGAGAGACACCAAGGGGAGAGGGCCTGAGGGTCGGAATCGCGGTACTGCACTGCGCGTACCACTAGGTGACACGGATGTCAATCATGTCATTTTCCCGGCTCCATTGGCCTAGACAGGTACTTCCTGGCTACCTTGCCGCAACCTTACCTCCTACCCCTGAACTGCCCCCACTGTTGCGGGTCGGACCAGCATCCCACTTTTTGTTTTTCCCTCTCCAGTCCCACCCAGATCGTCCGAATCCGAGGATGGTGTTCGCGTCGTGACTGTCACGACTCATCGGGGGCCACTGGACCATGGAAAACCTACAGAGAGGGGACGTGAGATGATTCAAGGATGATCAACCTCGTTGCTCCAGCCCCAGCCTTCGTCAGTCTCGTCACTTCCTCGTCTTCCAGTTCCCAGACAATGACCAATGTGATGGGGTTCTAACCGCTGAGGTGCACCAGACGGGAAGTGAAACCCCATGAGATTCCGGGCATGATGAAAAGCTTGAGGGTGTCAGCGAAATGTCGGCGCGTCTGAAGCGTGAGAAAGAGGAGATTGAATGCGCTGTATGGCTCGTTGGTCTACCTCCATTCAGCTCGGTGCTTCAGTCTACCCTATCTGATCATCGTCTCCAGAACTCAATTTTCCTTTCAACACGTTCATCGGCAGGTACTGTCGATCACGCCGGCCACAGCGGTGCGCTCTGGCCTCGAGAGACCTCTCCGCCTCTCAGGAGAGAGAATCACCTCTCAGATGCAGCCGAAAGTGAACATCTGTATCACCCCTTGCCAATCAGACAACCTCCCGTCCGACCCCCCGCTGTCCATCGGGGGGTCCATCAAATGCATCGACTCCAGTCGAGGCTCCCTCTCCCGTCCAGGAGGGGCGGTGGATCGCTCTACGCTTACCGACTCGAGTCATTGGCGCTAAATCTGGTCTCTACGCCCCCCATGGACCACGATGATTGCTTATGCCCGCCATTCTCGGTGCTTCTGTTGTCCGCCTGGCTTCTGCCCCCTTGGATAGCGCCGCGCCACGATACTCCCAGGAGTCTCAGCACCCAGTACTACTGTAGACGAGGCCGGGCGGCTGGAGGTAACGCATCCGCAGCGGGAGTGGTTGACATATGAGAAATCAGAGACAGTCAAAGGCCACTCTCACCCTTCCTGCCCATCTGTTCCTGTGGCCAGGCAAGAAAGACCCCAGCCCTCTTACTCCAGGACGGAAATCAAGGTGGAATCGTTCCATCATTCGCCAAAGGAGGCGCTAAAAGGAACACTCAGGCCCATCAATAAGCACCAAAAGTGCGAGCATCGCCGTTCAGCTGGTCAAGTCTTCAATTTATTTGACGACACTATCGAGTCATTTTGGTACCCGCCCGGTGGTCGTTAGTTCTGCTTCAATACTGAGTTTCCGTTGGCACATGGGCCATTTGCTGCTCCCGACGAACCACTCTTCTCCCCGCCGTGAACAACTTAGAGTTACTCCGTCCGGGACTAGCGTCCGGCAAAGCGGCCTTCCCCTTTTCCTTTTTCCCTTTTCCCTTTTATTGCCTTATTACTTTTTTGGGGGAGGAAACTCCTTTTTCTCCCACGTCCCCTTCGGGACTTTCAATCGCGACTTCGTTTTTGAGGAAATTGGAGTTTCAATTTTCGAGGAGGGAAATTGTTCCGAGTCTTGTCGTACTGAGATTCCCGTCGCAAGCCAAGAATCGATTCGACCTCTCCGACCAGTCTCGACTCTCTCCGGTGCAGCAGCACTTTGGAGAAGCTTCCCCTCATCCACCCTCCCAGAGCGCTTGCCAATTCTTCCTTTCTGGGTCGTCTGCTCAAGACGGTGTGACTTGACCACCCCTGAATCTGTTTTCCCACTATTCCCCTCTAGTCCAATTGCCATTGTGTATCCCGTGAATATCGGCATGGGCTGTCGATCGATGGCTATTTTTTGATACACACGCTAGGCGATTTTCATGGCGTCTCCTCCCTCTGTGCCCGCTGCGTGGAGCAGCTCTCCCGCGGCGCGATCCTCAGGTGCCATTCCCTACCGCACGTCGACAACTTTCGATGCTACGCCGAGCACGACAGTCGCGACTGCTCAAGTGACGACGGCGACTATCACTCCCCCCCAGATACCCCGACCAGCCGCTACTCGGTCATCTCCAGGGCCAGCACCTCGTCTTCGTCAGGCTTGGACTACTATTCCCACACCTCTCCACAACACCTTTCATCGCAAGTTACAGGGCATCGTCGTCTCTCCTCAGGTGCCGGTCACACCCATGATCAACTGACAGCCCAAGTACAATCTCGAGCCTCACTGCACCGCAACCCGGTCCCACCTCCGTCCCACCCCCAGCAAGCCAGTGTAGTCACCGAGAAAGCTCACCTGTCGTCCCCACTGTCCATCAAAGAAAGGACCACCAGCTCTGCTTCCGCTGCCGGCTCTGTCTCTCCTTCATCCGTCCAGGGAGTGGGCTCTCCGCGGTCGTTGACCAGTCATTCTAACAGGTATGCCGTGCTCTGTTGTTCCTCACGTCTACTCCTTCCATTTGTATCTCTCAGCGCTCTCTACGCGAGCACATACGCCGGAATATCGATCTGTCTTGGCTTGCTTCATCTTCATGGCTCGAATATGATTTGATAGTCTGGAAGAATATTTCGCAACGCCCTCAACTAGGATGCTGTCCCCTTTTCGAGCATAGTCAAGGGCGTATATCTTTGACCATAGTCAATCTATGTTATACACTGTACTAGCAACGACTTGGAGAGTTTCTCATCGCTTACCCGTCTTACGCTCATCCAGGTACTCCCGGGGCCGGCCACCTTCCAAACATCTCCGAATAGATACTGCTTCAACGGCCTCGTACCTTAGATCGGTGGTGGAAGACGACGACGACGAAGACGACGACGATAGTGGGGGCTACTTTGACGACGACTACGAGCATCAATTTACGAATGGCAGCGGTCTTGGAACGCCCCTCCATAATCGGCTACTGAGCGAGCCGTTCATCCCGATTCTGAATTCACCACCCCCGCCTCAACGTCGGGTGACGAGCATGGCGTTACATGGCCCCCTCAGTCAAAAACACCCCATGAAGATCGATCTCGACCAGCGGTCCATGTCCATGCCCCTTAGCCAAACCGATCCTCGACAGCCCAAAACCCCCGGCAACAAGATTAGCTCATTCTTTGGCTGGAAAGCGGCTGCTCCTAGCTCCCCGGGAGCAGAGTCCTCCAGCACCGAGATTTCGGACGGTGGACGATCCCCGATGCCTTCCCCAATGCCTCCATTGGCAAATGTTCCCGTGAGGCCGCCATCGTACGATGTCAAGGCGCCCGGGTTTGGTCCTCCGGTACGAACGCCGTCGGTGGGGACGCTGAGTGCTCATGAAGCGGTGTTTGCGTCGAAGCTCGCCGACCTCGAAAATGAACTGCGCGAGGTCAGCTCCGAGCTAGCGGGGTCCATCCGCCGGGAAATGGAACTGGAAGACCTAATCGAGCGTTTGCAAACCGAAGGACCAGAAGTCAATCGCCGGACGAGTGACTACTTCTCCGATTCGGGTACGAGCTCTGTCCGTTACGGCCCTGATCGTCAAGAGGATATGGAGAAAGCTCGCCGCGCTGCAGAGCAAGAAAGAGCCCAACTGAAGGCGGACTTTTCGCTCAGACTCCAAGAAGAACGAATCCAACGGACCGCCTCCGAGTCTCATGTGCAAATACTGGAAAATCAAGTGCAACAGGTGAGAATATCGGTCACCTCAGACTTGTGCCAATTTTGACTGACAATGCAAATCGCAGCTCCGTCGAGAACGAACAGATCTGTCTGACCTATCTTCAAAATCAAAAGAGCTGGAAAGCGCTCTAGATAACGCGCGACGAAAGCTTCTTGAAGAGCGACAGTCGAAGGACAACTTTGAAGACTTACTTACCGCGATGCGTGTGGAACTTGAACAGTTGCGGAATGAGAGGGACATTCTCCGTGACGGCCAGGGGCCTGCCTCTGCAAAAATGCAGCAATTGACCGAACAAATCGATGCACTGATGGCGGAAAATGCCTCACTAGCTATGCAACTGAACAACGACCGGGAGGCGACCCAGGACAGCGCATCCGCCGCCGAGCTAGAGCGACTCAGCGACGAGATCGCGACGCTGAGGGCAGAGAACTCATCATTGGCACAGAGGCTGCGCGCGGAGCAGGAAGCCCATCATGATGCTCTATCCGATGCCGCCCAGATTGATCGACTAATGGCGGAGGTGGAAAAATTGAAGAGCGAAAACGATGCTCTAGTGCAACAATTGCAACATGACCGTGAAGTTGGGGTTGCTGACGCCTCGGCCGCGCTCGAGACGGAGCGACTCGTCGCACATATTGAGACTTTGACGCGCGAGAACGCTACCCTGCTTGAACAACTGCGACAAGAGAGAGAAGTACGTGATGAGAGTATGACGACCGTCGACGAGACACGGAGACTGATGGCAGGCATGGAAGCTCTCCAATCTGAGAACGCCCTGCTAGCCCAACAATTGCAAAACGAACGTGGCACTGCGCGGGAGGAAAGCGCGCCGTCCACTGCCGGTATGCAGCGGTACATCGAGGAGATCGAAGCCTTGAAAAATGAGAATGCCTCGTTGGCACAATTGCAAGGTGGAAGATTCGCTTCTATTGCAGAAGAGGACAGCTTCCAAATGAAGCGCCATTCGACGTTTGGTCTATCGAGATCTAATTCCCTTGCGCGTAAACCTGCAACTGGGTTGGCTCGCTCAGGCTCACTGTCCCGTTCTAATTCGGTCTCTGCACCCAAGGAACGAGAAACACGCGAGTCACTTGTCGACAAGGTCAAGGACATCGAAGCTCAACGTGACGCACTGCACCGCACACTAAAGAGTCTCTTGAGTCGACAAACATTCCAAGAGCGTGAGTTCATGAAGCAAACTCGTCTCCTTGAAGCTGAACTCGAGCGGGCTCGAGAAACTGCCCCATCACGAAAGGTGGGCTATGAGAGAGAAGTGCGCACTCTGCGGGACGAGGTGTCCACTCTCCGAGCACGCGCGGAAGATGCACTGGACGGGAAATGGCAGTGCGAGAAGAATCTGGCTGGCCTAAAAATGGACCTGGACCGTGCCAAACAAGAGACTGGTTCTCTTCGGGCCTTGCTTCAAGAGCACGACACGCCAGCGTCAGAGCATGCTGAAATTCAGCAAGGCAGCTTTGACGAGGTGATGGCGACATCATCGTCTTTGGAGTTGGCATGGCGCCAACTTCAGGTTGGGCGCCAACAGGTCGGGACGGGAAGTGAAGCTGCTTCCTCGGAGCTGACTGATGCTCGGGAACATGAACTTGCCAAACACGTCGAGAATCAACTGCAAACCAACCATTCTCTGCGGAGTCGTCTGGCCGCTGCTATAGACAAGGGCGAGCGCGATCAACGAGTCTCCGTCGAGCGTATCAATATACTCCAGAATCGGATGAGAGTTTTAGAAGAGAATCTTCTCAATGCCCAAAACCACTCCGAAGAGGAACTCGGCAAGCATGAGGAAGAAGTTCGTCTGCTCAAGGAGAACCACAATGCCCACCTCCATCGCATGAAGACCGGTAGTCGCACGCCTGTTGCACTTTCGCCACGACCACCAAATGCTCCGTTCTCCATCCGCATACCTCGTCTAGATAAGACTACCAGCGGAGAAGGTGTTCCTCTGGCCAGTGTTGTACAGGCGGAAGAACTGGAGAAACATGTGAAGGCTCTCGAAAGGGCTGTCTACGAAGTCGACATGGAGATGGAAGAAGTCGTGGGACGAATGAACCGTGCCCAGGTTGATGTGGCGCAGCTGCAATCTGACAGGTAGGATTTGCATTTCCCTTCCTTTACTTGCTATTTCAGTAGACCCCAAATGCCGAGCTGCTTGTCCGCTTGACAGTGGAGGGAGGGGGGGGGGGGGGGGCGGGATCCTCGTACACCTGACACTCGGCTAACACAAGTTTTATCTATTCCACAGAGATGATGCTCTTCGTCAGACTCGCCGCTTGCAAGCCGAGCTCCAGGCCGAGAGGGAAGCCCTCCGATTCGTGATGTGAGCCTGACTGGATTCACGCCGAGAACCTAATACTTGACGCCTTAGGCATCCCTGTCGACCCTGTACATTTACGCCACTTCTTGCTGCCTTCCTCTTGTCGGCAGTAAGCCTTTGATCTGTACCTCACACCATCCATTTATATTTGCATATGCACCACGGCCTGCTCCTGTATTTTACTTCCTACGGGACCAGCCGAATGCTTGGGAGTTTAATGCCCTGCTTGCAGCGTTCATATGTCCATTCGTTTGAAATACTTTATCTGTCCCTAGGGCCAATTTCTTGCCCCCATTATACTTGAATGAGGACTATTTCTCGGTGCGCGGGAGCCCCTGTATACTAATTGTGGGAGACCCAAGCGGTCTCCCATGCATGGCCTGGTCGGCCGCAATTTGACTGCTTGTTGTACATACATCTCAGGAATGAGCTTATATCAATCTCAAACTCACCACGTCGATTTAGACTTCAAATCTGCCAGGGACGAGCGAAGTCCTTGGGTTTGCCCACCAAAGACTCGTCAAAGAATATCGTTCCTCCGCTAACTTGTCCGAGGCGCGGATTCTAACAAAGATGGGACCGTTGCTTTGTTATGACGGTGTTTGCTGTGTTTGCACCATCTTATCTCCGCATTTAGAATATTAAAGCTTATCGTTCAAAGACACCCCCAACTTCCACGACAAATCCAGCATCACCACGTTTCACTTTCTCCTCTAACTCGACATTCAGGTCATATTGTTTCCTGTCGCCCCCTTAGAAACTTTAGTTCTTACCTGTCTTCGATTCACCAAGATAATCGGCAAAGAGACGCCGAAGATTTCCAAGGACGAACCACTCTCCTCTACCTTGGAAGCTTGTCTGTTCTCACGCCTGCCACTTCTTTTGAGACATTTGTGATATCCTCAACCTCAGCAGCTCCTGCTAGTCTGAGGGAGTCTCGGTGGGAGCTGTGAGACAGATCATACAACTTGTGAAGCTTGCAAACTTCTTTGAATTTACCACCGCCGCCATGGACCATCTTCCAGGTCAGTTCGCTTCTCGTCCACAAGACAATCAAGTCACCTACCAAGTAGCTAGTGGATGGTTTGACTGACATGTTCCCTAGAACCGCTTCAAGCTGTCCTCACAAATGCAACATACACCTACCTCCGCTCTAGCGCCCACTCCCAACTCACAACCCACCTTTCCACCTTCCGCGAAGCCATCATCAACCCATACATCCTCGACCCACTCTCCCAATTCCTCGCCGCCACGCTCGGTCTGTCCTCCTCAATGCCCGATCTCATGACAAGTGTGATGCTCGTGGGCCTCTTGCTTGTGTCTCTGGTTATACTGGACTATGTGCGCCGCTTGGTGATATGGTGGGTGATGTGGTGGGTACGGTTCATTGTGCGAGTGGTATTCTGGGGATTGGTGGTGTTTGCGGGCTTTTATGTGTATAATTTTGGCGTGGATAAGACCGTTCAGGATGCGGGCCGGTTGGTCGGTTTCGCGATGGGATTTGCGGAGCAGGTGTGGAATATGGTTGAGAGTGCGAGCGCGAATCGGAACGGGCATGGGAATGGGAATCAGAAGGGGAGTTGGAATCGGGGTGCCAGTGGGAGCGGGTGGAATTCCAACGGCGGTGCAAGTGGTGGTAGATGGTGGTAGGAAAGGTACAACAAACCTCAAGGGAGTGGAGTGTACCGTGGCCGCTTGTTGGAGGCCCTTTTGCATCATTCGGAGTATATTTGACTGGCTCATTGGAGTCTTGGAGTCTTGTGTCTCATGGGGGAGCGGTGTCTTTTGACCAGGTTGATTTTGTTGGACGTACGGGTAGCTGCATGGTTTTTTCATGGGTTGAGGAGATATGGGATTTTGATTTGGGGTGTCCTGCTCGGATTCATCCTCTAGGGCTGAAGATCAAAGTCGAGCTAGAGGCTTCGTTGGGAACAGCTATTTCATTGAGTTTTAAGAGAAAAGAAACAAATTGTCATCATTCATCACATATTGCCAACTACGCCGAGCTTGGTCATTGAGTATCACTCATATCTCCATGGGTACAAATGCCAGACTTTTTCAAGTAGAGACGGGAAATAGATGACTGGAAGATCAGAACAAACGAAAGTGCTTGACCAGATGATGTCAACAAATGCCTCGGGGGAATAGTGGGTATTTGAGCGTCTCTTTCGTCCACTTTTCGTAGGTCCATAAGGACCGTGACCTGATTCACCAAGGTGAATTAACCCCAACCCTGCGGCACCTTGCAACAGCTCGAAGCCCAGGATGGGATTAGTAGAAAAGACAGACTGCTGTGCTGCTGTGACGTCTTTCCAGACCCTGAGTGGCATACGACGCGGGCACACTGTATGTAATCCTCGAGACTCGAGAAGTTTCCCCAAGCACCTGGGCAAGGGTTGAAGATGGTAGATGGGTACCTCCCAGGGTAGGCTTCAGATTTCTGTTGTGTCCGCCATGATCTTCTGTTATCCTTGTTGTCGTCACTTGTCTCAGTCTTCGTAATTCACTTCTTGTTCATCCTTGGGTTCCCTCGGCTCTTGCGCCTCGTGGTACTGGATCGCATCGTCAATGTGACTCAAGATGCCCGCCACACTGTCCTCGTCCGACGCATCCAATTGCAAGAAAGAGACCATACTGAAGTCATCAATTAGCTGTGCGACTGCCCGGTTGAGTTGGTTGAACGAGCCACCGCTCATCAGCGCATCCTTGGCCATCGGGTTGGCAACCGCAGCCGCATCCTCTTCGTCCTTTTGCAGGAGTTGCACATCCACATTGGCAAATCGCCTCAATTCTCGACGTGTGACCATATCCTTCACCTGGTCCATCTTGCTCAAGATGTTCACATGGGGAATTTCGAGCATCAGCATAGCGGACATGGCGCTGAGGGTCCCAGCGAAGAACTTGGCTTTGTCCACGACAAAGGTGCTCTCGAGGAGATAGGCGGCACAGAGATTGATATTCAAGGGCCCTTGCCGGGAAAGGAATTGTGATAATGACGGGAGGAGGGGGATATATGAGTGTAGAGCTCGATCTGGCCGGGCATATCAAAGATGATCAGGTACTCTTCACTCAGTGGGTCCAGCGCTTCATTCAAGAATTCCAAGTTCTGCAGCAGGAACTCGAAGCAGTAGATGAGACCACCGTTGGGGCCTAGCCCCAGTTCCTCCATGACATCCTCAAGAGTGATCAATTCGCGAATATCCAGGTCGGGTTGATAGGCAAAGTTCTCGGCGGCGGGATCTAGATTGACGTAGAAGCAGCTGCGGCGCGTACTTTGAAGGTGTTGAATCAAGGCGTTGCTGAAGGTGGTCTTGCCAGCGCCGGCCGGACCCATCACCAGAACACCGAATTTTGACATCTTTGATAGTTTGATCTGCAGTTGGTCTGCAATGTGTGCTGTAGCCTGTGCTGGTGACGCCGTGCCAGGGTTACCTGAAGAGCAGTGACGTGCTTTCTCTTTTTCGGAGGGAGGTGTTTTTTTTTCCCACCCAGACTCGAGCTCGGTCTGTATCAGGCTATCAGCTTATCGGACTCGTCTCGGATATTGCCAGTGAGAATTTGCAGGCGATGCAGTTCCAGGACGCAGTGATCTGCACGGCGATACTCACCGCCCCAGACTGGATGCGGGCCGCTCGGGGGTCCAGAACTGCCGATGACGACCGCCTTCTGACCGCCCTTGGCAATTACTCGGGATTGCGCAATCGGAAGGACAAGTGAGGGGCTGCAGTCGTGCAGACGGCAGCCGCAGAGTGCAGACTGCTGCAGACGATTACAGCCTGCATTCTGCGAGGGGCACGGCGGTAGATGGGGTTCTCTTCTGCTCGAGATTTCCCGAAACCAGGGAAGAAGACACTCAACTCGACTTGGTTGGACTACAGAGTACTGTTTGGGAACACCTGGCTGAATGGTACGGAACGGAAGGCAAGAAAAAGTTAAAGTTTTCAGAATGGCGATTTTTCCCTTTCTTCCTTCCATGTTGATAGCACCGATGTTTGGGATCGTACTAGATACTAGATAGTAGTAGGTCGCGGATTGGAGGAAATCCCGAGGACCAAAACCAATGGCCCATAGACAGATCCGGGACTGATTGTACGAAGAACATCTTGACACTAGCAAATTGTCAAGGCCAACTGGGTACTCTGGAGTGCTGGGCCATCAAGAAAGACACAAAGTACCTGTCCCGGTCGTGAGTCGCGACTAACCGTCAGAGGTACCACCCACCGAATCCGCATTCCCGAGGACTTTGGCGGTACCCACGTGCAGCGCCCCTGCTGGGTGACCCAACCACGTACTGTTTGTGTACTCTTTCCAGCCATTTCCCCTCCGTGCCATAATTCTGCCACTGGGCCACAGGAAAAATCCCCCACCTGATTATTTTCCCACCCCCCTCTTTAGTCTTCCTTTTCTCTCCTTCCCATTCCTCTTCCCCGTTTTTCTTTCTTTCCTCCTGCATCCTCCTCTCTGTCTTCTTCTCATCTCTCAAAAATAAAAGACTTCACCCAAGTCACCAATTCTTCACAATGGGCTCTCTCGCAAACGGCTCCCAGCAGGGAACTTTCCTCTTCACCTCCGAGTCTGTCGGCGAGGGTCACCCCGATAAGATTGCGTGAGTTTGTATCCCCTGAAGACAGGGCAGGTTTCATGACGAAGGGTTCGTCCACTTGTGATCAATCTCTAATCTGGTATACGACTACTCCAGTGACCAGGTCTCCGATGCCATCCTCGATGCCTGCTTGGCTGAGGACCCCCTCTCCAAGGTTGCTTGCGAGACCGCCACCAAGACTGGTGAGTTTTTTGTTTTTTTTTTTTCTTGTTGCTGTCTTCTCTCTGCGGTTGTTTGGGCGTTCGGTCGCACACCCCCGCCTGTCCACATTGAACCCCTCCAAATTGACATGTGTTTGTTAGGTATGATCATGGTTTTTGGCGAGATCACCACCAAGGCGCGCCTGGACTACCAGAAGGTCATCCGTGACGCTATCAAGGACATCGGTTACGATGCTTCCGAGAAGGGTTTCGACTACAAGACCTGCAACGTCCTTGTCGCCATTGAGCAGCAGTCTCCTGATATTGCCCAGGGTCTGCACTACGACGAGGCTCTTGAGAAGCTCGGCGCTGGTGACCAGGGTATCATGTTCGGTTATGCCACCGACGAGACCCCTGAGCTTCTCCCCCTTACCATTCTGCTCTCCCACAAGCTCAACTCTGCCATGAAGGCCGCCCGTAACGATGGCTCCATTCCTTGGTTGCTCCCCGACACCAAGACCCAGGTGACCATCGAGTATGCCCACGACAACGGTGGTGTCAAGCCCCTGCGCGTGGACACTGTTGTCATCTCTGCTCAGCACACCGAGGATGTCTCCACTGAGGAGCTCCGTACCGTCCTCAAGGAGAAGATCGTCCGCAAGGTCATCCCCGCTCACCTGCTCGACGACCGCACCGTCTACCACATGCAGCCCTCTGGCCGCTTCGTCATCGGTGGTCCTCAGGGTGACGCCGGTCTCACTGGTCGTAAGATCATCGTCGACACCTACGGTGGCTGGGGTGCTCACGGTGGTGGTGCCTTCTCTGGCAAGGACTACTCCAAGGTTGACCGCTCGGCTGCCTACGTTGCGCGCTGGATCGCCAAGTCCTTGGTTACCGCCGGTCTCGCCCGCCGTGCTCTCGTTCAGCTGTCCTACGCCATTGGTGTCGCCGAGCCCCTGTCCATCTTCGTTGAGACCTACGGCACCAGCCCCAAGTCCTCCGACGAGTTGGTCCAGATTATCCGCAACAACTTCGACCTCCGCCCCGGTGTGATCGTCAAGGAGCTTGACCTTGCCAAGCCCATCTACATTCAGACTGCCAAGAACGGTCACTTCACCAACCAGAGCTTCTCCTGGGAGAAGCCCAAGGCCCTGAAGTTCTAGATGGACTTTCCCCACCCCCCCCCCCCCCCCTTTACTCCGATTTTTAATTCGGGCAACGCTGTGACGACTGTGACGAGTATGCTTTGTTTTCAACAACTCAAAGCACCTGCATAGACCTTATACACAAAGAAAACCCCCTCGAAAAATCTCTTCGTGACACTGCAGGTTTGGCGCGTTCCAAGTGTTCCTCACGGAGAGCGCTTGCCTGTGTCACTTCTTCTATCCTTTCTTGTTTCATTATTCTGCATGGTCGCCCCAACTGATGGGCCTTACGGCGAAGACAAAAATTCAACATGATACCACTATTCATCGGCTGGCAAATGGGAAGCTTTTTTTCGGCGTTTTTTACGGAGCGAACGTCTTCAACAAACACATTACCCTTTTTGCAATTTTTCAACCACTTGATCGGTCCCCCGCAAGTGGTCTTTTCTCATCAAGGCTTCTGCACCTGCGTGCGGGGTCAACATCCTTTTGGTACCGAAGGGGGACGGACTAAGGGGTTGGAGGAAGCCTGGTTGCTCTGCCTCTTGCAGAAGGGAGCTTTCATCGCATTCTCTCTCACCTCGAGAGGTCACCTCCTGACCTGCAGTCCTCGTGCTGATTTCATCATTGGCAAATAGAATTTAATTTTGACATCATATCACCATTCTTTGATGATTGATACTATGCTTTTCCGGTCCCTCTCTTCAGTAAAGTAGTAATCTCGATCATTCACTATATTCACATGCAGTCTCCGTCACTACTTTGTAGTCAGATCCGTCGGGACTTGGCACAGCATGTCTGCACCCGATTGCAGACAAATTAATACCACTGAGTTAGTACCTACTTAGTAACATGATCTCACCAACCTAGCTGGAACGCCAGGTGCCTCTTCTCTTGCCTTGTAAGTCGGGATCCGAGTCACTATGGTAACAGTAACAAGTCGAGCCAGGAATGATGTCTTCAAATCTTGTAAAAAGCATGCAGATGGACAGGATGACGGTCCAAGGTCGGGAATGTTTCGCACTGGTGGCGACATCATCGCGAGAGTACACTCAGTGAAGTATGATTCATGTATATTACACTCATAGATCCAGGAACGTTTCAAACATACGAGTCCTTTGTCGATATGGAATACTTGGCAGCCAAGGCAAGGGGGCGGCAGGCATGGATTCAGAACTGTGCAGCTGCTGTATACTTGTAGTATCATTTACTATTGTGCTATGTACATCTCCTCGCAGACAAAACCCAAGTCACCCAATATCTACTTTACAGATTCGCGGCGACGGGGCTCCCCACCGCAGCCCCCTGCCTAATCATAGCACTCAACTTGGCCGCCATTGCCGCAATGGGCGCCGTGGGATGACCACTGATTTGTTCCGGGAACACGCTCGCGTCCATGACCCGAAGGCACTTCACGCCATGAACACGACACTCCGGGTCGACTACACTTGTGGCGGGCGAAGGGCCCATGCGAGCCGAGCCCACGGGGTGGTATAGCGTGAAGGCCTTTTCATCCATGAAGCGGATGAGTTGGTCGTCGGTGATGGCGTCCGGGTTGGAGCTCGAGTACGGCCACCAGTAGGAGGTGGGGTCGTCGTTGACGGGGACGGGGTCGAAGTAGGCTTTGAAGGCGGGACTTTGCATGATTTTGAGACAGACGCGGAGGCCGACGAGAAGGACGTTGCGGTCGTTGTTGTCTTTGTCGGTGAGGTAGCGGGGGTCGATGATGGCTAGATAGGAGAGGGGGTTGCTTGTTAGGGTTGATGCGGGTTCATGGCTGAATCAGTTGTTGTTTGTGGGTGGAGCAAATTCTCACCTGCGTCGAATACATCCCGACTACGAAGGGTAATCGTGCCGTGACTCTCTGGACGAAGACCAATCGGTACTAATGTGAAGATGCTACTGTCGTTCAGAGGTTTCTCCTCGCCGTGCTGCAAGAAGCAAATTGGGGCCCCAATGATCTCCAGGTCCGGTGCGTTAATACTGGACGCCTTGTCTTGAGGTGATTTCGTGGTCTGAGGGAAGTTGTAATCGACCGAACGGATAAAGGCTGCGGCTTCGCCCACATTGCTGGTCAACGGTCCGCCGCCGGTCAATAACCAGCGCGCGAGCGCCGGGAGAGCCTTGAGGTCATTGCCCAGGTAATCCAGCGTGTAGCCATCCTTGGCCTTGATTGTAATCGGTGTGGTACACAAGTGATCTTTCATATTACGGCCCACTGCATTGTTCTCCTTGACGACGGGAATACCGTGTTTGGTGAGCTCGTCGGCTGGTCCAATACCACTCAGCAGCAGCGTCTGTGGTGTATTAATCGTGCCACCGCTGAGAATGACTTCTCGTCTCGCGTGTACTTCAAACCATGGACCACCGCGGGTGGTCTGGAGTTCAACTCCGATGGCGGTGGGCTCCTTGGTGGTGATCAGATCAAAGAGAACCCGATTGACGCGCACGTTGCACGCCACGTACAGATTGGGTCGAGCGAGGACATCCGGCGTGAAAAAGGCCGTCGCCAGAGAAGAGCGCTGGCCCTTGGTATCAATGAAGGTCTGGAACCGAGTCACCCCGAGACCGCCCTGCTTGGTGTTGACATCGGCCACATCGGGGATCTGCGCATCGGCACAGGCCGGAAGGAATCCCTTCTCGACGATTTCTGAGAGCCACGAGTATCCCGTCATCCATTGACCGGTGGACCCCCGATGTTGGGCGTCGATAGCGGGCCGCCCCGGGTGCGGCGTGAATCGCTCCATGCTTCGCAGGTAGGGAGCCAGATCGGCATGGCTCCAGCCCTGACAGCCATGGATGTTGGCCCATTCGTCAAAGTCCGATGGGGAGCAATGATGGTACATCATCGCGTTCATAGAGGATGATCCGCCGAGGATCTTGCCGCGCGGCCAGTAGAGCGAGCGATTTGCGAGCTGGGATTGCTCCACGGTATAGTAGTCCCAGTCATGCGGGGAGTGGAACAATTTGGAGAACATCAGGGGAACCTTGCTCTCAAAGACCTTGCGATTATCGCCGCCGGCCTCAAGAACGAGAACGGAGACATTTTTGTCTTCGGACAATTTACTGGCGAGAACGCAGCCTGCTGCGCCGGCACCGACAATGACTGTGATTTACTGTTCAGTTGAAAGTCTCCTACAAGAGGGGACCGTTGTATGCTCGGATCACCCATGGGAATACAGCCATCATACCGTAGTCATAACTCTTCAAGCTCCTCTGCGCCGCGGCATACGAGGCCGGTGGGCCGTTCAACATCTGCGGACTGGCATAATGAAGCGGGTTGGTGAGTGGGTTGGCGTGTCGTCGGCCCATGATGGAAAAGACGCTGAGTAACAGGTTACCCTGTCGACTCTATAGCAGAGTAGGCAGCTAGATACAATCTGGCGCAGATCTATGGTCAAACAAGCACCAGGCGATCTTCAGCAGACAGGACTGAGATAAAGTAGAAGATCAAGAGAGGGAATTCATCTCCTCTTGGACTGCCGCAGTCAGCTCTTGGATTTCCCCTCCCATTGACCGCCAAATAAGCTTTGGCAGTGAGTTTGGTCGGCTCATCAAAGTTTGCGGGGCTTCTCAGCAGAAGAGCATCGCCGGTTGTGCCTCGGGATTTGGGGATGCGGAGGCGGGAAGCATTGACATCCTTCCTCTTGTGCCCCCGCTCTGTTCCACAGTTGCCACCTTGACGCTCATGCTCGCCGCTTCTCGAGGACGGCGGGTTTTTGCGCATTCTGGGATATGGTGTCCGGGAACAGGTCGAGCTTAGAGAGGTGCTGGACCATCCGATCGATGACAATCATTTCGAGCGGATGGCCCGGTATCGTGCATGCATAATTCGGTTGAGATTCAGGCTCGGCACGCATGAATCAGCGCGACGATTTTCTGACTCGTGAAGAGCTGCCTCGTGGACGTTCCGTCTTCAAGGGAATGCGCCCTCCCTTTTGTGATGCACACCTCGAATGAACACATGCAACTGGACTAAGGACGTGTTCCCCTCCTGTCTTCGTAGCCACCGTGGTGCCTGAGTTGTAAAAGGCACTTGGACATGCCTCGTGGTCAGACCTTCTTGTGCTTACGTCTACCTAATCACTACGCCGCGGTCATGCAAATCCCCGAATAGATACCTCGGCAAATGTGTCTCAAGCGGAGCTTGACCACGATTGCTGAGTGAACCTGACGAGACGGACTAGCCTGATTATATTGAAGGCCAGTGGGCCATACGTAGTTGATCCACTACCGATCAGATCCATACACTAAACCGACAAGGATGTTAACATCAGCACAAACGGGCAACCCTCATGTATTCATGGCGCTTGGGGCGAGTGGAGCTCGCGAGGGTTCTAAATTTTGATGGAAGGACATCTCGAAGAGTCCATCTACTACTAGACAGCTTTGGAATGACGAAGAAGATGTTCCTCGCTGGCTCTCAGTCCGAGTGTGCAGTGGGCGTGCATGACAGACATTCAAGAATTCTTCGCCATTGCAACCGTATGTATACATCCTTTCGGGGAGATGATCCAGCCCAGACTGCCTATCGAAGGACCCAAAGTAGCCGGGCACTTAACCCGGAAATCCAGTCTCTGATCGATCGGGTCCGTGGCGGGAGGCTACATACATACACTCTTCCGCCAGGAATGGACGCTTCCAAAAGGTACATTGATTCAAGCTCGAATCGTGCACCGATGAATATTGCCTAGTCATGAGATACTACTGAAAACGAGGTAAACATCCCGGCAATCAAAATCAAAGTGCTCAGTACGCGTCCGATATACTTCCTCTTGATACCACATGATTCAAGGATGTTCTGGCAGCCTCAGGCACCCAAGGCCGGAAATGAGGGACTCGCTCAGGCCTCGACGCGTGACGCCAGCCAGAAGCGCTTTGCCGAAACGCGCTGCTCCGCTTATCTTTAATTAACAGATTGAATCTCGTCGCCCGCACGCAACCTGACGGACAAGGGCATATTCGTGTCGACCAAACCCAATACCACTTGGTCTCTGCTCTTCTACGACGTCACTGCTATTGAATCTCTCCAATTCACACTCATACAAGCACGCTTTCCGGCTTCCCTCGACCACGGCACCATGTTCATGGGATCCTGAACGTGATCATGGCCTTGCGCGTAACCCCCGCCGCTCCAGATCGTCTCCATGGGTCTTCACTGAATAAGCTCCATGCGTGTGACCCGCCCGCCAAGAGGCGCAAGATCCAGGCTGAAGATGCATCGGGTACTCTCTTAACAAACTCAATTGTGATACGGGTGAGTAATGCCTAGACACATCCATTCCACCATCCAGGCCGGAGGCCGTCTATCCCAATGCATGAGCGATTTGTTGGCTCACTTCTTCAGGCCCACGCCGCCTCCTTGTCAGATGAATCACTCGTCTTCACTCCAATTTGTCTTGTGCCCCGATCGCGATTTCCACTATCATGGCTCGAAGACCCTGCGTGGCTACGTTCCGATGCGCAGCCCGCAGGTCTGTTCGCCGCCGACAATCCTCCTCTCGAGTTGGACTTACGATCGTGTACGGAGCCCACAGTGCTAGCCGTTCGATTAGCGGCCACGGGAGCGCTGTATGTCATTGAGAGAATCAAACGAGGCATATACTCGCTCTGGCGGCTGGCCCGATGGATACAGGAAGGTGACATTGTCGTTGCTGCAAAGGGATGGCAAGGGTCGAATGACATCGCGATGGATATGGTGGAAGAGGAGAAGCCACCTGCCATCTTGGACGGGTCTGACTGGTGGCAGAATGCACAGATTGAGGAACCCTCGTCTGATCTCCTTCTGGGGGAGGAAATCGCAGGACTACAAGTGAGCGTCGTGTTTCAGGCGTCAGGTACGCCCGAAGCATCAAGGAAAACGCCGTCGGCGCAGCCATTGGGGGATCCAAAGCAAACTGCGGCGGGTGCAACACCTGTGCGCGAGAGTCAAATCGACCCTTCAACCGCGCTGGCCGAGTCTCTCATGCAATCCGTTGACCATACCACAGAATTGGATCTGCTTCAAGAGTCCAAGCGGTCCCCCGAAGAACTACTCGAAGGGATGCGAGAACACTACTTGCAAGCTCTCTACATATCAAAGGTAAGCGATATAACGCCATTTCTTGGAGAGCTCAAGATGCTAAATATTTGTCAAGACATCACTCGCCTATTTTGCCAAAGGACCATTAACTCGCTGCCGCGCTGCCTTTAATGGTTCAGACACGACCGGCGCGGGAAATACATGTCAACTCATTGAGCATTACCGCGAAGCGATCCTTGCTGCGAAGAAGATGGACCTGAAGTACCGCGAGTCGCTTCCCGCGGCTGTCCGTGAAGCTGTGCTTGCCGTATCGGAGGACGAAGCTTCTTCGACCAGGAAACGTCGCACCAAGAAGAAGAAGCTGGGCAAGGATGGCCTGTACCCCGAAGAAGATGGGTTCATTCGGAAGTGGTGGAAAGACCGAAAGATGATAGACTCCGTCGCACCGGAGGCTTCACGCGAAGCAGAAACGAAGAAGCACATCTCAGATCTCCGACTACGTGAGACCCAATTACAGATTCTCTTGATCCTGGAGATCTTGGCTTTGGAATCAGTGCCGCCCAGCAATACATGCCAGGGCGACGAGCAGAAAGCTGACAGAGAGACGGACACCTCGAAGAAGAGCACCAAGAAACCGCAAGACTTGAACGTGCTACTAGAGCTACATCTCGACCGACTCTGCATCTGGCATGCAGTCAGTATCGAGGACACTGCCGGCGAGGACTCCTCGCAATCGTCGTCCCTGGTCGATGGCCAGCAACCCAGGAAAAAACCAGAGAGTGACGCCGTCCGCGACTTTTGCACTGAAGTCATCATCCCGTTCTATGCGTCACGCCTCCCCAATAAATGCAAATTGATTACACGCAAATTCGGGGTATCTGGTGGCGTCTCATCGGCTGCAAAGAAAACCCAACCGTCGAGCAAGCCACATCGCCAGGACCCAAGTTCTGCGACTAAGCGGGAGCTGCCGGTGAGGAAACCGAGAAAGTCACTGCAGCGGGTTCTAACGGACGAGAAAGCAGCGGCTTCTCAAATTCGTCACCCGACACTCAGTCGAGCCAAGACGGCCCCGACGCCGCGTGATGCCACGCGCGACTCCCTTGAACCTCTGCTTCCCACAGTGATGGGCGGGACCACTGTCCGTGGAGGTATCCAGTTGAAGAGGGTCGAAAACCGCGAGATTGACCTCAATGCGGCTGCAAGGCAGCACGAGACCAAGTTACGCAAAGTGCAGATGTTGGCTGACCAGAAGAAAGAGCTTGACAGTGCCATCCAAGCTCTTCGGAAACCTAATCGTGAACTTGTTGCCAAGGATATCGCAGAGGACGTAACGAAGCGATTGTCGACAGGAGGTGGCAGCTCTCGCAAGTCAAAGAATCCCGTTAGGAACCCGCTGGGCGAGGGTGTCCAGGTGATGGCCACTCCGCGTGGTAATCGTAGAAGGGATGCTGTGACTGGACTGCCTTCCTTGTCACGTACACTTGTACCTTCACGCTCTTTCGCCGGCGAGATGACCGAAGCCTCTCTTGCAAAGTCGCCCGTCATGATCCCTTCTTCAACACGTCGAGCTATATCCTTCTCAGGCCCGGACTCCTCGCTGTTTGACTCGCAGCCCCGTTCTCAGAAGAGGCAGGCCGAATCACAAGGTCAACCACAGGAGCTGGGCTCAATCCAGGAAACGCCTACTCGGCCATCCTCGAAGTCACTTTTCGAGAATCAAAGCGTAAACAAACTGTCCCGTCCAGGTCTTCCGTCAAATAGTGGCAGAGGGCTCTTTCGCATGCCTGAACTCCCAGCCTCTCGACCTTCTCAACCGGATCACGAGGATACTTCAGGGCATGCTCAGCCCGCCGAACCAACCACACCGGTGTCTTCCCGCCGGCAAAGAACACTCAACGTGATCTCGGAATCGCCCATGGTCGCAAAAACCCCTGAAACTCACAGATCTTCCATGATGATAGCGGACACGCCACCGAAGCAGCAAGCTGTCGGGCGTACTTCCCTCATACCTCGGTCGATCCCTCTTTTCGCGCCGACTACTTCACAGGTTCCTGCATCTCCTATGAAGGAAATCCCAGTCAAGAATCATACTCTTGTACCTTCAACCCCGGAGAAATCGCAGAATAAGTCGATATACAAGCAATTGGGCTGGGACGACGAGGAAATGGATTTGTGAAATCTAGTCTTGCATATCATGTTCACAATTCTACCCAATACAATGTTTGAAGGATTTGCATGACGTCAATTGTTAGACCTGCCCTATGAGGATTTCTAACCCCGCAAGCAAATGTCAAGTTTATAACTTTGACGGTCTATTTAGTGGAGCAGCGTGAATTTGAATATCACGGACCGTTCATACTACGGGCGCAGGGCGGTCTGATGGGCACATCTTCCTCGGCCGAAAGATGGAGCTTCAACAAGACGAGACGCCTTTCCGTAGGATCGATTGTCGCCTTATAGGTAACAGGAATTGTAGTACATGACACTCACGCCTACTGATGCGGCTTAGCCCCATCGATCAAACAGGGAACTGAACGAACAGTTCCACTATTCGTTCTCTGAACAGGCCCGCTGCAAAGAGAACAGCCTGCACTTACCTAACCACCCGACACACTGGAGTTGGGCGAGAGACGTGTTCTCGCGTCGTGGGCAAATTATCCCACTCGTTCAAGGTTCTGATGGCTGCCCCGAATGCACAAGGGTCCCCAAGCTATTGAAGGGGTGAAGCTCTCCCACCCATGACGCATTACATCCCAGAACCCACTCACAGCAACATGTTTCGAACCGCGAGGTGTCTGCTGGGTAGCACGGTGTGGTACATGATATCGGCACCCGGAGCATGTAAATAGCCCGCTGTTAGCCAACTTCGTGAGACGAGGCGACGCCCCAGGAAATCATTGCGTAGATACGCAGCTGCTTGCCTCGCCCTTGGCTGCCTTGCCTCGGATCTTTCAGCAGGGGTTTCACTGAGCGCCCTGTGGCAGTGTTAGATAGCGAGACACCACTTCCTGTGAGCATGGTGTTAGCCTTTCTGCTTTACTTAGTTCCGTACTGCATCACACGTCGTAACATCGGGCCAATGTGTGACAATGATGAGATAGTACCTGCACCATAATCCACGGATCCAGATCGCAGAGACAGCCGGACCATTGTCGGCGTTTTCCTGCGAAATAGCTGGAGATCGCGAGAGCAAAGAGGGATACGGTGTGCATCCATAGCCGAACACTTCACTTGAGGCCAAGTTTGAGCCTTGAATTGAGCAGCGACGGTATAAGGGGGCAGTTTTTGAATCTTTGAATTGCGAATGGATCTGACTGGTTTCTCATTTAGTTGATGGCTCTCTTAGTTTTATGGATCGTCAAGAGCTGCCTGCACAGACCGATATATAATGTTCCATGGCTTGTAGTCAGCGTCAGAGATCAACGAGAAAGTTGAGGAAGAGAAAGGTCCACCGAGAGAGGAAGGTCTGGTAGACCCGACAGTAGTCATTTTTGGCAATTAACTTCGAACAAGAGAGATAATGAAATTGGATGACCAATGAAGGTTGTTTTGCAGGATAGGTGGTTGAGGGAGAGGTGACTTGAAGGCGGCGGCTGGGGAAAGAAGGTCTTCCCACGGACTTTCGCAAAAGTTGTAGCAAACGGGCATTGTCGAGGCTCTATTCATCATTTCAGTAGGTCTCGACGGGCTCTTTGTAACGTTTGATGGAGATCACAATCCTTCTACTACTGCTACCGAATATTCTTGGAATCATCATGGAGCACGAAAATTTTGGTACCGCGAAACTAGTGTTGTGGGAGACAGTTAGAAGATACGTTGATGGACTTACTAAATTCAACGGCAAGAGCGTGCGGGAAGACTCGAGAAATCCAAAATTCGAGGAGCTCAGAGCAAGAAAAAACATTGAAAGAAAGAGTCCTGTACAATGCAGGTATATAAGCCCTCTACAAGCTGACTCTGCAACGAACAGGCCCTCTCCTCGATGGAATTCTCTTCACAAATGTTACACACATTGGGTAGAGCTCATTCCGTTGAATCCGCGGGACTTCATCTTTCCAGCGACTCAAATCCACTTGTACCCCCCGATAAATGACCATGATGCCTCGCATGCCTGACATGTCCTTCGATCACTTGATGATTTCCCATCACAGGTCGATCCGAGAATCCATTCTGGTCTACCTCGCCCACCATAGTTCGCACTATTGATTGTGGCGACGACCCCGTGGATAGAGAAGGCGGAACATCTTCAGGTCTTGTACCCCACGCACCTTCATCGGCTCCAAGGGTAAGAGCAAGATTCTGGCCTTCGGTGAAAAAGTCGTGACTAACCCAGTTTCGGGTATAAGGCTTGCCATTCAGGGTCGCGGATTGGATGAAGCCCGTGCTTCCTGTACTATTAGCAGCACTAAACTGTGCCCAGTTGACGACATGAACTGTTGCAGTCTTGCCCGTGAGCGGCGAGATAATGCTGATTGACTCAAAAAATGGGACCGTGATCAGGTAGACACTTTGTCCTGGATTCGGGAATAGACCCATCATAGACATTGCGACAAACGACCCCATTGCTCCCGAGTCGTCATTTCCTGGAAGTCCGGAGGGAGTCGGGGAAAAGTAATTTGGGATATAGGTGCGGACTCGGGCAGTAGATTTAGCGGGCCGACCAGCATAGTGATATTGATACACGGTGAGGAAAGCTGGCTCGTTGCCGATGTAGGTGATGTTTTGATCATGAAGGAAGTCGAGGCGCTTGACAAAGGTAGACGGCCCTCCTAGCATGACTATAAGCGCGGCCATATCATGAGGTACAAAGCTTGAAGTTTTCGAATTAGCTGAGATTAAGGCAAGATGTTTGGTTGCTTGGGTGCAAGGAGCGACACATACAATTGATATTCCCAGATACTCGACTCAAAAGTTTCTGCTCCATTGTTCTGAAGTGAACAGACACTTCCACTGTTGTCGATATTCGAACACTTTAGCGGATCTTGGTACCCCCACGTCTGATTAAGATACTTGGGTTGGAAAAAGCCAGTAAACCCGGTATTGGTTCCATTGAGGTAAGAGGTTTGATTGGCGTCAAAGAGGTTCTTCCACGACTGGGATCGCTTCTCGTAACCTTCGGCATCGATGGTCAGGTTCATACCTCGGGCCATCTGTGCAATGGTAAAGTCGTTGTACGAGTATTCCAAAGTCCTCGAGATACTTCGCGTCATGGTACCAAAGCCAAGATGGTCAAAGTCCTCCACCGGGATGTAGTGGAGATTCTTCCAGCTTTCAAGACCGCCGCGGCCTTCGTTAGACCAGTCAAAAGGCTCCTGCTCAGCATCCTTCTTGACTGCCTCATACCCTGCAGTCCAGTCAATGCCGTTTTTCAATCCTTTGACATATGCATCGGCCAAGATGTTGTCTGCGTTTGAGCCACCTTGTGTGAAGCCTGCAATATCAGGATCAGCGGGGTTCTGATCGGGTTAAATTTCAAGACCGTCATGCTACCTTTACAAAGAGACATGCGGCAGTCTGGGAGCCAGCCCAGGTGACGCTGGGTGTCGATTAGAGAGCGCACCATCTGGGCCACAGCATTCGGATCAAAGATTATCAGAAAGGGGATCTGGGAGCGGAAGGAATCCCATAGACTGAAGTGAGTTAGAAAAGGGGTTTCAAAGAGCGCACTCTCACGTACCAATAGAAAGAGTCGAAATATGGTTCTGAGCTTTTCCAAAGAGGATTCTCATCTGTATAGTTCTGTGGGTTGATCAAAGTTCGGTATATGCCACTGTAGAAATTGGTAAGAACCGAGGGCTGAACACCGGTCCGTGAGACTCGAATAGAACGCATCTTCTCGGACCATCGCTCAACAGCGGCCTTGTGTGTGGCGTCAAAGTCAAAGTCGCCAATCTCATTTTCGGCATGCGCGCAAGCTTGCGCAGGGCTAATGAAGCTGACGCCCACCCGCGCTTGGATCACTCGATCTGTCGAGGCCTCATGGCGTATGAAAGCGCCTCCCTGATCCCCTGTCAGACTATACCCATGCCTTCACTGTGAGAACTAAGAACGCCTACCTACCGGAAGAGGATACCCATTGATGCCTCGTGAAACAGTCAGCTCATGCACATCGGTACTTGCTCGAGCATCGACAAATATGCCGCTATCCCTGACTGGGCCAGAGCTATGGAAATCGGCGCAAAAGTGGAGTGTGTATGATCCACTTCCAAAGCTTGGCAAGAATCTGCCACTGCCCGTCATCCGCCCTTTGCCTTGCTGAACCACAATCGTGGCATTGTCTTGTCGAGAATCGGAAAGATCGGACAGATCCAAAAGGATCAGAGGCTTGCTGCATTCCGGGAAGTTGAAGCGAAAGAGCGATGTGTGCTGAGCGGCCGTCATCTCCACCTGAACTCCCGTCTGCAGTGACAGTGCAAAGTACCCAGGACTGGCCTTGACCGAGTCTGGCACGTATGGTGTTGCACGCGATTTCTTCGGATAGATGCAGCCATTGACCTCGTCATTGTCGCAACTGACATGGGGAAACAATGGGAAGTTTCCAAGAGATGGGCTTCCCCCTGTCCCCGAGTCGTGCATGCTCGAGAAGCCGGTGACATTACTCCCATCGTATGCAAAGCCGCCCTGGTTGCTACTAGAGTCTGTATCCGCGCCCGCCTTGGCCATGCCATACGGCAGCGAAGCACCGGGGAACACATTGCCTGCCGACCAACAATCATTAGTAAGGAGGTGAAGTCGTTGGGCAAAGCTGACCACCTCATATTTTGGGTTTCCAGTATAAGATGGAGCATACCGCCGTTGGCGCTGCCGATCAGCGGGTCAATGTATGGCAGCACATCGTAATTATCGATGGAGGCAAACTCAAGCGCGTCTGTCAGCGCGCATCTGCTGGCGAGAATGACTGAGAGACTGATGCGCCATAACCACATCCTTGAAAGCGCGTGCGAAAACGAAAGCAATCGATGCCCCTCCGAAATGAGCAGCATCTCTGTTATTAAAACCACTGTCGAAAGGAGTCTTGAGGTTTCACCGGAATGCGGGCATGCGCCTTCCACTCCCCCTGTCGATCGTCCCCGCGTTGTTGTGCATCATGATGAATGCAATGAAACCCTACCTGCAGATCCAGTACCGTTCAGGTCTTAAGCGCATTATCTTCGCTGAGTCCTGTGTTGCGTCGTGATTCAACACCTGAGTGGTGTAGTGATAAGCCGACACGCCATATGATCGTCTGAAGGGATCAGGTGCTCGTCGCAGATGAAACGTGATCATCTGCCGCCGATCCCCGCGAGATTCATCCCAGCTTCCAATCTATCAGACGAGTTTCGTCGTCGGCCCCTTCCGTCTTGGGTCGAAAGGTCCAAGAGACGAGGTGGACGCACGGCCCTTCTTTTGTCAATTGTCCATAGATCGTTAAATCAACAAAGACATTGTTTGTGGATGCGACAGTAGCCGAGAAAATGTTCTCATCGCTACAGGCTCAAACGATCGCCAAGTGCACAATAACTTTCCTCTCACCCTCAATCAAGGTCTTCAAGTCTGCCGAGTCTCAATGTTGCTCATGACCCGTATTTTGACTGTGGTGGAAGCGGCATCGAAGATGTCCCCAATATCTGCGTTTTTGGAGCCTCAAGTTAAATGGAATCCAGCGGCGACATTCGTGGTGAATTTCGTACATGACTCTCGAGACCATGTTCACGCCGCGCATTAATTCTGGTAGCAGTGATCATGGGGTTCATAGGCTCTCATAGGTGCCCGTGCAGACTACAGGCAAGTATAGATCACTATTCAGACCAGTCTTTCACTTGTCTTGTCCGAATGTGAGAAGTCTGATCTGACATCCACAAGGATGAATACTCAGGCCGATATGTTTTAGCAGATCAGGATGTCAGCGCAGTCCGTTGTGTGAGAGCCGAACTTTAAGCCCTAGGCGCAGGATATGATTCCTTGTAGGCATGTCAGCCTTGTATCATCCGCTTATGCTTAAGCCCAGCCTGGTTGTTACAGTCTATTATATTAATGGTCGAGTCTCCGCGAAACCGACAGTATACAGTCTCTCGTGTTGCTCTTCAAGTCTACAGCCTCTCTGGGAAGACAGCTCCCCATCACAATGTCAAACGAAAAATCCAATTGAAATTTGAGCAATTTATTGAGCTATGCTAATGTAGGCCCTCGTTTCTGATAACGAAGATACATGACTTCCTCCATATTTGAACAGCTCCGCTTTCCAAGCACTCTCAACGCTTCTGTTACTGTACTCACAGAGCCGGAATCACCAGCTTCTCATTCTCATCGGCCTCTCGGCTGAGTTGGATAGCCAAGAGCGCTGAAACCGCTCGTGGCGTCTCCGCCCAGGCCTGGTAGACCATTCGGAAGTGAAGGAGGGAAGACTGATTATGCTCCCGATCACTCAGGTTGTCCCACTCTGCAGCACCACCTTTTCGCACGGTCATTGCAAGCCACAGCAGCCACAAAGGCTCTCTCAGCTCAATCCAGTCGATGAGCTCGTGAATATTGTCCAATAGACGCTCCAAGGTGAGGTGCCGAATGTGTCGGGACTCAAGGAGGGCCGCGTTGCGACGGATCTCCGGTATCTCGCAATGATATCTGAGGAAATCTACGACGCCCGCGGGATAATTTGCAAGGGCCGGAAGATGCAGTTCTGCGAGCCTGTCAATATCTTGCAGCTCGATGTACAGCTTGATCTTCATAAGGCACAGCATAAGAAGTAGATCAAGAGACCAAGCGCGGTCGCCGAAAATGGCAATATCTTCGAAAAAATCGACCATGTAGGGCCCAATCTGGGCATTGGGAAGCACGTCGACAGTGTACCGGAGACCCAAGTAGATGTTCGCATTGTCAGGCAGGGCAAGGCTCTGCATTCGCCAACGAACGAAGTCGTAGAACTCCTGGTACTGGCCGATTCTGAGGAAAAGTGGCAGTATGAGGCGCGAAATGCGGAAAGGGTCTCCCTGTCCCCCCAGCTGCAACATTAGCAGCGCGGACCTGACCATTTCCTCAACCGCGGCTCTGTGTCGAACCCGGCTTTGAAGTTTGAGCAGCTGATAAACTTGCTCCATCCAGCTGGCTGTTTCTTCGTGCTCCCGAGATGAGCCGACTGAGTTTGTTGCTGGGGCCTGGTTGCCTTGTCGTAGATCCTCCAACATTTCATCGAGCACACGTTGGCATTGGTCGATATGGGGACACCACTCCCTGTGAGTCTTGGTGTCAGCCACCTGATGCTCCGTAGTACACCAGGCGACGCAGCGGCAAGTTGGGCAGGTGATGTTGGCGTCACCGCCACAGACGACACAGGACTCAGGTAGACTTGTCTGCTCCAAGATGTTGATCTGCAAGCTTGTCAAAAAGACTGTGTGGAAGGTGAACACTGCGGTAAGACTGACAGGTTCTTCTCGAATGTCTGGCCAAGTCATATCGACAAATGAGGAACTGCGCCTGCTCCAAAATCTGAATGGCTGACCAGCGTTCATTTGGAATGTCAAATCACTCAGTAGTCCCAGACGGTAGAGTAGTGGGGATGATATTTGGCCTTGCTCTCTCGTGAGAGTAAAGTAGTCTTCGAGAGAATCAAGTAGAGGTTTGAAGAAGAGAAGATTTGGAGGGGGTGAGGGCGGTGGTATTTATACCTGAGACCTCGTGAGAGATCTGACACCAGTGGTAGCAAACATCTTCTAGGCTCCGATGAGCAGCTTCCCTAACGTGGTCTTCTCTATCGCTCTGCGAAGTTCTAGAATTCTGCCTGCTACGGAATATTTGCGATGTCTCCACTTAGCAAACATTACTTACCAGGCAACGGCCGCCCTGCTACGAGGGCAGGTGACTGGCTTCTATGTTACTGCGTCCCTTATATCTAAGGCCAATTGCTCTCACTTTCATCTCACCTTACACTACGCTCACATAAATCACGATCTGAGTCTGCTCTCTATCTAGCCACCTATCAAATTAACATAGGCGGTGAAACTGTGCATGCAGTATCAGCGCATAAATAGATCTTGATGCTGTACTTTTCAAGGACTTACGAAGACACAATCAAGACACAGACGTGAGAGACACTTGATCTTTCCATTGTCCAGGAATCCTTGGAAAGCCAAAGACGTTGTTAGTTGAGGTTTTAGTTGAATGGAAAGACTTACATTAAACACTTCCGTTGTCGCGGGTTCAGAAGATCACCAAATACAACATCATTCATTCAAATCTCCAGGTTTCGAGTCTACCGGCTCTCAATGTTGCCCACCACCTAGATTCTGCTCCTGGAGGAAGCGGCGTCGGAGATGCTCCGAATGCTCAGGTTGCTTTGGGCAGATATTCACTCTCAGTTTGTGCGTGGACACAATTCATACTTCCGTTTGGATCTCGGCAGTTACTGTTGAAGGTTGGAACTATGCTCACGCCAAGACTGTAGGGCTGATGAAAGCCTACCCAACCGGGCTTTACGAGCACCACCATCTTTATATCGAGCAGTCTCCTCATCTGGATCGAGCTCGACTCGGAATTTCCTGGGTCATGTCTCGCCAGTTACAGTACAACAAAAGAAAGGTGCGCAAGCCCTTCGTTGTGTACAATGTTCAACAATGCCATTTGTTTCACCCAAACACCTTCTACAAGAAGACAGCAGCCCAGGCTCTTGGAGTATCAAATAAAAGTCGAATACTTGGGCAGCTTCTGAGCTATGCCTTGCTGGACTAGCTAATATCGAAAATACACACCTCTTCCCGATCATGTCGAATGCGCTCCATTTCATCACACAGAACAGCTCATTACAAACACGCCGACCCTGGGCTCATTGGGCGGGAACCATCAACTCCTCATTCTCATCTTCTTCTCGACTGTAGGCAATCGCAGCAAGCGCAGAAATTGATCGGGGCGTTTCAGCCCAGGCCTGATAAATCATTCTGAAGTGCAGCAAACCAACCGCCTTCTGCTCAAGATCGTTCATGTGGTCCCATCTGCCCGGGCCACCTTTTCGTGCAGCCATCGCCAGCTGTAAAAGCACCAGAGGATCACGTAGCTCAATTCGGTCAATAAGCTGACGGATATTGTCGAGCAAGCGTTGAAGGATGAGCTGTCTGAAACTCTCCTGGTCCAGAAGGCGTCTGTTGTTCCGAATTTCAGGGATCTGGCAATGATCCCGCAAGACTGTCAAGTTTGTAAGAGATGGACGGAGACGTTGTGTAATCTGGTGAAACTGCCGTAGCTCCAGATACATTTTGATCTTTAGAAGGCATAGACTGAGAAGTATCCAAGGTGGGAACTGAACCCTTCCAAAGACAGAAATATCTTCAAAGATATCAGCCATGTCGGGCAGGATCGGGGAGCGCCGGGGTCTCATGGCAGCAAGTCGATCACCCAGATACATGTGTGCGGTTGAGGGAGCCGTATCGCTCAGAAGTCTCCAACAAATGAAATTGTACATCTCCTGATACTGCCCGATTCGGTAAAACAGTGGTGGGATGAGGGATGTCATGTTGAGGGGATCTTGTTGTCCACCCAGTCGCAAGATCAAGAGCCCACATCTCAGTTGCTCTTTGACCGCGGTCTCGTGGCGCGAGCGGCTCTGCAGTCTGAATAGCTTGAACATCTTTGTCAGATATTCAGTGGTTTCGCCTTTTTCCCAGAATCGGCCAATGGCGTCTGAAAGCGGCTGTTTGCTGTTGATTACCAAGATTGCCCTTAAATAATCAAGTTCCTCATAACATTGTCGTATCTGGAGGCACAGCTCTCGATGGGACTCATCATCAGTCTCCCGGTGTCTAGTACTACACCAGGCGGTGCAACGACAGTGTGGGCAAGTGATCAAATCTTCATTTGAACCACATACACTACAAGCCCCAGAGAGAGGCGTTTCGGGGGCATGAATCTGCAAAAGAGTCAGACAGAAATTCTAGAGTACTCGGGCGGTGGTGCGACTCAACTGCTTCTTCTTTGACTGCGAACCAGTCCAAGTTCTCGGATTGCGCTGCATAGCGGGCCCATCGTTCGAGGTTCCACCTCACAGACATAATGAGGGTGGACGCGTTCCAGGTCAAAGATAGTGCATCGTAAAGAAAGTGAGTGACATGTGGTTTGAAGGTGTGTAGTGATTTTTGATATCAAATAGAGGGTTGAGGGGGAGGGAGAAAGAGAAGAAGGAAGAAGGTGATATTTATGACTGAGATCTCGTGCTGAGGTTTGGTACTCGTGGTAGCAAACATCCTCTAGAATCCGTGAAGTAGCTTCTGGAAGGTCTTTTCTATGACCTGCCACTCCCACAGATGCTTGTTATGTCTCCACTTGGCAAACATTCAATGCCTAGCAGGCGGCGAGCAGCTTCCGGAAGCTCGAAATGGTAATATCGTAGGCAGCCGCTAGGCCTCCTCGGTGTTTAGGGGGCATTGCTTTGAATGTTTACCCAATCTTGTGATTACTGAGCTGGTTTCCATATCATTGCATGCTCGACATCTGAGGCCAAATGCTCTCACTTTCATCTCATCTGACTCTGGCCTCACTTCGGATCATGCTTGGATTTCGCTGTTTACTTGACCTCGTTCAGATCAAGAGGGGCAATCTATCATATACAATTTCGCAGAACTTGCCCTTGACTTTGTCTTCCCAGAGGAGTGTTCAACATATGAATTCTCTGGGCGAGTTGTGTCATTCGGTCACCGGGACGTGGTACATGTGATTTTTTCATTTCTTGCAGACGAAACACCGCCATGAGGCCCAGTTTCACTTACACCTACACAGCGTGACAGTAAAGTCTTCCGGCTCATGACTAAGGGCCGCACGAGCTTTGCCTTCAAACCCTTGAAGCAACAAGCCGTGAGTCTCCCCCACGAGCTCATGTACAGCACTCGTACAATCTTTAACTCAACTGCAGACTAACATCAACATCACCGACCCTTCCATCCTCTTGCGCGACACATGAGCTCAAACTGAATACGAGAAATTGTCAGTCATGACACTGCATGGAGTACTGTATTCCAGCCCACCCGAAAGATGGTCAGAAATCTCGCGTTGAGGACTGCCTTGCTGTCACTCAGGAGCGAGACTACGCTTCTCTGGCTCTCAACGCCAATCTACATTTTAAAGTTTATCAAGTTTCTTCGGTGCTCTGTCGATATCCCCCAGCTAGGCCGTTCTGCACGAGAAAAGTGTGAACACATTGTATGTTACAGCCTGCCAGGCGGGTGAACGAAGAAAAAATTGGCCATCAGATAGGTATGTTTTTTCTTCCTCGGACTTCAGCAGCAATATAACTCCTGCGATTTTGGCCATTGCAGGAATCAATATGTCCTGCTGCCAGCCGACGCCCCGGTCTGTCTGGCAATGCGCTTTGAGGTTCTGTCTCCTCAAGAAGGCCTTGTCGAACGTACCTATGCAATCGGAGATATGTGAAGATATCGAGGTCTTTCCAGGCAGAGTCCATCATTGCAAGCTCACAATACTCAAAATCACTCTTTCTCGATTGACTCGTATCAGATCGAAGAGGTGGTGCAAAGCTTCTCTCCAGACGTCATCAACATGGAAGAGACCGTACCCGAGATGACCCTGCTAGCAAAGGGTATACGGAATTGATTCTCAAGATCGTCAACTGAGTCAAGCAGAGGGAACTCCTTACGGCTACTTCGGCTTGTCATGACGTTGCGGTCTCAGTCAGGTGGGCGATGAGGGCCAGATGCTGATGGCCCGGCATGAGGAGTCCGATAATTTGAAATTCATCTCCAATCATTCTTTGGATGAGTACCGGGATCAGTGGATGTGAGCGTTTGGATTAATGCTCGAGGTATGGTGTAGGCTGGTATGTGAATAGACATACATGTCAGATGTCGGTTTAGTACTATCTGCATTTGCCTTGAGACTTGACCAGCAATCAGATTTGTATGGGCTCATAGACTAGTAGGCAGGTTAAGTTAGTAGTTACTAGATAGTGACACTAATCAGGCTGGTAAGCTCCCTACTAGGGCTATTCACCAGACTCGGACATGTCGCAGCCAATTGCTTCACAAACATGTCGATCTTGAGGTGCATTTAGCCTTCAAGCTAACCAGAACAATGGAATCTGACTTCACGGGCTCTCCGATTCGATGAAATTCGGCCGAACAATGCAGTGAACATCAAGGCCCGGCGGAGCCGTGAAGAAAAGGTAAAATCGGACTTGGACCCGGAGTTGGACCCAAGAAAGATTCGATGCCGAGGCACAAGAGCCGCCAGGAGTCCACCTTCGCCCTGCCTCAACCAACGTTTTGCCTCCGAACATCTTTTATTTGTAACCAGCCTTGAAGCGGATCGGATTTGAACCATGCTCCGTCCGACCTTTTTGTCGTCTTCATCGCTCTCTTTTGCATCTTCTACTCTTCCCTCCATTGCCCCCAGAACGCGGACGAGATCCCTTCCCTCGCCATCACTCCTCCAGCGCCGCGCAGCCCCGTCTCCGTGTCAACCGTCTCTCTCCTCAACGCGATATCGTTACAATCGCTTCTATTCAACTGGTCAGTCTCCCCCAGACCACCGCACCGCAGTGTCAGGATGCACTCTGCTGCATTTTGAACGATTCGTGGTCCCATCATCTCACGCATTTGCTGTCGCAGAATCGATTTCTCCCGCTCATTCGCAGACTCCCCCTCCACCACCTCCGCCCCGATCGCGCTTCCGCCGCTTTTTGGGCTTCACCTCGATCGCCGTCTTTGCCTTTTCTGTCGGTCTTCTCTACCAGACCCAGCGCACCGTCTCCCGACTCATGGCATCCCCGATGATCTCCAACGCCGAAAGCGTGGCAGCCTTTGTGCCCGTGGACGCGCATGCCGAGGAAGTGGACGAGTACCTCCGCACACATCCCGAGGCGGCCAAGCTGCGCGCCGATCCTGAGTTCGAGGAATCGCGGCCTCATCTGCGCTATCCCGAAGCCATTCGCGCACGCAGCTTGACCGCAGGGACGCTGGCCGGCCCCAATAAGCTCGTTGTGCCCCCTATTGTCTTTTCTCATCGCGAGGGCAAGAGCTTGTCCTCGTTCATGTACCTGGGGTCTGATATCTGCGGACACCCTGGTATCATCCACGGGGGTATGCTAGCGACGCTGTTGGACGAGGGTTTGGCGCGATGCTGTTTCCCTGCGCTGCCCAACAAGGTCGGTGTGACGGCGAACCTCAACGTTGATTATCGGGCGCCTGCCATGGCGGACTCTTACGTGGTGCTACGTGCGGAAACCACCAAGGTGGAGGGTCGCAAGGCTTGGGTCGAGGGTCGCATCGAGACTCTTCCTCGGGATGGCAAGGCGCCCGTCGTGTTGGTGGAGGCCAAGGCGCTTTTCATTGAGCCTAAACAAGCGGCTGTAAGTTTCGTTCCCTCGCCCTCTCCTCCTCCTTCTGTCATTTGATCCTTCATTCCATGAGGTTATAGCGGGTTTGTTGGCAAGACCGGACAGAAAGCTGACTTACTGTGTTTGCCTTACTTATCAGGCGTTGACGACTTTGTACCGCGGACCCACCGATTAAGTGGCCGATTCCCTGACTTTTGACGTGATCCGCAATTTTTCGTTCTGGTTCTGTTGGAAAAGAGGGTTCCTGGTTCCTGGCGCGAGGGGGCTTTTTTTTTTTTTCTTTATTTCTTGATTTGCATTTTGTCTCTGTTGAGATTTTTAGTTTCTATTATTTGGTGCCCCTCCGCTACATGTAAACTTATAGAGCATCTTGTACAGTGCTGTTGCTTTGTCGGAGATGTGGTGATTTAGGTGATATACTTGGAGAATAGACTGTCAAGTCTTTGCCACTGGATCTATAAGTAGTTCACATGTTCTTTCTTCATTGGCGTCACTCCATGCTCGCTAATTTCAAAACTAAGAGGGTCAATTCGAGCCGATGGCGCAATGCTGCTTTACTTACGCTTTAGGCATGGTGGAAGAGCCCTCCAAAGAGGTCGGCCACTTCTCCAAACCAGCAAACCACCCGCCAAGCCGCAGCGCGATGGATCCCCCGCGATGATGCGATCCAACACAAGGTTTCCAATGCCCACTTCCACTTCGAACACGCGGCCCTCACAGGTTCTCAAATAAAATGTATTAGTCACTTGTCTGATCAGAACTATATTTTCCCCTCCAACAATTGCAATCTTGACTCTTGTCATTCTCCCTTCCTGAGTCTCCAAGATACATCTTCAACTGCTTCCATCTTCATTGCACATACCTTCACACCTACTACAGCCCCCTCATAATGGCAACGTAAGTCCTCTCCCTCTGTGCTCCACCCCCACCATAGGAAACCACCCCCACCATCACCACGATCACCACCCATACTATACTATCAACATGATCAATGAGCTAACCCCTCTCTTCCAACCGGCAGCAACATCACCTTCCACGCGGCGGCCCTCACGCGCAAAGAACGCAATGACCTGCGCCAACAACAAGGCCTCACCATCTGGCTGACCGGCCTCTCCGCCTCGGGCAAATCCACCCTCGCCGTCGAACTGGAGCACCAACTCCTGCGCGACCGCGGCGTGCACGCCTACCGTCTCGACGGCGACAACATCCGCTTCGGCCTAAACAAGGACCTCGGCTTCAGCGAGGCCGACCGCAACGAGAACATCCGCCGCATCGCCGAGGTGGCCAAGTTGTTCGCCGACTCGTCCGCCATCGCCATCACCTCGTTCATTTCGCCGTATCGCAAGGATCGCGACTCGGCGCGCCAGTTGCACGAGGTGCCCACGCCCGGTGAGGAGACCGGTTTGCCCTTTGTCGAGGTCCATGTCGATGTGCCGGTTGAGGTGGCGGAGCAGCGGGACCCCAAGGGTCTGTATAAGAAGGCCCGGGAGGGGGTGATCAAGGAGTTTACGGGAATTAGTGCGCCGTATGAGGCGCCTGAGAAGCCAGAGGTGTATATTCGGAACGTCGATTTGGCGATTCCCGATGCCGTCAAGCAGATCATCGACTATTTGGACTCCAAGGGTTATTTGCCTGCGAAGAAGGAGTAAAGAGATCGACGCCAAAGGGGAAAGCAACCTGAAACCCTTCGACTTCAACTTTTCCCTCCTCCCTTCTTGCTTTTCTTCATCTCCTTGGCAGGGCATTGCCGTGGTGTGTTCAAAGTTTCTTCTCATGACCGAATTTCAAAGATACGTATAGACGACTACCTTACATCTCGTTGAATTCACACCCAAAAGTGAACCCGAGTGACCTGATCGGTCTTTTGACTCGACCGTGCTTCGTCTCCGTTTGCCGTATTTGGCGTATTGTGCCACAACCAGAAACAGTAAAGGTTTGGTAGAGAGGGAAAGAAATTCCTGCCCCCCCCCCCCCCGGCAATACACGCCCTTAACACCTCACGGCACTGTAGAAGAAGAAGAAGAAGAAGAAGAAGAAGAAGAAGAAGAAGAAGAAGAAGAAGAAGAAGAAGAAGAAGAAGAAGAAGAAGAAGAAGAAAGGCTCTATCAATTGAACAAATATGCTTGTTGTGCTAAATGTACCCTGGCTGATAATATGTACGCGAAGTCTTCTCTCACAAGCTAGCGAAACCTAGCTGGATTTGCCGCTTGAATGTCACAAGACCTCGTTCGAAGGTTCTCCTCTCCAACCATCGCCAACGCTCACTGGAATTCAAATTCGTAAAAGACGTATGGTGTATAATCTGCACTGCCCTCGCCGGCGGCGTGCATCTCGCTCGGGTCATCCCGCTTGACTCGGCCCTTCTTGTCCCGTCCAAAGGCATTGCCCGCCAAGTATGAGTACTTGGCCTCCAGATTGCTTTTGGCCTTGTCGGCTTGCTTTGAGGATGGGGACTGGAAGGAGAGAGGTCATCAGTATATCTTGTAGGCAGCCTCTCAAAGTATGATTGCAAATGACCAGACCGATCCAAGAATGGATGTATAAGAAGAGAAAAGGCAGACGGTGAAACATACCCGAACCAACCCGCAGACAAAGTCCAGCGGTAGACCATAGCGCAGAACAGTCTCAACAAAGACCCGGAGAACCAGAATATGAATCCAGACCATCACCGCCTCACTCCACGCAGTTCGGCCCAGACGCAATGTCTCGCCCCAAAGCTTGCGCTCGTCGCCTCCCACCCGCTCGACTTCCTTGCGCTCTTCTTCCTTGCCGCCCTCAACGTACTTGAAGTCGCGTGGAATCCACTTTTGCTCACGGCACTTGTGCACAAACTCAAGGCTGTGCTTCTTGAAAACAGTCACTGCAAACAAGGAGAATTCGCTGTCCTCGGCAAGGAGTTGCGCTGAGCGAGGCACGACCATCGGAGCCACGGTCTCATACGTCTTGAGGAAATCCTTGACCAGCTGATTGGGCACAGCCACCAAGTGTGTCTCGATGTACTCGGAATTTTGCACGATAGATCGCGGATCAATCACGGACGCGAGAGACTTTGTTGACAGGTTTCCTCTGAATAGTCGGGTAACACATTAGCTTGATCGTTCGAGTTCGTAGTGGGCGAGGGAGCCCTGTCGACTGACGTTTGTTTCCTTTGCAGCGTGGCCAGCGTATTCTTAACTTGATTATATTGCGAGTATTTGGATCGAATATCATTGTCGATACTGGCGGCTTCCTGTAAGATTGATGAGCATGATTGGGCTCCTGCTCTGTCCACTGACCGCGCGCAAGACGTCTTGCTTCTTTCTTGTTCTACTGCAAGGATCCCTGGAAATTTCCGTACCAATCCGGAGCGTACTTACCTTATGCAGCAAATCAATCAACTCCGCCAGCGATTTATCCGCACGGTACTTGACCTTGTTCCACGAGAACGTCCGCAAGTACTGATCAACGGGCTCTGTAAAGCACCAAACACCTCACATTAGCCAAAAATGGTCCCCCCCCTCTTCCTCCCGGGCAATCATCCCCACTCTCATCATCCCCTCCTCAATCCAAGAGCACAGACATACTATCATTCACGACCTTCATGCGCTCAATTTGCGCCTCATCCCCTTCCAAGATGTTCTTCAACGCATCCCCAACCTTAGCCACCACGCCCTGACACGAGCCCTCGAGCTTTGCCAGCTCATCCGCCTGCTGCACAAGAGCATCCAGCGTGCCAATCTTGAATTCGGGGATCGCAAAGGAGGCTACCGAGCCATTTTCGGGAGAGACGGTGGCCGAGACAGCATCGAGAGCGTCATCGCGATGATGCGAAGGGACGATAGAGGTCGGGAATGAGACGAGAAGGTATTTGCCGGATTGCGCCATCGTGTGTCAAGGGTGGAAGGAGAATTGGAAAGAGATGGTGGTGCCGGGGGTGGACGGTCGTTGAGAGAGGGCCCTGGCGGTGGGGCTGTAGCGTTACGGAGGTTCGGGGGAGTGGATTGGGAGCTTCGGGAAGCTGGCTGAGGTGATGTCGTAGGCGGTCGGAGCTGTGACGAGAGCGGGACCTTCAGATGTGTAGGAGACTAGGAGGCTAGACTAGCAGTAATAGACCGGTCGGACACAGGAGGAGTAGTGGGAGTGGTAGTACTGTAGATGGTAGACTGTAGAAGACTCAACCTACCTAGGTAATTCGATTAATCAATCTGGGTACCTAGTAACTACCTAACCTAAATAACTTCACACTTCATACTTCACACTACAATCGCCCATAAGTCTACCGTCCTTGCAGCACCTCACATCACATGACTTTCTTAGCATCGCCAAACTAATGTTGACATCGGTTGTACTACCTTATGTAGGTCATGAACCTTCTAACTACCTGCCTACCTAAGTACCTATGTCCATGACCTAGTTAGTAGCATACCGCTCTTTGAGCGGTTCATCGGCCAAATTCACCCCTAGCGCACAATGTGGCCGAGGATAAAGACCTAGGCGTGAAGATAGGCTAAGCACTCGACAGACCAACATCCTTCAAGTCCAGGTTTCGGGGCTGGAACTACGGGAATGACCTTCGATGAGGCCGTATTGGGAATTGCAAAGGGAAGGGTATAGATGTGTCACATGTTGCACTCGCTTTACGTAGAAGCTCCGTGAGCGAAAGGATAGAGTTGGGACTCGGTTGTCCAGCTAGGATCTGGTTGGACCCCATGCGATTAGGATTGATGAAAGGTCTATTTCATCGCTAGTGTGGAATACACAAACAATGATACTGGGCACAAAGGCCGAACATGAACGAGGCAATAAACTAGCTTCTAGTCTGTAAAGATATATGACGACAAAACCAATTCACAGAGCGGATCAATTGCGTAGCAGGGTATCTGGATGAAGCGTGGAGCGCCAATCGTGAGTAGAGTAGCGCAGAAGTGCAACCGAGCAACTGAGCCGCAGCACGAGGGTGACCGTGCCGGAAGGAAATAGGGAAATGTGAAAGAGCTATAGAGAAACGCGGTGTCTGTTCAACTGTACAGATTTGCGAGACGCCAGCATTGAAAACGGAAATCAGGTAGGAGACACATGGGAGGAGCATAGGTATAAAGACCAATAAGATTGATTGGCGGGCGGAATGGGCGTAAATAAGTCAAGTCTTAAGAGGCACCCTACATGCCCTGGAAGATGTCCTGGCAGTTGTCGACCAGGAACTTGAGAATGTCATTCTTCTTTTGAACATCCGTCATCTCGCGGGCCAGGCTTTCAGGGCGCATGATTGTGGGCGCAAAGACGACCGCAATGTTTTGGCTGGTCATTAGATTCTCATCTTGGCGCTCAACAACACGCTTCAGATGGAAGACCAGGAACTCAAGAACGTCTCGGTGCACACGCGGAAGCTCTGACAGATTCTTTTGAAGTAGGTCAATGCGGGTGGCGGTATGCGTGACATCAGCAGAATCAATGATTTTGTCATAGACATCATACGTGATGAGTGGCATTGGAAGCTTGCGGAAGTATTGCTTCAGAGCCGAAGTCACGGCGTGAATGTCGAGATCGGGATCGGAGATGTCATAATCAAAGGGAGAGCGCTCAAAGCCCTCACGAATGCCTTGAATCGCGGAAGCAGCTCCCGACTTGCGGTAAATGCCCTCCATATCCATTCCTGTTTACGTATTAATCAAACTGATTGGCCCGTAAAACACCGTTGGAGTCGAACGGAATGTCCTTACCTCGTAGTTCCACTTCCTGGATACAGCGAGTGATAATCGCAGGGATGATGCTTTTCTCATGCTCCATCCGAGCCTCGAGATCGGTACCGAAGAGACCTGGGGAAGTTAGATAGAACCCAGTAACAAAACCCGGCATTTGGGGACTTACCACCAGCAGCAACTTCAGTCAAAACCGGTGTGCTGTCAGCCTGCGAAATCTTACCACCTTGTTTGCCGCGCTGATTACCGAAGAAACCAAAGCCTTGACGGCTGGGATCTTGAGTCTGGGAGCGCGGAAGACCACCGCCGGTCTCGCCATTTTCACTCGACATAAATGCTCCCTTCAACCCCTTGACACCCTTGGCAACGTTCTGCCCTCCCTTCTTCCAGTTCATAAACTTGCCCTTACGAACATTCACAACCTGGGGACCGGGCACAATTGTAGCAGTGGCAGTCTGAGTCTCAATATCGTCCGAGATGTGGGCAGTGGAGATCGAAGATGCCAGACCATCAATGCTTGGCTTCAGCGTTTCCAGCGATCCAATCGACTTGTCCTTGCCATGAGATATCAGTCCCAATCCATTTCCTCCGCGTTGTCCATCCGATGTGCTCTTATAGAGCTCTTGGATCTGGTGCACGAGTGTGTTGTTCAACTCGGCCAACTGGGCATTCTTCAGCGAAAGCTGCTCGAATTCTTGGAACGCCTTTTCCTTCTGGCGGTTCAAGTTGGCGAGCTCGTCAGACAGATCATTGCGTTTCTGGATCATCTCTTCGATCTGTGGGCTATATGATTCCTTGAGCTTGTGAATAGATTCAGCTAGCTCGCGGAGGACCTGGTTGGAGAACTTTCCAAGGTCCAATGGCCCACCAACAGTGCCGCGCTTCTCAGCCTCCAGATGTTCCGTGAGGACTGTGAGCTCACGCAGCACAATTTCTCTTTGGGCATCAAGAACAACCATGGTGGATCGCTTTTCCGATAGCTCAGTGTTGACCTGTTTCACATCTGCTGCCGCATTCATAGCCGCTTCCATGTCATTGGCACGCTTGCGTTCCTTGCGGAGCTCGCTCCGAAGCCAGGCAATTTCCTCGGCCTGGGTTGTACCTGCCGTCGGGCTGCCTAAGTCCGTTGCGATTGAGCCACCGCTGGCAGGTGAACGGGGCTCCTTGCTTTCTTTTCCGAGGCGAATGCTTCGGTCGCTGAGACTCCGCCCATGACGAACGCCGCTTGAGATGCGACGCAACAGAGACTCGCTGGTCTGGTCATGGTCCGTCTCACCGTTCCGCAACCGAGACGGTGAACCTGCACCGTCGAAGTTGGTAATGGCAGAAACTGCTGGTCTCCGGGCCTGGTCAGTAGCGCTGTGGTCGGATGCCTTTGACGACCCGACATATGGCGATGAGACAAGCGGTGCATTGGAGTCCTTTTGGGAAGACTGTTGATGTCTGCCTTCCAGTGAATCACCCCGCTTTGGTATATGAGCCATGGTATTTGGACGCTGTGAGCGACCTGCATCCCCATTGGTATGCTCGTGGGGACGGCGGAGCTCTGCTGAAGGGCGAGCGGAGGTAGAAGGTGACCCACTCGCATCACGGAACGCTAGATGCAAGTCAGAGCGGGAGCTTCTAGCGGATGCTGGCCGACTCAGTCGAGCCATGTCGGAGTGGGCAGTAGAGTGCTTGGCCGGCCGTCCGGTCCGACCATCCAAGTCTCGCCGGCTGACATCAGTGTCGCGGGGCTCCCTGCCTTTCTCCTGGTATGCGATATGAGGTGAGGCATGTTCCGAGGGCGTGTGGGAGGGAGGCTCAAGTGTGTGGTCACGGTCGTAGCTGTTCATGTGAGATGGTTCACTTGACTTTACTGAATTGAAATAGTCACGCGGTAGCTCCTGTTGACTCTGCGGCTGGGATGACTCCCGATAAGTCTCTGAGGGATCAAAAGCGAGTGGGATCAGGAACTCGCCGCCGCCCACAGTGTTCTCAGCGGCACGGTCCGCAGCGATCTGGCGACTACTTCGATAAGTGCTAGAAGGAAGGAGGAGATTGTCTGAAAGGCCGGGGGAGCAGAGTCAGTGGGACATAATCTGGCGAGCGATGGGAGAAGGGCATTGACAAGGAGCTCCTTACCCGTTGCACTTTGTAGACCTGCAGCAGAAATGTCCGCGCGTGCAGATTCTCCATGATTCTCCGTATGGCCTCGGGGCGTGTCTGCGTCCATTATGTCACTGGCCGCCTCGTCAATGGATCGAGCATCCTCCATGCTGGGAGGTAGAGACGGCAGGGATTTGTCCAGTTTCACCCCCGGAGCCCCTGGTCTTTTGCTCGTAGCGCCTGCTTTTTTCTTCCGCCTTCGTTGCATCAAGGATTCATGACAATCCATGCAAAATATTCCTTGAGATGTTCGGGCATAGCGTAGGTTCTCGATCTTTCTCTTGCAATTGCGACACCGGAAACACTGGGCGCAAAATGCCTGGTCGCCCGTCAAGATAGCGAGATCCTCAATTTTGTTGCCGCAGGAGTTGCAGCTATAGGTACAGTTGCTACAAATCAACGACCCATCGCCCAGGAGTAGGAGGTGCGCATCCGAGTCGAGGAGGGTACCGCAAGTGCTGCAGCGGAAGCAATCGATGTGCCATCTTTGCCCCGCTACAAGGAATTAGCACATGAACGTGAACATGTCTATTATTTTTTCGTCTTTGGCGTGACTTACAGAGTTCAAATGCTTTGCCTTCCTCGAGAATCTACCGAACGGGGTGTCAGCCCGTTCTGAGGGGAGCAGCAGGGCTGCAAACAATCAACATACCTCTCCACAGCCCATACAGGGGTATGGCACTTCGTCCTGGTCAAGAGGAGAATCGGGTTGGAGTGTTGGAGAATCCATGATGACGGAACAAGCTGTTTACGCTTCCTGATTTCGCGGTACCTGGAATGATCACTGAGACCGCAGGTTGCGGCGGACGCTGTCAAGTTGGCGTCCTTGGGAGCTACTCGGTGTGGCAGCCAAGCAAGTCAAGACAGCGGAACAAGTATCCAGCACGCAACCTTGTGCAAGCATACAGCTATGGCTCCAGAAGCAGTCCAGTTGGGTTGATCGTTTCGGCTATGAGAGCTCGGCGTAGGGACACGTGGGAGTCAAGTTCAAAGGTTGCGCATGCCGCGACGAGAGAAGATACGGGAGTCGCAATCAGGAGGCTGTCGTAGTGGGAGGGAATGGTGACTGGGTGAGAATCGGAGTTGTCAGTTCTCAATGTAGCCTCAGAGCGGGATACCGTTTACGCGATCCATATGGTCTGGGAGACGGAGGACGGTGTAGGGAAATGCCTTGCGGTGTGTGCAACTGGGTGGAATGGCGACCGCGGGCCTCTTCACATCAACAGGTGTGGGCTGCGAGCTGCGCACGAGGGCTTCGGGAGGATGGAAAAATTTCCAGATGGAAGGGACGCAATGATGTGGTGCAACATACCTAATGATGGCACTGTTTGCAGGACCGATCACTTGGCCGATGGAAGAATCTGAAGATTGGCGCAGAGTCTCTCTCAATCGTTCTCGGTCAGTGAACCAGTGGCTACCCCTCGCGGGAGCAGGCACGTCGAGAGCGCAGATGAATGTCGAGGGTTGAAATGGCCGAGCGGAGAGGGCGCAGGACGGGGTCTGGGCAGAACACACACGAGCGGCGACCCAACAAAACAAAGGATATCAGAAGAGGGACCCTCAAGAGGCACACAGAGCGACACCAGTCGACAAGGAGTGGGAATGGAGACAAAGTGTCTTTGTTGGAGAAGATCAGTTCATTGGGGTTGCGCCGCGTTGGACCAGGAGTGAAAAAGAGGTGGTGCTTAAAGAGTGCCAGGGGTGTGGGTTTGGGTTCAATGGGGGGTGGTTCTGGGTGGAGCAAAACACAGGGAGTCGGAAGTCGGAAAGGAGGTTGCAGCTAAAGCGGAGGATCGATGGACTCTACTAGTGACTTGGGACGAAAGGTCGCAAGCCAGGAACGAGCCGTAGCGTGGCTGTCTGTGACATAAAGGAGTCCAGCATCTCATCCATGGTAGCTGGGGGGTTCTCAAAGCACTCTATCGCTTGCACGGAATCCTGGGTAGTTATTAGGTACCGTAGGGCATTCGGCACTGGACTATAATAAGCTGTTTGACTGTTGAGACAGGACAACCTGGCTTCGTCGGCGTTGTTCAGTTTGACTGAGAAATGATAGGAGATGAAAGACAAACAAAAATCAGATTTTCTCGAACTGGAACCGATAGAGCTGGATAGGCATTTCTATAGCAGGAAGTGATTCATTCAATTAAGATACTCAACTATGCAATGGAACTCCTCAGCAGCGGTCAACTGATGGGATCGAAACTCAGTATAAGGTTGTTCTATGATATAGGTCGTTGGTCTATATGTACTGAAAGTATAACTGACTTGAGCTAGAAGACTCGTACCTTCAAATTTTTTCAAATGGTGGTCCTCACGACACGTCACTGGATTATACAGCCTCGAGGGTCGGAAGGCTCAGCGCAGTACTACTCCTATACCTCAAGCTTTGGTACATATACATACCGACTACTACGGTCAACCTTGGGACACATTAGGTAGGTATACAATCAAAAATGATTCTACTAACGCGTAGTTCAAGTCCCTTTTGACCCGGCTGTTGGAAGATCAACATCTCTCTTTGCTTGGATCGAGTCGATCGAAATTCATCGATCGGGCGTCAGTCTTGACATTTCTGAGCGCAGTAACACTTGATCATCCGGCTAAAGAGAGCATTTCTCGAATGAGAAGCTCACCTACACGAGCCTCCTGCTGCACAATGCTGCCGTCTACCTGACCCCCGAGTGTATCTAGACCGACGTGGACCGTAGTGGATACTTTGACAACCGGTCCTTTCATGAGAGAGATTCGACATGAATGTGTTGGCCTCAGTCCTACTGCTACTGTACATTGCTCTTCTTCGCCTCGAGACTCCCGTCTGGTCCAATGGTCCTTGAATGGCTCATTGGAGACATCGAGGACCAGAGCTGGTAGGTACGTGTTCGCGGGACGTCATCATTCCAGGGCGGGCAAGAGTGACCACTATGGCCGAAGAAAGAACAGACACACTCGGGTAAGGATGAGAGTTCCTTCACGGGGATATGAGTTGATGACTGAGTTGCGATCCCCCTCTTTCGGTCACTCCAATTGTTGACGCACTGATCGTTCAAACAGCCCTCGAGATCTTCATCGTTCCCATACCACCCATTTACGATCTGAATTCTGTCCATTGTCGACGACTGTCATTGAAGACCGCATGCATGCCCCATGCTACGTGATCAACTTACTACTGTCTAAAAGGGGCCATTGCCCGGGCCCAAGAGGTGCTCGGTAGTGGATCACCCAGTCAGCGATCAGCAAAGGAACGTAATTCATAGATTATCCCATGGGTGGATCAGCCCTAATATCAAGTGTAATCTCCCGCGGTCCCGTCGATGCCAACGCGGCAGATCGACTCTCGAACAACAGCAGAGAGAATAGTTCACTACTGTTGCACTCTACAGTCTACTTGAATATTCGAAGGCTTAGGGTACTCGGTTTTCACATTTTGCATCCCTTCATGAGATTGGCATCAATTTTGTTTCTACCATTCAAGTAGTCGCAGGGCCCCCAGTCGGTCGGCAGCAGGGCCCCAAATCTGGCTATGAAATATAAATATTCATTCTCTCCTAAACCAAGCGACCTACCGTACTTACTCTTTCGGGCCCTCGGACGCGGCCACGTGTGTCAGTTTGCCTGCCATCCATGGATCTGGCTTCGTCTGTTTCAAATCGAGTCCTAAAAAGGACCGCAGGTAAGGTCTCATTCTTTTGGCGGTCAACATCTTTCATTGCTTCAAGTGTGCCTAATCCCAGTGACCCAGTCTGTTTGAACGATTGTTGCGTCGCCGAAGCTCCCGCCCGCCCCTGAGACAGGGTCTCTTCACTGTACATTGAGTGTAGTGTGTACTGTGTGGTAGTGTACACTGTACAGTTCACAGTTATCCAATAAACCTGTACAGTAGTTGCAGTAGCACCCCATAACCACGATTGATGGATACCCTTTGTCAAAGATACACACCTCATGCATGGACTATCGTCCTGATTTGCAGCAGGTGTAACTATTTGGGCTCCCCAAGCGTAGAGCCCGAGACTACCAAAATGATCGCCTCTTGCACGAGGCTCCACCGAGTCATGCACGTTCCATGAGTCATTTGATTAAGTACCGTCCCGGACAGCCCGCCTCAACAATCGTTTCTTTGCATTGTTTCAGCGCACGTTTGAAACGACGCAGTGTCACGTGGCGCATGTCCGAGGTCCCGGGGCGTCTCCACACGGGAATTGGACAGATAGTAGTACTACTGGGCTTGGACCTCTCTACCAGTCCAACTCTACCTAACTACAGGTAACCTACATACTATACTGATACACTCTATAGACCCGAGAGCATGGACGACGGGAGATAGGAAAAAGGTGCAACATGAACATCCAGACATACAGGATGTCATGGTCAGACATGCTTCATTTACCACTAAAAAGGCTGACTTTCTACAGTCGTCCAGCTGCGTCATGTCTTTGGCATCTACAGTAGGCGTTCGGTGTTTTCAAAGAATAAAAAAAGAGCACAAGGTCAGCACGAGTCGAACAAGAGAATCGCGCTGTGGCCCTTGTTCGCCCCCGCGATCTGCCATACATGGTTCTTCCAATAAAAGCGGAGTAAGGGTCCAGGGTCTTTGTTGCTGTGCGGCCACCTGCATGTAAAAATCGAGTCCGTCTGTGGGGGCCAAGACTAGACCGAGGGGTAAGCATCCAGCTTTGTGCTACATTCCACGGGCAGGTGGTCGACGGGAAGACATGAAAGGACTGTAACAACTACGGGTAGATGCGTCGGCGAAAACTGGCATTCTCACATGGTAGGGAGTATGCACACGACTACACCATTCTCAGAAACTTGCAAGCATAAATAGTCCCTGAATTGAAATCTTTTGAACATAGGTTGGAGATGAAATTCATGTGCAGGAAAAGAGCTTGATCGGGGGCAGCTCCCGGCTGCGATACCTAGTTAACTAGTCTAGCATTAGATCAATAAGCGAAGGGTCCAAGCAAGTGAGGGTCCATCGCGATCAAGCCGTGCGCTGAAGCCACTACATGATTGATGAGACATAAAATCCTTGCAACATGCAAAAGCTGCGATGATCATTGGCCGATTTGACATGGTGGTAGGAAATGGGGAGATGTTTCAGACCACATCTTCTCAAACATCTGGGGCACTAAAGTAGTCGGACTTGATTTCAAACCCCAACTTTGGTACCCCAACAGGATCCAAAGAAAGGCGATGGCGTTTGGAGAGGCCCAAGCGACTGAGCGATGAATTGCAGCCCAACAGCCAAGGTCGAAGCTGGGTCGAGAAGTGGGCAAAGCAGGCCTATGGATAGATAAAGGCGAGTCGATACCATTCATGCTCATGTGAGCTGACCATCGAGGTTCCTCAACCGATATTGTATGGCGTTGCGATCATCGTGTACTTCATCGTCCTCGTATTCTTGAAGCACAATGGTACGCATTAGGCGACGGGGTGCGCGACGACCGGTAAATAGTTCGAATTGAGCGAACCCTTGTTCAGGAAGCACATCTAAGCCGTCTAACGCAACCCAACCTCGATGAGAAAGAGCGCGAATTTGTTTCATGAGTGGCGTATTGAGAGGTTTGTAGGCCAGCTGGAGTTCAAGTCAGTCGTCAGCTCAGATGAACAGGGAGCGAATAAATAGAAAAATCTCGGAATGCTGCTCAGCAGCAAAACCTTCTGGTCAACTTACATCGACTACAACGCCACCCGTTGGACTTTCCAGCCATTGGGTTGGTACATTGAAGTTGGGAGCTGGTTCGCCGGCTATACTGTGAGCCGGAATACCCGAGACGATAATCGTTGGTTGCTTGAAAGCGACAGGCCAGGGATCATCAGGATGGCTGAGAATCCTCACCCGTGGACGGTCTTCTGGTCTTCGGCCCTGGGAGAACAAGTCCTGCCGATTGTAATGTTCGGCTAGTCTTTCGGCTTTCGCGACGGTTCGGTTGTACACGAAAATATTTCGCACGCCTAAATGGATCATAGAATAGATGGCCGCTCGAGCCATGCCACCTGATCCAATGACCAAGCCCGTGGTTGTTTGACGAATTGCGTTGGCCGGCGACAGTCCCCGTCGAATACAGTTGCAGATCCCAATCCAGTCGGTGTTGTCTCCGTGGATTCCTCTTACCGGACCAGCACGTGTTCTCTCAAGGTGGATTGATGACACCTCTGAGACACGAGCGTCCGCGAGGTCATTATTCCGAAGAGGTATGATCGTGTTGACAGCACCGATGGCCCGGGCATGCGGTGACATGGAGTGTAGAAGAGGTATGACTTCGGTCTTGTAGGGCAGGCTAACGCTTGAGCCACCGAAATAAGGGTTCTCCACCAGCTCGTTCAGCCCACGAAGTTCTGCACTTTGAAATATGGAGTAGCGATGCGGCATTCCACACACTTCAAATGCAGCGTTGTGCATGGCAGGAGACATGCTGTAACTGACATTGGCACCAAAGACGAAGTATTGCATGGGATCATACACGAATGAACTGTAGAGCGCCTTCTGAACGGCAACGGCGGTTACGTCCGAGTCAACGAGACCCGATGATTTGCCAAAATGCGAGTGCGTGACTGGCGTGAGGATGGGATTGAAGCACCGTGACATACGACCAAGAGGTCCTGTGTTATAGGCAATCACCGGAATAGCCCTTATCGGGAGATTTTGAACTTTGTGTCGGAATCTTTGTACAGCGTCGTTGTCTTCAACTTTCATGGCCGGTTGACAAATCCGCAGCATGTCACACCCGAGCTTTTGAGCACGTTCATATATCCTTAAACATTCGTCGCCGTCCCAACCTCCCGGAAAAGGCTGGCGAGACTCAAAGTGTCCGATGATCTTTGTGTTGCCACAGCTTCTGATGACTTTAGCGAGTAAAGTCTTGTCACGGTCCAGGTCAATCGTTAAGAAGCTTGGGCCGAGCCGCAGGCCTTGTTGAACAAGCGCCGAGTATTCCCGATCAGAGACACGTTCGTTTCGATTTGCCGAAGCGGGCCTCCTAGGCCTGACGTAGCTTTCCACATGATAAATGAGAGGAACAATAGTATGGCGGCGTATGAGGGCAACAGCATGACTGATTTTGTCAGCCAGATCCAAATCGCTGGCGGCCTGAGCCGTGTGCTCCACAACGTCAATGACTAGCTCGACTGCATCAACATTGTATTCAAGCTCCTCAATATCCACACTAGTCTCACATAATGCGGAGAAGGGAACCGAAAGCGCCAAGGTATTGCGACGGCTTTCGACAGGCAACAATGACAACGGAAAAGAAGCTTGCTGACGGCCGGTTTCCTCGCGGTCATCTGTAATAAAGGCGACGAATGAGAGAAAATCCCGCTGAATCTTCTTCAGTGTCAGAAATGGCGTGGACGCTTGCGGGCGCTGGTCGATTTGAGACTCGAGTGACGAATCCTGTTCGCTTGGTGTTGTATTGGTGCCACCCCTGGGTACGGTCTCCGAGAGGTTGAAAAACTCCAGGTTGGAGCAGCTTCGGTATATTGGGCCTGCGATCTGGAGGAAATGTGATACTTTCTGCGTATCCCAGGCTTTCAAATATGATTGAATGCTTTCAGGATCTCGAACAACGTGGATGATTGGATGTGTGAGGGCATATTCCCTCAAAAGTTTCTGGCCACGACGCTCCATTGTTCCCGCTCCGCAGACGATGATGCAGCCTTCCTGGTTGTCCCACAGCATAGACTCGAGAACTAGGGCTTCTTGTTGTTGAAAAATCGCATGATCGTTGTCCTTTTTGAATTCGGCGCGGGAGCAGCCACTGACTTGACGAAAATATTGATCCGAGTCGATCAATTGGCGACCAGAGGCAGCTGCCAGAATAACCGCTAGGCTAGACTTGCCAGTCCCTCGAATCCCAATCAAGACAATAGATGAATTGAGTCTAAACTTTCGTGTACTCGGCCATGAATCGTTGTCTGTGGCGAGCGCCGGAGAAGCCCGCTCATACTGCAAGGCTCGATGGTTCGTTTGTGGCGTATCCCGATTGCTATACGATGACATTTGTCCATGTGAATGTCGCGTCGAACCATTTTGTGAACCAAGAACGGCCAGTGAGACGGCACCCTCTGTAGGACTGTACTTTCGGGGTTGCGCATCGTGTTCGACGAGTGATTTTCGTTTGAGTCCGAGTGAAGACATCGTCGCATGCTGGTGGTCACGAAGAACGGAGAAATTCCATTGGGACAGATTTGTGGTCGATCAGACAGCGATGATCAGTAGGTCATAACATTGACTGAGCGAAAGCTTCAAGTTCAAGAGATCTGCAGTTTTGATGGGCTGACCACGAAAAACCTGCAATCGCAGAGTCGCAATGATTAGTGTCGTAAGTTGTAAGGTTGCTTTGCGACCGTTCCCCAGCCGGCGGGGGAATTGCGGGCCATCTTTTTGCCGCTGGTCATCCTTTCCCCGGACTCCGATAGCGTGGATGGCAGATACATTTGTCTGCTTTCTCATTACCTTCACTTGGCTGGAGGAAGCAGTTGGATTGCTACTGAGGAAATTGCAAGCCTCAAATCGCAGATAACGAAGTCCGCCCACGACGAGCTGCATTACATTGCTGGAGCCTGCGGGCGTGATAAATTAGCGCAACAGGCATCGCCGGCAAAAGATTTACCTGCCTAGCGTTTGATCGCCTCGCCTACGAATATGCGGCGGAAGCCGCTAAGCGTAATTTTACATCATGACCTCCGAGCCTCGCCAAGTCACTGGCCCAAATGGCAAGACCAAGCGTCGACTCAATTATGCGGACAATGAGGGCAAAGCAAATACACCACAAGAGTCAGCTCTGCCCAAGCGGCAGCGAGTCTCACGAGCATGCGATAACTGCCGATCCAAGAAAGACAAATGTGACGGGGCACAGCCTGTATGTTCAACATGCGCATCACTCGGCCGTCAATGTACCTACAAAGCCAACCCAAAGAAGCGAGGACTTCCGACTGGTTACATACGGTCTCTGGAATTGTTATGGGGACTGGTATTCCAAAAAATCCCAGGCAGCGAAGACGTGATGCGCGCTTTGATGAGGTCCACCGACCTTCTGGGCCGCCTCGCTGCAATGGGAAAAGATGCTGAAGGATCAGACACTTTGCACGCCTCGTTCAAGAACAGCGCGCTCCTCAGGGACATTGAGCGGATGCTGGTTGTTCTAGAGCAGCCGGAGGAAGATAAGGAACGGCTCACTTGTCCTCCCAGCGATGCCGGGACGCCACTTGATATCGACCGAGTTCTAGCATCGGCAGAAGCTCAAGAATGGCATATTCCCGAAGGAATCGATCGCCTGCATAATCTGCCAATCGCTATTTCGCCGTCGTGCGCTTCCCAACAAACCATCGCGGGCGGGTCCCGGAGCCATCGAACTGAAGAAGCAGCAGTCCAAACAGAATCATACAGAAGTGAACATTCTCTCAGTGATGTCCAGTTCAATGTCAGAGGGCTCTCAACAAGGCCAAGCCAACAAGCCTTTGAGCTTCCGTCTAATGGATGGTCGCTTCTTGATGTGTACTTTACATATACGCAGTGCTGGTTTCCCATTCTTGAAAAGCACGACATGCTTCGCATCGCATACCAATATGCCGAAGGACCGCTTTCCATGTCCAGTGACCTGCGTGGATCCGGAGATCATGCCGCGTTATGGGCAGTCCTGGCTTTGGCCTCTTTTCAAGATGGGGCCAACAACTCTACCCACTCTCCCAGTGTGCAGTCTCGCCCCAGAAACGCCACACAATTATCTCGCATCGCGCGATCACTGATTCCTGCTGAGGCTTGCGTGCAAGAACTCGGCCATGTACAAGCTCTGCTTATTTTGTCATTGATAAGCCTCGGTCAGCAGCGATGGACTACCGCGTGGATGCTCATAGGACAGGCTATTCGAAGCGTTCAGTTGCTGGGATTGGACCAACCGAGCCCCAGGTCTGCATGCCACAACGGCGCGAAATCGCCCGGTCGGACACAACATGTCTTTCTGGGCTGCTTCTTGCTCGAGACGCTGATTGCTGAGCACATGTCGCAGCGACCTTCTCTCAGGAAGGAGGATTTGACTCGCGTTGGGGCTATCGGGGAGGATGGGCTCGAAGAATGGCATCCATGGGAGGACCAGACCGGTTTTCGCTCGAGGCATTCCTTCCAGTCTTCTATGCAACGCGGTCCCATTCATGCACTGAGTACATTTAATCGGCTGCTGTCTTTGATCTCTATACTGAACGAACTCTGTTTCTTGAAGCAGGATCCAACTGCTTCCCGCGCACATTTCGAGTCCCTCGACGTTCAGCTTCAAAGATGGGTCACGTCTTTACCGAAGAGGTTTCGAGTCAACATGTCCAATCGCCATTCCAGCCCTCCCTCCCCTCATTTGTTCAACCTCGAAGTGTTATACCAAAGTACCGTGACGAGTCTGAGTTTGCAGATTGCATCCCGACAGGGCGATAATAATCATATCATTAGACTACAACACACAGGCAAAGCCATTGAGAGCTCTCGAACACTGCTCGAACTGCTGCAGTTCTTCATGGAAGCCTTCAGTTATAAAGCGACGACGCCCTTGTTCGGCATAGCCGTGAGTCGATGTCTCACAGACTCAGCAAGTCAAGTTGCGCCAGGTGTTCACGATTCCGATCTCCGGTCTAGCATTGGGTCACTTAATTCCCACCTCAGGCAACTGTGGATCGCATCCGACTCCTACGATGGTACTGAAGCTGGAGGCAGCGAATCCCAAGAAGACGTCTTTCCCTCTGAGACTCAAGCTTTACAACATCACTCCACCACGCATGCTCCTACTCCTCAGGATCTCGTGCCAGCCACGAACCTCTTCCCTGACCTCAATGACCATTCCCACCGTCCACCGGACTTTCCTCTTCTCGACGGCTGGGCACGAAACGCACGAAGCACCAACGAAAATTGCAACCCATTTCAAACTCCTAGACCTTCTATGGCGTCCATGGGCGGTGTTGCAGAGGCATCTACTCAAGCAGACCAATTTAACGGAGGTGCGCTATCAGCAGGCTCTGCCATCTCCCAGTCACAACGCTCTAGCCTCAACTGCCAATCTGCACTTCCTTATGGCGGGCAGTATCCCGCCTACGGCAATCCATCACCCTTCAATCAGAACCCTTTCATCGAGGTTGACAGACACGAAACCGCCAGAAGGCAAACATCGCAACGCATTGCACCGGACCTTGATGCGCTTTTTGATGAGCTGGCCTCTCTAGATGGTGCAGACAGGCAAGTAAAATGTTTCGTATCACTCAATGCCCTTCGTCGGAATGCTAACCTCAGCCTTCAGATCCGACAATCAGCCTGAGTTCATGCAAAATCTTGGATTCGTCACGGAGAGTGGGGTGCCGGAATTGCTATCATTCTCAAGTCATATGGAGCCATTCCTGCTGGCCCAAACGCAACAATTACCGCTGGCCACACAACCTTCTTCCGTGCGGCGGGAGACTCATGGCCTTGGAGGAACACCACAGAGATGACCACTTATTTAGCCTGCATATGGACACATATTTTGCTTTGCATGTACCGCTCCAAAGCCTGGGCAGGATTAAAAACAGCTGCTGACCTTCAGCTAGTGAGACTGGAGACCATACACTGATTGACTCCCTGCAATACTCGCTCTGTGATCTTGGATTCAGTCCTCAGCTCGCGAAATAGAACTGATCTACTCCTCGCGGTGGAACGGACCGTTCACAGGCCTTGTTTGAGCCCTTCACAAACGACTCTGGCTTCATACAAAAGCTATGGATCTGCAACATCCGATCACTTGATGTAGCAGAGTACCCGTTTGCAATACGGGTTGCGAACATGGCCAACTAAAAGGTCGAGCGCGACATGTCTCTGGCCGGTGGGCAACAGGCACGGCGACTGAGATGTCTTTCTAGAAACCGCCAGAAAACCTGATCACAGGAAAAAGCCGAGATCTTTTAAAGTATATGCGTGTCGAGTCTGCTCACAGTCCTATTACATACTCAAAGCAATCACAGCGCCGCCTTTGGGTCCTTCTTCAATTCTTTGAAGTTCTCAGCAACATGCTCAACAGCGACTTTGTACCCATATACACCCAACCCAACTATGATCCCCGCCGCCTTGTCGCTAAAATATGAGTGGTGACGCCAGGGCTCTCGCGCGTGGACGTTGCTCACGTGTAACTCGATGAATGGAACGCCTATCCCGAGCAAGGCATCACGAATCGCCACGGAGGTATGTGTGAACGCGCCGGGATTTATGATGATACCGTCCACCTGGCCTCGGGCAGCCTGGATACGATCGACGATGGCACCCTCGTGGTTGGATTGAAACGCATCAAAGGTACATCCGTGCTTGGCGGCAGTGTTGCGACAGTCACTCTCGACATCCGCCAGTGTGGTGTGTCCGTAGATGTGTGGCTCGCGCGTGCCAAGGAGATTCAGATTGGGTCCGTTTATCAGGAGGATTGATCTGGCCATGGTGGATGTATGTGATTGAGATATGGAGTTCAATACAAGAAGGGAGGGGGTCGAATGAAATCGAGAGACCACGCACTGAGCATGCGAGCAATATGATATTTTTTCAATGGCATAATTTATTATGAAGCCTAGGTCTATGCGCTACCCGAGTCGCGATTGAGATCTATTTGCGCATGCTGAGAGTGACCTTTAAGCTGGGCGGAAAAGTGGTCGAAGGTCCTCGATGAGCGCCTGTCCGGCTGAGCGCTTTGCCGGTTCCGCTTTTACCCCAACTCCCCGCAGTAGTGCGGATTCGAGCGTACTCGTGGGTTTAACCGCATCGTTCTCGAGAACAAGTCCGTCGCCTCCATCTTATGGATCGCAAGGACACGAGTCAATGTTGCCAAACCGTCCCTTACGGTTCTCCTTATCAGGGATAAGCCGTCGTTAGCCGGACTTCTCCATGCATTCACTGCGCTCTGTGATTGCTGTCATCTCGTATCAATCCGCACGATTTGCTTCTAAATCAGCGACCGGCTGGGCGTTTCTACCGATCTCTCACGCCAGTCTAGTCACACTGACCTGCTACCATTTTCGGAGCCTGACTCTATTTGACAATTTGAAATGGTTCGGCGGCGTTTTGGGGATTTGATGCTGCTTTTTCAAGTAGGCGGATTCAAGTCCGAATTATGACGTGACTCCGTTAATCAAAACGAGGAAGGCTATTGAAAGTCCAACCTGTAGCCTCTGGTGGCCACAAAATCATCGAGCGTGGCCCAGAGATTTGGGTCCGGGATCTGGTAGAAATGTTTTAAGCAGTAAATGATCTCAACTTCGAGAAGCTCTATCAATGCAATCAGTGATTGAAAGTGAAGTGGCTCATCTGCAGGTCTTTACATTTTCGTGGAGTTGTACCCCACCGGCGGAGAACTGGCGGGTCCCAGATACGGACATTCGGATATCACCGGTGCCTCTGATCTGTCTTTCTTCCAGAATTCTGTCTAACTCAAGCAGCTCACAGTCCTAGGTATCACTTCCTCTCGCAATAATCTGAATTTATCCAGTCCAGTCAAGAAAGTGAAAGTCTGTCTTGAAGCGTAACACGTTCAGACATCAATCTCTCCCGATTAACGTCCGGCGACATAGAAGTGACTCACGATGCCCGCTGGAAAATTTACACAAGATGAGCTGGACCAAATATACGCCTTTGCGGTTGATTTGGGCCGAAAGGCCGGTGATCTGCTCATGGAAAGAGTCGAACAACGCATTGACGGTAGCGATGCTCCTCAAACATTTGAAGAAAAGGAGAATGCCGTCGATATCGTGACGCAGACAGATGAAGGTAGGGCGTGACTTCGAAGACCCCGAACACCTCGATCATTCAACGAAGCCAAGAATCTCACTTTCTTGGATCACGGCAGATGTGGAAGTTTTCATTCGAGATGCTATTCACACAAAATATCCTACGCACAAGTTCGTCTCCTTTTTTATTTGGCGTGGGTGCAGCAAAGTTGACGCAGACGGCCAGGTTCCTCGGTGAAGAGTCGTATGCCAAGGGCGAATCGCGCGAGTATCTCCTTGATGCACAACCAACATGGTGCATTGATCCTCTAGATGGTAAGTTTGCAACACCTTCATTCCTAACGGCTGTCGCTGGACTCGAAGATGCTCACACACTATAGGAACTGTGAACTACACACATCTCTTTCCAATGTATTGCGTGTCAATCGGATTCGTCGTCGACAACCTTCCCGTCATTGGTGTTATTTATGCACCATTCCAAAATCAGCTTTTCTCTGCCTGCAATGGGCGCGGTGCCTGGCTTAATGAGAAACGTCGCCTTCCTCTGATTCGAAATCCAATTCCTCCGATGCCCGCCAACGCCCCTTCTCAGTGTATCTTTTCATGCGAATGGGGCAAAGACCGTCGAGATATCCCTGATGGTAATATGCATCGCAAAATCGAAAGCTTTGTCAATATGGCTGCGGAGATTGGCGGGCGAGAAGGCAAAGGTGGCATGGTGCACGGAATTCGAAGCCTAGGCAGTGCCACCTTGGATTTAGCATACACAGCGATGGGATCTTTCGATATCTGGTGGGAAGGAGGCTGCTGGGAGTGGTATGTTGACACTTGAGATTGATCGTTTCTCTCTCTTTCTATGATTGCTGATTTAGGATGCTAGGGACGTGGCCGCTGGTATCGCAATCCTGCTTGAAGCCGGGGGCCTGATCACCTCAGCGAATCCGCCCGACGACTTTGACACAGCATCGATTCCGGACGTGAAGCTCGGAAGCCGACTGTATCTGGCAATTCGGTAAGCTTTATCCTCTAGAGTGCTGCAGCGGACTCTGTGTGTTTGGCAAGTGCTCACATCAATCAAGACCCGCAGGTCCATCAGCTACAGAGTCTGGCCGCGAGTCCCAAGAACGTACAGTGCGAGAGGTATGGCGACGGGTTCGCCAGCTGTCATACTCTCGACCGGGCGCTTAAGACCTAGATTGAAAATCTTGAATTTCGCCAGAAAAAGCACGCTTTCTCACACTGTACGCAGTTCTGCTACGAGAGCAATCGTATTCTAGTCCAGTCAAACGTATAACTCGAAAGTATGACGTATCAGGCTCTTTAATTTCCCTAGTCTATCAATCGAGGGAAGTAAATCTCCCGACATGAACACGATGTAGACGCTAAATCGAAATGATGACGGTGACAGGCAAACTTTTCACTTGAGCCACAATCACAACACGCTAGAGGCCCTCTTCAAGTGGGCTGCCCGCTCGGCGACGGACCCATTCACCACAGCCTTGACGGCATCCACCACCCCGGGTGTGCCGACAACATCCCTCCCAGTCCAAAGACGGGCTTGCTCCAAGCCCTGCCAGATGAGAGCCTCCGATCCCAGAATCACCTTCCAGCCAGCTGTGGATGCCATCTGAGCAATGTCTGTCCATGGCACCGGGTGATAGCACATCTCCAGGATCACCCCCTCTTGCTGAGATGCCTCGGATGCAGAGCCCAAGAATGACCGAATAACTGCTCGCGCATTGATCTCCTCGGGCGTCTTTGGGGGGTAGTTTGGGATTCCCGAGACAATGGCCGCAGGACATTCTAAGCGAGCGGCTTCTTCAGGGTCAGTGACGTGGATGAGAGGTGCTTGGGCGGTTGGATCTGGATTGCGTGCACGATCCTCGGCCATGATCGTTGCTACCTCGGCGGCATCACGATTGACAATATATATTCGGCTCGATCCAAGCCATCGACGCATCACGTAGACCGCTGTACGAGCGGTACCACCACCGCCGATGATCAAGGCGGGTCTGCCGCGGAAACGTGATGGATCAGGCGAGTTTTGCAACAAGGCTTCGCGAATACCGTCACAGTCTGTGTTGGTGCCGACGTATTGGCGAGCGCCTGTTGTGGGATCATTGCGGATGAATATCGTGTTACAAGCGCCCGCTTGACGGGCGTGCTCTGTCAAATCATCCAGATGGGGCATGATGGCGACTTTGTGCGGCATTGTAACGGAGGAGCCGACGAATTTGGGATTTGCCTTGATTGAGGCGAGGAAAGTTGGGATGGGCGGAGATCGAGTGTAAGGGGGGAGGGCAGGTGGCCGACGTGCCATACACGCTCGACAGAGGAAGCTGTTGCCAATTGAGATCCAATGCATTGTAGACTGTCTGGTGAAGAGGCGGCGAGAGTGAGTTTAGCAATGGATGGCCGTAAAGATATGCCACACCGTCGAGATGAGCAGGAATCCTAATCGGTTCCTCGGGCTGTAGTGACGCAGCCGTCGTCTCAATTGCTGGTGCAGCCATGATGATAGATGAGGATGACGCGTCAAGGATTCGAAAAGAGACTTCGTCAAAAGCGAGGTGCTACTGGAGAGGGGCTAAACCAGGCAGAATCTGGGGATGATAAAACATATTCGACTTCACACACCCACTTCCCCAGCGATCAATGGAGTATCAGGCCGCAGCCAGGTTTTGGCTAAGGGATCTGCCGCGGGAGCTTATCCGCGTGTCATATCCAAGGAGTCAAGGTGCTCTCGATGTATTGGAGTCACGGTACTGTATGCACTAGGCAGTGATTGGGCAACTAGATGCCAGTGACCAGCAGAATTCGGTGGGGCCAAATTTGATGCTTCCGGTGCGGATGATTGATGATGATGATATCTTACGCGACACAGAGCTCGAGTGCGAAGGTGGTTTACGTGACCGGGAATTTCTCCGCCGACGGAGAATCGCTTATCCCTTCGCCCACCGAGAGAAAATCGGGTCAATCGACTTTCCGCCCGTCGCCTCTTCCTTGACCCGCCATCTTCTCCACTCGTTCAAGTTGAGTTGTGCGTAAAAACTCAAAAGTCGACTGCCATGGTCCATCATCGGCTCGCCACGAATCATCGTCCATGCATCCCGTCGCCGGCAAGAGGGTCAAAATGCCCCGATATTGAACCGAAGTCTCTGCACCGTGTGTCTGCATCATTGTGTGGCTCAAGACTTCCAGATCTTCCCCCAGTTCACCCCCCGCGATATCGGAGACCCCCACACACCCAAACCCCAAGTTCAGTGTGCAGACCCAGCCAGAGTTTTTTTTTTTCTTTTGCCCCGGCGTGATCCCGAGTACAGAGTCGCTGCACGTCTTGGCCAACCACGATATGACTCAACTCGGTTAGGACCTGTGAGAGCATTGCCAAGCACAATCACTGGTATTAGCTTCTGCCACCACTGCAGCTCTAACCCAGACCTACACTCCTTTCGTTTTGCCGGCATGCAGTCAATTGGGCCTGAGACGTGAAAGCTTGCGTTATACGCTTCTCCGCGCTTTCAATTTTCCCCAGAGTCCCCTTTCTCCCGCTTCCATCTCATCGATTTGGAAAATCCGGGGATGGCGCAAGACTATTTAGATTGCCATTTTTCCATTCGGCATTGGTTTAGCCCAAATATTTGCTGGTTTCCCCATATTTTCCCCGGATTTCCAGCCTTCGACCTTGAGTATCACCTTCGACACACAACTGGGTGCATCCGCTCAACAGGCGATAGTCTGCCAATTGCCTTCGTTGAGAAGCGTATTGTCTCTTTTCTCGGACTTTGAAGAGCCGGCATTGGACCGCAACACGTCTTCCAGCCCCCCTTCCAGTGCACCTTGTCAACATGTCGATCCTCAAGGTGGTTGAGGACAGGCCGACGCCAAAGTCTGTCTACAATTGGAGGATATACCTTCTGGCAGCCGTTGCCTCGTTCACATCGTGCATGATTGGATATGACAGTGCCTTCATTGGTACTACGCTGGCACTCGACTCTTTCAAAAAGGAGTTCCATTTCGATACCATGTCCTCTTCAAGCCAGAACTTGATCAACTCCAACATCGTCTCATTGTATCAAGCAGGCGCCTTTTTCGGCGCTTTGTTTGCCTATCCGGTCGGCCACTTTTGGGGCCGACGAATTGGTCTGCTTACTTCCGCGGTGGTATTTTTGCTTGGTGCTGGCATCATGCTCGGCGCGAATGGTTCCCGCGGTATAGGGTTGATCTACGCGGGACGAGTCCTGGCCGGCGTGGGAGTTGGTGCTGGTTCAAATATCACGCCCATTTACATCTCCGAACTGGCACCTCCAGCAATTCGTGGCCGCCTGGTTGGTGTGTACGAGTTAGGCTGGCAGTTGGGCGGACTGGTTGGGTTCTGGATCAACGTGAGTCATTCAACGTCACTATGGACAAGTGGTGATACTGTTTGCTAATCCTCGGTCGCAGTATGGTGTCTCGGAAACTTTACCAGCTACCCATGAGCAGTGGATCATTCCATTTGCTGTGCAACTCATCCCTGCAGGCCTCCTCCTGATAGGCGCAGTGTTTCTCCGCGAGTCGCCTCGCTGGCTCTTCTCGCGTGGTCATCGTGACAAGGCCATTGCGAATCTTTGCTGGATTCGCCAATTGGCCGAGAATGACATTTACGTCCTTGAAGAAATTGCTGCAATCGATCAAGCCCTGGAGGAGCAGCGGTCGACGATCGGCACTGGCTTCTGGAAGCCTTTCAAAGCCGCAGGTACCAATAAACGTGTCATGTGGCGCCTGTTCTTGGGTAGTATGCTGTTCTTCTGGCAAAATGGCTCCGGGATCAATGCGATCAATTACTATTCCGTCACTGTCTTCAAGGTAAGATATGGCAATCGTCGTCTTGATTCTACAGAATTTTCCTGTGCTGACATCACTCACAGAGTATTGGTATCACTGGTACCAATACCGGCCTTCTGACTACCGGTATCTTCGGTGTCGTCAAAACCGTCTTTACCTTCGTCTGGCTGCTTTATCTGATTGATCGTGTTGGTCGTCGTAACCTTCTTCTGATTGGTGCCGCTGGTGGCTCTGTCTGCTTGTGGATTGTCGGTGCCTACATCAAGATCGCCCAGCCGGTCGAGCATCCAAAGGACCACTTGGAAAGTGGTGGTATTGCGGCGGTTTTCTTCTTCTATCTTTGGACAGTATTTTATACTCCGACCTGGAATGGTACCCCATGGGTTCTCAATTCGGTATGTCATAGCAACCCTCGTTTGAAAGAAAAAGACGCTTCCAGTACCCATGGTTATGTATCACAAGACATTCACTCACCATACATACTCAGGAAATGTTCGATTCCAACATGCGGTCACTGGCTCAAGCCTTTGCCGCTGCTTCCAATTGGTTGTGGAATTTCCTCGTCTCGCGCTTCACTCCGCAAATGTTTGCAACGATGGACTACGGAGTGTACTTCTTCTTCGCCTCGCTGATGATCTGCTCCATCTTCTTCGTGTTCTTCCTTATTCCTGAAACCAAAGGTATCCCCCTCGAAAGCATGGATCGCTTGTTCGCCACCAAACCGATCTGGCGAGCGCACGCTCATGTGGTTGCCACTTTGCGCGAGGATGAGGAGCAATTCCGCCAGGACGTCATGGAGTCCAACCTTGCGGAGAGGAAGCTTGGTCTTGAACAGATTGAGGATACTGCTGTTCAGCAGCCGAAAAGTTCTTGATGATGCGAGGTAGCGAGGACAGCATCTTGTTCAACTCTTGTATATAGCATTCAGCACATAGTCACAACAGACACTGTACCTACACATTTACCTAGATCACTGTACACTTTTCTCTTTGATGGCTAAAACGAACACTGCGAGCCGGCTTCGTTTTCAATGGAATGTCTTCAAAATGCCTGTTTTGAAACGAATCACTCGTTATTCCTGCACGACCAAGACGGCTCATGGGCGTGTAGGTAGTACTAATGTCATCTGAGTGGATTTCAGAAGCATTCCCATCTTAATCTTGCAGACTCGGTGAAAGCCACTTTTCACAGGCATTGAAAAGTGTCGATGAAGGGAATCGCTTTCCAGAGGACCAAAGAACGATCATCAGTTATTGACCATCTACGACGCGAGATACCGGTTTCATCCATCAGGAGCCATGCGAGAGAGAAGCGCAAGGTAGACACAGGCAAATTGATGCTTATCTGCAGTATACGCCTATGCGGCCACTTACGTGTATAGCAACGTATTTGCCCCGATAAGTAGGGCGCAGATACACGGCGCTGCAATCGTGTCGAACAACCGTGACTGTTCTGGAATATCACCAATTTGAGCTGCCCTTTTCAAGCCCGCTTAAGTAGTGATTCTCGATTCAGGTATTACCTTCCGCACCGAGCTGGTTGTATAGTGCATGTGAAAGCGTGTACGAGAAATTTTGTATAGCGAATGGATAGGAAATGGTCGCAGCTAGTACCTGACTACCTATCCAGCCGCTAGGCTTCTTGGAATCTTCGACTACTGTGACATATTAACGCTGCTATCTTTCCTACTTGCCTCAAAGGGGAATGACTGGATTGTTCCACTACTTGCTTCCATTCTATTCCTCTCGCCATGTGGTCAGGTTATGTACTGTAGAGTGTAGACGGACATAAAGCCATTCAGCACTTCCTACAAGGCCAGATTCTCAGCTAGAATCACGATCTTTCGCTTTGTCACCCCTCTGGATAGGAAGATTTCGACTCAAAGGCATGTCGTGCATATACCAAACACGAATATCCAATACCCAATATTCGACAAGGTTTGCACTTGCACGGGAACTCGTCGTAAACGAAACGTCGCGTAGTACGAAATCTTAATCCGGCAAAGCTCATTGCCTGTTCCGCAACCTTATCTCCGGCTACTTATTTTCCCGGTGCACGAATGCAGTGTGCCACCTTTTTTCCGCCGGCATGGAGTTTATCGCCTTCATTCAGTCAGGTCCATACTTGGTTGTAAAGATAGTGATGTGCAGGGTCAGAACTGCAGTGACGATGAATACGCTGCGCGTGGGGGTAATTGTTCTTCGCCTTGGAGGAATAGACTCGGAAAAACGCAAGAAAGAGGTCCAAATATCCGGCCGTGAGTATCCGTTAGTACTTATCATTGTAAGGACGTGAAGCATCTGTGTGACTAGATATCCCAAGATTGGGGACGGTCCATGTCAGGTGCTTCTTGCCTCATTTCTATATACCTTGTAAAGCCGCGCAGATCTACTACTTATTTCTTTTCAAACAACGGTGCCTACCCCTTGGGCATTTCCAACTCTCACAACTTGCGAGTATAATTTTTCAAGTTCAACAGGAACATCTCGCCGTCGTCCATTCTCGCTCTATTTTCCCCACGAAATCTTCGGACACTAGATCCAGCGGTCATCATCTGCACCATCATCCCCACCATCACTATCAGCACCATAATCATAATAGCCACTGCCATCATCAACCATCACAAACAACAGCAACATTACCAAAACCTCATCCGCATCCCCTCCTCAAAATAATGATCCTCAACCGCCCCGGAATCGCATCCATGTCCCTTGGGAAACCATGGGTTCACAACCTCCCCGACAAACTACTCCAAGCCGCAGCCCACGGCTTCCAAGGCATCGAGCTCTTCTTCGACGACCTCGACTGCTACGCCCACCGAGCCTTCAACGGCGACCACCTCGAGGCAGCCCATCAAACACGCACCCTGTGCAACAACCTCGGCCTGACAATAATCTGTCTTCAACCATTCTCAATGTACGAGGGACTGCTCGACCGCGCCGAGTCAGACCGTTTGATCAACGACAAACTACCCCGATGGTTCCGTCTGGCGCGGGCGCTAGGAACCGACATGATCCAAGTCCCATGTAACTTCCTAGGTCCTGATCCCCAGACCGGAGCTGCACGGACAACGGGCGATCGGACGGTGATTGTGCGCGATCTGCAGCGCTTGGCTGATCTGGGCGCCGGGGCGGGATTTCGGTTCGTGTACGAGGCCTTGTGCTGGGGGGATCACGTCGACACGTGGGAAGCGTCATGGGAGATTGTGCGCGCGGTTGATCGGTCGAACTTCGGCCTATGTCTTGACTCCTTCAATATCGCGGGCCGGGTGTACGCAGACCCGTCGTCGGCCTCGGGTAAGACGCCCCATGCTGCCGCAGACATGGCTGCTTCGCTGCAGCGGCTTCGAGCCGCGCAGATCGACCCGTCCAAGATCTTCTACGTGCAACTCGTCGATGGTGAACGACTTGCTTCGCCACTGGATGCAAATCATCCGTTCCATGTTGCGGGCCAACCGGCGCGCATGAGCTGGTCTCGAAATGCTCGTCTTTTCCCCTTTGAGGAGAGTCGCGGTGGTTACTTGCCTATCTTGGACATTGCAAGCGTGTTCTTTGATGATATTGGCTTCCGGGGCTGGGTGTCTCTTGAGCTGTTCAGTCGGACCCTGGCTGATCCCAGTCCGACGACACCTGCCGATCATGCGCGCCGAGGAATCGAGTCTTATATCAAGATGGGTCGTCTTCTTCAGTGGCAGGATCATGCGGTTACGGACAAAATAGTTGATTTGTCTTGTCAAAGTGTTGGCACAGAAGCGCCTTTGCAACATCGGTTGTGATCAGTGACATGAGATCCTTTGCTTGATCTTTTTTCTTGGCGTTTGTTTATGGATGCATACATACACACTTAGCGAGGTTTTGGTAGCCACAATGAGTATATTACTACTTCTTCCCCTTCTGCTGATAATTATTCCATTCGATGTCGTGATATGTGGCACCTGTTTCATCCCTGCAATTTTGTTCCAATCTCACCAGCGTACCTCAAGTGAGGGAGCCGGCCAAGAACTCCGGGAATACGTGGTGATCACAAAGTAAACTACTAAATCCACCCAGTTCGCCCTTGCACGAGTTTGCTCAGCAAAAGGGCCTTGGGACTCATACCAAGCCTTCTATTCGTGAAAGGGTTGGTCAGGCTGCAGCGATGACAAAGACTTTGCGCGCCTGGGGGATATCGGCCAGGTCTCGAGTCCTCTTTCATTGTTGAAGGGGTCAATGATGGATCTTGTCAGGCAGGTCTTGGGCCGATTAGCAGTGAAGAACTAGAGATTAGTGGGCCAGAGCCCGGTACCATTTAAGTCGCTTTGAAATACCGTTCGAGGTAAGCAAGAACAAGGTCGATGGGAGAAGAATTAATATCATTATTCGGTATTCAGACAAATGTCGGCGTATAGAGTGACCCTTTCTTTCCCCCTTCGACCGGGAAAGAGTCACAAGAGCAAGTGGGCAAATGGCCAAAGAAACACACTCGCGGCGAAAAAATGTGCAATGCAGCCATAAAAATAAAATGCGAAAAGAAGAGACCATGCGTCATCGGGGAGTTTTAACGGTGCACACGGTAGTAATATGGAAAACCCAACCCCCAAAAAATGAACCGCAACACCGTGAAGTAAAGCAAGTCGCAAGCAGGAAGAAAACCCAGACGCCAAAATCAAGGACGAGATGAGGCATGGTACCAACTACACTGTCGAGTACAGAGTCCAGTGTACACAATCGCAGTAAATGCCCCCGCCTCGGTTCCCCGCTCTGCTCGCACAGCGCGCGTCCAATGAATCCCCTGCAGGGCCGTCATGAGGCATTGCCCAACCAAATGACAGCTGTGGCGGATAGGCTGAGATGGAGACTCGACGGACCAAATCACTCTGTCACGACCTCGCGGACGGAGAGCCTCGGATGATGTCATCAATCATGAGTCACGAGCTCCGACACCTCAAGCAAGGGCCAAGAGGCAGGAAGATTCGTTCGGCGGAGGTGGCCCAGCGGCAAAAAGGGCGCCGGGCGACACCCCCAAAAAGTGCCCGGAGCTGGCGGCCGTCTCGTGGAAAGGCCCACGGCAATCATAGGAGGAGACGAAAGAGGCGGGGCGAACAACAAAGACCCACTGCCAGACCGAGGGTTGATGCTGCTGGGCCAGGCAGGCAGGAAAAGCAAAGAAAAGCAAGAAAAGAAGAGAAACAATGTGAATGCAGATGGAAGAGATTGCAGCGATGCAAAGGGGTAGTACGCAAAGTGGAAACATCAAAAATATGGCAAAGTGGCCGACTGGAGGGGATCTTGGTGCCAATTTGTTGCATCTTGCCCGAGACCCGTCCGTGATGAATTGAATCATGTGAAGATCGGAATACCGGACCACTGAGTGGGTGGAGAAGAACAGCGAAGAACAGTAAGGGGACACCTGTACAAGTTGGACAGGTCCTCCCACTCATGCCTCTTGGGCCCAGCGCTTCTCGCGAAGAGGCATGTCCTCGCCAGCCTTGGCTCGACTTCCGTCGAGTTCCCGCTTCCACGCCCAGTATTCCCCGAGTCGCTGCTCAGCATAATCTGCGTAGTCAAAGTCAATCTGCGAAATCTGGGCCTGGATGAGAGCCCATACACCCCTGTAGGAACGAAATCAGCATGGTCACTCGAGACCGTCGGGAAGTGGACAGATAGCGACATCATGGACTTCACTATCCCTCGTTTTCTCGACGTACCAGTAAAATCCGGGAATACCACGGAAGCGATCTACGTCCTGATGGAGGCGATCGACAATCTCGGCTTCGGAAGACGCATCAAGCCCTCGGTGCTTGCAATAACTCCGGGTGTATTCGGTGAGGAATTGACGGCGCACCGATTTGGTGGGAATCATGTGGTAATCGCAGTCATAGCCAATCCACTCCGCCAAGTGGTTGGCGATGTCAAAAGCCGCCGGCGCAGGCACCGCATATTCGTAATCGATGAAGTTGACCGGGGCCACATCGTCCTCGGTCCGAGCACCGACGTCATGCGGGAGAACAATCACATTGGCACAGAGAAGGTCACAGTGGGCGAAAACAAGCTGCACATGCGGGACAGGGGGGAAAGGGTTAGCTGCGTTTGCCAAAGAAGCGGGGGAAAAAGTCACAAGGTGACTGGCACCACGGAGGAACGTACGCCGTCGTCGCCAATGCCCACCCCGTCGTCCAGTTGGCCCACCACCCACTCCAGTTCACGCTGCAAGCTCAGGCGGCGGGCCCGCTGCTCGGGAGTAGCCACCGGCAAGGCCAACACCCATCGCTGGAGAACTGCCCACATGGAGTCGCCCGCCCGACGGGGTTGAATGGGCGTGATCTCCGCCTCTGCTTTATCCAGGGTCGTTGTGGAGGTTGAGCCCGCCGCGGTGTTGGGAAGGACCGCGTGCCACTGGGCGAGCTTGCGCGCAACGCCGCGGAAGATAGGGGGGTGACCAGATCCTCGTGGCCACAGGGTTTGCCGCGGATGAATCGATACAGCAGACCATTTTTGAATCGGGCAAGGAGGGGAGGAGCCAGGCCACGGCTGGCGAGGAGGTTGTGGGAAGTTGTTTCACCTGTGGTGGTCGCAATCTTTCAGTCAATAAGGGAACAGAGTTGAGCGACTGATGAGCCATCATAGCAAGGCCGGTCCTCCGTAACAAAGCGATCGCAAGGACAAACGAAGCATGGACAAGGGAAGAGGAGAGAAATCACATACGCTCACGATCAATCAGGATCTCGGTGCCATTTCCGTATGCGCGCATCAAGACCGCATCATTGTCAATTTGCTCGTCCGTCAGGCCAGACTTGCGATTGATGATTTTCAGGAGCTGTTTGGGGTGGGAGAAGTCTGTCAGTCTTACAGCGATACGGCACAAGAGGAGATTGTGTGGGGAGCAGACGCACCGTGTTTGTAATGCCATCTGTGAAGCGGACAAATTCAATCTTGTTGCCAGGGCCCTCCCAATGGGGGAAGAGAGTCAAGATCAATCGCAATGCGGAGGCCTGGGAATCGGCGGGAGAATAGGTGAGGGGGATGTAGCGCAGGTCGGGAGCACCGATTGTCGTGTCGATGGAACCCATGATGGGCAGAGTGAGGCAACAGAGGTGGAGGAGAAACAGAACAGGCCTTGTGTACTTGGACGATGCTTCGGCCAGCGCAAGCGTTGAAAGGTCTCAAGAGTAAGATGGTGATGTTGGAAAATGGGTGTTTTGGCTTTCCGTCGCAGATGTGAGCGGGACTAGGGGGTCACTTTAGGGCGGGGACGGATTGAAAGACCGCAAAAAATCAAAATCCAGGGTCGAGTGGAGACAGTAAGCCAGCTGCGGGTACAACTGGAGAGTCACTAGAAGTAGAGTGTACTAGACTGAAGACCCAATTGACCCGAGGTGAAGTTCACTAGTTGCGAGTTGCGACTCCCTAGGAGTCAGTCGGTGAGGAGGTTGAGTGAATCGAGATCTTCAAGGCACGATGAGCTTGAGGACGTCCGAGATTAGGGGTAGGGTGATGATGAGGAGGAAATTCTGTGGGAAAGAGAGTACAACTGTGAGAGGTGAGGGAGTGGCAGAGGCTAAATATTTGGTGGCCACTCCAGGGGGGACGTGAAGAGCATGTAGCCATGCAGCCATAGGCAGTACCTGTCATTACTTCCATCAGTCGTACCTGTGACTATGAGTCCTGTGCGGTCCTGTGGTGGTGTCGAATGCGCCCACAGGATTCACTGGCGAGTCGCGATTAGGGGAGCGGATGTGGTATGCGCGCGATCGAAGGTTAAGGCAGTACTCATTACTACCGGTGTGGTTGGTACAGGTACATCTGTACTATGGTGGATGGGGAAAGAGGTCGCATGGCCATTTGCCCTCGGTACGAACTGAACTCGGGCGGAAAGGAGACGCGGGAGGGGGCGCCAAGCATGGGGGCGAACGGCTAGCACTCTGACTGGCTTTACGGGCTGGACTTGGATTGGCTTCGAGGGGCCCAGTCAACTGGCAAAAATCGAGACGCAGTACCGCTTGAGAAGTACTGTACTGGTCAGCGAGTACAGACTAGTACCAACTACCAGGTACCGAGAGTAGTCGTACTATAGTAGACTGGTAGTGTTGTGCTTGACTGTCTATGGGAGTTGAACTTAGTACTGTGCAATCATGTGATGGACCACAAGACTGCCTATCTGAGGTACTGCCACTTCCTCTTTAGGTCAAGACCGAGAGGCCTTTCAAGTTCCACGCACCGAACGGGACCTTCGACGCAGTGGCAGAGCCAACCTGGTCTCGTGCCCCGGTACCAGAAAGAGGCGGGTCCCGCTTACACCGTGACTTTGAGGGGCTAAGCAATCAGCCTCGGGCAGGGGGACTTTCTTAGTATTTGATATTTCCTATTTATTGATCTAGTCTTTGCTACTCACCACTCAGGTCCATTCACTACAAAGTGCGATGTGTGGACCCTGATCAGGGATTATGGACGTGCTCGAATCGCGTGCTGGGATGGTAGTACTACGACTGATTCAATGTACTGTATTCATGTAGTGTAGCTGGGTCTGTGGGAAGGTTCTCGGGAGCCATATGTCCAAGCCTCGATCCATAATCCTAGTCCTACTCCTACCGTCAACAATTACTGCACAGATCATGAGAGCCAACTATCGATAAGAGTTGATAGATAGAGGAATTGGTCACCGGATCACGATCGATTTTACAACGTCGGCCTGGATTGACGATCGTTTTGAACAAAGCTTGGCCATCATCACAGTATTGTAATGCACGAAATGATCAGCATAATTGGTCAATGCTATGCCTTTGTAAATGACCTTCTCAGCACCTGGCCCAGACACGAACATCTTACAAACAGGTGACAGCTGTTGGCCGCGGCAAGATGAGATTTGTCTGGATCATTTGTTTCGGCAGCCGACGGAGAATGTTGTCTATCATACCCGACGGAGCATGTCGTCGATCGTGCCCAAGGTACCGCGAAGCAGACAATTCCCGGTGATTGATTTGCTGATTGTCTGATTGTCGGGCTGACCGTAACATCCATGAACCATGAGTTACACGGCTACAGCAGCTCTAAAAGGGCACATGGCCAAGGGAAAGAAGCAATGTAGAACAAAGCATACAGGATGAACTTCTCACAATATGGCGAGTCATTTGCCTCGTACTATTTTCCGCCGGATGCACAGGCCAAGGCGGGTTCTAAAATTTACAATAGTACTACAGTACTACTACTACTGAGTCTACTCGTCTAGTAGTCTACTGACTCAACCACCAACGCCGAATCTATCGATATGAGATAAAAGTACGTAAAAGTAAATCTGATGGACCCTGATTCTGATGCTCAGATTGGCCAAGTCTAAGACCATTCCAGGGACCATCCTGCAATGAGAGATTCGGTCAAGAATTAAAATGGGGCCAGTCACATGCCCAAAACTGCTTCCATGCAGATGCTTCCTCTCATCACCTGACTCGACAAGCCCTGCCAGACGGCCCTACGTTCCCCCGGCACTTCGCAGATCCACAACCAGCCGGTCAGCCCAATTCGCACTAGCGCGGCTCTCCCTCCCAGGGGTATAAGAAGAACCTGCGTCCGCCGTCGTTTCCTCGGTTTTTCTTTTCTCTCCATCATCAGTAGAGGTTTACTATATCTACAATATATGTAAACAATCCCGTGGCTCCATCACAGATGGCTTGCTGAGGGTTATCCTTGTGGCTTTTGCTCTATGGGTTTCCTTCCGTTCCCGGCTCCGGAGAATAGTTCGTTTTTCTTTCCACTTCATGCCGAGCAAGGGTTCCCCTTTTGGGGAGCTCCATGCGCTTCGGCAGCCGTGGTTGGTGCGGCACATACCTTTTTCAGCGGATTTCGTTGGTTGTAGGCCGTCTCGCAACTGTCAGATCGGACTAGTTTGACGGTGATTGAGACGTTGCGACACTCTTTAAGACATTAAAAAGCATTGCGATGCCTGTGCACGCTCCATTTGCACATGGTCACGGCTCTGCCAGTGGCTCTCAAATTGAGTGGTCAATTTGACTAGTCGCAGATGTACTCGTCAACCTTAATCGGCGGACAAGCGACCAGCGCTGTGGTGTCCCGATCCGTGTGGATGAAGTGCATTGTTGTCTTTGCAAGGCCAACCTTGCTCGATGCAAGTTGGCCAAGAGCTGGCATAGGACAGAGATTTGCACTCCCGACAAGGCTGTAGCGGACAAACGTAAGTCTCTGCTCGCATGCCTGAAGCCCACGGATTGATGAAAAGTCTCGATGAGACGGTGTCCGTGTCAGAAATGCAATGGCAGGATGATATGATTACCTTCTCCTCTGTCCGAGTCAAAAGTCAAAAGTACCTCTATAATTACCAGACTTGGCAGACTGTGACATCGGCACATCCAACCTAACGGTGTCCCGTAGTCAACATCAACGGAACAATCGAACTTTGATATCCTTCACTCGGGCACTTCCAGCATTCTCAGCTAGGAGTCGTCCCAGGTGCCGATCGTATCTTTTCTCGAGCCGCGTAGAGTCGAATAGCTTGGGACGGGCACGCTGCCCAATACCTGCAACGCAACGTCTTACGGATTGACAGAGGTCAAATTTCATTTGGTCAATCATAGCCTGACATTGGTTGTCAAGACAAATATCTAATCACCAAACCAAACATATGCAATGTGCCTACCTACCTCCACTATACCTCAGAGACATTGTGCAAAGATGCGACGACCATCCAGTCTCGACTTATCCTTGGCCTGCCTCTTCCCCAACGGGCACCTGGGGACAGCCCGGAGTCGTTGAAGACTTAACGTTTGGGACAAAGACCTCGATTGGAAGGTTTGCGTTATTTTGAATGCATCTGCAACAACAACGGTTATTTTGCTCTACATGTATGTTTCAACCTGATTCCTGTTGCTTCCAAGTAGTGGAGTAATAGTTTACAAGATGACCATTTACTGTCTGTCCGGACTCCGGACGGAATAAGGCATATATCACCCACAATCCGCGTACCCGGGATAACCAGCCTCGCCCACCGGCCGGGGGCTGCAATCTTACCTTGGCCTTGGTAGGCAGCTGGATGGAATGTGAGATGACTGGGCTGTACTGTGGTATTTTGTAGGTCTTGGGAAGGGTTGCCCAGTAGATTGATCATGCACTGAGTCAGTCGACATGCCTGGAGAATACAGGATATTATCCAACTACAATTGTGTGTGTGTGTGTGTGTGTGTGAGAGAGAGAGAGAGAGAGAGAGAGAGAGGGACAGTCTCAATTGTCCCCCCCTCTTCTACCATGCACTATATTATCCTTCAGGCGAAGCCTCAAGGAGTTGCAGGTGGAATTAACATTTGCCTCTAGAGTCAGTTTCATATTCATTCATTCAGTCGGTCAAATAAGTTGACTTGCGCTTTATATGCGCTTAAGCCCGTCCTGCATTGCCGATCTGGATTCGCTCCCCAGTCCATTTGTCGTCGCTGCGCAGGACTGGCCAACTGGTGCCATCTGCCTTGGTAAGCGTCAACTCAAGTTTAGTGCCCAGCACACGAAATGAGGACGTCGCAGGATCAATGGGCGCAAACAGATTGTATGTGTCTTGGAAGCGCTTGTTGTCGGTGGTGGGCAGATCGAAGGTGATGGACTTCTCAGCCATTTCGACGCGCGCGCGGTCCTTGTCGATTTTCTTCAGGTAGAGGGAGACGTTGACAGAGGCGGCCGTTTGGTAAAAGTCATTTCTGTTCAGAGAGCGCATCACAGGCAGGCATTAGCAACCATACTCGTCTGACGGAGGCGAGGCGCCCGTGCAAGGCCAGTCCCGACCACCCATTGATAACTTACCGGACAGATTCAACCTTCTCCTCGCCAGCCGGCTTCGCCTTGCCCACGAACATGTGTCGGACCTTCTCCGTGCAGCCCGGGATCTTCAAGAACTGATCGAATTCAAGCACCCGCCGCTTGCAGCAGGACCACCCTTTACTGCCCTCATGGAAGACAGGTGCCCCGGGATGGTGCACACACTTCTCCTCCCGATCTCGTGACCCGTCATATGTGGCACCGCAACCTTTGCGACGACATGTGGCATTCGCAGGGATCTCAGCATCGGGATCGTCCGAATCGGGCTCCTCGACGACAAGCTTTGCGGGGGGTTGGCGGCGATCTTGGCTTCGACGGGGATAGGTGCGGGCGCGGCCGCAGGCGTCGGCGCCGGCGCAGGCTCTTCGGGGGCCTTGACGGGCTCTGGTGCGGGTGTATCATCGACAGTCGAGTGCTTGCCCGTCGTGCAGGGTGGGATGGCGAGGAATTCCTCGAATGTCAGGACGCGGGGTTTGCAGCATTTCCAACCTATGGCGGGGACAAGTCAGCATGAAATCAGTGTCAATTGTCAACTCCCCAATGATTGATCTTGCGCCCAAGGTCCTCACCTTTTTGACCTTCGTGGAACACGGGCGGACCCGGGTGATAGACACACGTCTCCTCGGGATCATCGAATGTCTTGCCGCATCCCTTGTGAACGCATTTGCTCGCCATGACGCCGCAACGAATGACGGGAAATTGACAGGTGAGGGGTGGGTAGGATCCGAGTGAAGGAAGGGATGATGGTCGATTCGGCGCGGAAGAAGGATAATTGAGAAGAGCGCAGTCAATGTCACACGGTCAACAAATGTGAAGTGAGTCGATTTTGAATACGAGGCCCGCACGTATGTATTCGCCCAAGTGAAGCTCGAAGGTTCCATTGCTTCCATCAGTTTGGAGAACTGAGATGTGGGGGCTGGGTGGGCCAATCAGATTGCCGGCTCGCACAGCTACGCATCTGAACGCGTGCAAGCCACTGGAATTAAGGTCTTGGTGCAACTCCATGCTATATCAACTCATCCCGCATATCTCGTTGCATGGAGAGATATACCGACAATTTGACGAGAACGTATCGACATATTAGCGCTGGGCTCTAGTACAAAATATCCGTGTCATATTGGTCAGGTCTACAGGGCTGATTCCCGGTATGAGGTGAATCGGCGGTCATGGGGATCGATCTTGCGGCTCGTCGAGTCACGACCGTTCATCTACCTAATTCAGGGAATAGTTGACCAAACCTTGAATCGAGATAAGATTTGATCTCATCAAAAAGTCCATCAGACATTGACGGGCCGCGCGAGAAAGTGTGAAAAAGGTCAAAGTAAACTTAAAAGCCACCTACTTTGAAGAACAGAGACCACTCCTCGGCTCGAGACTCACTCATCCAGTCACTTGCACAAAGCATGGAAGTGGGATGAATCAGAGTATCCAGTGTATACAAATGCTTAATGACCCAGTCCTGAAGGAATCGGGGTGTGATGGGGTAAGTTGTATACTGCCTGCAGTGCGTGGACGTCGGAATACTTGGGGATGAACGTTTTTTGTTCTTTGGCGAGTGAAGCGCAAGTGACAAGTTGTTAAGACTGCCACCTCGTCCCTGTCACCTCTCATGACAGTGTCTAACTGCCTACAATACGGTAGTTCAAGTCTTCCCACCGACTGATGTCCAGTACCAATTGGAACTTGCCAGCTGAACAAGGCCTTGATCCTAGACAAGTTACCAGCAATCCAGCTGATAGAGTGGCTTTAAGAGTGGCTTCAAGAGACTTGGAAGTGACATAACGCGAGGCTTCATCAAATCGGACTCTTCCCTGACATCCAAGACCCGCAAGGCCGAGTGATGGATGAATCAAGCAAATGGTCCAGACCTTCCAAGATAGAAATGAGAGTCGAGACTCCTCAGCAAGGATTTTCTCCTGCGAATTGTTCTTTCTCACAAAGAAGCTATCCAGAGATACCTGAGTAGAATCGATTCTCAGACGTTCTGGGCTGAACACGGTCTATACCACCAGTCAGCAGTAGTGAATTGACGATCTGGCCAACACCCCAGCGGGCAAGAGGAGAGGAGGCCAAAGAGTCTCTCGTCACGTCCAGGCCCAGCCTGCTTGGAGTCGACTCTGGCCTCCACTGCCAGTGCTGACTCGACTTGAGTCAGTTGGATCATCCCATTAGTTACTGACTACAGGAAAGCTTACTAATCAACGCCAAGACTCACTCACCACGTGACCGTAGCCGGGCGGTCCATGTTGCCTGGGACCTGAGTGATTCAGATGCTCGGATCCGCATGCCTGAAATGGACATGCGGGAATGGCATACTTGCGATGCACGGGTTGATGAACGAGCTTCATTACCATTTGAAGCGTATCACTACCGGCCTTGAATTCTCATCGCTCCTCAAGATGACTTCTGATGATCATGCCACACCAGCCTCAAACATGCAAAGGTCAGAGACGGAGGGTTGTCCTCAGGTATTGACGTCATCGACTGAGCACCGTGCCGTGGCCGCATATTGCGACGTCTGTGTGGCGCCTGCCCCAACTCCAGCGGGATCGATGCCGTCTGAACGTGCAAAAGAATCGCGCAGATCGCCCGACTGATGGTCCTGGCGCAGACCACATGCTATGTCATGTCTGCCATATCGGGGTTCTACATCGCCCACCGTGTAGGAGGCCTACGTGGGTTCAAGGACCTTTCGTTGCTGGCCGCGATGATTGAGGACGTGGCCATGCGCAGGAGCCCCTGCCAAAATCGCCACTCGTGGAACAGACAATGCGCCAGCAGATAGGCTTCCATGTCGATCTTATAGAGTGGTAGGCAGCACGGTCCACTCGAATGGGCCACGTACTGTAGATTGGAAGGAGTTGGAGAAGGAGGGAAGCTTTGCACTGTACTCCGTAATAGTATTGCTGAAGCCTTGTCTACTACAGTAATTTGCTGCGGAGGGCGGTCATGGGCACTTCCGAGGTCCACATCCTCGGATGAGGGGGGCGCATCATCGCATGCTTGTTTTCTGCTCTCTTCGGGAAAGTCTAGATGAAAGCTCGGATAACTAGCAGATTGCTCGAGTGGACAGGCTATATGAGGTTAAATCATCTGTCTGTCAATCATTGAACAATATACCGCAAGTCTGGTGTGCAAGACCTCAGATTGTACAGGTGGTGCAAATTGCAGACTGCAGAACAATAAGGCTGCGACGGAATCCGCCGCGCGTGGTTCAGCGCAGCCGCCGCTCCCCGCACCGAGACTCCAATCTGGGCGGTGATCTCCTCACCCGAGTCAACCGAGGGGAAAAAAGGGCAAACGATTTACGTGTACGGAATGTGTCTGACCGTCGTCTCAAAGTCGGCTCGAGATTGTGGTGAGATTTACACATGACACCTATAAACATGACTGACCCATGCAGGCTTATCATATCACGTTCGCTCCAGAACCACATGGATCAGTTTCGGATTATATGAATTGGCAGTTTTACCAATCCTCCTCGTAGTATGGCTCAGTCCAGCCAGGTCGCATTACCTCAGAGCCATGCATCGATTGACATCCTTGCTGGACCACCGCTCGGCCGCTCTCCACGGTTCAGCAACGGCGTTGCCACCCAATCGCACTCGCCAGCTGAGGTAATTTCGCCGTGGTCGAGAATTCAGTGGCTGACAAAAGGTAACCGGATCGTGAGGTCCAGTTCCAGGTGGAGGGGGGGACGCCTTTCCCGAGGATGGGCCAAGCGTCTGATTTGGAGTCGAGCGATAGAGAGAAGAGCAGTGGCCATGCATGTATCCTGGGTAGCTGGGGGTGGGTCATGGTACATCGGCCGCAGCGGGAATCCGCGGGCTCAAGCGTGTCACTCTCGGACAAGAATCAGGGCCAGCTACATCGCTCCAGGTCTCGGCTGCTGTGCTGCCGCTCCCGTGAGACAAAACAAGTACCACAGCCGGACAGTAGTAGGAGCCTACTGGAGGAGTAAAGCGTAAATCAAGCGTAACACGACGGCTCTCTAATGCGTTTTCCGTCATTCGTTCCCGGCCCACGAGTTTTTGGCTGCTCGCGCACCTCATAAAGTGCGGGGTCGCCCGTCGGTGGATTGACCAGAAAACTCTCCTTGATCAATCACTCATAATCCTCCTCCTCCTCCTCCTCCTCCTCCTCTGCTCCAGAACGTCCCCCCCTCAATTCCGTCTACTTTGGTGATACCCTAAAACTCTCTCTACTCATCCCAACACAGCCAATATGGGTGAATGCCCCGTTCACAAGCCCGTCAATGTGGCTGGCCACGGTACTCGTAACGGTGACTGGTGGCCCGACAACCTGAAGCTCAACATCCTGCGCCAGCACACCGACGCCACGAACCCCATGTCCAAGGACTTCGATTATGCAACCGCCTTCAAGAGCCTCGACTATTACGCCGTGAAGAAGGACCTCACAAATTTGATGACCGATTCCCAGGACTGGTGGCCCGCGGACTTTGGTCACTATGGTGGTCTGTTCATTCGGATGGCGTGGCACAGCGCGGGCACTTATCGTGTCTTTGACGGTCGTGGTGGCGGTGGTCAGGGTCAGCAGCGGTTCGCCCCCTTGAACAGCTGGCCCGACAATGTCTCCCTGGACAAGGCCCGCCGGCTGCTGTGGCCCATCAAGCAAAAGTATGGTGACAAGCTCTCCTGGGCCGACCTGTTGTTGCTGGCCGGCAACGTCGCTCTCGAGTCCATGGGCTTCAAGACCTTTGGTTTCGCCGGCGGCCGTCCCGATGTCTGGGAGGCCGACGAGTCGGTCTACTGGGGTAGTGAGGTCGAATGGTTTACCAACGACGCCCGCTACAAGCCTGAGGATGACGGCGAATCCTCCAAGCAGAGTAACCTATCCACTCGTGACCCCGAAGATCCCCTGGGTGCCACTGTGATGGGACTGATCTACGTCAACCCCGAGGGCCCCGACGGCAACCCAGACCCCGTCGCCGCCGCTCACGATATCCGGGTGACGTTCGGTCGCATGGCCATGAATGACTACGAGACCGTCGCTTTGATCGCCGGTGGTCACACTTTCGGCAAGACGCACGGCGCGGCTTCTGCAGACAACGTGGGCAAGGAGCCCGAGGCAGCCGGTATCGAGCAGCAGGGTCTTGGCTGGACCAACTCCCACGGCTCCGGCAAGGGCCCAGACACCATCACCTCCGGTCTCGAGGTCACCTGGACGCACACCCCGACTAAGTGGAGCATGCAATACCTCGAGTATCTCTTCAAGTACGACTGGGAGCTGACCAAGTCCCCCGCCGGTGCCAACCAATGGGTCGCAAAGACCAACGATGAGATCATCCCCGATGCTTTCGATTCCAGCAAGAAGCACAAGCCCACTATGCTCACTACTGACTTGTCTCTGCGCTACGATCCTGCGTACGAGAAGATCTCCCGCCATTTCCTGGCCAATCCGGATGAGTTTGCTGACGCCTTTGCTCGTGCGTGGTTCAAGCTGCTCCACCGTGACATGGGTCCTCGTGCTCGTTGGCTCGGTCCCGAGGTCCCCAAGGAGAAGCTCCTGTGGGAGGATCCCATCCCCGCCCCCAACCACCCTCCCATTGATGCCGAGGATGCCGCGGAGTTGAAGAGACACATTCTCAGCTCGGGCGTTGAACCCACCAAGTTTATCGCCGTTGCCTGGGCCTCTGCCTCTACGTTCCGTGGCGGTGATAAGCGTGGTGGTGCCAATGGCGCTCGTATTCGTCTGGCTCCTCAGAACAACTGGAAGGTCAACAACCCCGCTCAGCTGCGTGAGGTCCTGAACGCCCTTGAGGAGATCCAGCGCAAGTACAACAGCTCGCAGACTGGCAACAAGCGCGTTTCGCTCGCTGACTTGATTGTCCTGGCCGGTTGCGCCGCGCTCGAGAAGGCTGCCGGTGTTCCGGTCCCCTTCACTCCGGGGCGGATGGATGCTTCGGAGGAGCAGACTGACGTCGACTCCTTCAGCTTCCTCGAGCCCGTCGCCGACGGTTTCCGTAACTACGGCAAGTCTTCGATCCGTGTTCGCAGCGAACAGATGCTCGTGGACCGTGCTCAGCTTCTGACCCTGACTGCTCCTGAGATGACCGTCCTGGTTGGTGGTCTGCGTGTGCTGAACGGCAACTACGACCGCTCCAACCTGGGTGTCTTCACTCAGCGCCCTGGTCAGCTGACCAACGACTTCTTCGTCAACTTGCTGGACATGAACACGGAGTGGAAACCCACCGACAGCAACAACGACCGGTTCGAGGGCATTGACCGCAAGACCGGTGCCAAGAAGTGGGATGCCTCCCGCGTGGATCTGATCTTCGGTCACCACGCTGAACTGCGTGCGCTTGCTGAGGTCTATGGCTCTCACGATGGTCAGTCCAAGTTTGTCCGTGACTTTGTCGCCGCTTGGGATAAGGTGATGAACCTGGATCGTTACGATGTGGTCTATTCGGGCGTGCAGGGACGTGCTCGTCTTTGAATGTGTTTTTCAATAGTGTAATGCGCTCACGACGTCTTGATGTTCTCATCGATATATTTCCCTCCCTTTTTTACCACCGTTGCCATTTGACGGATAGGATGAAGAAATTGAATAATTCTACAATGTCATATCAGTTACATTCCCACATCCTCCCAATCAGTACCTTCTCCGATAGGTCTTTTGCCTGTCGATGAAAGCTGTACACCCTCCCAACTAATAGCTGTATGGCCCCATTCTGTGTCTGCATCAAAAAGGATAGCGGCGAGTTTTCCTGCCCGTCCTCATAAAACATCGTCAAAACATGCACCTAGTCATGTGCAGTACTTACTCGCTGTGTAAAGATCAGCCCTGTCAGGCCCTCGATATTGACATCATCATTCACAGTACTTTGAAGGATGTTAGTGGAACAGAGTGAGATCTATATTCGACATCGTCTCGGTACTAAAGCCCTGGAGATGAGACGGCTCTCATGGCGAGGGCTTATACACTGCGAACAACAGTGTACGACGGCCAATAAGTGCACCCGGAAGATACAAGCACTTGCCGTACTTGATAAAATCATACAACAAGCCAGGTAAACGGCCAAGGTTCCTGTAGTCTTTCCTCTGACCGTGGCCGGGGCCCGTAGGACGACTCCGTGTTTTGTAAGTGACTTGTTAATCTCGATACCGGTCTTGCTGGATGGTGTATGTGATTGATTCGTTTTTGAATTTGATTTTGACTACCTTTTTCGTGGTCTTGCTGAGGTCGTAGTCTTCTGAAATTGCGTTGGGTCCTAGGTGCATTCATACTTTGGCCGCCGTACATGATGGAATACTGTCTTTAACCTTTCGGGGTTTCATAGGCTCTTGAGGCTACAGTTCAGTGCCTGAGGCCAAGAATGGTCCACCATGTAGAAGTTTAGGTTAGGTTAGGCAGGTAACCACTACTTATTAGCAGTGGGTTCCATCTTCCTCCACTGCACCTTTTAAGGTTCTGAGCAACACCCACGCCTTTTCCAGTTGGTCGAGGTGCAAGTTCTCAAGTTCTGCATGCAGTCTCGGTTCAACAACGTCTGACGTTCTCCATGAGCGCAAGGCCATTTCGCTCACGGCGGTCTCATCAAAAGTCTAGACACGGCTGTGCAGAATGTAAAAGGCGGCGTATCAAGGTCAGTCACTGTTTGTTCAAGATCTTGCAGGCTTGGACATGGTCAGCTGCCTGACATCTGCGATGAGCTGCTTTCTTAATTGCAAAGGGTTTACCTTGCACACATTCTTGGGAAAGCTTATATTGACGGTAAGGTATTAGTGCGATGAGACCACCCCAGTATGCACCAACTGCGGGAATCGTGGGCAGGAATGCTCGTTCGCCTCAGTCAGTCCAGCCAATTCGACAATATCTAGTGGCTCGCCTTCATCCGGCACTCCGCGAGGCCAAGATCCCCAGGCGAGACGTTTTGAACCTCGAGTATTCTCAAATGGAGGTCGCCAACAGACCTTTCGACTGGCGACCTCCAAGAGGGGCCAACGCGCGCCTCGGAATGAGCCAGCAGACTCGCCGGCCGAGTCCTCGCTTTCCGACGGCATCTCCATAGCTGATCTTCGTCTGTTTCATCATTATTCCATCTCAACATGCTTCACACTGACCGAGGACAACGATCCAAATGGAGTGATGCAGAAACACATCGCCCAGTGGGGCATGGATTTCCCTTCTATCTTGCATCTGATCCTCGCTCTGGCTGCGTGGCATTTGGCCTACCTGACTCCCGAATCTCGCAACAGCTACATCTCACAAGCGGAGAATCACTTCACTTCTGGTGTGCGTATTGTGACTCGCGAACTTGCCAATTTCAACGTCGACAACTGCCAGAAGATCTACATGTCAGCTGTACTGGTATGTCTCGCATACTTTGCCCGCGGGCCCCAACCTGGCGAATACCTCATTTTTAGCGATAGCGGCATTTCCGAATGGCAGAGACTCCTAAGAGGAGTCAAGGTCATCGTCACTACGTATCGCCATGAGGTTTTCAGTGGAGTTTTGGCGCCCGGGGAGGGCGGGGAGTCGGGGGCAATGAGCGAGTCTTTGTGCGTCGAGCTCAGGGAACACACTAAAGAAGTCAAGACCCTCGGACAATTCGTCATGCAGAATATCAATACCCAGCCGAATCGGTCGATGTATCAGTCGGCCATTGACGATCTACTGATGATCATGCAAGATGTCTACAAAAAACTGGTGGTCAATGACCCCGGTGTTGGCTTGATGCCCTCTTTGATGGGTTGGCTCTACCGACTCCCTGATGAATTCGTGTGTCTCCTGGAACAGAAAGAGCCATTTTCTCTGATGATATTGTCTCACTGGGCGGTCATTCTGAGATACATGGAGAGTGTATGGTTCATGGAGGGCTGGTCTCAGCATGTGCTGCGAGGGATATCGGCCAATCTCAGTGCTGACTTTCAACCTCACATTTCGTGGCCTATTCAGCGGATAACTGAGAATTGACTTTGGATCAGTGCTGTGACATTCCCGGCTGCGAATAAATCTACGATTGAATACTCGACTAATGATGCATGGAACGACTGGCTCCATTCACCTTCTACCGAAAGACACTATGAGATGTCAGTAATGGACAAGGAGCACGTACACATTGGCAAATTGCCGGTGGCAAGTTGCAATAGGCGAACCCTTTTTGTAAAAATAGATCTGAACCTTTCTCCAGGCATCACTCCTCGATAAGACATTGGCGATAGGTTTCATCCCCAGTTTGAAAGTACCCAGCTATCCATAGGAATCGAAATGAGACCCAACGAGCCCAACACAAGGGTCTATCCAGCCATCGGTGGTCTACGGCCACAATGATGCAATGCACATTATCACCTAATACCCGCTCGGACCCCGACAGTGGTTCTCGAGCGGAGATGGTAAAGAGTCAAGACAAGAATGGAGGAAGGGGGCATACTGGACATGGCCATGCTTGACTATGATTCAAAGGCAACAAGTTTCCAATATCTTGTAGCCTGGATCATATTTTAGGAACTGCCAGCCACGCGAAGATCTTTTCATATGAGACCCATCCAGGATCAGGGACATTGATTGTGATGCACGAGGGTGGACTCTCGAGGTTAATTCCAGAACGGTATCCGTGAATCTGATGCATTCGAAACCCACTTGAGTCCCGTGGGCGCGATCAGACCCACACGTATCCGTATGTGAAAGCTGCCTAATTGGGTAATGCTCACTGCGAAGCATTCAACAGCGTGAACATGAGCTTGATGGGACATCCTACATAACTACGTTAGGCCGCTGGGTCGGAGATGGGTAAGTCGCTCTCTTCATCATCCTCTGGTGTCATACTCTCCCATTTCAAAAGCGCGGTGGTACAGCACGTCTCGGCTACAAAGATGGATATCGTCTTTCACAACGGCACAAATGGCGGACATCCTTGGGTCGAATTCTATCCATACACGCCCTCCGCGTCGGCTGGATATGCATTCCTAGCAATCTTTGGCATTGTGACGGTGATGCATTTTGTTCTGATGTTTCCATATCGCGCGGCATACTTTTTGCCTCTGGTGATAGGGGGGATATGTACGTCCACCTACGTCGGATCTGCCATGTACCGGTTCCGAACCAGACTCGAGCATTGTATACCCGTTCCATATCCATTGTCGCGCCTGCTAACCGGAATAAAAACAGGCGAATCATTCGGCTACTACGGCCGCGCATGGTCCCATCATGACCGCACGGATATCAGATCCTGGGCTCTCCAAGAAATGCTCATCCTCTGCGCACCCCCGCTCATTGCCGCAACAATCTACATTGTCCTCGGCCGGATCATCCGCGCCTTTGACGCCGAACATCTCTCCAGCATGCGTCCCAAACGTATGACCCTCGTCTTCGTCCTCAACGACGTCATCTGTTTCTGCACCCAGCTCGGCGGTGCCGGTGTCCAGGTCACGGGGGACGCCAACATCATGAACATCGGAAAGAAAGTCGTGCTGGCCGGTCTGATCTTCTCCCTGCTCGTATTCATCATCTTCGTGGCTGTTGCCGTGAGCTTTCACCGGCGGCTGCAGCGTCAGCCCACGGCTGTTTTGGGCGCGAATCCGGATTTATCGTGGAAGAGATACATGTGGTCGTTGTATGTTGCTTGTGCGGCGTTGGCGATCCGGAACTTGGTGCGGACGATCCAGTTTGGCGCGAATCGCACGGCGGATATCAATACCAAGGAGGTGTATATCTATGTGTTTGATGCGTTTTTGATGGCCTTGTCGATGGGGGTTATGGTTGTTTATCATCCGGGGCTTTTGGTGAAGAAGGCGAGGCGAGCAGTGAAAGTGGCCCAGTTGGGTCGGCCGTCGACTTCGGAGCCGAACAGAAATTCGGGCAGTGTACCTTTGATACCACTGGGCGGACGGTGACATGGGCCACGATCGACCACCCTCCAGCTGGCGTGGTACAATTGGAGATTGTTAAGGCAGGGGAGAAGCCGTGTTGAATCTTGGCCAAAGGCCGTCGACAATCTATCGCATCAATATATGGTACATGCAATCAAGAATTCAAGTCGAGGCACTGGGTAGATTTCCCTGGAGTGGCGGACATCATGCAGATGAGTAATGGAAGACGCGAGTTCAACCAAGGATTGGTTCCGAAAGTATTTGAAGTCTTGTTCTCATGTGACTCGCGAAGGTTAGGTAGACATCCCGTACTTATCGAATCCACTGCAACGTGCACTGACCCGAGTACGTTTACCATTTACCTTTATGCAGGGCAGGCCCTTCGAGCGGTGTGATAGTAGTTGCTGAATCAACAAATCCAAATCACTCACAGAGTCAATTAGAGAGCAATGTCATTATTATAATCCACTGGATGCTAAGCCAGAGCCATCCATACCAGGTTCCAATCCAAACGGTCCTGAAGGGACCCATATTCGAAACATAACCGGTCCAGTTGCTAACATGCCAAGAGATCTTGCATCTTCGAGCCAAAAGCTTGGCCGCGTACAAACAAGCCAATCCGAGATAGATCTGGGATATCGGAATGCGTGACCCTGACGTCTCCCTCGCGCATATCTCCACAGCGGAGGAATGTCACAGCGCAGTATCCTACCTACATCCCAAGTTCAAGACGGCGGGTGCGCCCATTCTCCGCCCTGTGGGAGAAGAAGGAAAGAAGCAAAAAATAAGAAAGATTAAAACCACATTATACCGGCCACCAGTCCAATTACCACAGCCATACAGCTGCCCCGCAGCTCAGCTGTCGAACCGGCAGCGTCTGTCGTCTGATTATTTGTTGTTGAAGAAAATTCGTGCGTCTTCAAGCTCGGCTCGAGACCACTATTCACAGGGGACGCTTCTCCTGGAGAGAACACACCCCCGTCCAATTGCTTTTGTATCTTGCTGGGCGGCTGATGCACCGCCAGCTCTGGGTTCAGTGATGCTGACAACTGGGGCGTCGAAGCATGGTAGGTGGGAGAAGAGGGCCACATGTCTTGCGCCTTTTGGCAGGCCTGCTGCCATTTGCTGCACCATGACGAGAGTCGGCTTTCAGTCGCAGTCTTTTCTTCCTTTTCTTTCTTTTCTTCGTCGGGCTTGGTGGGCTTGTCGCGAATGTGATTATCTTCTTCAGCGGTAGGAAGGCTTCGTGAATCGTCGTTGATCAAGGTGGGAGGAGGGGTGGCGTTCATAGACATGAGGGAAGGCGACGTGAGCGTGGATATCGTGGAGTGATTGTGATGAACACACGAGGTGAACAGCTGATAATCATCCAGTTGTTTCAAGAGGTATGTTCGTAATGCGCGCGCGCGTCTCATGAGCGGCAAAGGTGAGGCCGATTTGTGACCCGAGTCTAGACGGCGACTGTCATTGCCATCTGGACTGCTGTCGCCAGGTTCCCCCGGCGCTTCTGGAGCCCTTGAAGCATGTGCCGAGAGGTTTTTTGCATTTGCGCGCGAACGAGACCGATTGGACAAGATCCACGATCTTGGCGACTGCGCGGAAGTGGTGTCCGGCGGAAATGCGGCAACGCCGTCTTGAATCAGGGGAAGGTCTATCGGCAAGATGACCCGTTAGTCTCGGACGCGAGAAAAATCTTCGGACCGAAGGCCAAGAAAGAGCAAGATGGACAGAGAGAGGGGTTGGAATAAGACGTACGGGATGCTCCACCTGTGAAATAAGTCCAGTCCACCAGCTTGACGTTAGACAAGCCAGACAACGAGGGGATCAGCGTCAACAATAGAAACCCCAAGAGCGCCAGCAGAGGGAACGCGCCCGAATGACCCAGCCCCGGGCGCATCATCCACGATCACCGGTCGGAACCGGAGGCCGTTGCGATGGAGACGTGCAGGAGAGGGGGTTACAATGCGAGCCACGAGACGAGAAATCTGTCTGCTTCCAGGAATGCCATAGGGATTGAGGGGGTGGGGGGTTAATGAGGGTGAAGAAAGCTGGAGAGCGAGTGGGCTCGGGGGCTCGGATTTTACGGGGTGGAAAGCCCTGGGGGGGGGGGGGGGGGGGGGGGAATATGTCCCCTAACAAGCGCGCCGACAAGATGAGAAAAATTCAAGGGAAGAACAACCAGTCGCAGACTTCAGTAATAAGTGCGCGCTTGAGTCAGTGATCAAGAAGTTCTGTCAAATTGTGCAAGTCAAGAGAGCCGCGACCCAATGCAGGAAGAGGGAGTACCAGCTTGCTTAAGGGTTCCGTGTCCGACATCTGAAAAATTACCGAAATGGATGACGGCCAGAAGCCCGAAAGAGTAAAGGATGTGCAGCTTGGGGATTTGTTGTAGACTCGGCTATCTTTCTCCTCGTCTACTACTACTCTAGTATTCCCTGCTGTGATCACGCTACTACAGATTGACTAATGGTTTTTTGTTTTCGAGTCATGTCCGTTCACTCGTAGTATGCAGCATGCATAAGGTACTGCAGGCGCAGGCTTCGTCTCTTGGCACCGTTTGAACTCCCGTTTCGGCCCGAGTGACGTCGTGAAAAGGAGGGTGGATCGCCCAAAACGAAGAGGACGGGCGGCTGGAGGAGCTTTGGGAGCCTTGGGAGCCCGGGAGAGGAGAATGAGTACGACGTCAGAAGCTTGTTTTGGGACTGGAAGCGGGCTCCAAGTGTTGCAGTGACTTGCCTTGATCTTGAGTTGAAGTCTTCTGACAGGATTAGGTACTATACTATCGTACATTGTACATACAGCAAGTGGTTCCCGACGGCCAACTTCATGTCACCCGCAGGGCAGACTAGAGTGCATAGTCATCATACTGCATGTCTCCGAATTGTCGTTTTTTTTTTTCTTCCTGTACCTCTTTTCTTAGTTGTACCTGGCCGGGCCTTTTTCGACCACCTTGAATAGAAGTGGCATGCGTCAGGCCAAACATAAGTACTAGAAGGCGGTGCCAGTTGGAACTGCAGAGTCTCTCTCTCGTAGTTCTATTCTCTAGGAACTAGGTTATCTACTATCGACCTCTCGAGACCATCAAGTTATACAGTCTCTAAACTATAAGTGATTTGCAAGCAAAACATCAAATGACGCAATGCGGCCTGCGCGAGAAATAGTCATATCTCCTTGATATCGGTTGACTTTTTCCAAGCAAGTTGGAATATCGTGTCAAACTTAGCGTGACAGTCAACCGTGCGGGCCAATGTCCGGCGGCCGACAAGGCCCGCTTAAGCTCCCGCGCAAAGGACCGAAAAGCCAAAGCAGGTTTAGGTGAGCTCGCCCGGCATCGTCAAAAGGCTTAGCGGCATAGAACCAGATCAATCATGCCCCTCTCTTGGCAGCAGAACTCGGTTGTCGTTGCCTAGGCATCCACCACATGCACGATTGCACACTGGCCCTATGAGACTGCAATGTCCACTCGGTGATCGGCCACTTATATTAGCGCGGCGAGGGAAATCCGGTCTTCCAAGAGTTGTCGTGGTACTTTGGCCCGTGGTAGGACCAACTCTGGAGCCGTGATTCAGAGTTGATATCACTCTCATTCATGGATGGACTCGAGCGTGGCGTTCTTCTGGTGCATAGGTTGACCGGACCGTCGAGAACACAATGGCATTGTGTCTGCAATGATAACAGCAAGCTTTGTGATACTCATGCCGCTTCTCTCAAAGTGAGTCCAAGTACTCTTGTGTGACGTTCACGACAATTTCCTCCACCCGATCAAAGTTTTCATTATATGATGGACCAGGTAAATACTCATCATCATGATGCTCAAGCTCGCTCTATTCATGCACAAGTATGAACATGTCAGCCCTGTCGGCAACTTGGAATTGTAACCCCCCGCCTGTAGTTACGATCAGGGCGATGAGACACTTCACTTATGACGACTCTCGTTCAAGATAATAAATCGCCATAGAATGACTTGTCGCGGAAAATCCAAGACCGATCAGGCTTTTCCAAAAATCGAGGCAACCACTCCGGCAGACGCACTACTTCCTCTGTCGGCGGGTTGGGATCCGGGAGTGGAACGGGCAGAGACATCAAAGCACGCTCAAGTTCCATCTCAGTCCCTTGACTTTGCCGGACGCTAAACGCTCCAAGCGTGGCCGTTTCACTCTCGTCGTTGCTCTTCAGTAGCAACTCGCGACAGGGCGAATGATAGATGATCTGGTACAGTCCTTCAAGTGCTTCAAGCCCCCTTTTCAAAAATACGGATGACGAGGATTCCAGACGAAGAATGTCGAAAGTGTTCAGAAAGGTGACCAGATCCAATCTCAAATCATGGTCGACATGGATCCGCACGCCCTGACGGGCGAGCTGTCTCTGTTCCGCCTGGATGGACAGCAGACAGACCCCGAGACATGCCAAAGCGTCCATCAGCCACGCGGGTAGCAGGAATAGACTCTCCGCAGCACTGCTCGCATCCGTGGTCGACGAGTAGAGCTGTGATAAGCAGGTAACGGTCTTGCAGAGCGTATCCATATAGGTCCGTCGGTGCCTAAAAGCGAGCATACTCGGTACGTGCTTCGGCGGCGTTTTCGTTGCCATATGCAGACAATTGAAAGCGTCGGCAAATGCTCGATATAGGGACGCTTGGGCGTGGCGAAGGGCCAGATAGAGAAATTCTCGCTTCCGAGGAATCGCAGGCTCGATTGCGTCCCATCGAAGATCAGGGGTTTCGAGAGCGTAGGTTGGATGTAACGGATCAATGACTAACGCTTGGAATTGCTGGGCAAAGTCCGCTACCGTTGACGCATTGTAACGGTCACTGTGCCAGGAAGGTGGACTCGTAAACGCGGTGATATAGCGAGCGATCTTGATGTGATAGATTCGGTCCGTGTAGACAGTGATGGCGCCCGGGGTTCCCGCCAAGGGCTGGAGAAGATCACGCGGAATCTCGACATCAAAGTACCCTTCGGGGATGAGAGGCCAAAAATTGAAATAGACGCACATATATCTGACAATTGAGCCGTGTCAGCTTCCTTGGGACGCCCATTACGGATAGCGTTGGGAAGGATCCTTCACCATGACATACCGATCCCATATGTAAAGGTTCCAGAAGGCTTGACGACGAAGTTCCATCTCAAAGTCGCTCAAAGTAATTCCTGGGTCTCGCAGGTGCAACCCTATGGCTCGGGCGTCTTGTATGGCTTTGTTCAAAGTGGACCAACTCGCACTAATCTTGGCGTAGTCAACCAGATAAGAAACATGACAGAGTCGGTGTTGGACTGCGACAATGGAGGGTGGCTCCTCTGGTGGTCGCAAGGCTTCGAGCTCCGCGGCGAGCGCGCAAAACCAATTCTCGACTTGGTTCAGATGCGTGCTGAGGATCCCAGTGGTAGGGTAATTTGCATCTGGCAGGCTTTGAATACTGAGAAGACACACGCGGAGCACAAGAATCCCGAAGTCAACATCCGCGTCATCCCCCAGCGCAGACCGTCTTAGATCATCACTCCGCGACTCTCGAATTTCACACCATGCATTGTATTTGGATTGGAATGATGGGTCAATCACACTTTCATAAGTCCGGTTGACCTCGTTTAGAAACATGCCGACCAAGAAATCGGTGATGGCTCTCTCGGGCCATAGCCTTTGTGTTTGCGGCGAGTCTCTCAGGTGAGAGATGTCGCTTCTGCGCTCGTTCAGTCACCATGAGTATGATCGGTAGAGGGGAGGGCGGGCAGCATTGAAATACTTACAAAGACCCCAACAAGACCTGAGAACTTTCCAGCCCTTGTGCTTGGACATCTATCCTCTTGGCTAGATCGGCCGAGTCTGATTCATTAGATGACGGGACGTTGTCCTCGCCATGATCTCGCACCGAGCTTCGACTCCGAGGGGTGTGTTGGCTGCCGCCACCTCTCCCTCGGGCCAACTGTGAGGTCGCATCGGAGTACAGACAAAGGTGCTCTACACCACGACTCGTGCAATTATTGCACGGTTTCTGACGATTGCACTGTGCTGAGTCAGTGGTCACGGTTCCGACTCCGGATCACGGGCATCCGTCACTCTGCTCACGTGCCTTTTGCTTTCGTCGATTGCACTCGAGACATGTCTTGATCGCCTTCCGGCGTGTTCGCCTCTCCGTCTGCATATGTACCCTCTGATGAAGAAATCGTGAGCTTCCTGAGAAATTGCAGATCTGACTTAGTTTGGCTCGAACAAAGGTTGACAAAGATTCACAGGTTAACGATTAATCCTTCTTTGCGGAGATCTTCTCCCTCATCCCCGCGACGATATTCCTTCAGATTGATTCTCCCTTTTTCGAGTGAAGCTGGAACTGCCGCGGTTTGATCTGGCCCCCACATTGACCGGAGGAGACCTCCCATCGTAGCCCAGAATGAACGATGCACTCGACCTGACTGGTGCATGGAAGTGGAGCTTGCAACTCGTGCAGAATTGGAGAAGCGTTACATCTGGCCCTATGAGCAGTAGGGCCCTGACTTTCAACTTTCGGAATCGTATTCGATCAGACTCTCTGTCTTCTGGCAAGTTGCAGATTCAGTGCTTATGCACAAACAATGATCCATCCAGTCGGGGAGACGTCGGTCGGCATTCATGATACTGAGCGCTGGCCCGAAACCTTGATCTAACAACTCGTCTCCTCAGCTCCTGTGATGAATGAGTGTGGACTGTGGGCATGCCCTGTCCTTCTCCACAGATCAACGCAATGATAAACTTATTTTTCAGAGCGACACTGTGTGTGTGAGCGGGGTCTTTTGGCCTCACTTCCATGCGTTGATGTCTGGTCATCAATCCTGGTTGAACCTTGCGACCCTAGCCTCGCATGCGGCTCCCGAACCAACGATCCATGCCGTCATATGCAGACCGACTTAAAAAAAGAGGTTCTGAGCGCTAACACATTGGGGGCCAACGCGCACCACATGCCAAAAGGCGACCTTCCAGTTATGTGTATTCCACTGGCTTAGGGGAATCTCTCGGCGGACTCGTTGCAGTCGCCAACGGGCTTGGCGTGGAAACTGTGGATTCACATTGGAGGGTCCCACGTTTGTGAATGGAGCCGCTTGCTGAATAGGGTAGGTACATACTACGCGCTTTCCTTAGTGCCTTTGTGCATAATCACGCCTTCACGAGATCTAAACTGCAGAGACGGATGAGTGGCCATTGGGAGTGTCAGAAAATAGGACCCGAAAAGACAGTCTGTTGATTGACAAGGGTCCTACAGTGCCCCCGGAACTACCATGTGAGGCCCACGGCCTCAATTCCAAGTGATTGTTGAACGTTGCCCGACGGATGTCCGCTTCTGACTGCTGGTATATATAGATGTTCTAGAAGACGGAGTGCAGGTTTGAGCCTCGAGCATGAGTCCGTGCGCAAGTCAGATCTCTCCTCATGGGCTCCTTGGAGTTTGGACAGCTCAAGCACATAGCCTCGAAATTAGAGCGAGACTACCAGTCCTATTACTGCGCAACTACAATCTCCTGCGCTCAGAGCCAAGATCCAGTAACTATTCGCAGCCTTGATTTGGAGCTAGCTACAGTCATCATATTTGGCCTCCTCTTCCAGCTCTGCATATCATGCAGACTATACAACAGCATATCCAGGGAGTCGAGCGAGTACCTACCCATTAAACTAGTGAACACAAAATCATGCGAATTTCTTGACTATATTAACCTTTGTGAACAAGCTTCCTTGGGTCTCCCATCCGCGATACTGTTCGAGCGACCTGATCTCCTTTCTCCAGATTAAATGCTCAAACTCAAATCCGAGGGTTGATGAAAGGGCTCCTTGCATTCCTCTGGTCGAGTAGAGCGTGTGAACGTCAATATGCAATGGAAGATGACAGTCGAGCAACTGAGACTGGTCATGGATTGACCACAAATAATGCTATCGGATACGACTTGTGGGATGCTCGTTGGGCTTCAGCTTGCGGTTGTTCAGCTGAAGATGGCGGGAGTCGTCATGTTGAAGATCTTGGCGGGTTCCATTTGCGGCTGCAACCTTTTGCGTCCACGCATTCCAGACCACGCCGGAGACTTCTGTGAAGACCATGTTGAGCCTTTGCAAGGTGGTGGTGATTCACTTCAGGATACTGAGAAACTGGTGCGTGAGGTCAGAATTCCCTGTATGCCGTGATCAGACCTTCGCACGTGTTTTGCGGGGCATCCTGTGCTTATGAGTACGACATTTCTTTGTGTTGTATACTTCGATGGCGTGCAGCATAGCATAAACCCTAATTCTGGTATGAGGAATTCGAGGCTCATCTCTAGGGCGTACCTTCAACGGATCAGTGGAATGCGCGTCTACCACATCGGAAAAGAGACGAGCCCCTTGCCCGTCGCTCGGATTGACGACAGCCCCTTGACAGCACCAAACCCTCTTCTTTATACATCCCTGTATGGCGTGGAATATGCGGAGAATAAACACGGGATTTGAGCCAAAACAGACAAATATGGAGAGAATTATTCCGGGCGCATATAACCATGAGAATTTCATTCCAAGCCGGGGCTCACGTAAGGCGTGATTCTAGTCCACGACTCAAGAACTTTCCTCAGATGCGCGACCAAAACCTGACTTTTTAATCAGCACTGCTAGGTTGTGCCCTCAAAGTCAAATACTGAGATACTTTCAGTGATCAATATAAATGGGCCAAAATGAGATTGATTCAGAAGATGCCTTTGGTCGTGAACGCAAAACGAACATTGGTATTCTCAGTACCATCAGTCCAGACGTACATGAAAAGGCTCAAGAGAGTCAATTACAGCTCTTTGAAGGCCCTCGATCAGATGAACAACAGCAATGGCACCCAGACCTCCGAGACTGGTTGGTGTTTGTCAATATCCTCGTTTTCGCGATGATGGATACTTTTGATGCCACAGTGATGATACCTATAGTTCCTGTGAGTACGGTCTCTTAAGTTTTTTTTTTTTTTTCACAGGAAATGAAAGCTGACTTCAACGCCTTCAAGCGACTAGCCAATGCACTCAACGAGCCTATTGTTACCACTCTCTGGGTGAGCACCAGCTACCTCATCGCCAGTACCGCCAGCCAATTGTTCTTCACCATGGCATGCGACGTCTTCACCCATGGCCCGCTATGGATCGTGGCAGGTATCTTGAGCACGATCGGATCGGGAATCTGCGCCGGTTCAACAAGCTTGACCGCGCTGATCATTGGCCGCTCGATACAAGGAATAGGCGGCGGCGGTGCAACAGCACTTTGCTTTGTGATCATGCAAGACACAACGCCCAAGTCGATCCATTCCCGTTATTCGTGCTATATCCAGTTGACGCGATTTATCGGGATAGTGTTGGGCCCTGCAGTCGGGGGAATCTTCACTGATAAAGGCACGTGGACATGGGCGTGCTATTTCAACTTTGTCTTCTGCGGACTAGGCTTACTGTTGATCCCGGTTTCCGTGGACTTGCGCATCTCGAGAAACATTCCGCTTCGAACGCTTCGCATCTTGGATTGGTCCGGCGCGACAATGGCTATACTGGGTCCAACTAGTCTTCTGATCGGTCTCGCCTGGGGAGGTGTCCTGTACAAATGGACAGAATGGCAAACAATAATGCCTATCGCTGTCGGGCTTTCGACCATGATTGCCCTGATCTTGTACGAGTCAACATGGGCTCTTCGTCCGCATTTTGGATCAAAAGTATTCAGATCCACAACAACAACAATGACTTACATTGGCTGCTTCTGCCATGGCTTCGTGGTAAGTCCAGGCCTCTTTTTTGTACCGGTTTATGAACATGAAGACTGACCTGAAACCAGCTATTCGCTCAAATGCAGCATTATGCATTCTTCTTAATGTTGACAAAGGATTTTTCCACAACGCATGCTGGCTTGTCGCTGTTAGCACTTACCGGCTTCGCACTTACCCCAGCCGCCGTCGTGGGAGTTGCCTTTGCAAACAAGCCGCAGTATACCCGATACGTCACCTCTGGTGGATGGACGCTGAATCTTCTTGCATCTAGCTGTTCAATCCTTCTCGGAAGGAAGACACCCATCATTGGACTTGTCTTTCTGCTCCTGACTGCGGGTCTCGGTCACGGGCTTCTTTTAGCAAGCTATAGTACCAAAGCGCACAGCATGGCAGGGTCCGGAAGTAAATCATTTGCTAGGAGGCCGGTTGCAGTCTCGAACTTTATGCGCGCATGGGGTATGGCAATGGCCATACCCATTGGAGGAGTGATATTCTTGAACATGCATGAGCGTCAGCTTGAACACCTTGGACTTGGGAAGGACTTGGTTAATACTGCTCAGGGATACTTGGTTCTGATGAATCAGGTAAAGATGTCCCATGGAGAGCGGACGGCCATGCATGATGCCTCATCAAAGTCACTACAAGTCGTATGGATGGTAATGACTGGCGTGAGTGCATTGGGCGGTTTTTCAACTGTCTTTGCATGGGGAGCACGGTTGTGATTCCGTAATCATAGCTTATGCTCGGAAAAGTCTCATTGGCCTCATACTCGTGTTCTAATAGTCGATAAAAGTGTGGCTATGATAAAGAAACGAATGTCTCCATGACCGTACAGAACCAAAAACATCAGGGGTATGTGTAGTGAGCAATCATCGTGGTGTATGCCACAGGCGCTGACATCGCCGAAGAGCATTGTCATCCTTACGCCCAATTGAGATTGAAATGGTCCCACATGCGAGCTGCCTGGCGAAACCTTCGTACTGATGAGAACCTTGGGAGGCCCCGGTGCTGCTGGAGCTGGTCAATTTTTTGCTCCAGCGATTGTCTTAAGTCGTTCTAGTTCTTTCTGCTTCATTTGCTCTTGTGCTTGGAGTCGTGCAGGAACAACCCCAGCCCTTCCACCTCGAATCTTCCAACCTTGCAGTCGGGGCTTTCCGAGCTCGTGGAGGGTCTTCTTTTCGACGATACTATACTGGCTAGGGTCGGGACGGTCGAAATTGAAAGGCTGTTTGAGTGAGACTGGAGGGTTCGTGATAATTCGGGGAATTCTCAGACTATTGACCGAAGCGGAGTGAAGCATGAGTGGATGAAGAAGCACCACATCCCCGATTTTGCCGGTCATCTCATGGAATTCATGGCACTGCTCGAGAACAGTGTCATAGAAGGCACCGGTTTGATCATCTGGTTGGCCTCGAGGCACCATGTATGGAGAAACTCCCTCTGAATGTCTGTACTAAACAATGTCCCCAGATCAATTCAGTACAAAGACAGGGATGATCACGGTCTGTTCGGATGAAATGAGGCTTACCAAATGCTGGGCCACTTTTCCAATCGCGTCCGAGCAAACCATTGTTCCACCAGCGTGTTCCTGGATGTCACTAAACAGGGGGATGACCAGTAATCCCTGCTCAGGCGAATCGAGGAAATGAATGAAAAAGTCGCCGTCAACGTGCCAATTATCCAGCTCGGCTGCCGGTGTCCAATTACCCTCGGACTCGGGGGTGCCCAAGTTGACAATGAAGGCGTCGTTCCAGACGGCCGAATCTACCGCCACACGATCCTCGCCGCCAAGCAGTTCGCAAATGGCGGCCCAGGCTTTGGGGGCGAAGGTCTGCACTGGTTCCCATTTATGTTCAGGCATATGAATCCGCTCAGCAGCCCAGGTCGATTTGTCGGTCGAAGAGTAGCCTAGCCGGGTCCAGACGTCGGCCGTCCACTCGGCTGCCTTTTCTCGTGTGAAACAGTTGGGGATGCGGACGTAGCCATGTCGCATAAAGTGGTCAATCTCGGTTTGAGACAGATGATATTGGCTTTCTTGGCCTGCTTTAGCAGTCATCTTGAAACACAAACGGGGGATCGTTGAAGGATTTGCGGGGGAGATAATGACAATGGAATTATGACGAATGCGTAGTTGATACCGTAGTTCTGTAATGGATACAGAAGTGGCAGGTCTATCCGATGGGTTCACGAGTCAAGAAGAAATTTGGAAGATGCAAAAGCAATCAAATATCGTCAACTACTACTTGACTGATATCCAGTTGTGGAATTAAACAGAGTGGTGCCTTCCCAATCGAATATTATCCAGTTGCCGGGGTAAGGAAGCGGGGACGCAATTGCTTCGTCGCAGTAGTCAGTAGACTCAGTAGACTCAGTACGGGGAGTAGGGAATTGCTGGTACCTGGTTCTAGGCACCCGGAGATTTTAGGGACTGAATTTGGTACCTGGTACCTCAGCCAGACAGGGCAGTCATGGCCAGAATCAAGTACTACTAGTCTACTAGTACCTACAGTACCTCTTGCTGCCACCTGATTAGTACTTTACTAGTACCCGTGGGTACTGCACTATTCAGTGAATGCCGAAGACGTGATCCCGTGCTTTCGATGCAGTTACCCAAAGAGGCAGGTACGACCACTTTTCCATCTCTCCTCAAACCTCAGCACTCAGCAATCATCATCACCCCCTTCAAGATTCCCATCCACCCAGGAGCTTCCAGTTCAGATGACTTGCATGAAGGCGTGTGAGAGAATACTCACACTACAGATTCCATTCTTATGTCCATGACCAGGATAGTTGCTCGATGCTCGATGAGGGACCAGTCATGAGGCCCCCAGAATTTCCAGGCACAACATGGGCCAGAAAGTTTGCATGCATGATCATGATTCCCTAGTATTGACCCCGCCCGTCAATTCCGGCTAAATTGAAATTTGACGATGCACAAACGGCAACGACTACCTCCAGCTCTAGCGACTACAGCCTACCTTCACAGGAGCTCAACCAAAGAATCTCAGAGCCGGTCAACGCAGTTCTTCCATCGAGATGCCTGTCTGGTTCCAACTCAGTTGAGCTACAGGTCCACGGGTTCGGCTCATGGCATGCTCGCACGATGTACCCCGGACAAGTTGGCCGTGCTCCACCACTGACGGGTCTTGTTCCTGCGGTTGGCTGGACGCTTATTTAGCCACGGAAGTCTGGCACCGTCTGTTCTGGATGGAGTCAATCTTCTGGCCAACAACAATCCTGGTCATTTGAATCAATCTCTTCCTTTCTGATCTTTTTGACCACAATGAAGTCAAAAATTGCATTAAGCTTCGAGTCATCGTGACTGCAGAGACCTCAACCCCAATTGAAAGTGCCGCGGGCCACAGCGACGCCCCCGTCCGACTTCATGGCTGACCGTCTCACCTCGCCCGAAACGGGAACGGGGTGTCTCCGTTGGGACGTTTTTGGGGATCACTCGAGGAAATCGTCTACTCCTCTTTCCGTTCCAAAAGAAAGGCGTACCTCACGTGATTGGTTGGGACTCTGGGAGTGCCTGCTCGCATGAATTGCGCTCAGCGGACGGTGCGATCGGCTTGGGTTGTACCGTCATACTAAATCGAGGTGATGAGAGATCCTTGATTACAGGTTTCAGGCATTTCGTCTCGCACATTGATGCGCATTAGCTCAATGCGCAAATTGCAAACATCCAGTACCAGTACATATGATTGACCAGCCAGTCTTTAATCATGAGAATGGACGGTCACGAGATCAAGGGTATGACTATCCCAATGCCGGACTGCTGCCAAGAGTGTCTCGGATATTGCACCAGCACATGCACCTCTCATGCGCCGTGGCTAGTTGAAACAGTCAGAAAAGTCAATCACAATGTCCCTGCGGGCTGCGGATTGACTTGGTAAATTGGGAATGTTGTGACAGGGATGAGCGTCGGCATTGGCCTTCCTGTTGACCTAAGCGAACGCCAATGTTTCTGGCGAGCTTCTCCCACTGCGGCAAGGCCCGGAGCGGGTCGAGGTCAAAGCAGCCAACACGAGCATCAATAAATAGGTCTTGTGGGATTTCATGATGCCAGGGTATGGAAAGTGGAAATTAAATCAGAATTCCACGAGGACACCCATGCACCTTTCGATAGTTCAGGGCAACGAGCCTGACCATGTTAGTCTGGCGGCGCCGCATAGGCTGTACCCTGACACCCATGTCGGTTTTGAAACCTAATTGCCTTTCTCTCATTCGTGAGGACCACAGCAGAAAAGCTGGGGTAAAGATCGCTTGGGGCGCCACTGCGCCACATGGATCTAGCCCAGTGATATTTTTGCCTACTGAAGGTCCCTCCTAGTGCCGTGTGTACCGTTGAAACTGCGCTTTCCAAGACCAGGGGAGGATATTAAAAACTCCACTAGAGCCCTTTGTGGAGAATGCATCACCGGAACAATCTTTCGAACAATTTTTCAGATATTGGAGACCGATCTTTCCTCAAACCGCGCCCTCTTCACCAGGAAACCTTTGGCTGGATAGCGGACTCGATTGGCATCATGCCGCTGGGCGTTGGAAGCAGGGCTCTCAAGTCCGAAGTCGAGAATGCCCAAGCCGAAGTCCCTCACCTTGAGAAAGTCACATGGTGGCGTGAGCCAGGTCTTCGAAGACTGTATTTCTGGGCTTCTGTGCTGTGCGTGGCATCGGCAACGACGGGATATGATGGGTAAGATTGGAAGAAATTCCTGCTGCGTTGATCACGATTGATAGAGTACAAAAGCTTGCAAAAGGTGGCTGACTTTCCATGACAGAATGATGCTCAATACCTCACAAAATTTGGATTCATGGCAAAAATTCTTTGGGACACCCTCTGGCTCGCAGCTTGGTCTGATGAACGCAGTGTATCAAATTGGTAGTTTGGCTAGTTTCCCTTTCGTGTATGTTCCCTTCGATTCCTCGGAGCCTGACACGCGCTCCAATACAAATTCTGAATGGCTTCTATTTATGCAGTCCTCTCATGGCGGATCGCTGGGGTCGAAAACTACCTATCATCATTGGATGTGTCCTTATGATCCTCGGTGGATTGCTTGGCGCTTTCTGCAAAGACTACGGAAGTTCGTCTCCACCAAACCCATCGAGACCTGGATCCTTTTTCTGAAATGATACACAGTGTATGTTGCCGGTCGTCTGTTTCTCGGATTCGGAAACAGTTTGGCTCAAATGGCGTCGCCCGTTCTCCTCACCGAGATCTGCCATCCCCAGCACCGCGGAAAGGTGACGAGTATCTACAACACGCTTTGGAATCTTGGTGCCTTGGGTGAGTTGTTACATATTGCTCTTTACCGAACACATTTACTGAGACTGGAGCAGTCGTTGCATGGATCGCCTGGGGTACAATGTACATTCAAGGTGACTGGTCATGGCGAAGCTTGACCGTCCTTCAAGTCTTTCCCGCTGTCATTCAGCTGGCTCTCATTTGGTGTATGTGGTCCAAACTTGATCACTTTAGAATGTCACATCTGACCGAGATCCAGGGGTTCCCGAATCGCCTCGTTGGTTGGTATCTCAAGAACGATATGATGATGCCCTCGATATTCTCACCTACTATCACGGGAACGGCAATCAATATAACTCGACCGTTCAGTTCGAGTTTCGTGAGATCAAGGAGACCATCCGTCTTGAAATGATCATTCAAAAGAACAGCAGTTATCTGGATTTCATGAAGACCCGCGGGAATCGCTATCGATTGGCCATTCTTGTCTCTCTCGGGATCATCTCACAATACAGCGGCAATGCCCTGTTTACTAATTACACGAGTCTGATCTACAACAGCATGGGCATCACCGATCAAAGCAAGAAGATTCCAGTCAGTTCATACAACGTCCCGTCAATACATTTTACATGGATACGGACATACAATGCTGACAATTAGTTCTATAGCTGAATGGCGGTCAAACACTCCTGAGTCTCATCGTCAGTATCAGCAGTGCATTCTTTGTCGATCGAATCGGAAGACGCCCTCTGTTCCTCGTCTCCACGACAGGTATGGTACTCATGTTCTTGGCCTGGACGATAACATCCTCCATCTATGAAAAAACTCAGGACGTGCAATCTTCTGGTTACCCTCAAGTTGTCTTTGTGTGGCTGTTCTCCATTTTCTACGCCATTGCCTGGTCGGGCTTGCTGGTCGCCTACTCCCTTGAAATCTTGCCATATCGCCTGCGCGCGAAAGGTATTATGATCATGAACTTGACGGTGCAAGCTTCATTGGTCCTCGGCAAGTAAGTAAAAGCGAGCCGTCTATACCGAATGTTTACTAACACGATCAAGTTACACCAATCCCATTGCTTGGGAAAATCTGCCACATCACTGGAATCTTTCCCTGATTTACACAGTACGTTGATTTGAATGCCACTTCGTTTGCAAGTGAGTCATCCCACTAATGTGATTCCGGCAGGTGTGGATCTTCATTGAACTCTTGTTTGTCTACTTCTTCTACGTTGAGACACGTGGGCCTACCCTGGAGGAGCTGGCTAAAATTTTTGATGGCGACGACGCAGCCGTGGCCCACATTGATTTGGACGAGGTTGAAAAGGACATGGATGAAGATGCCAGAAGGCTGGTGTTCCGGCGAGCCTATTGATCGCTTTGCACTTGGACGTGTTTTTGTTTGCGAAGAAAAAGAAGTCAATGTTTCTACCCTCTATTTAAATCAATTAAATTGAAGCATTTCCGTGCAACAGCTGCTGATTCATTGCTCGGAGTGTTACGAAGCCAACCTATCGGATGTTTTGGAAAAGACTTCTGATTCAACCAGCAAACATTACGGTATTTCATTCACTGTGCAGTTGTCCTTCAGTCGTCTCGAGCTTACATGATCACTCATTCTCCACCCGTGGCAATGCCTCTTGCGGAAGAACCCTTCATCTCTGCGGATTGTCTAACGTGGGCTTCTTGGCTCCCGTCTGGCTGACCTGTCAATGAGGGGGCTGACCGTTCCGGGAGTTATGGGGCCAGACCGAAAGCTTAACTGGAACAAGCCCCTCCTCTCAGCCTCATTCGAACAGGGCCATCAATGCACGGCGCTTACCTTTTCCCGTCTCCAGTCTCCTGCACTATGCACTATGCTCGGTCCATAGTATTACAGCACCGATCCCGATCCAAGAATAGATTCACAAGCCGGTGGCTGTTCGATCTTCGGGTCCCTTCCGAGTCGAAGCTGTGTTCGAAATGACGCCCACCTGAGCAGGCTGTGTGTTTAACTTTCCTATTTCTGGCTCATGCAGGCGATCGTGAGAGTCTACAGGACTGCGCCGCCAGGATCTAGGTGAGATCGGAATCTCCACAAATTGGCAGTCCATGGTATCCGTCCAACGAGAAAGATTCCTGCAATTACGGCCCCCCCCAGCGCATGAGAGGGCTTGTAGGCACACAGCCAAGTCCTGGGAGGGGGGAGGTTTCACAGGGTCCTGCAAGCGCGTTGAAAGCGAAGGCAAACGAAAAATTAGGGCTCGAGGGAAGCCCTTGAATTCTGATTTCACAATAGAAACTTCGCGAAAGAGCGATCCGATCGCTGAAGTCTCACATGTGGATGTTTGTTTTCTTTTCACCAACTGAATTAATGACCTGTCTCGATAGCCCCGTTGGTACGCCAGCTGGAGCCTGATTCTTGACATAAAAGTCACACACTGCTGATTGAGTAGCTATCATTCCAGCTAACTGGACTCTTTCATGTGATATTCTCAGCCCAGTGGATGATTCCGAATTCTTTGTCCCTCTCCCAGTCAGAATCCAAACAATAAAAGCCCATCCCCATCTCCTCATCGTCCTCATCCTCATCGCAACCTCAAAATGCATTTCTCTGACCTTGCCATCCTCTCCTCCATTCTGGCTCTGCCAGTCCTAGGTGTGCCACACCCTCAGGCTCAATCCCACCTGCCCGACGGCTTGCCGTCCCCCGATACAACTCAGGTCGCGCACATCGAACAAGTCGCCCAGGGGACTCTGCCCAATAGCCCGGCTCCAACAGCGATCAGCAATGAAGGGATCGTCAACCTGAAGTTGATCGCTTTTAATGAGTTGTTCGAGGTGGCTTTCTTCAGCGAGCTCGTCAACAATGTGACCAACAACGTCGACGGCTATACCTTCAAGAGGGACGAAGACCGGAGTAGCATGCTGGAGGCGCTGAAGGCTATCGTCGCGGTATGTATATCGAGTGCGGAATAGAGGTATTATGAGAACTCCGATGAGACTGACAGTCATTGCTCGCCCTGCAAAACAGCAAGAGGAACTCCACGCTCTACGCGCCAACGACGCCCTCAAACACTTCAAGGCTACCCAAGTCCAGCCGTGCAAATACAAATTCCCCGTTCAAAACCTCGAATCCGCCATCAAGCTCGCCGCAACCTTCACCGACGTGGTGCTGGGTACCCTGCAAGATGTCGTCGAGCGCTTCGCGCGCGGACACGACTTTGACCTGGCGCGAGAAATTGCCTCTGTCATCGGCCAGGAAGGTGAACAGCAGGGCTGGTTCCGTGCCTTGTTGGGCAAGATCCCCAGTGAACTTCCCTTCCTGACGACCAGTAATCTCAATTTCGCCTTCAACGCGATCCAGGACTTTGTTGTGCCGGGGACTTGTCCTGATCTGAACGAGATCCCCTTACATACATTTGAGCCATTGAAGATTCTTGACATGCCGGGCCCCCGAAGTCAGAATATCAGCATCGAGTTTAGGGACCCGGATGATGAAGCTCGGAACCCGCTCTGGGTGACTTATATCAATCAGCAGAATGTCCCTGTTGTGCAGCCGTTGTGGGTCGTGAGTAAGAAGGATAAGATCGTGGAGGCCAAGGTTTTGTTTCCGTTTGAAGAGCACGACTTGAAGGGGCTGACTATCGCCTCGGTGACAAAGTCTGCTGGTCCGTTTGGAGATGCGAGCCAGGTGGCGAATCATACGCTGGCTGGACCTGGTCTCATTACTGTTGATTGAACTGAGAAGTAGTGGACTATCTTCCCTGCTCGATCATTATCCATGTCTTTGATTCTTTCGAGGATTTAATCAATGAACGTGGTATGTTTGCTGAAGGTGTCGGATTTCGAGTAGCATTTGCCTGTGTCTCTAGCTGGTACCTACGAGGAAACTATTGATTGACGAGAGGGCATGACCTATCTCACCTTGAAGGCACTCGATGAATAGTCCGGTGCTGCAACAGTTATTATTCTTCGTTTGTTCGCGAGGTTTGAACTATCAAGTCTGTTTGACGCTTTCACTGATTTACTCAAATTAAGTACATATTACACGTGGACAGAAATCAAAGTTCAACTACGTTGCATCTATGTTGCATAGCACGAGTCGACGCGTCTGTTACAAAGCCTGCGAGATCATTCCTGAACGTGACACAATTTTAAAAGAGGACGAGTGTCGAATTCAATAATGACTGCATTCGAAAAGAAAGGTGTAAGGTAAATAGATGACAGAGAGATCCAGCCCTTTGATAGAAAAAGGGAATTGATAACCTGGTGTCTCACGTTGCTCGGTAGAGCAGAGAAGGCAGGATGAAGTTGACTCGAGTGAAAATCAGAGTCATCGTGCCCCTGTCTCCGCTGCAAATCCCCACCAAAAGCTCTTGGAAAAAGGAATTCCCAGCTTAAAGCTTACCCTGACCGGCCTTGGCGTTGACGCTAGCCACGACCGAGGTGTAGGGACTGGCAGAGGCAATGTTCTGGCCATTGAACTTGGAGAAGAAGCTGGTGTCGGCGGAGTTGAACTGGCCAGAGCTTCCGTATCCGTTCAGCTGGCACGCACGACCAAGAGCGCTGCCGCAGGCCTGGTTGGCGCTGGTAGAGGGAGAAGTGAACAGCTTGCCGGTCATGGTCACGTCGTTGATGTTGGGGACATTCTGGAAGACGTTGCCCTCGGCAAGGACATAGCCGCCAGAACCAATCTCGAAGGCGTGACCGCCGTTGTCATACCAGTAGTTGTTGACCTGGGATAATTTGATCTTGTCAGCTTGAGTTCAGACGGGGATATTGACGACCACTTTTTTCCCAGTTCAACAACCGAAATGGGGGAGGGGAGGTTGCACTCACAGCGTGCAGGAGAGTGTTGCCCTGAACCTTAGGGGAGCGGCCGCTAGTGTGGTAGATGTAGTTGCCCTTCATGGTGACGTAGTCGTTGTTTCCGTCAAGGTAGATGGCCCAGTAGTGGTAGCCATTGCAAGTGGCGGACCAGTCAGTGCGACCATCGATAAAGCTATTCGAGATGGTCACACGCTTGGAAGCCGAAGTACCAAGGACAATATGCTGCCGACCAATGCGAGCGGTAGTGACATGGTCAATCCAGACCATGTCGCTGTTGTCAATTGTGATAGCATCACCACCCCAGACGTATTGAGGGTTGATGTCAGTGATAGCGACGTTTCTTCACGGAGGGGGAAGAGAGAAAAGTCAGTAAAAATGGGTTCCCTTTGCGTATAGAGAAGTAGTAAGACGGGAAGAGCATACTGGATGATAATGTTGTTCGCGCCGCTGACGATACGGAGACCCTTGCCCTTGATCACACCGGCGGAGCCTTGACCGATGATAGTCTTGTGAGAAGCGACAGTAATACCGAGAACACCAGCCTTATCACTAATGGGAGTGTAAGTGAATCAAACCCCTGGATTTTTTGACTTATTTTTCCAGAAGTTCACTTACTAGGTGATGGAGGACACGGTCGGGGCGTTTGGCTCATAGTTCTTGCACCAGTTGTTCTGGTTAATGGCAATCTGGCACTTGGGGTTGGTGCCCCATGGAGAACATCCACTGCTCTGGGCAGTGCCCTCGGTGCCACGGAAGTCGAAAGTCTTGGTGAGAACAATGACACGGGGCTGACTGTCACCCAGATACGAGACCAGCTCGGAGGTGGACTGGGGATAGACGGGGCTCGCGGAGCCACCACCGGTGACCCCCTTTGCGAAACCCTCAGCCGCGCCAGAGACGCTGATGGCGGCAGCCTGAGCAGCAATCGCTGCGAGTAAGGCAATAAACTTCATGATGACAACCAGGTCTCAAGGTGGGTAGAAAGAAAGAAAGGTAGCTGGGATATAAGAGATCTGCTCAGTGAGACAGACAGGACGGGATGTGTCCATCTTTATAAAACTTGTCCCCTCTCTCTGTCGACTCCCCTTGGAGTGCCATCTCTTGGCGAGTCGATGGAAAGAATCGAGGGCTGTTTCGATGATTCCCAAAAAGGTGGATCGATGAAGATAGCGGCGGAGCTGCAAGATGGCTTAAGGTGCAGTCTCCGCAACGGAATCCACTCCCAATTTGGTGCATGTCTTAGCTCCGAAGTGGGCTGTCATTTCATCCACCCTGGAATAGCGTGTGAGCCGTATGGTGCATGAGTTGTGAGTCCGGCTAAGAAGAGCAAGCACCACCACCACTAGCAGCGTCTGACCACCAGTCAGATTGGTGTCTTGGTCACGAAGGAGTCGAGAGACTGCCGGCGACGGATTTGCAGAAACCAGAAACGTGTGGGATGGACAGCCCCGTTGTGGAGTACCGTCAGGGGCAGCGTTAAGTTTCTCCATTTGGATGACGGAGCTTCCCGGGGTTCTTGAAGAGCCGGATGAGTTTATCCGTGGGTGTCCCGGCGAGTTGAACAATCAATGATCACGTTCAGTTCGTCAGACCGCATGTAGTAATGTACTATGTATGTACACTGTAGGTATGTAGGTGTGGACTGTATACTAATCTGTATCGGGCCTAGAACAAGATTGAAACTGAGGTTCAACGTAATTGCCCAGGAGGTGGAAGAAGGCAGTGTTGTTGTGTATATGATTAAAATCTCCGAGTGTACTCCATAGAAATCCGGCAGAACATCGGTGACAAAAATGTGGAGTGCCTGACGGGTGTACAAACGAACTACGTGCGTGCAGTACTTAGTACTTACTAGGCTACCATCACACGACTTCGAGAACCTTAACCTCGAGTTCACTACTGATGTCTTCCAGACACAGGAGAGAGCGACTCAGACTACAGTACTCTTGCCCTATATCCGACAGATATGCCCAATTTTCATTTTCTCGATGCTCACGTTCTTGTCAAAGGGCCGGCGGGTCGCGATCGCTCGTGGTCTCCGTGGCAGCCCAAAGCCGTTAGACGGTTACAGAATACAATCCAGGTGCGTGAGGATGTTTCACCCTAGTCGAAATGGCCGTCTGGACTCCATCTACACGCCCCACTCGGCATCCTCTTCATCAGATTAAAGTGATCGCACTACGGAACTGAGTAGTCTTGCACTTAGTAGTGTGCGTAGTGCGTAGTGCGTACTAGTAGTGACTCGTGAGTAGTAGTACTGACTGACTCGTTTTGACTCCCGCTCTGCTCCTGTGCTAGTGTCAATGTTGGTTGAAGCATATTAGGACACTGAGACATGCGAGATGAAGCAATCATTTTGGGGGTGAGTAGGAGGAGTCAGTTCCGAGTCGTGGTACTCCGACAATCGTCACATCGGTACTTAGTACTTACTACCAACCTCCTTAGAGGTAGTACCACTACGACCTACTACCAGGTAAGTTGGTAACTTAGTAATTACTACCTAGTACGTACTACCTACTAACCTACTACTCATCCTTCACGGCCTCGCCTGGGTGGACCGGATACCTCCGCAATCATGGATCGGCCGAGGCAAATGAGAGTTTCCATGACATTTGGGCAGTCGTGCCGGACGCTCTTCTTCAGAAATCATCTGTGTATGTACATACACCACGTACTCCGTAGTCCGTACAGGGAATATCCAGAGTTCCCGACAACCATGTCAGTCCACATTTCTTCAAGTGGTCTCGGCCCCCATGTAGCTGAGCTTTGCACAGCCATTCCTGATGGAACTTGACATGAACCAGATTCAAAATAAGTAATCAGATCCCCATCTCCGCGAAATTCTTCCGTCTTGGCGACCAGGTCTCCACACGGAAATGTGCCATTTTTTATTTTCCAATATCCCAGTTTGGGGAACCAGCTTGGCCTTTTGAGACCGGATTTGGAGTTGCACGGGTGAATGAGTCTGATCAATGACAATCATTGCGATATAGGTAGTTAGGTAGAGTGAGTACGATTATTTGACCCCAGTCACGACACGACCTCATTCAAGATCCGGCTCAATTTGTGGTAAATTGTAACGATGCATGATCATCTGGCACACGCATTCCTAGGGTTTGAATACGACTCCACACAATTGCAGGGGATTGCCTCATCTACTTTCAAATTGAACGAGCCTCCACCTTCTAAAAAGTCTGGTGGAAAATCACCCATTTGCATATCCAACATAGTCGAACAGACTCCACGCATCTACAAAGGAACAGGTAGGTTCCGCTGGAGGTAGCCCCGCCACTCAGGGAGGGTGCGCTGCCACTTGGTGCCCGAGGTCTTCTGAAGATCCTCAATGGCACTGGCGTACTTGATCAAAGTCGGCTCTGAAAAAGCAGTGTTCATGATGGCCAGTCCGTAGGGCATACCCGACTCTGGACTGGTCCCCGCAGGAACTGTGATCACGGGATACCCAGCCTGCGCGGCAATCTGGATACTTTGGGCGACGTCGGGGGGTACGAGGAGGCCATCGAGGGTTCGATTTTGATACTTCAAAGCAGCGTCAATTCCTTCCTCGCGAGTGGTACGGTGGCAGAACTCCAGCGCAGAGTAATACGTTTCATTCATGATTCCTTTGGTCTCAAGGGAGGCGAGGAATCCGTCCTGCCCGGAGCCAAAGGCAGGATGAATGGATGGGAAGCCACCCTCCGAACCGTAGTTGTCCTTGTAATACTGGACGATATCCTCGAGGGACTTCATCTGGGTGTTGTTCACCTCGGAGAGATAGTCTCGTAGGTTGTTGTAGAAATCAACCTTGATGTACGTGTATTCGGACTCGTTGGGGTAGCCGCGCGCTGAGCCATAGTCCCAGTTCCACCCGGTGGGTGACACAATCTCTTTGTAGTGCGGAAGCTCTGTGCCGTTGATGATGGTGGCACCAGTAGACTTGATCAAGTTGAGGAGTTCTTCCAGTTGCGCTATTTGCTGCGGATCGCCCAGTGCCCAAAATGACTGCCATGGCAATCCGAAGACTGCCCCCTTGAGGGCGTCTTTCTGGGAAAGGAATTGCGTGTAGCCGCCCTGGGGTGTCTGGCCACGCTGGGCTAGAGTATAGTTGTCCCGAGGATCGACGCCGTAGATCGCGTCCAGAGCGTATACAGCATCGCGCACAGTCTTACCAAATGTACCAATGGTATCTTGGTGTCGAGATTCAGGGATGACGCCGGCCCGAGATGTCAAACCGACCGTGGGTTTGATTCCCACAACGGCATTTCTCTGAGCCGGATTGATGACTATCGAGCGATCTTTAGTTCTTTATCCGGAGAGCTTTCTGAGCATACCAGAGGAGAGACAAGGACATACCGCTTCCATCAGTCTCGGTGCCAAGAGCAATGGGAACCAGATTCGCTCCAACGGCCACACCGGGTCCGGTACTCGAGCCACCAGGGTTGACCGTGAAGTTGTAGGCACTTCGACACTGTCCGTTACGGGCGGAGTAGCCCTCGGAATAGTTGTTGGAGCGCATGTCGGCCCATTCACTCATGGATCCTTTTCCGACTAAGAGCGCACCAGCCTTGCGCAGGCCATGGACCACGAAGGAGTCGCGAGGTACCACATTGCCGATCAGAGCCCAGCAGCCAGCTGTGGTTTCCAGGCGATCTTTGGAGCCGATGTTGTCCTTGACAATGAACGGAATACCATGGAGAGGACCACGAACATGACCCTTGGCACGTTCCTCGTCGAGCTTTTTCGCAATGGCATAAGCATCAGGGTTCAACTGCATGATAGCACTGGTTACATGGTACTGCATCAGCTCATTTGTGCACAAAAGGATATCAGCAGAATGCTAGAAATCTGGGTCTTACTTTAGATAAGGCTGCGTCTGATAGATACGGTCCAAATAACAATCCAGAAGTTGCACGCTTGTGAGCGAGCCATTGCCCATTCTCTGCTGGATCTCATCCACGCTTGCTTCCTCTAACTTGAACCCATTGCAAGGGCGCATTGGAAATAACGAGGCGCCATTGGCGCCCAGCCGTGGGAAGTCGTACGTATAGGGATCATTTACAATCTGCGATGCGACAAGAGGATCTTCGTTTGCGTAGGCAGACGACGCGATGGCCAGCCCAGCAAGGGCGAGGCCGCCCAAGAAGGCTCGCAGATTCGGCGACGTCATGAAGGATGTGAGTTGGGAAGAGTTGAGTATACGAAAGTCTTTGAGCAAAGGATTCCCCCCAGAGGCACATGCAGCACATGTAAACGACAGGGGAAGATTACCACAATGATGCACTACTGTACAGTAGAAACTGATTTAGCGAAACTTTGATTTCTTCAATCGGTCACGCAAAGATTCAAGTTGGAATCTTGCATCCAGGCGTGACTAATCCAAACATGCCGCCCTGGAGGCCGACGGTGCCCTTCCAGAACAGTCCCATGCGGTCGAGCAATGGAGTCTTCGAAAGGTTGAGTTTGGATCCCCACCGGCGACGTTGGATAGACTTTACGCTGGTCCGCTTTAAACTATCCTGTGCCTCCGTCAGCTAAAGCAGAACCCAAGTCAAGTCGTCCTTTCCACGTCCTCAGGGAAAGCGATCCATAGTTGAATCCTTTCTCGTGGAAGCCGTTGCCCGACTAGGATGAGCATTCTTCATGCCAGAGCGGAATGTCACCAGCCAAAACGGGCGTGGTATCTGAGACTCATCAACTCGACGCTGGGACGGTGCCTCGTATTAATGGTCTTCGCAAGCTCACGTACACAGTTTGGAGACCGGCGTGTTCCAGCAGGCAAAGTGGTGATCGCACCATCTCAGCACTTTGTTCTGGTGGTCTTACGGCCTGCCAAGCAAATTACTCACTACGTAGTCTTACCGTGCTATCCTCCGATGCTGCTATGCAGTCGTAACTGCTGATTGTTGACCGAGCATTGTGCTATCAGCCGCTATATCTTGACAAGCTCAAACACTCAACAGTTAATAGTCACCATCACCATCACCATCACCATCACCATCACCATCACCATCAATAAGCTTTGATGGCCAGAGAGTCCAGTCGCGTCCCCATCATTCGGTTTCGCCGGGCACTGGCCGCCACTGATGCCGATGGCGTGTGGAATGCAACATCTGTGAGGCAAGTGGGCCGAATGGAGAGTTTGGTCGCAGCATCCACCAGACCAAAGTCGTTTCTTTTTTTGCCTCCAAGCGCCGACGCCGTAGAACGACAATTCCTCTTACGTACGGTCGGACTCGACAAAGCCTCTCGAGCTCAACAACAATGATGAATTCTATCATCAACAGACATGTGGCCTCCAACACCATGATGACGACCCGTCGCCAGCCTTATCATGGTAGACTGATTCTGCTCGGAGTTGTGAGTGCTACAGGCACCTTTCCTCAGGCTGGAATCGGCGGGGGACAGGGCTTGACTCTGCTACATAATACAGTACTGCAGAACACCCCCACCGCGGACGATCGCGTACGTCGATTTGGGCTCCACTTGACATCGATGAAGCCATGGACGAGCGACCGGTGGCCACTGGTGGACACTGGGCAGGTGTCGATCTCGGGAGTTCGGCGTCCAGAGCGCTGCCAAATGCGGCCTGCCAAGTGACATTACATCCTGACAGCCAGAGGGGCCAATTCTCGGCGACCCAGTGTGATAGGCTCAAGACTGCAACTGCGGCCATCGAACTCTGGATCGAGCATCGATTTTAGCTTTGAAGATGCTTTGGCCTGGCCAGAATGACACACTTTTCACGGTGCCTTTCTGGCTGTTCTCCCCGGAGAAGGATCTCCGACGTGAAGGGGGTAGGAAGCCCACCCCCAAGGATCGACAGCTTCACCACGTTTGACAAGTGATGTGTGGTACCTAACTTGAGATTTGGTGGGAGTGAAATGATGATTCTGAGGGAGTGCTTCTTGGAGAGTTATCATCACTCAACATATCCACAATCTGTCTTTCTAGTGCATCGTCGGCACATTATTGACAGCTCGTGCCTACTGACGCGGGCAAACAAGATCGAAGCTGAGGTATAAGCTGGACCTCATCGATCCCCTCTCGGCCGCGCTACAGAGAAGCACTACAATTAGTCACCTCACATTCGTCGGCCGGCTGGAGACCAGCTGCATTCGATCACGGTGTCGATTCAACAGCCCACATCCGCCAAATCCCTTTCGCGATTAGTGTGCACTCAGACCCAGATTGAAAGATCGTCTATCATATACAGGGAGAATCGACCACATACCCAAAGGCGAAGCCTTTCAGTTCTTCTGTCGGGAGAAGAAGTGCACGGTCTCTCCTCCCCCCAAGTCACCTTATCTGAATCCTCCTCAGTTGAGGCTTATATGAGAAAGATCATCGGCGGCATCAATCAATTATGTCTTGTTAAGATCCGGCCGCGGAATCATGACTATTCCCAAGGATATCCTTGCCGCGAAGGCGGCAGGAAGAATTCCAGATGGCATCTCTCTTGAATACCTCGCTCAATCTCGAAACCATCCTGCCATTGTGGGCATCTTATTCGTGGCCTGCTTTGCGGCCTTCATTCTACTTCTACGCCTTTACGCAAGGGCATTTCTGGTAAAAAGACTCGGACTAGACGACTGGCTAGCGGTCCTGACCATGGTATGTGTCCTCATATCAATCTCTGGCTTGGATTCGTTCTATCCAAAAGATATAAAACTTTCCAGCAGGTTCGCCTTGACTGTGGCGTAACTTTTTACGGTTTACGCGGAATGGCAACTTACAAACGCCTTCACATCCAGATTATTTACATTCCTTTCGTCGTTCTCTGCATCGTTTTGATCAACTTGGGTAGCGGTCGGCATATTGAGTACATTCAGTATGTGCTTCCCCTTTCGACAGTCCGCCAGACAGAGGTTCTCGATTTTGTCGCACACATCTTCTACACAACGGCCCTCTTCCTCTGTCGCCTCTCCGGTCTTGCCTTCTACTTTCGTATTAGTGCACAAAAGAGCAAACTTCGTCTCGCCATCATATTTGTCGCCTGTCTCATGTTCGGCGCATATTTGCCCCAACTCTTTCTCCTCATCTTCCATTGCCTCCCTGTGACGGGTCTCTGGCCCTATGAGTGGCAGACGGAGCCGGTTTCTTATCAATGCATTACATGGGGTTTGGTCTACTCTGTCAACTCTGGCGTCTCTCTTGCATGTGATGTGATGATGTTTATCATTCCGGGAATTTTGATCCACAGGCTGCACATCTCTTCAAGGCAGAAGGTTCAGCTATCTATCGTCATGTTTCCCGGTGTCCTGTGCGTTCATCCTCTCAAATTTTCCCGGCCGCCTGCCATACATCTTAAAAGGTCATTACTCACGCAGTCTCTAGTGTTATTGTCATTTCCGCTATCCGCGTATGGCTGGTTGTGGAGGGTCAATGGGCCACCGATGGCAGCTGGGCTTACAATCCCATGTTATGTGTTGAGAATGCAGAAATCTCCGGCACTCTGATTGCTCTCTCGGTGCCTGCATTGAAACCGCTCTTCGGAAACATTTTCACCCACCTCAACGATCTGACCCCCAGTCATGGTCGCTCGCGATTCACTACACGGCGAAACCAACCCAACCCAGTCAGCGGTGACGGTTCAGCAACGCGGGACGACAAGAAGCTCTTGAACTGGTCACAACGTGGCCAGGACAGTCACGAGATGGTCCCTGCGGAGGTCTTTGTGTCTCGGGATCCTCGTATTCGAGGTTCTTTGATCACGACACCGGGCATTCGGGTAACGAACGAGGTAGATGTCACTCGCTCCAATACCGCACGAACACACTCCCGGGCGTCTTCTGGAAGAGCTTCGAGTTCTTCTGCGCGAGTGCACACGCCGCCCCTCCTCTGAATTTGTACATTTTGTTCATATCCAATATTTCGAATGTGAAACGCCAACTTGAAAACAATTTCTGAGAATAGTGCATCTCATTATGGCACTCGAGGTCTCTCCACCTCGGCTAATGTCTACCAAATTACTAACAAATGTCTCGTATGTTACGTCAACATTTATCGGTTCAGGCGTTACTGGGGCTCCTTGCGAGTCATCCACACATCTACTGTGCTAGATTGTAACTGGCTAGCTGTATGGCCCCCACGGGTAGATCCTTGTATCGTGTCTTCTTGTTTGAATAATAATCATATGATGCAGCGGTCTTGATCTTGGCGTTTCTAGAAGCTACCTCTTGGGCAACTTCAGACACGGATGAACTACTCTTTGATACATCCTGGTATCGCTTGTGCTTGAGTGGGCAGCACTGGCCCTTACAGTACCGTGTACAATAATCGTACCGCTGCTACCGCACAGTCACACTATTCCATTCCAGCTCACGCCGATCAGCCTGAAATGGGAAGCTTGATAGATTGTTGACACTGTACATCACTTAATACTTCAGACAACTTATCCGATCTTAGTAAAACACAAAGGGTTGGTGGAGTGTCCGAGTGATAGAACTAGGTGCACGGCCAAGGCAAGGTAACGGAGCACCTTTGGGTGATTCATAAGCATAGAGAGGTGCCGATTGGTTACACTCATCCTGTCGTGCTCTTTGCATATGTCTCTCCAAATAGACAATCCTACTTTCCACACTTTAGGCTCGTTGGGCATGTGGATACCGTCGGCAGTTTTGGGGCCACGACAATTGATTGATAATCAATGCAGAGCAGACTGATTTGTGATGCTTTTCGGTTGGTGCAATCCTTCTCCGCCAAAGCCAACTACAGAGATAGCTGAATGTGCGGACGCCTTGAAGTCCCGCCGCTCGTGATCAACATAAAGCTGAGCCTCCGCCCGCATGTCTCTGGAGGTAGTCGAACCGTTTCCTTGGTCATCTGGGACAGGCTCTTGGACCTTCAACCACAAACTTTCCGAAATCCTCGAGTTTAGTCGTTCACATCGCATTATCAGTTGCTCGCAATGACTCTCAAGTACCTCATCACCGGAGCTTCAGGAGGTCTTGGCTCACAGGTACTTTCTTACCTGGCTGGCAATATACCCGCCTCAGAGTACGCAGCGGCGTCTTCGAGCGAGGCGAATCGGAAACGATTCGAAGACCGAGGAATCGCGTTTCGAGTAGCAGACTACGACAATGTGAAATCTTTAGAAGCCGCCTTCCAAGACGTCGAGAATCTACTCTTTGTGAGCACGAACACATTTGACGTCGCCAAGCGAGAGAAACAGCATCAGAACGTTGTTGACGCGGCCAAGAAAATGAATGTCAAACATGTCAGTACCGAGTCTCATCCTAGTGTACGCTGCAAGGGCCTTGAGTTAATCCAATCTCGTGTGTGACAGGTATGGTATACGTCTCTTGCCTTTGGAGGATTTGGATCTTCCGACGCGGACGTGCAAAGGGCCCATCTATTGACTGAAGAGATGCTGCGCAAGTAAAGTCCCTATAGAAGAAACGTTCACGCCATCCAGGATCATCCGGGCTAACAAGTGTTTCTTTCAGATGTGGTATCAACTTCACCTCTATACGCGAGGGTCTCTACACCGAGGCATTCCCCGTCTTCATGAATTGGTACCCCAATACATCTGTCATGTATCTACATTCCGATGGACCGATCACTTTCACCCGACGGGCCGAATTAGCAGAAGCTACCGCTCGGTTGATGATCCGGGGTGGTCATGACCGGGACATTGTGCTGCTCACTGCCCAGCAACCCATTACCTTTTCCGAGATCGTCGGGGTCATCAACGACACGACTGGTCGCAATGTGCAGGTCCAATTTGTGTCCGCGGAGGACTTTGTGCGACTCAAGGCGACCGGTGACGAAGGCGGGAAGCCAGAGGCATTCTTCCGGAAACTACTGTCGTGGCATGAGGCGATCGGCAAGGGTGAGACCAGCACGACAGATCCACTGATGGCAGACTTGCTGGGAAGAGAGCCGACACCACCCCGGGAGGCTATTCAAGAGCTGTTACGCGAGAATCCCAACTATGAGTGGCACCAAAACTATGTTAATAGAGCTTAGGAAACGGTTCGTCTGGAGAGGTCAGCAAGCCAAGCCTGAAATCATCTTGTCCCTTGAAGTAGTACCGCGACACATGTAGAGGATGAGGATCCCCTCGGCCACTGGTATCTTCGAATGGAAGCCAGCCTCATGGGGATTCCGCCGCGGCTGATCTACACCTTTGCCGAATGTGACTTTCGCCCGCGTCAAGGCCATGCCTCAAGGGACGACCGATCGACAAGTTCGCATGGTTCAGGCATAGCCGAGGCCACGAGTGCACAGAGAACCACCATCATTGAATGTGCCTCCGCGGACGGCACGCTCATTGATCCCTTCATCGTCTTTCCCGGCGCTGGCGGCACCAGCCATCAGCCTGCTAGAAAGGCCCCAGGTGGTACATCCACAGAGCTCCGCAGCGTAGACCAAGCGAACGCGAAAACGGTTGGCTTACACTTATTATAGGATTACTATGTAAACATAATTCTCTGAAAAACTATACATACACTCTGTGACTCTACAGCCTACAAACCGACGAGACACTATGATTCAGTTTCTGCCTTGCGGCCTTGCTCACAGCGGACGAGAAAAGCGGATCAAGACATCATGCCGTTGATCCTCGATGGTGATAAGATGCAATGGGCAAATAACCCTAACAAACCAGTCCATACTGATCTTTATCGGCATTGTTCCAGAGTTCAATAGCAACAAACATCTACTGAGCGTAACCGAGATGGCCATGTAGCCTAAGGATGGTCCCTTTACCAGCTGAAAACATGTCATCACAAGCGCTGGCAACCTGGAAAACAAGGCGACGCCCGTGTCCGCCCGACGCTTGTAATTAGCCCCGCCGTGATTGGCCCGGATCGGCTGACTCAGCCACTTGCCGAATCTCGAACCCGAGGTTAGTATGCCCAGATCTCCTTGACTTCATTTTGTCGCCGTCGTCACTTCTACACACGTTGTGATCCAAAACCTCGCATCGGCTCTATCGATATCTAGGCCGTCTGAACAATCAGTTTGCTGCCGCTAACTGGCATTATCTGGTCCCAATAATCCTTGCTTGCAATCCCCTCCCAGGCGGAACGCGCTCTTGCAGAATCGTCCATTCGCCCGCCATGGCCTCTCTCCGCACCACTTCTCGGCTCTTCGCTGCGTCGCGGCCTCTGTTCCGACCGGCCAGCTTTGCTCGCACCTATGCGACCGTCGACAGCAATGTCTCCGAGACTCCCAAGATGAAGACCTTCAAGATCTACCGCTGGAACCCGGATACCCCGACTGAGAAGCCCACCATGCAGTCCTACGAGCTTGATCTGAACAAAACCGGTCCCATGATGCTGGACGCTCTCATTCGCATTAAGAACGAGCTCGACCCAACTCTGACCTTCCGCCGATCCTGCCGTGAGGGTATCTGCGGTTCCTGCGCCATGAACATTGACGGTGTCAACACCTTGGCCTGCTTGTGTATGTGCTCACAACTGATTTGCACTCTCCACCGGCTTGATTGTCTTGTGTCCGGCACACTTGATTGTATGCAGTACAGCTGACTCTGATTACAGGCCGTATTCCCACCGAGACCACCAAGGAGTCTCGCATCTATCCTTTGCCCCACACCTACGTCGTCAAGGATCTCGTACCGGATTTGACTCTCTTCTACAAGCAATACAAGTCCATCAAGCCTTACCTGCAGCGTGACACCCCCACTGCTGATGTGAGTTGTACCGCTATGTGCCACAAGCATCCGTTCCTACAGAGACTAATACATATCTGATTCTAGGGTCTTGAGAACCGCCAGAGCCCCGAGGACCGCCGAAAGCTCGACGGTCTGTATGAGTGCATTCTGTGCGCTTGCTGCTCGACCTCTTGCCCTTCGTACTGGTGGAACCAGGAGGAGTACCTTGGACCCGCCATCCTCCTCCAGTCCTACCGCTGGCTGGTCGATTCTCGTGACGAGAAGACCGCCGAACGCAAGGCTGCCCTCGACAACAGCATGAGCGTGTACCGCTGCCACACCATCCTGAACTGCACGCGGACTTGCCCCAAGGGTCTGAACCCTGGTCGTGCCATCGCGGAGACCAAGAAGATGCTCGCCGCTTAGATATGGATATAAAACCGGAGTTTGAGATCCTCATTCTTTTTTTTTCTGCCCTGACGTGTCTTTTCCAGCCTGTGTTGAATCTGCTACCATCATTTCTTGTTCTATTCGAAATTACTTTTTTTATTCTCACCCTGGATGTTTCAAATAGGTGTACATTGTCTGAATATTCTCATCCATGAATGCCCTGATATACTACGTGATGTGTGTGCTGGTGTCCTTTCAAGATCTAGCGTTCGATGCGCCCTGTATACTCCGCTCGCAATGAAGTAGCGCGCTCGACCATTCTGTAGATTGGAATTCGCCTCCGAGTCCGTCCAACCTGGCTTGGTGAGCCCTATCTCGTCTCCTCGTGTCTCCACCAATAAGGTGGCAACGATCTGATTAGATCTAGATCTCGATGACGCTTCCCGATCACTCCATCTACCAGTTGTACCGCGATATCCGTTCTCTGCAGATCGCCACAATAATCAATGGATAATTACGAAAGTCTACTGAATCCCGGAAATTCTTTTCAAGTTTACTTCGCAGCATGAATTGCTGATGTGCTTGAAACCTACGTAGAGCTGCCCGTTCCAGGGTGCCCACGTACAGCGAGCGCCTTGTCTCTTTTCGATATATTGACCTGTGCTCTGCGACAGCCTGGAGGGATAACCTTGTGTGTGAAGCCGTTCAACGAGGCTTTTCAACATTGTCTCCAGTCTGATCGATCTACCGGTGAACAGGAGGTGGCGGCACGTGCATAGGTAGGCTTTGCCTCGGAGATCATGCTTGTCCCGAAACCGTAACATGATTAGCAACAAAGGTGGCTGTGTATTCGGTCGATGGCGCCTGGATGACTCGAAATCCAGACGTGCAGCTATCCGACTTGACAGATTCCTTCCAGCGCCGGTGTCGAGTTCCATTAGATTTGATGAGATCGATGCCTGTGGCGCCTACCTGGACATCAAAGGGAATGCTCCGCGCACGAGTCTCTCAAGTGGTAAGCACCGACGATGTTATCTTCGAGCAAGGAGAAATTAGGAGTTCCCTAGGTCACCTCTTGACTAAATTGTAGACATACCTTGAACTGTCATACAGAAAGCTTATTTTTCTGTGATATCTGTGTTCTCGGGGATTCAGGAAAGCTTTTACGTTAAGCGAGAAGTACTTCTTGCCCTGTTTTCAGGTGGTGCCATACTTTAGTTACCAGTTACTGTCCAGCCAAGTTATGTTGCCTCGGTTACATGAAGAATGGCCGCGGCCGCGTCTGCACGATTCTTCAAGTGATCCTGCAGGCTTTTGGCTTTTGATCTGCAACTTTTGACAGAGTCTTGGTATTCGTTAAACTCTGACACAGACTTATCGAGAAGTCACTCTGCAAGTCAACGGTGCTTCATCCATCGAGTGTGTCCTGCTTGGTTAATGAAGCAGGATGTCACTGAACAAGGGGCCGCAGACGAAACAGATCATTACATAGTGACATGGCCCCTTGGGGGAACCACGCGCACTGCGAGATACATCCTTCTTCAACAGGGTGTGATCGCAATGTATGCGCTCTGATGTCAACTTGGCTCTCTATCACGCTCTATCCGGATACTCTCAAAACGTTTCGACAATAATAGCTCCCGGAGTACCAGCGGCCGTGCGTTAGGGCAAAATTGTGTCCTGCAGGGCCGCTTCTGTGATGACGAACGAGGGAGGAATCTCCAGGGCGGATCATTCCTGACTGCATCTGGACTCGTTCACTATTCGTGAGAAACGCGGATGTCGGATTCCAACGTTTTCCCCTAAACTCCATTCTTGACAGCTTTCTCCACGCCTCTGTTTATGTTCGTGGCTGGTTCATTTAAACCCGCGACAATGTGCTTGCCCCTGGCGCCTCGTTCAATCTTTGGCTCTTGACCCTGTTCGATAACAACTTCCCCCAGGTACTGCTGTTACGAGGTATATCACCAAGTCGACAGGATAATTGCAAGCCGTGTTGTTAAGCAATCTCCATCTGCCACTCTCTTCTCTCTCTCTCTCTCTCTCTCTCTCTCTCTCTCTCTCTCTCTCTCTCTCTCGCCATGCACGCGACTTACCTGACATTGGCGGCCTTTGCCGTGGCTGTCGCTGCCGTTCCTGATGTGCCAGTTCCTAGCGGAAATCCATTTGAAGGCGGCAGCTACCCCTTCTTGTCTGCTGGTAGTTCAGCCGTAGAGGACGGTGGCGATGACTTCATGCCCGCCTACGAGGCCGCAATGCAAGCCATGGAGATTGTCCAGTCGGCCTCCTACAGCAAGTCTGTCTCGGCCAGCGTGGCAGCCTCTCGCCAGGCGACGTCTTCCACAAAAGCAGCACCCACCCAGGCGTTTGACAAAGTCGAAAAGCCAACCGGGGCCTCGCAAGCCTGGTCTACCAGCCAAGGCTCCGCTGTCGCCGCCGCGACACCCAGTGCAGGCTCGAGCAAAAAGAACGCCGTCGTATACGAATATGCTTCCACCATGTCTGTCTCAGCGAGTTACCCCGGACACTCCAACATGGCTCCCATGGTGGTCAATGAGGTCACTGCGACTTCTGATTACTTTTCCAAGGACCTGATGGCTCCGACAACCATCACCCCTGTCTTTGCGCAGAAAGCGACCTCGGTCTCGGGAAGCCAATTGCCAAGTGGCTTCGTCACGGTTGCATCCATGACGACCCCAACTCCAGTGAAGCCCTCGAACAACCTTCACCAGGGTCACCTCGCTTCTGCTTCTGCTGCTCAGTCCAGTGCCCGCAAAGCGGATTCCTCAAGCTCTGCTAGCTTGTCACCCTCGGCTGTTGCTTCAGACGCCACCAGCATGCTTGGCAAGATCCCCGTCCTGGGTTCTCTCTTTGGTAACCTCGGTATCTAAGTTTCGAACGCGGCGCAGCTTGTGTTTGGGTGTTCTTAAATTGTTGGCATGTTGTATTCAACTATCTTCGGGTCATGGGTCGACGAACAGGAGGGAAATAGTAGGCCGGTGCTGTGTCTTGACTCGACTTGATTATGGTCCGATGTTCTAGTATTCTCATTCCCGCATGCGAAGTCATAAGTAATCCTAATACAGATCATATCTCGAAGCGATTTTCAGGTAGATCACAAGCTGCCTGGTAGACATTATGAGAGAACTTTAAAATTGCCTTCAAAAGAACCATGAGCCACATGGTATATAGGTTTACACTCTCGCTCAATAACAAAGTTCAAGGGTATCTTCCAGTCGATTCCAGCATGTCCATGCAACGCTCAACCGCCTTTTGCATGGCATTTGTCGCGTCCTCCAATAACGTCGTCAAAGGCACCTTGCCGGCCTTTTCCTGCTGCACCTTGATGTACTCATTATTCAAGACCTTGTTGATGTTGATCTTGGACACGCCGCAATCAATGCACTTCTGGAAGATCTCCTTGGTGAAGGGATCCGCCCCGTGCAGAACCAGTCGCACCTGTTTCCCCACGGCCTGGTTGATCGACTGCAATCGCTCATACTCCAATTGAATACCGCGAGGTCCATACTCGCCATGAACATTCCCAAAAGCGGGCGCCAGCCAGTCAATCCCCGTATCCACAAACTCCTGACTCTCCTCGGGCGTCGTCAAGAGACCCTCCAGATCCGCCGTGTCCGCAATCCCATCCTCCCCTCCCTCGATGCGCCCGGGCTCAGCTTCCGTCGCGATGCCCCGCTCGTGACAATACGCCACCAGCTCGCGCGTCAAAGCCAAGTTCTCCGCCTTTTCGTAGTGCGACATGTCCACCATGATGCTGTCGAAGCCCTTCAGATCAGCCGCCCGGCGGATGATCTCGGGGGTTTGGGCATGATCCATATGGACGGTGACGGGGACAGAGGCATTGCGGGCGGCCTCTGCGGCGGCGTGCACGAGGATTCCGTCGGCGTAGTGAACGGCCCACGGAAAGAGGAGGATCATGGCTGGTGAGCGTTTGGCTTCGGCTGCGCGGACGGTGGCCAGGATTCCTTCCACGTTGTAGCAGCACATGGCGGGGACGCCGTAATGGTGCTCAGCCGCATGATCTAAGATGCGCAGGGCGCGATTGTTTGCAAGAGACATTGATGCTGTGTAGACGAGGAGGAAAATGGAGGAAGATGGAGGGATGAGGCGCGAAGAACGATGAGGTAGCGTGGGTATTGAGAAATGACAGATGAGGGGGGGGGGGGTCAGGTCTTTCGCAAAATCTCAAATATTAGTATGATGTTTGATTAATTCTCCGCGGATCTACAGTTATAAGTCTTAATCCCCCGCGTGATATTCACGAGTCGCGGATCGCATGTTGTGCCGGTAGACGGGCAGAGTGACTCGACAAGATCGCATCCTGTCCGAGCCATCGGAGACACTCCGAGGTGGGCGCAGTTACGTCAACAGACGGACGGCCCGCGGCATTATTGTTGATTCGACTTCGGTGCCCACCCCCACGCTTTACCAGGGTCTTCTCCACTACGGAGAAGATGGCGGAGTGATTTTATGGACAAACAATAAGTTGTGAAGCAGTGGTGGTGACCCTGTCAAGCGACATGAGAATAGGCAGATTTCAGCTTGAGTCCGTTGCAGGCTAAATTCACACGGGAGATCTTGGCCCGTCCTGGCAACTTTGAAAGCTCACCACATTTGCTAGGAATTGGGATGAACTAGTAATGGAGATTCGTCACATGTGATATTGATCTAGATGAAAATCGCCAGCAAGGCTCTACGGCCTATGTAGAGAGGCACAAGGAACCTGGAGGCGGCCTTATGTACATTTAAAATCCAAACATCTTAACCACACTTGTGCTACCATCAGCGCCGAGTCCAGCTCGCTTGGCCATCAAAAGCACGTTCATCGTGGCGTTGCCCAGATGCAATGGACAGTGCAGATCTCGAGCTTTCTGGACCGCCTTTTGTAGACGATTAATAGCTTGATCAACGCTTTCTGAATTCTTGCCCACTTTTCCTTCGATCATTTCCAGTCCCAGGGTCATGAATTGGCGACTGGATCCAGCAGCATCACTGACAAGGGTGTAGAATTGCTTAAGATCGACTTTGAGGTATTTTGCAAATGCGATGGCCTCGGCGGCGGCCACTAGATTAGTCAACTGCATGACATCGAGCACTGACCGCAGAGCTGCGGCACTTTCTTCGTCGGACTTGGAGCTGTTGACCTTTGTGATCGGCTGCGAGTAATATTGGCGGACCATGGAAGAGTCGTCCATACGACCGAATTCTTGTAGCAATGCCGAGAGATAGACTTGCTCGGCCGTGGAGCAGAGTGGTGTGGGGAATTGGTTCTCGCGCGCGGAGGTCGTGATGATACCCTGGGACGAGGTATCTCTGTTAACAAAGGCTTTCAAAGGACATCTGCCCTTTTCGAAGAGAGCAAGAGAGCAAGAGAGCAAGAGAGCAAGAGAGCAAGAGAGCAAGAGAGCAAAGAGACAGGCACAGGTAGAAGGATACATACCACGTCCTTGAGAATAATCGTCAAAGCACTGGCACCGGGGTGCCAGTCTTCATCGAGCATGCGCTGCAGTCGGTTCTCGTGCATCCACGTCCACGAATCTGACTTCTTGATAGCCTCTGCAGTTTTGACCGCGTCCAGGCCTAGTTGCGCAGCAAAGCCCATGGCCTCACTAGCTCCCAGAATGTGAATTCCAGCAAGAACTTGATGGACCATCTTCATGTTGCTGCCGGCGCCAATGCCCCCAGGCACCAGGTAGAGCTTGTTGGCATCAGACATGGTCTCAAGAAGAAACTTTCCTTTCTCAAGGGCAGCATCTGTCGCGCCAGCCATGATAGATAACGTGCCATCACCAGCGCGCTTAGCGCCGCCCGAAACTGGGGCGTCGATGAACTGAATGTCGCCCCGGCCACATGACTGCAACTCAGAGGCTACAGATTGCGCGTAGGATGCAGGGACAGTCGAGCATAGGATGAGTGTCGCATCTTGAGGAAGCGCTAACGTGAATAGATGCGTTAGCCCTCTACTCGCTCTTTCTTTCATCAATCCTAATTCACAGAGAGAAGCCCATACCAGAAACGATGCCATCATCACCAAAGAGAACAGATTGGACCTGCGGCGCCGAGGCCACCATGCAGATGTAGTAGTGCTTTCCCTGGGCAGACTCCTTCAACGACGAGGCTGGTATTCCACCAGCGGCCTTGAAGCGCTCCACTGAAGCGGGAAACACATCAAAGCCGTGCACCGGATATCCTTCCTTCACGAGGTGCGTCGCCATACCGAAGCCCATGGCTCCGAGGCCGACAAATCCAACAGCAGGTCTTGACATTTTGAGTAATTGAGAAATCACGAAAACTTTGATCACACAAGCCAGGTAAGAAGACAGAAAGTTGGATGCATCGGACTTCAAGAAATAGCAGAAGCGAGGGTTCTTTAACGTGTGGGGTGACCATCAGGGGGGCGGGGGGATAAATCTGGGGAAGAAAGCGCGGCGTGGGGGAGGTTCGGCGCAAGTCCGAATGCCGCAGCTCTGAGAGTCCACCCGGACCGAGCGGTCTCGAGGCCGGCGGATCTCGATATCAAGGCAGGGAGTGAAAGGGTCCACAGGAGGTCCGGCAATCGGTATAACTGCCTAAATCATGAGACCAAACTTAGTCTCACAAGTTGACTGGAATGTCGCTCGATTTGGAAAGACCTCTGCTTCTGTAAGTCCATCGGAAAAGGCCGTAAACTTTGTAAATTAGTAGAACACTCCTGTCTAATCATCCGTAGCTATCATCGACCAAGACCCATACCAAATTTCCCGATGCTGTTCCATGTTACCTCCAAAGACTGTCTCTTCAGCAGCAAATCTTTACCATCTACATCATTACTCGTGAATTTCCCAGATTACCTAGGTAGCCCATGAAGCATGGATCCATGTCTGAAATCTGAGGCAATAGCTCTAGGCGGCTGAAGCTCGAAAGGGCAATATCCGCCAGTCCCATGAAGAAAATTTCCCAGCGCCGCTTCTCATCTAAACGAGGTGGACGTCCGGAGTTTCCGGAATGAGTATTTCTGAAATACACGATGCATCACGTCCGTTGGATTTATGACGTTCCACAAGTATCTATACGTCCACGAGAATATGCCGTACATATACCGAGCCCTAATTCGAGTTTGTGCTTGTGTTGCATAGGTAGGTCTTCGTCTTCGCCTGCAGCAATGGTAGCATCCTGGCGGGGTTTAACGGCTACAGACCATGATAGCTTGCTGCCTGAGATCTTTGCTTCTGTCGAGTCAAGGTTGGGTGCTGTATAAAATGGCCCGTCCACGAATATTCCGAACTTTGGCTCTCGGCGCTGCGGAACTTTTGTAGGCAATACAGGCGGAGGCGTGATCTTGCGTGGAGTGGAATAGAGTGGGGGGGGGAACATGTAGACCTCTGGGTAAATAATCAGTAGCTCTCTACCGATCAAGTACAGAAGGCAGAGTCTGTATCTCTGGTTGTTCCTAGTTGCATGACCCAGGAGTCGATGTATGGCCTTGTCGAGGTTTTTGGTGTTGGAGATAACGATTAGATGACTGTTGTTACATAAACCTGTCAAAAATGTAGCAATGCACCGGGCCAGTATGGAATACAACTGTCTCGATGGTCTCGCTGATCCATGAGTACCCCTGTACAAGTGAGATCACCTGCTAGCTAAGTCAAAGAACCAGGTAATAGAGCTTCAGTAAATCAATCTCCTAAGTACTTCTGTTAGCTACCATGGATCACCATTCTGTAAGTTCCATGACTTGTAAGGTCTCAATTGATAAAATCTCTCTCTGTCATATTCATAAATCATCGCCAATTGGCGCACTAAACAAGCCGGGCCCAAGACATTTTGCATTTTTTCCTGGATGGAATTCTTCTGGATGGATCTTAGACATCTGTGCATCCTATCGGTATCACCAAGCCACATATTTATCTAGTCATTAGGAGATTTTTCAACTTTGTCCAAATGGCCTTGGAGCCAGTCATTCGAGGTCCAAGTCCACTAGATCTCGTCTTGTCATTCGATGCTTGCATCTCCTTCATGACGTTTTCAAGGGCAGATTCTTCACTCACAAAACGAGGAGGCTTAGTGACCCTCAACGGGGCGGGGCTGAGAATCAATTCGGATGCCGAAACGTTGATGGGCTGTGTGTCGCTCGACAGCGCTCTCTCAAGCAAATTCTCCTCAGAAGAAATTGCCGGAGGGTAGGTCCACAGAAAGTCATCTGTCAAACGGTTCTCGTCAATGGATGCACTGTCGTATTCAGCTATCGGAGAACTGCTCACGTGGCACAAGGCAGGGAGGGACTCATCCTTGTGGTTATCAACGTACGGGTCTTTGACGCAACACTTGGCAAACAAGCTGTCAGAGTCGATAGACGACTCGTCCGATAATTCAAAATCAAACCAAGAGGGAGAGTTCGGGCAGTGAGAGTACTCTTGGGTCTTGACAAATTGCCTGCTGATTCTTGAGATGGCTCCCCGCAACGAGTTGCGCGAACCCCGAGCACCTATCTGAGTAGAAGAAGGGGAGATAGCCTCTGCCGATGCGTTCTCCCGCAGGATGTTCCAGGAATCAGCAATGGCAGCCTCATCCGCAGATAGATCGCGAAGCATGAAATCAAGTATCTCCTGACACGGAGAGAATGAGGCTGAGTCTGACTTGCCTATGCATTGAGTGTGGTCGGTGACCGGGGGCATGGAAGGACTCGTGAGCCATTCCTCACGACACTCGCATACATTCGTCAGCTGTGAGGACCGAGGTTGGTCCAAGTTTGAAGCAAACTTTGGCAGCGACCTCGGGGTTTCGTGTGGCATGTACTGTATCTCAGCAGTTCTCAGTCGACCAAAAACCTCGAGGACTGGGCTTGGTGATTGCAGCCCCTCAATGGCAGAGTAGTTGCCATCTTGGGACACATCTAACATGCATCCTGAGTCAGCAAGAAGCTTGCATTGTTGACACTCGCTCGGGTCAAGGAATAGAGCGAGATCGTGATCAGTCTGCACATTCTGACAGTGGTCAAACATACCTTGCTGGCCCAATAGACGGAGGGTAGCAGTATAGGGCTGGCAGCTGGTCACTGTCCAGTTGGCGATGTGCCCGCAGGTCGGATAATGATGCAACGTGTGAAGACACATCTTGGAATCGAACTTTTAAAGGGCCCACGGAGTGATGATAACAAGTCTTCGAGAATGATGTAAGCTTGGAAGTTTCACTGGGTTTGGTGAAAAAGATGAGCTCGAGGGAAGGTAGTCGGACACGAATTTAAACTATTCATGGGAGTTAAGAATTTGCAGAAAACGTAGGAGGATAGTAAAATAGCAGCATTTGCTGATCAAGATGCGGACAAAGTCTTAGTCTCAACAGGTAAACGCCATTGTTGGGACCGTAGATCACGTCGGTCGTTTTCCTTTGAGAGCTCATCCCGGACTCGCTATTCAAAGGGAGTCACTTCTTCATCACAAAGAAAGTTGGTACCCAGATTCTCAATCAAAACGACACCGATTATATTGGTATTACCCAGGTGGCTATAAATAGGCCGCAAATACGATCGTGGCCACGAGCCAAGTTGCTCTTCAAAATAAACGGACCGTCGGTTCAGTATACGACAAGGCGCTTGTCTGGAACAAAGAAACCGATGACCAGATCACACTGTGAGAGTCGCTCCATGCATCTCAACTATCGAGTTCCATCAAGTATTTTGTACCAGAATCAAGCAGCCACCACGCGGCCGTTTCATGCATCCAATGTAACAAAGGCTTCTCCAACGGCATGAGTCGAATCTCGTCCGACCGTCTCCACATGAAGGTTTCACTTGAGAAGACTATACCACTGGTTGTCTCTTTGTACCCCAAAGCAAGTCGACCATGCACGTAGTCAATGTTTCTCGTCTGGATGTCAAACTCCACCTTGTTTCCGCTGCGCTCAATGACCCGATACATTCCGCAAACAAGGTCGCCTTTATCAAAGTTAAGGGAGTTGATGTGCGCTGATTTGAAGCTCTGCTGTTCCTCAGGCGCCATGCTCAAGAGACGCATAACCCACGCCTGGGGAAGGTGACTGAATGCTATCATGTTCCGACGGGCCAGCTTTGTGAGCAGTTGACCGGGTGAAATGCTTTTTGGCAGCGCGGTGCGCGAGACCTGCTTTGACGAATGATCATGCAGGGCAACATTCTGTTCCGTGAAGATATCTTCGGCCACAGAGTCGATCACAGTGGGTCTCATAGACTTCGATGAGAGCTTTCCGCGATGTGATCGATGTTCAATCCGCGATGCCAATTTCCTGTGGAGCATGTAGAGATAGATCGCCGACCCGCCGGTGACTACAGCGCTGGCTGTGATAATGAAGCGAGCAATCATGACGAGGTCGATGATTTTTTCTTCTATCCTGTGGGCCCTTTAGTCTCGAGTGTCTGGATGTTTAAGTGATTTGGTATCAGGTCGTCAAGGTGACTTTATCGAGAGAATCTCCAGCCCACATTGCCGGCAAGATGACCGCATCACCGGATCAGCCAGCTTTTCTTGGCATCATGTGCCGTCAACTGTACTTCTTCTGACTCCGTGGAAGTTTCGGTGACCAGGACCAGCAATCTAGCTGCTTTGGTTGAAATAGAGACTCCTCGAAAGCTTCTTGCCTGCAGTCGAGAATGCGTTTAGCCCCGCGTCAGATCCAAATGGCCGACTGCCAGACACCGCCCGCCGTTAAACATGACGTACATTCACGTGAAGCAACCCAATCGATGAAAAGCAAGTCCAAATTGGATCTGACCGGGCTTGAAACTAAAACCCCGCCGTGTCTGATAAGCCTTTTGATTGTGTTGGCCAAAGGAACATGCTCCGTCAGCACATCTCCAACTTGACAAGCACAATGGCTACAGCCGCCAACTCACGTATTAGACTCGCCAGTGGTCACGAAATCCCCCGTCTGGGATTTGGTGTAAGTGATATCAGACCTGATTGAACAGCCAGTTGAGAGTTGAGACAAGTACTAACGTTTCATCAGGTCTACAAAACGTAAGATTTTACATTGCAAGCAAATCCAGCATACCTGTCGACCAACCTGCTCTGAATCCCATACTCACATGGCGACCATTTTGTTAGTCCACCCGAAGACTCTTATCGATGCTGCCTTGAGGCATTTCAAGCGGGCTATCGCCATGTGAGTCATTGATTTGCTGTGTCTCACAGCACAGAACTTTTAGTTTCTCGCCTTGCTGTGAAGCTGCACTCCAACTTGAACGAAAGTCTGACTTCACGCACAGATTGATTCCGCGGCAGCCTACAAGAACGAAGCCGGCTGTGGTAGCGCCATTCGAGACTCGAAAATTCCCCGCGAGGAGATCTTCTTCACCTCCAAAGTCATCAACATCAGCTATGATGGAGCTAAAGAGACGGTTGAACAGACCCTGACCCTGGCTGGGCTCGACTACCTTGATCTGATGCTCCTTCACAAACCGATGGGTGGCTCGGAGAATCGAAAGGGAGCATGGAAAGCGGTGCGTTGAAAGATGCCACGTCTTTGTTTCCTTATTAGCCTCCCGCTCGTCAGCCCTTGGGCGTGGCTCGGTCACTACTAACGTGTCATGAAGCTGGTCGAAGCCGTCGAGGCGGGTAAAGTCCGGTCGATCGGAGTTAGCAACTACGGTGTCCACCACCTCGAAGAACTCCAACAGCACATACACGAGCTTCAGGCGGAACGCGGCGGGAAAGATAAGGGCGGCACACTGAGCGTCAACCAAGTCGAACTCCATCCGTGGCTGGCGCGAAAAGAACTCGTTGACTGGTGTGAGAACAATGGAGTCGCACTCCAGGCCTATTCGCCCATTGTACGAGGTGCCCGGTTCGAAGAGCCTTATTTGCAAGCCTTGGCCAAAAAGTACAACAAGACCCCGGCTCAGATTTTGATTCGTTGGAGTCTGGATAAAGGTTTTATCCCGTTGCCCAAGAGCGTAACACCCGACCGGATCAAGGCCAATGCTCAGGTTTTTGATTTCGAATTGACTCCTTCAGAGGTCCAGGAGTTGGAAACTGAGGAGTATAGTCCGTGTGCGTGGGATCCAACGGTGCGAACACTCGATGAGTGATTGTACACGGCGAGTGCTTCGGAACTCCTTGGAGATGAGTGTCTGGACTCTGGAGGGGCCGCTCTGTTGATTCTCACCGTTTCCTTCCACTTACCCGGCGAAGCAGCCCCCGTCGACATTCACGCCTTTGCAAAGACCCATGCCCGATTTTCATATCAACCCACCGTTAGTCTGCCAGAACAAATGTAATTTGGGATCTACATTGGTTGCTATATCTGATCGAAGATGTCTCCATGGTTATCAAAGGCTCTCCACATGGGAGCTGCAGATGCAGGACTTTTGCCTTTGTGACGGAAATCCCGGTTGTACATGTACTACCTACAAGAGACCGACCTAGAACCGGCAGGTACCCGGATGTCGGAGATGACATTGACAGAACCTCAACTCCTTAGGGCTTCCGCCTTGGAAGACCGACTGATCAGGCAAGCCATGTGCAGGGCACATGCCCGTATCTCGCGAATTCGCAATCAGTCTTGCGTGGCATCAAGCTCTGTATTGCTATGTCAATGACGGTCTTCGTGTCGAGATCGTGATTCCTTAAAAGAGTGGAGGGGAGTGCAGTAATTGACAGTTCATTCTATTTTCCACCTCCTCCTTCTTTCTTCTTGGACCTTGGCTGGACCGTAAAGTCTCTCTGGAGTCTGTACTCTGTAGTCCTAGTTCCTACGTACTACTGGGTAAGTTAAACCCAGCCTCACAAGCCAAAAATCCCGTCAACGCAAGTCACCGCCGGAAATACAATAGAAACACGTTTCAGACCGGGGGATCTGCGTTGTTTACACTTTCTCCCGTGGCTGGTCTGTCGTCGACCATCTGACAGTTGCTCGCGGTCTCCACTTTCGGCAATCTCCTGTGTTCGCATGCTCGAGAGTCTAGACCGCAGAGTTTCAAGGTTTCTTCTTTCGCGGTGGCGCTTGCGAATGACAAAAGTTGGGGATCACAAGTACCGGTACATTTTCACGGGGAATGCTTACGACGAGTATAGTTTTATTGCCTTTGAGAGCAAACACTGGATCATATGACCTAGAATCTCCATGTGTTGGGTTTTCCTCACCTGGTCGTCTCAGGGATCAGCCATGGCTTGACACGCTGGAATCTGGACGTGGACGACCATGGTCATCATCATCACCACCACCACCACCACCACCACCAACAACAACAACAACAACAACAACAACAACAACAACAACAACAACAACAACAACAACAACACCACCACCACCACCACCGCCATCACCATCAGAAAGTTCCCGTCGTCAGCTGAGATCAACACAGAGGACAATTCAGGCGGCGTGCATAGAGGGTAAACACCTTGGGCGGGGTACTTCCAGCCTGGAGGTCCCAACTGGTGCCAAAAGTCGCGACCTTTTCCTGTTCCATCGGCGGCTTATCTGCAAGTAGCCTGGAACTCTCTCTTTCTCCTGCTCTTGAGGAATTTCCATAAGCGCACGGGCAAGGGCCGATCATGCGAACATGAGTTTCTGACCGACTGTGGTATGCTCTTTTTGGTTTTGAATAATCAGAAAGAAAGAAAGAGAACAAGAAAACTTGCGATTTCCAGTGATCTTGATAAGTCAAATAGAAGCTCCTCATGTTCCACTGAAGAGCGAAATGTACAGGCCAGGGGACATATACTAGGGGAGGGGAGGGGTTTTACCGAGCGCTCCTGTTGCACGGCGCCACCAAACTTCTGGAGAAGACGCATGTCCTCATGGAGAGAGGAAAGGACAGATTCGGTGCTGAGGATTTCAAACAGGGTATGTCATCGCCTTTACAGCCCACCGTTGATCAGATCTGCTGGAGGGGATCGTGATACTGATGCTCAGATGCTACCGCTGTATCCAGGTCTGGCCGTCTTGGATCACGAGATGGGCAAGGACGACTGGCTAGTTGCTTTTGCCCCCATCACTCTCATCTCCACGGGAGGCTTTCTCGCCACAAACTTCTTCCGGAATCGCGAGAGCACAGGGGATATCGACTACTTGTTGGACCCGCAGTGGGCGCACGACAACGAGATCAAACGACCGTTGCAGAACGCCATCACACGAGCGGCCCGTCGCCTGGGATTCATCGATGACTGGGTGAATGAAGAGCTGGCCTTTTTCGTGCCCGACCAATTTCGCCAACTCTTGTTTGAAAAGGCCGAGGAGCAGGATATTGTTCTGTGGGAGGGGAAACATCTCCGCGTTCTCGCAGTGCCCTTGGAATGGGCCCTGGAGCGAAAACTTCGTCGCATTCACCATAGTAAGAGGCATGCAAAACGGGGGTCGGACATTGCAGATGTGCTGGCAATCTTGAGGCACATGCGTGCGCAGCAGGGAGGACCGCTGGATGGGGAATACATTCGCACTTTGAACATTTGTTCCTTCGAGTTGGCCCCAGACCTAATCACGATGGCCGAGATCGCCACTGCGTACCGGAAGCAATACGACGAAGAGATCTTTTCCTAAAATTTGGCATATCCCCTCCCTCACTCCGGTTGCTCGACCACACATCATCACTCTTCAAATGGTATAGAAGTGGCCTGTGTCCATAACGACGTTTCTTCGAGCAAAGATGGGATTTTCGCCGCCCTCTTCAAGCACAAGCCTGCCCATCCGATCGAGAAAGTCCCTCGGGAACTCTCCCAGAAGCTCTGTGTCTATTGGCGACACCAGTGTCGCCCAGGAAGGGGCAATCTCCGGTACAAAGGATGGCAGAGAATCCTCGAATGTCTGCCGGTATATATGCTTGTTCTTGTCGCGTCGCATCCCGAGACTCATGCGCCAGTTGAACGCCTGTGCTAGCTCTTCCGCCACGCAGGCCAGGATTGCATACCGCACAGGGTCACGGTCTCGTGGGTTTGGAATTCGATGCACCGCCCACTGCCGGCCTGACTGGTACCAAAAGTACTCCACCTCCGACCCGATCGCATAGAATTCGCGCGCCACGACAGCCTCGTAGATCCGGTATAGCGCACGCAGAGGCGTATCTCGGGAGCGCCACAATGGCACAGAGCGCATGTTGGTCAGGTCTGCAGCCGCCTTGCGAGCTTGCAGCAGTGGGACATTGTTCAGCATGGTAGGGACGGGGACGGGCTCGGGCAGCGGAAAGTGCCATGTTGGGAATGGGAGTAGCAGGCGGACCAAGGCCCAGTACGGGTGCTCGTGCCGATGTGTGAGCCGCGTCAGAGTGCCGCGCAGTTGCAGTGGTGATTCATAATTATAGATGAATCGACGAAAGCGCATCCACCAAGTGATCTGGGGTCGAGGTCCGGGTCGGGGTCCGGGTCGGGGTCCGGGTCGGGGTCGGTGTTGAGGCTTCATGACACAGGTTCACTCGCGGGCAGCAGAGCGCGAGAAGGAATGGACGGAGTCATGGTGACTATTGAGCACCTCACGACTTGATGTATAGTCGCATGATGCAGTCGCTTGAGACGATGATTTTCTTGTTATCAGTCTGCACACAGCGTGGCTAGTATGAAGTTCCAGTCGTGTCAGTAGTTCAGAACTAGTAGCATTATTATTCGATTCATCACCTGGATCATTGGGAGCTCGACCGTCAGGCCGCTAGTCTCATTCAGGCAGTATTTGATGCCTTACCGTCGTGGTTTACACGAGTCTGCCTGCCCGAAGCAACTGCCAGGGGTGATGAGAACGAGTCAATCATGGAAGTCAACCATGGAAGTAATGGAGGGTGCTCCGATGGTCCCTGAAATATTCCCGAGATGCTGTTCTTTGAATATGCAAGACTAGTGCAGTAGAAGTTGCAGGCTCGGGGGTTCCGCCTTCTTCGGCTCTTGATAGAGTCCAGGACTCCAGGTGGCCTAGTACACATTACACAATCATCTTCTTCTCAGAAGGCCATCGCCAGTATTCCGCAACCTCGACCCCTGCGCCTTCCTTCTGTTTGGCTCCTTGTCTGGCCCCCCAGCTCCTCGTTGAGTATCGCCCGGTGGTTAGGCCTTGGCCCTTAATTTTGAAGTATATGCTTTGTTATGGCCTTGCACCGCGCTAGCTAAGAAGTTCTATGGCCTCTGCATTGGGACAAGGTTGGGCTCATGAACCAGGATACCAGTCCCGTGTAGCCTCGAGGCCCTATCTATATTGATTGACATGCCTTCCACGGTTTCTGTGACTTGGCCTGTAGCCCGCAATGGTACCAACAGCAAACCCACGGAATGCTGATTCCTCATCACTGCCCAGCTGTACTGCAGGTGATCGCGGACAGCTCAATGCTTGTATCTTATCAAGCTCCCACGTCTCTCACAAACGGAAGCACTTTTCCCTGAGGTCATCAATCTCTTCGCTATGGGCGCGAAACTGGCGGGTTTTTTGTACACAGCGTGCTTGTTGGCTTCTTTTCCAGCCTTCAATTATCCGAGCCAACCAAATAGTCCACGTGTTGCTGATCCTCAGCTGTTCCCAAGGTCGCATCCAACTCACACGGGGGATCATCGATGTAGTCTGACGCATGCCGAACTGGACGCAAGTTGAAGCAACTGACCTACCAGTCTTGCACATCGGCTAGGCGATAGGTTTCAGCAGGAGGAAGAGGAAGATGAAGGGGATAGGTGAAATCTGATAATGAGGGAAACGCGACCGATAATCGGGAAGCTCTCCCATTGAATCGCGGTGTTGACCCCAGGGACCAGGGGCTTATCTGGGTAGATGGAACCGTGTCGGGATTCTCAGTCACTCTTGCTTGCGGAAGTAGGGTTTTGATTGAGGGGTTTGTGGTGCAAGATGCATGGGTGTATCGGTGGTGGTAGTAGTAGTTAGTCACTTAGTGGTAGTAGTAGTAGTAGTAGTAGTAGTAGTAAGAACAAAACTTCCCATTGCCACTTGACTGACCCGATCCAACATTACCTAAAGAATGAGTGCATAGTCAGTCACATCTACAGCAGATGCTTCCATACTAGTCAACTGACTGGGGCACTGGGCTACCTACGAACTTTTCACTCTTCGTCAATTTGCGTATTCCATCTACGCGGAGACATACCTAGTCTGGTATCAACCCTTTTGCGACAAGTCCCGTCGTCTTGCATATGCATGTGCCACCGTCAAGAGTTTGGATCGAGAATCTACAAGTACGATCTCTCTGTTCCTCCCTTCCCCCACTGACGATGATGTGACACAGAAATCCTTCCACTCAGAGGGAATAAATGTGAATGACGACTTTGGTCCACGAGCCCTAATCGCGGATGAGACCCTTGCCTAGCGCACCTCGTGCGGACACGAGGTGAATAGAGTGGTCATGACTCATGCCCTTTCAGACCCACTACATGGATGGGATCGATCTCTTGTGCCTGTAAGATTGTGGAGGATAGATGTACATTGGTGTGGTTGAAAGGTGAAAAGACAAGTTTGTTTTTGTGAAATGTATGTATTTAGTGGAGCAACAGTGAAAAATGGGAACTTGAGGCCTCGGGAGATAGGTTGTACTTGTCTGACAGTGCTATTTGTATACCAATTGATTTCTCCCCACGTCTGGAAGTACTGAGATATTTGCAGGTTCCAATCGTTCGAAAGCACTTCAGTGAATACCTAAGATAATAGATGATATATGTTCCTTCCTTTTCGCTTTGCAATTCCATACCCGAGGAACCTATAGCCCGCTTCTCTTGCTCAAGTTGTCTTACGACAAGCTTCAACTGGACAACCTCATACGAGCGATGAAATAAACACACAAACCTCCACTATGCTATTCTCGAACATGTTGACTGGCCTTGCCTTTTTGGCTGCAGGAACAACTCTAGCCACGGACTTGGCCCAACACGTCGATGTTTTGTAAGTCGTGACCGTACTCAATTCTCACACGGACTTGCTCTCGACCTCGCTGACATGCCTGTGCCTCCACAGCCAAGGAAAGGAACACAAAATGGCGGCAACGACTTCCCCGGAGCAGCCAGACCCTTTGGCATGGTCAAGTCAGGGCCCGATCTACTTCTCCCCGGTACAGACGCATATGCAGGCTATCTCTCCGATGGCGAATTCTCCGGCTTCAGCCTGATGCACGAGCAAGGTACCGGGGGTGCTCCTAAATACGGCACCGTCTCGCAACTACCTCTCATGTGCCACGTCGACGATCCGTTGTCGAATATCACTGTTCCTCGAGCGAAAACTGACTCTGATTCGGTGGGATACTATCAAGCGCATACTGCGGAGGGTGTGGAGGTGGAGCTGAGTGCGAGTACCCGGGCTGGCATATATCGGTATACTTTTCCTCAGGGTTCCGATGAAGTGAAGAATGTGTTGGTGGACATTTCGCACGTGCTTCCGTCGTCTCGGGGACAGGAACTGGGCCAGCGTTATGAAGGTGGTAATTTGTCTGTCTTTGCGGATGGTCATTATGAGGGACATGGGATATGCAACAATGGACGGAATGAGGCGCCCAATTGGGCGATCTTTTTCTGTGAGTACCGTGCCAAATGCGGACGATTTCCACTAAGAGAGAGAAAGGTGAAGCTAATCCTGGTTGCAACATTTGAATAGGCGGCTATTTCGAGTCCAACGCAACAAGCAATAAGACCTTTGTCGCCGTAGGTGCTGACCCGAGTGTCGAACAAACAGACAGATCTGTCACTTTGAACGCAGAAACAAAGCGCATCGGTGCACATTCCACTTTCAACACAGAAGAAGTTCTCTCTCGTGTCGGAATCTCGTGGATTTCATCCGAGCAAGCCTGCAGAAAGGTGAACAAGGAGATTCCTCAAGGAACTACATTCGCCGCTGTTGTCGACGAAGCCAAAGCCGAATGGAGCGACAAGGTCTTGTCCAAGATCAAAACCACCAGTACCAACGAGAAGAGTCTGAGTCTGCTGTATACGTCTCTTGATTTCATGCATCTCATCCCTACCAATTCAACCGGTGAGAATCCGGGGTGGCATTCTGCAGGGCCATATTATCAGGACATTTTCACGTTCTGCGTAAGTCACATGAACTTTTTCGGAGCGACCTTTTCTTTTTCCTCTTTCCCCCTCCGTGACCAGCGGCTGTGTCTCTTCTTGATAATCGTCTAGGATCTGTTCCGGTGCCGCACGGCTCTCATGCAAGTGCTTCAACCGGCCGCTTACGAAGAGCAAATTCGCTCGTTGGTCGACATCTGGCGCCATGATGGATATCTTCCTGATGCGCGATCATCCAACTACAACGGCCGCACCCAAGGCGGCTCCAACGCCGACAACATCCTTGCAGATGCATATGTCAACGGCGTCCGCGGCGCCGTCAACTACGAGGGCGCATACCAAGCCATGGTCAAAGACGCCGAGGTGGTCCCGTCCAACATTCCGTCGACCATATGGCACCAGACTCGTCCAACCCACCAGGGCCGAGGCGCACTGCCCGACTGGCTTGAACTGGGATACATCACGCCAAAATTCAGTTGGGCCATCAGCGGAGCCGTCGAGTTCGCAGCGAATGACTTTGGCCTCTTTGAGGTGGCTGCGGGACTGGGTAAGGAGCCAGATGCCGCAAAGTATCTGAACCGTTCGCGCAACTGGCGGAACCATTGGAATCCGAAGCAGTCGTCGCTGGGGTTTACGGTGCTTCGTAGTCCCGCGAAACACCACGGGGTTTAACGGAGACGGATCCGTTGGGCGATAGCGGATACTGGGGGGATCCATACTACGAGGCTAACTCGTGGGTCTACTCCTGGGCTGACGTGCACGACATGAAGTATATCGTCACATTGATGGGAGGCTCTGAGACGGTTGTGCGTCGGCTTGACACGATGTTTACCGAAGGAGCCAAAGGGTCATCCGGGACCATTTTCGATGCCGCCAACAAGTCGTAAGTTTTGGTCTTTTGTGCTTCCTTTCTCTGTGTTTTTTTTCGGACTCCGAGATAGGGAGAGAGAGAGAGAGAGAGAGAGAGAGAGAGAGAGAGAGAGAGAGTGTGTGTGTGTGTGTGTGTGAGAAAGAGAGATAGAGAGAGATAGAAGAAGGATAGGCTCAAGATCTGGGCGAAAAAAAAGTTCTCCGAATGGTTTCGGTGCTAACGAGTTTCCGATGAAGCATGTTCAACATACCCTATCTCTACAACTATGTCGGCCACCCGGAGCTCTCGGTGCGTCAATCTCGTCAAGTGGCCAAGCATACCTTTTCCACCGGTCCCAAGGGCCTGCCGGGGAATAGTGATGCTGCTGGGGCCATGCAGACCTGGCTGCTGTGGAACATGATCGGTTTGGTACCCAGTCACTGGACAAACCACTTTCCTGATTCATTCGCCCTGGTTTGAGTCCATGACGATTGCCCTGGGCGGCGGGAAGAAATTGACGATTCACGCGACTGAGGGGGGATGGAAATGGCGATGAGAACATCTATGTGCAGGGCGTGCCTGTCAATGGCAAAGTGTGGACCAAGAGTTGGTTGACATGGGAGGATGTCTTTGCCGAGGGTGGGTTGTTCGAGTTTCGGCTGGGGGCCCAGCCGATCCAGTGGGCAACTGGTGAGTTGCCTCCGAGTCCCGCGTCGGAGTGAGCTGTGAGCTTCGGAACGGTCAACGATGAGAAGAGAGAAAGTCGGACGAGTCGAGACCGTTGAATGATTGTGGCTCCACGGTATGAATGCCATGAATATGTACGATCCTGTCTTTGTCATGAGACTACCCTTGAGCATTGAATGCAGCCTATCATCAGTCTGCTCGTGGTCCTCCTGGAGGCTCGCACTCGCAGTAGTGTCGACTGTCGAGTCGACCACCTCATGTCTTGATCAGCGCTCGGTCGCGGTGCGATTGGAAGTGTGAAGAAGAAAAAGGCTGGTCAAAAGCAGCGGATCATGATCCAGAGTTCCAGACCACGCCAATGCCACCGATCCGTAATCAGTCATCACTCCTCTGCTCCATAACGCCGAGAGTCTCGCCGTCTCGCCCCTTTCATGTCCAATCCTCCTCCTTCTCCGCCTCTCCCCGACCGGGCTGGAAGTGAGACGGGTGGCCGAGATTCTCTACACCGAGACGCATCTGGCTTAGAGGAAGGCGACATCCCGTCTCCGTTGAGGTCGCACCGCGCCCGAGCCAAGACTTTGAAAAGGGCTTTTGTGCTGCCTGCTGCCAGCTGCCAGCTGCCCCGTCGACGACTGTGACCGTGTGACTTGATGGTGACTTTGGAGAGAGTCATGGACCAGCGATCAGTCTCCCCCTGTTCATCTGGTACCCTGCTTGTCCTTCTCATGTATCTGGTACATGTTGAATTGCTCTCCTAGGTACACTTGCTGAAATCTTCCTCTGGGCCCCTGCATCGATGGCGAAAACCGTCCGAATCAGTGGAGTGGTGCAGTGAGCCCGGAAAAGCTAAAAGGCAAAGTCTATCACACGTTAGTCGTAGTTGACTAGTTGTACCTGGTACCCAGTAGTGAGCATGGAGATTTTCAAATGCTATTTGCATCTCAGCCCTGGACCGATCATGGTGGAGGTAGAAAGGATTGCGTTCCCACTGCCATTACAAGGTATTCCAGGTTCATCACAGCATCAACAAGTTAATGAGCAGAACGGGGAGGGGGAGTCGCCCTTCTTCTCATGATTATCTCCGAGACTCCTACCATTTACATAAACCAAACCAAAAAAATAATAATAAAATAAACCGGATTCTGGTTGTTCAGACTAGTAGTAGTAGTAGTAGTAGTAGTAGTAGTAGTAGTAGTAGTAGTAGTAGTAGTAGTAGCAGCAGTGATTGCGGTTGACTAACCGTGTCCACTTCATAGTGGATGATACTGCTCTCATCTTTGCCCCGTCGATAAAGGAGCAAAGGCCCCCTTGTAGAACGAACTCACTTCCACTGACTGGGCGACGTACTGGCTCAGTACGAGGGAACATGAGAGGACTTTCAGCGTGGTGGAGGCGAGAGTACATCGTCTCCCTGTTTCGAGTATTCGGTCAGGTCCCGGTGCCTCGATGCTGTACTGGAGAGTACTGGACCTACTGGTAGTACTTGAAGCACCACTGGACTGCTGCATGGAAAAGAGGACGACAGTGTCCCTGTTTGTACTTGGCAGTCGTTCCCCTCATCATGAGGGGCTGCTTGGTACCACAAGAGACCTATGGACCTCTGAGTGAGTACCTGTGCGAGGTACCCCCCCCTCAAAAGGTCCCCCCAAAAAGAGACCCGCAATAGGCCCGAGCTCCCCGCATTGGGCCAGTTCCCCATCGTCCCTCATCGAGGAGAGGGTTCGGTCTTGGGAAAGTGTTCAAGGAACCAGAATGGTCAGAAGGAGTATCTGTAGAAGAACAGAGAGAGACAACAGAATCAATTGAGCTTCAGACGAGTTGTAATCAAAAGACCTCAATTCCAGCTTTACAGCTGTCGTGGAATGCGGTCTATCGGTCGAACCATCCATCAACGCCAGAGACCTTCTTCCGGAGGAGGGGGTCCCGCAATGTACACAGTACTACCCAGGAAGTACCAACTTACCAAGTACCAAAGTAGTAGTACGCCTGGTTCCAGGTTCCTTGACGGGAGCTCTGCGCAGCTTTGCACCGAGACTGGAGGAGGAAAATCGATTTTCAGTTTATTTTCATTTTCATTTTATTTTTTTTTCTTTTGGTCCTCTTCGATGATTCTTCCCATCTCACACCTTTTGACTTCCCCCTCTTCTCTTCTCTTCTCCTCGTCCTTCTTTCTTTCTCTCAATCATTTCTCCCTGGACATTCTGCAAAGAAGCCTTGCCAGTGGCCTTTTTGCCCTCCCCCGCAGCTGTAATCAATTCAGTCGCCTTGCCTCATGATGGCCTCAACAAATGACATCCCCGCGGACGGAACAGGTACGTCACTCGGCTTCCGCGTCCCGCCCCAGTGCTTCTCGGGGACAAGACAAAAAAAAAGCTGCGGCACCCGTGCCGGAGACAATGCAATACAGAATGACCCCGAGAAAGGCCCACGGAGCAAAAGAGAGAGCAAGACAGAGAGAGAAAGAGAGCACCAGCTCCATTTTGTGAGAGACCAGGCTGGAAAAAGCAACAGTGAACTGATCGCAGATTGCATGGTTTTTAGGCGTCCTGGCACTCGATCCGTGGTTGGAGCCGCATCGTTCGGTACTGAAACAGCGCTACAGCGTGATTGAAAACTGGATCAAAACCCTCACCGACTCAGAGGGTGGTCTGGACAAGTTCAGCAAGGTATGATGAACCTGCGGCCCTCCAAGTCTCCTCTTCGAAAACACGAAACACTGGACACCCGGAACTGACCAATTCCCACCTTGGCAACAAATAGGGTTACGAGACGTTCGGTCTTCATGCACAGCCCAATGGCGACATCAGGTACCGGGAATGGGCTCCGAACGCGGTGGAGGCCTCGCTGGTCGGTGAATTCAGTAAGTTCAAGGAACCAACGAAGACTCATGTCTCAAACCCCCGCGGTGATCAAGCATTGCTGACAGGCCCTCAGACAACTGGGATGCTCAGGCCAACCCTATGACGAAAAACAGCTTTGGCGTCTGGGAAGTGACCATTCCCGCAAAGAACGGCGCGTCGGCCATTCCTCACCAAAGCAAGATCAAGGTGAGCCGACCTCTCGCTCCGAAACTCCGAGTGGTGAATGACAGGACGGAGACCAAGAAGCTAATCGGTGACATTTGCTTCAGATCACCATGGTCCTCCCCAGCGGCGAGCGCATCTACCGAATTCCGGCATGGATCAAGCGGGTCGTCCAGGACCTGAATGTCTCTCCCGATTACGACGCTGTGTTCTGGAACCCACCCGCCAGCGAGCGATACACCTTCAAGCAGTCTCGTCCCAAGAAGCCCGAGAGTCTACGAATCTACGAGGCCCATGTCGGGATTTCCTCGCCCGAGACCCGCGTGGCAACCTACAAAGAGTTCACCAAGAACATGCTGCCTCGCATCAAATATCTGGGTTACAATGCCATTCAATTGATGGCCATCATGGAGCATGCCTACTACGCCAGCTTCGGATACCAGGTGAACAACTTCTTCGCAGCCAGCAGCCGATATGGATCCCCGGAGGATCTGAAGGAGTTGATCGATACCGCGCATAGCATGGGGCTGGTGGTGCTCCTCGATGTAGTGCACAGTCACGCGTCTAAGAATGTACTGGACGGCCTCAACATGTTCGATGGGTCTGATCATCTCTACTTCCATGCGGGCGCCAAGGGCCGTCATGAATTGTGGGACAGCCGTCTGTTCAACTATGGTCATCACGAAGTTCTGCGGTTCCTGCTGAGCAATCTGCGCTTCTGGATGGAGGAGTACCAATTCGATGGTTTCCGCTTCGATGGTGTCACCAGTATGCTTTACACGCACCACGGCATTGGAACGTAAGTTGGGCCATAGGTTCCATTTCGGTTGATCTTCCTTTTTATGTCACGAGTGACTTGTACGCTAACTCGGAGAGTTCACAGTGGCTTCTCCGGTGGCTACCATGAATACTTTGGCCCTGGTGTCGACGAAGAAGGTCTGGCTTACCTGGCAATTGCCAACACTATGCTCCACGATCTCTACCCCGAGTGTATCACGGTGGCAGAGGACGTCTCTGGGATGCCTGCCCTCTGCCTCCCACATGCTCTGGGCGGAGTCGGATTCGATTATCGACTGGCCATGGCCGTTCCCGACATGTACATCAAGCTGCTGAAGGAAAAGTCCGACAGTGAGTGGGATATTGGGAATCTTGCATTTACTTTGACCAATCGCCGTCATGGCGAGAAGACCATTGCCTATGCCGAGAGTCACGACCAAGCGTAAGTCACTTGAAGCTGAGTCGCATTTCTTCCCCTTCCGCCCCAACCTTGTATCGTGCGAGATATTCCGTGACTGACCAGGGGCCTTCCTTATAGATTGGTTGGCGACAAGACTCTTATGATGTGGCTGTGTGACAAGGAAATGTACACGCACATGTCGGTCCTCACAGAATTCACCCCTGTCATCGAGCGCGGCATGGCACTCCACAAGATGATCCGCCTCATCACCCACGGACTCGGCGGCGAGGGCTATCTCAACTTCGAGGGTAACGAATTCGGTCACCCGGAGTGGCTCGACTTCCCCCGCGAAGGTAACGGCAATTCATTCTGGTACGCTCGTCGCCAGTTGAACCTCACCGAGGACAATCTCCTCCGGTACAAGTTCCTCAATGAGTTCGATCGGGCCATGCAGGTCACGGAGGAGAAGTATGGCTGGCTCCACGCTCCTCAGGCCTATGTGAGTCTGAAGAATGAGAACGACAAGGTGCTCGTCTTTGAGCGGGCTGGTCTGCTGTGGATCTTCAACTTGCATCCCACAGATAGCTTCACTGATTATCGCGTGGGTGTCGACGTCCCCGGTACCTACCGTATTGTGCTGGACTCGGACGATCCGGCTTACGGTGGTCTGGGCCGCAATGTCAAGGAGACGAGATTCTTTACGACGGATATGCCATGGAATGGACGCGCCAACTTTACGCAAGTGTATATTCCGACGAGAACTGCTCTGGTAAGTTTTCTTTTTTTTTTCTTTCTCTCTTTCTCATGACTCATGTGAAACCTACTTATTGCGATATTGGTGTTGCAATTGTTACAATTTACAACAACACCAACCCTTCTCCTATCGAAGACCTTGGACTGATCAATCACTCTTATTCTAGGTTCTTGCTCTCGAGAATACTCTGTAACGGATGGCATTATTTGAGGTCATGTGAGAAACGATGTTGAATCTTGCCCGGAATGGCATTTGACTTGACCTTTATTTTTGTTTTTTTTTTCTCTGCAATCATTACATGTCAAGCTTATTCACTTCATAATATACTCAGCGGACTGAACCGCGCCATTCTGTATCTTGCGAGCAAGTGCTATGGTAGACGAACATGATCTAATAATGGAATGACTACACATAGCAGAGCAAGCAGCTTTTTCTTTTCCACACCCAAAACTCCAACCCCAAGTTCACCTGGATCCAAGCGAGGTTCCTACTGAAATGGACGGACCCCATCTATCAGATAGATAAAATGAGCATACCTTGTCGCTTCTGTCCATGATCCCACAGGTATCTACTACCTACCACCTACTAACCCAGTACGACTACCTGCTACCTCGTACCTAATAACTTAGCATAGATCCATCAAATGTACCTACCCAGGTAGGTTTTACACCTAGAATATAGGGACCTGTGAAAACGACGCCGAAAATGACAGCCTCTGGCGCCAGAAACGGCCGCCTTTCCACCCGTAACTTTGCACAGCGAGCCGCCGCTTGACCGCCCGCTGCCTGCTGCGGCCCCCCTATTCTGCACCCAACCAGGACTGTTAGTCATCCACCTCTGTCTTGTTGACGCTTGACTTGAACGATTGTTCCCCCCGTTTCCACTGACGACCAAAACGACGCTGAAAATGGCTCCCCTCTGCATCCCAACCCAAGCCCCCCTTCTTCTCGCCCAGCCTGGTCGAGCGGCTATAAGATGCTTCGTCTGCCGTCTCCCTCGGGGGTTACACAACCTTCTCATCCCACCTCCGCTGCCTCGATCGGCCTCGACACACTTGACTCCTAAGTCTCCTATCACAGAATCCAAACCTTGGCCTATGTCTCCGAATTCTCCTCATGGCGCCTGTGTCCGTATCTCCAGCTCAAGTCGATGAGCACCAGTTCTGGACCGATCCCATCCTTTGCGAGGAAACTCGAGCCAGGCTGAATCATTTCCGCAGTCTTGGATGGCTCCCTCCAAACTTCAAGCCCAGAACCCTGATAGGAATCGCCGTGGTCGAACGGTACTGGCGGAAGTGGGTTTACCCTTGACGAAATGAAAACCTTGTGGTTGGACACTAACACGGAAATAGATATTGCATTCAATCGAACCAGGACTACGTGGACTATCTGCTACTGGAAGATCAAGCGATTTACATGAACTTTTTCGACTGGATGTTTAAGACGTCACGAAAGAAAGCACTTCAATCGTATGACGAATACTGGCGCCGCCTTTGTCAATACTTCGAACTATTCGCCCGGCGCAGTGTTAATGACGATATTCATAAGCAGATGCGACGCGTACGGTTGCTTCCTCTGTTCTGAAGGCGATTGGGCTAACTGAAGCATAGTTTCTTAATGGCGTATTTCCGGCTGAGCGCAAAATTTCCAGACGAACGAAGGACAAGAATACTCTAGATGTGGATGTCTTTTGTGTGATCTACCGGCATCACTGGGTTCATTCGCGGTTTTTTCGTCACGGGAGTATGATCGTCCAATTTGCTACTATCCAACTCTGGTCCGCCATTACCGGGACCCGACCCGGCGTCTTGCTTCCACAGAACACCTCTCTACCTGACAACTCCTCTCAGGGCAAGCGCAAACAAAATCCCACTTTTCAGAGTGATCTTCCGAAGCACATCCCCGTAACAGACCTTCCGGACTCGGTCTGCTATCGCGACATTGAACTCTTCTATCTGCGCGACCCTCAGAGCAAACGTGACGTTCTCTGTGCGGTCATAGAGTTTCGTAACCTTAAAGGTCGGCCGGAAGGTGCTGATGGGTAAGTGTGGCCATGGTCTCAAATGCTAGAGCACCGGATTCACTACTGACAGTCACTGCCAGAACCAAATTTTTCATGCACGGCGATTATCAACTGGCATATTGTCCGATCACTCAAATCATTTCTTTCGCTTTTCGTGATGGAGCGTTTGTTAATACCGACCTCACACCGGAGCTTATATGGCGGCTCCGAGTTCCAAAACGCAGTTCCTCCCTCCCGCTCCGCTGGAAGACCGAGGTTCTTAACACCCCCCTCCTTCGGCGTTTTGATCGCACGACGTGTGGCTATGAGCTTCATCCGTCGTTGCCGATGACTTATGAGTCAAGTCGACGGGCACTTAAAGAGTTAGGTCGAGATGCTCGATTCGAAGACGATATTGGACATTACAACTTTCGCCGTTGGGCTGCAAATGAAGTCAATCGTGAGTCACTCCAGTGCCAAATCTCCGGAAAATTTACCACCATTCTACGGAGTTCTTGTCAATCTAGGTCTGACTAGGAGCGGACAGGGAATTTCACTAGCCAGGAGCGGCAGAGGGTGCTTGGTCAGTCGGGTGACGCGGTTTTTGAAAAACATTACCAGTCGCAGTTCATTGCACGCGATCTCCAACATGTTGTTCTCCTTCGACCGCCTCAGGAGGGTTTATTGCGCGTCGCTGGCAGTATGCTCAGGAAGAGGGATCCTTTAGCGCCGTCCGAGCTTACCGATACACATAGACGTGCTATTTGCCGACATCCGGAAATGCTGGAGTTGAAACGAGAGAAGAGAGAGCTTATGGCTGAGATGCGATCTCTGGCCGGCACTGTGAAGAATGCCGAAAAGCCCTTTCCACACCTTTATCAACGGCACAAAGCTGTCGACAGAGAAATGACCAAGCTTCGCAAGACTTTGGCGACCGATACTCGAGAGACGGCCAGAAAGGATTATTTCCGTAACGCACCTGTCTTCGAAGTCGACCGACAGATCAAACAGCTTCTTGGCCAGCCTGGTGTTGAATCATGCGATGCGGATAGTTCTGACGATGAGGACTGGGAGTTGCCTACCCCGAAGTACGTTTTTCTTGAACGAGCTCGCCTCGTGGAGAACTTTTACGGATCTGAAGCGGAGAATTATGACGAGGACAAGCTGCTCGCGCGTCGCATCCAGGTTACCAAGGACATGGTTGCGCTCCTTGGGCTCTGCGAGCCGAGCAGGCGGGGCAATCGTGTTGATTGGAAATTCGACAGCGAGAGTGATGAGCCATCAGAACAGCCACAGGAATCCTCGCCTCCTGAAGAAGACAGTCAAAAATGCCCAACAGATGTCTGCATCATTTGCTATGGTATATCCCGTCGCTCGGCGTCAAACCCTCCTCCGCATAGATTTCCTGCCAACCGTCCAGACTCTCTTCGTCGTCATCTCATCGACTCTCATCTGTGTTATGCACACAACGGAATCAGTTGCAACTGGGAGGCTTGCCGCAATCGTCCCAGATTTGCCAGTATCACCGGGTTTCTGGCCCACGCCAACAATGAACACAAGTACGATATCAAGATTAAATTGTGTCATCTCCCCAGAATGCCACAGTTTAGCCCTAGCGGTGGTCCGTCCAGAGACGCGTCTACGGAGTCAGAGACTCGGCAAGGCACCGAAACACCCGCCTCCTCTCTCGATTTCGACATGGCAAATATTGACCCTCGGTTGATGGAACCAAGTCCTATCACAGTCATGGAGCCACCAACCTGCCCGCCAAGCACTGAAATTCCCGCCTCCTCTGCTGGATATCCAGTGGCTAGCACCGATTCAAACCTGACGGAGATTTCTACAGGGCGAATGACGAGGGGAGCAGCAAAGGCAGCAAATCTAGAACCTGGTCCTCAGCTTCCATCACAGCATGCGACGCGCTCGTCTCGAAAACGCGGGCCCCCAGAAGAGCAGCTTGGTGGGGAGCAGAAGGGAAAAGGGCGACCAGGCAAAATGAAAGCGTCCACTATTAAACCTACGCCTCGTCGGTCAAAGCGATTACGAGCTCGGTGATGTATGGTCTGGGGAGGGCGTTTTGTTTTTATATTCTGTTGCAAGCCAGAACGTCTCAATAGATAGTACATCGCTTCCCAGCTTTGCAATGAATTTAACCTTCGACATCATTTCTCCCCCAAACAGGCCACAAACAATAACTAATGACATGTCACCACCGGCGACTGTCTACAAACCTTTCTTCATGAAAGAATTGTCACGGTAAAATCGTTCGATATTACCAACTCATATCTCGAAACTGATAACGGTGCAATTTGTTTGCCTTCAGCATCGGATATAAGACTAACCAGCGTCGATCCCGGAGAGCAGCGATTTAGATGATATAGTATAAGTTCGGATGGTACATGGATCACTTGGCAACGAATAAAGTGGGGCATGAAATCAGGGATCCTGGACAGTGGTTGTTGGTTCGTTTCCAGGAATACAAGAACTGCCCCCAGGAACGCCGCCATGGGTTCCCCGACACGTCTGAGCTCCTGGAATCAACTACTACTAGTACTACTACTACCAATCATAAAGCCTCCAGGATTAGATACTTTGCAAATTTTGATTGGTTCCTGAAGCCATCATGCTTACAAAGGATGCGTGTAATTTGTTGGCGTTAGGGTGCATCACCCTTGTGTAAGGCTGTACTGGAGGCCCAGGCTGCTCCTGAAGATACTGTAGGTGTGGGTGGGTGGGTGGAATCGGAAACAAGATTCAAATGTTACAAGACCGAATAGTTGTAAAGATTAGCACCTCTCTCTCGGATGGCTGGATCCTACATGAAAGGTAAAGTACTTTATCTCGGTTTGGAACGACCAATTGAATTTGGTGATTCGGACCGGGTACTGTGCGCTCATTGGCCGGACACTTGTTGGCGGTTCAGAATCGCGACTCTGGGACTACCTTTCGAGCCACGATTCGTCGATCGTACGCAGTAAAATCCCTACAATTTACTAGTTGCTTGAACTGGACTCAAACCGCCAAAAGGAAGCCTAGCTTGGCATTCCGTTACAGTTGGTTGCCTCTAGAGCGGTACTGGTCTCATGACTAACTTCTAGCAGTTCAAAACAGCGACCCCAAAGAAAGCAATTTCGAACAGCTACCTGGGAACAAGCGCTGGTTATATTACGCACAGTGCCCTTGAACGGGAAAACGAAAGAGTGTACATGCTACAAATGCCTAATTGTGCCAATAATGGAACAGGAAGGGACTATGACTCTCCTCGAAATTTTATTGGAATACGCGAAAGGCGGTAAGCAATTCCTCCCTGGGCCCGCCCGCATCGGGTTGAAAGCTAGGGAAAGCGGCGGACTAAGTGGCTGAGCTAGGAAATGAATGTATGGTCTTCTTAGCGCCGCTGGAATAGGCACCACTAAGGATCACAACCCCGCTTGAGGCGTCTGCCCCTCGTTGTCTAACCCTTTGAGAGGACTTCGAATCAACGCAACACCCACCACTCGTGCAGGCCAGCACATCTAAGAGAGATTCCAAAACAATTTCTTGTACTCTATGGAATGGACGGACTGTCGTCTGCAGCCAGTGTTATTGCCGTTATCCAACTGGCGGGTAGTATTGTGGCAACTTGTGGAGGTTATATTAAAGGCGTGAAGGATGCGAGGGAGGACATTATTCGCCTTCAGCATGAGGTCGTTGGTCTCAAATGCGTCCTTGAGAAGCTCGAAGATCTACTTCATGGTTCCAACGGATTCAAGCTATCCACCTCCCGAACATTGGTCGACGGAATCAACAGATGCCTTGAAGCCCTTAAGGACTTAGAAGACAAAATTGATCCAGGGAAAGGGAGAAAATTGATGAGAAGACTTGGACGCCGAGCACTAGAGTGGCCTATCAAACGCACTGAGGTGGAAAGAGTGGTGACAGATCTCGAGAGGTTCAAAGGGCTATTCACCCTATCCCTGCAGGTTGATCAGACGTAAGCTTTTCAATTATTGCTCCCGCGTGCGGTAGGCTAACAAATCTTAGTACCTTCACAATGTGCATGGCTCAAACCACCGAGCTTATGGACCAGAACCTGCACCTAGCAAAGCTGCCAGTTGCGCGTGGGGCTGAGTTCGATTCGTATGCCGATCAACATGAAGAGGAATGTTTACCAGGCACCAGAACAGAGATTTTGCGGCAAATTGCGGAATGGGCGATGTCGCCGGAGGGCAGATGCATCTTCTGGTTAAATGGCATGGCTGGGACTGGAAAATCAACAATCTCCAGAACTATATCGAGACACTTTCAACGAGACAGGATATTGGGTGCAAGCTTTTTTTTCAAGAGGGGAGAAGGAGACCGAGGAAACCCTATGAGACTTATTCCGACAATCACGAAACAACTTGTCCTCAGAATTCCTCAGCTGTTACCTGGTGTACAGGATGCAATCCAAAACAACCCTGAAATCGCCGGAAAGTCGCTAAAGGAGCAATTTGACAAAGTACTTCTTCAACCACTACTGGACTTGAAGCCGTTCGATCAGAAAATTCCGACCTTAGCGATAGTGATCGACGCATTGGATGAATGTGAAAACGACAATGACATACAAGTTATACTTCAGTTGTTACCACAGCTACAAAAGCCAACTGCGTTGTATTTACGAATTCTCTTGACAAGCAGGCCTGAAGTACCCATTCGTTTAGGATTCTCAAGGATAGAGAATCGTGACTATCAGGGTCTTGCTCTCCATGAAATTCCTGTAGCAATTGCGGAGAAAGACATATCTATGTTCCTGGAAGAACGGCTCGCAAATATCAGACTTACGAGAGATGTGCCCCAGGGCTGGCCCAGCGATGGCAATTTCGAAAGCTTACTGAAAATGTCAAGCCCATTATTCATTTCCGCAGCCACTGCGTGTCGATTCATTGAAGATTTGAAGTGGGAGCCAGCTGTACGCCTTCAAGAACTTCTACAGAACCAAGCAAAATACGCGTCAAAAATGGAAAAAATATACATGCCAATTCTCACACAGCTCCTTGATGATCAAGAAGATGATGATTCAGAATTATTGCTGAAACAATTTCAGAAGGTAGTCGGTGCCATTGTCCTTCTTGCTACTCCGCTTTCTGTCAATACGCTCTCCCGGCTTCTCGGTATTCGAGCACGAGCTATCAGTCATCACTTGGACTTCTTTCGGTCTGTTCTCAGCATACCCAGTGACGGAGACCTGCCAGTTAGGATTCTACATTTATCGTTTCGAGACTTCTTGGTTAACTCCAAGAGTAAGTTTCGCGTGGATGAGCAAAAGACAAACGAAGATATCGCCGCCTACTGTTTTACCACCATGCGCAGTCACCTAAAAAAGGACATCTGCAATCTGGTTAGCTATGGGAAACATCGAGCAGATATCGATGCCCACTCTATACACCATCATCTACCATCAGAATTACAATACTCCTGTCGTTACTGGGCACATCATCTTTTGCAAACTGCAGATCCTATCACCGAGATGAATAATGCCTTTTCATTTCTCCAGCGGCACTTCTTACACTGGATGGAAGCAATGAGTGTCTTGGGTCTCGCATCTGAGGTTGTTGGTACTCTCAACTCCCTCTTGTCGGCCATGAATGTGAGTTCCTCAGAACGACGCACGCGATGACGTAGGCTGACTGGCTAAGCGGGAAATGAACGACCAAGTATCGAGATTTCTCCATGATGCGAAGCGGTTCGTCTTGAAAAATTGGCAAATCGCTGATCAAGTTCCACTCCAAATATACAGCTCAGGGCTTGTTTTTGCTCCAAGAATGTCGATAGTTCACAGGGAGTCGAAAATAAACCTCCCTGACTGGTTATGCAAGTTGCCAAGGGTTAAGGAGAACTGGGGCTCAGAACTCCAGACTCTCGAGGGCCATTCGGATGTGATTCATTCAGTGGCATTCTCGCCCGATGGCCAGCTCTTGGCGTCCGGGTCAAGTGACAAGACAGTCTGTGTTTGGCATGCCCTGACTGGCGCTCTGCGGCAGACTCTCGAGGGCCACTCGGATGCCGTTCAGTCGGTGGCATTCTCGCCTGATGGCCAACTCTTAGTGTCCGGCTCGGGTGACAAGACAATTCGGATCTGGGAGCTCGCAACGGGCGCCTTGCAGCAGACTCTCGGGGGCCATTCAAGTGAGGTTTGGTCGGTGGCGTTCTCGCATAATGGCCAGCTCTTAGGGTCTGGCTCTTTTGATAAAACAGTTCGACTTTGGGATACCGCGACGGGTGAGCTCAAGCAGACTCTTGAGGGCCATTCCAATTGGGTTCTATCAATAGCATTCTCACACGACAGTCAAATCCTGGCATCAGGCTCGCGTGATGGGACTCTGCATCTCTGGAATACCGCAACGGGCGCCCTGCTGCAGACCCTCGAGGGCCATTCAAGTGATGTTTGGTCGGTGGCGTTCTCGCATAATGGCCAGCTCTTGGCGTCTGGCTCTTTTGATAAGACAGTTCGACTCTGGGATACCGCGACAGGCGCCCTAATACGGTGTCTCGAGGGCCATGCGCACGTAGTTCAATCGGTGGCATTCTCGCCTGACGGCCAACTCCTAGTTTCCGGTTCCGGCGATAAGACAGTCCGGGTCTGGGGGACCGCCACCGGCGCCCTACAGCAGACTCTCGGGGGTCATTTTGATTGGGTTCAGTCGGTGGCATTCTCTCCGAACAAACTGATTTTAGCGTCTGGTTCGTTTGATAAAACAATCCGGCTTTGGGATATCACCATGGGTGAAAATACAGAGGATTTTGAGGGCCATTCGAATATGGTCCAAAACGTAGTATTTTCACCCGACGGTCGGCACTTGGCATCTGGCTCTTTCGACACAACAGTGCGGCTTTGGGAGATAACCACCGGCTCCCTCCAGCTGACAATAGAGGGCCACACTGATGGGGTTCATTCGTTGGCATTTTCACCTGACGGCCAGCTCTTGGCGTCCGGTTCAGGTGACAAGACAGTCCGTGTTTGGCATACTATGACTGGCTCCCTGCGGCAGACACTCGAGGGTCATTCGGATACCGTTCAATCGGTGGCATTCTCACCAGATGGCCGTCACCTGGCATCAGGCTCTTTCGACAAGACAGTGCGGCTTTGGGATATAACTACGGGTTCCATCCAGCAGACTCTCTCAAGTCATTCGGATGCGGTTCAATCAGTGGTATTCTCACCTAATGGTAAGCTTTTAGCATCAGGCTCTTTTGACAAGACCGTTCGACTCTGGGATTCTGCGAAGGGAACTCTGAGGCAGACACTCCGAGGTCATCTAAGTACGGTTCATTCGGTGGCATTTTCGCCAGACGGCCAGTTCCTGGCTTCCAGCTCAAGTGACAAGTCTGTACGACTCTGGAGTACCTTAACAGGCGCTCTACGGCAGAATCTGATGGTTCATGGAGTAGTCACCAAGCTGCAATTTTCTCAAGATGGGACATTCATAACAACAAACCTCGGGTCACTTAATATCCATTCCAAAAGTATGATCCACGCCCCACTTCGAAAATATCTCGATATATCTATACAGGACCGCCAGTGGATCTGCATCAATGGTCAAAAGATGCTGTGGCTTCCTCCTGAGTTTCGACCCACCTGTTCGGAGGTCAAGGAAGTTACTCTGGCCTTGGGGCATGCGTCAGGACGGGTTTCATTGATAGAATTTAATGATTAGTCGATCCATGCTTGCTTCTTTCTTGGACTTTTTTCCCTCTTTCGCATAGTGGTGACGTCACGCAATCAAGAGGGATCAGGAACGTGCATAGTTTGGCCATACGAACAGCCACATCCTACCATACTTGTCAACTTCTGCCGAAGATGTATACCTTGAGATAAGCCATAATTTGGAAAGAAGGTAAATGGCCTGCTATAGGTCCTGTGCGCACAAGTGCCCCATAAATGGTTATAATTTATACCATTAATAGATAATAGCCCACGAGTTTGATATCCCACGAGAGTCGCTATCCTACACAGCCACACCCCTACTGTACTTATTGATTCCTGGCAAAGATGTAAACCGTGAGATAAGCCATAATTCGCGTGATTTGCAGGAGGTTTTGACCGTAGAACCAAACTCGACTTTTAATCACAAGACTCTAATTGATCCCCTTCTAACACACTCATCTGGAATTGAATGGAGAGGAAGATGTAGAACATGAATTGAAAACAGAAGCAACAGCTAATGGGCAATATTGTACAACAATATTAAGACTGAAAGTTCGCTGTCGAAATGGTGCATCCGGCTATACTTGATGCCCAGGACTTTCGCTATCAAGTATGGCCGAATGATGAGAAAAATATTTGGTATCATGAGTTTGGGCACCCTTCGGCTAATTTACACTGGAGATATGTGGTGGCAAGTTGATCCTTGCTATTAAAGGATGCATTCCCTACTTGACGTGAGTGAACACAAAGCAATAGTTGCCAACAGACTTCCATTTGTTGTGCGAGAGATCTGGGTCACTCTTCCACCTCTCGAGATTGAGCTTCAGGATGCCATAATCAAGGCAACTTCATGCCACGCCAAAGGATTGTAAGGGTAGCGTAATTCACGTCGAATTCGCGCGCAATTTTCGCGATATTCGGTTTCTTCTGTCTTATAGCTGCTGCGAAGGCCTTAGCCATGCGAACCTCATCGGAATCGGCAGATTTAGGCATGTTTGGGAGGTGAAATAGCTAATTGAGCAGTGTATTCGAAAATCTATGAAGAACGCGTGGTTATGAAGAACGCGTGGCGCACCCATGAGCGGGAGCGAATGGGTGGGTCGCAGCGTAGCGAAGGGCACGGATAGTAGTTATATAGTGACCCACTTCAGTAGGCAATGAACACAGTGAGCCAATGGAATCCCTCCTTACTGTAATAGGGCTGATTTTGCCGCAAATCGTAAGGGTAATTAATCATGGTCCTTTCGTATTCCACTATTGACACCCTCCTTTGGGTATTTGGAGCATCTACACTCACTCGGCCCGTCAACAGACCTATGCGTAATAAGAACACTCGTTCCTCATGCTTGTTGTCCACACACACACACACACCTTCTGGTCTGGTGACTACTCACAATGGCTGCCGCAAAACCGCCCGGTCCGCTGTCATGTTCGAAAACGGATTCCTCCACAAGCCATAGATGGATAGATTTGGGCATTCCGCAGTTCCCTTCGGATTTTTCATTTTAACTTGACGGTAGTAAGTAGTAGGTGCAGATTGAAATCTATTCCCTGTCCAACTGCTCGAAAATTGACATATTTTTGATCATGCAATTCTGTTCCGAAGTACACCCGAGCTCAGATCGTATATCCCTAACGTCCGAGTACTCTCGCAAGCCTGTGATTATTCTGGCTGCAGTCTCGCATGACGTGGACTGGCCATCAAACAGCTGCTTTTCCGAGACGCGATCATGTGTGAGAGGCCTCAGTGCTGGTGCTTGGCTTGCTTTCCGTTCAATATCCTCCGTGGGAAGTTCTGGGTGTGGACTTGGCAAATTAGAAACGCGCCTAAAACTCTCTTTCTCATGCCGCTCTTGGTTCGGCAAAGGAACTGAGGGCTTTACGGATGAAAGATGGCAATCCAATGGAGGATCAGGTGGAAATGCCGTCCGTTGTACGCTTGTTGATTTTGCAGAGATGGTTCGCGAGGATCGGGGTGGAGTTGCACATGTTGTTTGTCTTCGTGACTCCAAGTACTCCTCGATCTCTTCCCCCGTGATACCGCGGAGGATCAGCAGTGAACGGAGCAGCACATTCTCTGCAGCGACCTTTCTTCCCGCTTCTTGGACTTCTTTTGTTGCCGTTACTCCAAGCGATTCGTAAGATCGTAACTTTTGCTCGATATGCTGAACGTATTCTTTGCGCCTCGCGCGAGAGCGCCGTTGGTTTTCGCGAATACGAGCAGATGATGTGGCATCACCCTTATTCATATTTTCGGCGCCCCTCCGAATTTTAGTTTTCGTGAGCAATTATGACTGATACACAGAACAATAGAATCTGCCTGGTTACTTGCGGATTCGCAGGTTTTGTCAACTCGGTACTCCGTACACGATTCAGTTTGGTAGGATGCCAGGCCAGGCGCCTCTGACATTTTGATGAAGTAGCGTGGTTACTAATCAAGACGCCCCAGTCCGGCTGCGATGATTTTATATCATCCAATCATGATCCACAAGTGACATATTCGATTTTTCTTATCAAAAAATGTAGTCTGCTCGCCTTTTGTACCGTCACCACCTCTGTTTATCACTTTATTAATGCCGCCGTACCTTGCACATGTATTTGCCTCAACCTTGAGACTGGCAACCAGGTCTGGACTATCTCCAAGGCGCCTCCAATGCTCGAATCTGTTCTGCACTATCCCTCAACAAATACCGCCAAGCGCATTCGAAACCCTAGCTATGCATCGCGATTCGGGAAAACCTTCCTACCGGTCTTTGACCTTATCTTCAAATGAAGACGACCCTGAGATTCGGAAAAAATATCGACCCTTCATTCTTTGCGATGATACAGCTGAGGACTGGATCAACAAACTAGAGTTAACTACTACCATTGACATGGCCGAGGAGGATCTCCGCAAAACGAACGACAGGCTAAAGGTTCTGGTACTCTATGGTAGCCTCCGAAGAAGATCATATTCCCGGCTCGTGGCCTATGAAGCATCTCGGATCCTTTTCCGGCTCGGTTGCGATGTGCGCGTTTTCGACCCCGAAGGCCTCCCCATAAAGAATGATAGCGACCATGGCCATCCGAAAGTACAGGAGCTCCGAGAACTCAGCCGATGGAGTGATGGGCATATCTGGGTTTCGCCCGAGCAACATGGCAATCTGGTTAGTTCTACCATCCGGTCAGCGGTTGATATGTATACTCACCTTCTATGGATTTTCGCCGTGCTAGACTGCGGTATTCAAGAACCAAATTGATTGGATACCCCTGAGCACAGGAAGCGTTCGTCCGACCCAAGGCCGAACACTTGCTATTGCCCAAGTGTGCGGTGGATCACAATCCTTTAATGCGGTTAACTCCCTGCGGATTCTCGGTCGATGGATGCGAATGTTTACAATTCCCAACCAATCATCAATTCCTAAGGCATACACTCATTTTCCCGACGAGGGTCAGCCTGCGGATCAAAGACTCATTTCTAGCGGCAATCGAGATCGGCTAGTGGACTGCATGGAGGAATTTGTAAAATACACTATCCTGATGCGGCCTCATATAGGACTATTTGCCGACCGTTTCAGTGAAAGAGAAGAGAAGAGACTGAAAGAAGAAAAGGCGCAGCTTCGTGCAGCCGGTATTGAGACGTGTACATAGAGACTGATAGACAGACCTTTGGATCGCTGAATGCATCATCTACAGCCCCGTCTTCTTAGTCTAATGTTTAGGGTCCGATCTAGCAGGATGACTTCACCCCTATAGTGACACCATAGGCACCATACTTTTCCATCAGGGGATATACGCGGGACCACCAGCTATCCACCCTTTGATCCCTCCATTAATACGAACTCGTACGGTCTCATTGGATCTCAGTGCCAGAACTTTCGTATTTCTGTATTTGGCGGTCCTAAATTCGTCATGACTATGAACATGTTTGAACCTTCTGCTATCAAAGTCAAGGACATGCGTGATCCCGGCTCTACGTCCATCGAATTGCATGTTAAGGTTGAGACTGCCGAGGGCACAGATCTCCCAGAAATCTCAGACGAACGACTTCCTCGGGGCCAGCAGGGCCTGACGTTCAGCATTGAATCCATCCTTCGCCTGAAAACTTTCTACTCTTTATCGCCATTTCCTACTGTGCCTGGACAGAAATTTTCACAAAAAAGGGTACAGTACGTCTTAAAGATGAGATAGTCAAGCTCCAGGGTCTCTCACAGGTGAAGCCTTTTGTGTCTGGGCAGCGCCGCAGATCCATCCAACCTCCGTCATATCATGCAACGGACAATATCACGCCGTCTGTCCAGTACAACAGCATAATTCCAGCCCCTTATACAGGGTTTCAAAGCGGCTGGGCCACGGTTATCCGTTTTCCTATCCAGATCCCTGCTGGACTTCTTCCAACATTTCGCAGAGCCGTTGTTGCCAGGCATTACAGTAGTATCACACGTGTCAAATGCAGCAATGCATATATCAAGCGAATGGTCTTTGAGGTCCCTGTTCACACATATGTTCACCACAAAGAGCGTTTGAGATACCAGCAGCAGGATACAAGTTCGTTCCATTCCCATTAGTTATTGAATAGCTCAGTTAGTCACCAGAGTGACACACAGAGACCTTTAATTGAGGGGACATGGCAATTAAATCAATCTAATAAACAGAAAAATAAATCGCCAGAAATGAGATTGTCGGGGTTCATGCCTGATAAAAGGGAAAGCGGATACAGCAAAATATGCGAGACAGATATGAGCACACGAATCTGGGATTCGAGCCGAGTGTTTATCTTCTATCGACTGTCGTCGTCGAGATTCAGACAGAGGGTTGAAGCTCGGTGATAAGAGCCTCGACGCGACGACGGATCTCGTCGCGAATAGGACGTACAGCATCAAGGCCTTGCCCGGCAGGGTCGTTAAGTTGCCAGTCGAGATAGCGCTTGCCAGCAAAGAAGGGGCAGGCGTCTCCACAACCCATTGTGATGACAACATCACTGGCTTGAACCGCATCGGCGGTTAAAATCTTAGGTTTTTGGCTGGTGAGGTCGATACCTTCTTCGAGCATGGCTTCGACGACGACGGGATTGATAGAGTCGACTGGGGCTGATCCGGCAGAGCGCACTTCGATAGTGTCACCTGCGAGATGACTAAGGTAGCCAGCCGCCATTTGAGAGCGACCAGCGTTGTGGACGCAGACGAACAAGACGCTAGGCATATCAGCGATGATATGTCTTTCGAGTGATTGACTGGGCGGTCGTTGTGGTGTAATTTGTTGAATTTGAGGGACGACAGTGGGATATAAAATGACAAAGATATACTCTTCAAAAAATAGACAAAAAGTGATGTGTCGGTGCCTTAATTCTTATGCCAACAGAAAAGAGACAGCGGAGGCATTTCTTGAGTTTTATAAATTATACGTTAATAGCTTGCAAAGGAGCGTGATTAATAACCCGTCGATCTAGACCATTTTGTACACATCGGGTGCCGTGTGATGGTGTTGTCCCACAACTCAGTAGCGTTTAAAGGGGCCTTTTCGTGAGTCGTAGGTATCAATCTGCGTGTCACTTCTGCACTATGATTGGTTGAAAAAACGATTTCATCAGTTCTAAAACATAAGCCAGGAGAATTGCCAGTATGTCACGGACTGCCTATGATTGGTCAAGAGTGATAGGCTGTGATTTGTCTTCCGTGATTAGTCGTCGGGATGTGCCACTCCTAACCAGGATAGGACTAGCTTATAAGTCCCCTTGGATGGGAAAGCTCAGTCCCTTCTAATTTATAAAAGACCTCTGCTGGTTGTCCGAGATTCCTAGGAGTCCCTCACTTAAATTTTCCTTCAACATCTCATATAATCAACCTGGTGATTCTAGAGATGGCCACTCAGACAGGTCTGCCCGCGGAGACCGATCCGCAAATTCACAACGCGACACTCCATGATCCGTCAGCCAGTCCCACGACCCTGGATATTGAAAAACAAAGGACGGACGAAACTGAGGAGGCGATGACCAAGCAATCAGATTTCAAAAGTCTTGGCTGGTTAGATCGTTTTCTGGCCGTATGGATCTTCCTTGCTATGGCCATCGGAATCATACTGGGGAATTTTGTGGAAAATACGGGACCCGCCCTTCAGAAGGGGAAATTCGTCGGGGTTTCTATTCCAATCGGTATTTACTCACGAGCTTTTTAACAATAAAGCTCTTGACTAACCGTTGCAAGCGATCGGTCTCCTGGTTATGATGTATCCTATTCTTTGCAAAGTGCGATACGAATCTTTACACCACGTCTTCCGAGAGCGAGGGATATGGATTCAGATTGCGTTCAGTATCTTTGTTAATTGGATTATTGCTCCCTTCTTGATGGTAAGATGCAGAAGCCTTCGGCTCATCATAGTGATGCTTGCTGATATTGTGTATTATAGCTAGCACTGGCATGGGCTTTCCTACCGGACGAACCAGAACTTCGGGAGGGCTTGATTCTTGTTGGATTAGCTAGGTGTATCGCTATGGTAAAACACTTTGCTCTATGCTGTGCCCGAATTGAACTAATATATCGTTGCTAATAGGTTCTTATCTGGACCGGTCTCGCTGGCGGTGACAGTGAATACTGTGCTATCCTTGTTGCAGTTAATTCACTGCTGCAGATGGTGCTCTTCGCTCCCTTGGCGATTTTCTTCATCAACGTCATTGGTCATTCTGCTAGCCAAGTTACATTATCTTATTCTGCCGCTGCCCAAAGCGTGGCAGTTTTCCTTGGCATCCCTCTAGGTACCGCAATCATTACCCGTATAACCCTTCGGAAGATCGCTGGCCCACGTTGGTACGACCAGGTTTTCCTGAAATGGGCTGGCCCGTGGTCACTGATTGGGCTTCTCTTCACAATCCTTGTGTTGTTCGCGTCTCAGGGTCGCCAGGTGGTACATCAGATCGTATCAGTGATCCGAGTCGCCGCTCCGCTTATCGTTTATTTTATTATTGTCTTCTTCGTCACTCTTCTTGTGACCTACAAATTGGGATTTGGTTACAAGTTAGCCGCTACTCAAAGTTTCACCGCTGCCAGCAACAATTTCGAGCTTGCCATTGCTGTCGCTGTTGCGACGTTCGGTGCCAATAGTAACCAAGCTCTTGCCTCCACCGTGGGCCCGTTGATTGAGGTTCCGGTACTACTTGGCCTTGTCTATGTCGTCAAGTTTATAGCAAAGCGAGTTGGCTGGAAGGATTGAGTCAAAAAAAGATTATTCAAGCCTTGTGAAATGATTTTATAATTATTTATTTATTGAAATAAAAAAAAGATCAGATGCAAAATATACACTATTGAACACAAGCAGTTTCTTCCCTCAAGGCTCCTCAAATACTGTTGCCATAAAAGGGCGACACTCACAATTGAGAATACCGTGGATGAATGCAGGTTTCCGGCTCAATAATGATACTCTATTCAACATAGTTTCAAAACCTAATGAATATCTGGAATTAAGAGCATTATTCGCAACAGAGCGAGAACCGTCAGGAAAGACCGACATAGTAGAGGTGGCTGCCTCTCACTAACCAAGTATGTGGCTCTGATATTTCAATTTCTGGAAGCTAAAAAAAATGCAGGCGCACCAGAAACGGGAACTTCTAGTTATACGGAGTATACCTGATTTCCCTTTCGGGTTGTGGTTTATCTTCTCGTAAAGTCTTACGCTTCCCCTTCCGGTATGTACCCAATTTTTCTAGTGGTTGACGGTTCTCGCCCAATGTTCCAGAGTTAGAGTCTGCTATTGGCCCATCCAATTCATAGATGATGGTGCCAGATTGACAGAATAGTTTATAGATTAGTATCAAGGAGATACAATCGACAGGATAATTGCTTGATATCTGGTTCCGTCCGATAACCGTACAAAGACGCGAGAACCGAGTACACGCCCTTCCGAAGGGCGCTAAGTCGACTAGTGAATTCGACAACACTCATTCACTGTGCGAAAAGGATCTAAGGCCATATTCGGTTCGAGTCGCCAGGTAAGTAAGTACATGTAAAGGCTCGCATAATGACATCGGTTGCAGTCCCACTCCTGCTCGAATTTATTGCGTTTGAGGAATAACCATGGGTGCAACCTAGTCCTTTAGGTTGCTCTGCATTTTGTCCTGAGCCCCTGGAGAGACAGCAGTTCTGTCAGAAGCTGAGTTTGATGCGGAAGGAGATATCAGTTCAGGACTGCCGGTTCCCATATTGGAAGAGAGCGCCGACATATTATGGCCATCGAGAAGAGCGTGACACTGGGGCGTCGGTGGGGGCGATTTGGCAGCTACTGGCGTGGTTTTCAGCTGGCCTTGCGATGAAGAGTCTGTTTGCTGTCTTTGCGACCTCAAGTGTGCTTCGATATCTGTCTCCGTGAGCCCATAGAGGATCAACAGTGACCGCAAGAGAGAATTCTCTCTCGTCATTTTTTCTCTCGCTTCTTGGAAGACCAGCGTTTTGTCGACATTGTGTCTTTCTATTGACAGCAACTGTTGCTCCAGGTGCTGAGTGTACGACACGCACCGAGAGCGTCGCTGGTTTTCGCGGAGCGGACCGTATGACGTGTAAGCCTCACTGGCTCTGCGAGAATTTCCTGCACTCATGGTGTCGAATATTTTCTGAAAGAGCTGAAAACGCAGCTGGATTAACGGGTTAGGGGAGCTGAAAGGTGTCCAGACCCGATATGCTGTCAAGATAAGCAGAAAGGCCCCTCAATCGCCATCCGTCCGAAGGAGAGATTGATGCAGGTGACACGTCAGTGCGTCTGATATCCTAGAACCCGCGTGTGGTGCGTGGCGATAAAAGTGACTCATTGATGGATGATGATTGGGCGCAATAAGGTGCGGGGCGCGGCTAATGATAGTAGCAGGAGCCGCATGAATGCCGCTGGGAGCAGATCGCCGATGGACCAACTGTATTCACGCCGTTCTGTTTTGACTAGAGGTAATATATCCCGCCCATTAACAGATGCTATAACCTAGGATATTGGCCCCCATCAGAAATGTGTTAACTAAAATCGCCCTGTCTCTCCTACACAAAATTGACACACGGGCATACTGATTAGATAGCGTGGCTCATATAACAGCACCGATTAAAAGGCACCCCACCCATTCTTTTAACTTCAAGAAGATTCCAAAGTTCGCACGGCATAGCCGAGCGGAAGCGGAATATCCTCTATATTGTCCGCGTGCTGTCCCTTACGAGCTCTTTATTAACCTGACCAACTGTTGCTCGGTAAGTTGGATTTGGCAATTGTCCCGAACATATTAGATAGTACTTTACTCTGCCTTAAAAACCTTCCCTCGCTCCATATATCGTTAGTAGTTATTTGATGGTTAGGAATAAAATCTCTTAGGTTCCTGCGGGGATTCTAAGTTAGTCGATCAGCACTGTATAGCATATAACACAAAGACGATAGACAATGCCATGAATCCTCGAAAAAGTCCATTATAACTCTGTATGTTCAGATGTGCATCCAAGTCTTTTGGCGTTATTGCCACGGCGGTAGTATTTGCTATTAAGTCACGGCCATCCAGTCAATGATAGGGCAGTAACTTAACAAGGAAGTTAGTTAACTTAAGTTACGGGAGGTTATTAGTCAGCGATGTCACATGGTTTAAGTTAGTTACCTGTTTGCCCCCGACGTATGACCCAACGCTATGACACCCCAGCTCATCTGATTCTCGTAGACGAATAAATCAAACGAGCTTCTTTATATTATTGATATCTATCATACGCCTGTTTGATCTCCTCCAGGTCTTGCGAATATCTGGTTCGAGTCGGTTCGTGCCGACTGTCCTTCTATCATCTCGCAACTTCCCGCTGGTTTGCCCGCTGTGACGGCAGGTATCATGCCGCGGGTTAAAACTAAAACTAAGGTCAGTGAACAGACTACATTAGGTAGAGTGAACTACCATAATCACCTTCCAGATACGGAGTACTCGTTATAACACAGTATATCTCTTCCAGAGCGAAGATCTCGCACGCATTCGCAATAACCAGCGACGGTCAAGAGCACGGCGGCAAGAATACGTTCGTGATCTGGAGAAACGAGTCAAAGAATATGAGCAAATTCTCTCCTCGCATAATTTGCCTGATCAATCAATGATCCAGCATTTGCGGGCTGAGAACGACTCCATGAAACGTTTACTTGATTCCTTGGGCCTCAGCCAGGCACTATGGCGCCAACTTAGTGACCATAACCTCGATCACCTAAGCCCCCTTTCACTAGCTGTAGGTTCGCCAACTTTGGGCCTGGAATTCCTATACTAATCAAGTAAAGGCTGCCTGGCCGTCTTTGAGCGAATCTCTCTTGGTGCCAACGGAGGCATCACTACCTGGGTCCTTCCTTAATCTGGGCTCGCCGAATGAGCTGCATTCTTCCTTGGTTACTATGAAACTGGGAATCCCTACATTGAATGCATCGCAGCCTCTGATCGAGGTTGGTTTTAACCCTTCAGATATTGCTTCGGACGGATCCAACCGCGTAGCCAGTGGCTCTCAAGTTGAAGAAGTACTAGATCATACAGATGAAGATACGACCCTTTGTTCACTGGCATATCAATGGGTGGTTCAATGCAATATCAGAAACGTGGACATACAGATTATCTCCGGTTGGATGCAGCATGGATTCCAGTCTGGGAGAAACCCCATGGAGGGGTGCAGGATCAATAATCAAATCCTTCTGGCTGTTTTAACAGAGTTATCCTAAAGGTTGCATTTTCTGATCAAGATCGTACTTTTTCCGTGATAGATAGTATTTTTTTGCTCAACTAAGGAAGAACTTGCTACGGACAATGATGGTTGTAGTCTCAAGCCTTGCGTAACTTCCATAAAACTTGGAGATGATTCGAACAACGTAGGTGACAGACGGAATAGGTTTCTAGGGTCTGATTGCATAAATCTGAAACGAACCTTGTCATGACAAATATCAGTTTCATGCGGGTAAAGCGACTAGCACGTAACTCACCGGCCCATTCATTGAAGTCACGTTCCAGCAGGCTTTCTGTGGTCAGGCCCGCTGGCTTCGATACCTCGCAGCATGTCGTAATCTTCTGATCCTGAATCATGTATTTATAGACATTCAGGTCCTTCTGAGTGTCGACGATCATTGTATCTATCGTAGTCAACATATCAAGAACAAACTCAAGGCGAATAAACATGGTACATACCTTTAAATCCAGCTTTACGCAGGTATTCCTCATACTCTTGAACCTGGCTAGCACCGGCAATGCATCCAACATACAAGGACAGGTCTTTTGCGATTTCCTCAGGGAGCGTTTTTCGAGCGAGAATATCACTTATAGCGACACGACCACCGGGTACTAACAAGCGAAACATCTCGTGGAAGGCTTGCTGTTTGTCAGCAGTAGGGACCAGGTTCACCACGCAGTTGCTGACGATGCAGTTAACTGTGGAACTTGGTAGAGGGATAGAAGTGATGGAGGCTTCAATGAATGATGCATTGGGGGCGCCTGCTTTCTCTGCATTCTTCTGTGCCAAGTCAAGCATACTCTATTCAAGAAGCTTCAGATTAGATACCAGATTATGTTACTATGGGAGATCTGCAGATCGAAGTGCCTCACCTTCGTCATGTCCACACCAATCGCCTTTCCTTTCGGGCCGACCTTTCGGGCTGCTAAAAGGACATCAATGCCTCCGCCACTGCCCAAGTCGACAACTGTCTCTCCCTGCAAAAGTAGTTGGTACTAATTCTATCCAAAATAACCAGTAGAGTACCAGTAAGTGTCTCATTGTCCTGTTTAAACTCACCTCACGTAGGTTGGCGAGGGCTAGTGGATTCCCACAGCTCACTCCCAGATTTGCAGCTTCCGGAATGGAGCTTAGCTCCGACGCCTCGTATCCAAATGATTCAGCAACGCTCCTCTCTGCTGCAGTATGTTCTCCAGAGTAAGATCTCCCAGCTAGCTCGCCATAGCGAGCCTGGACAAGGTCGTAAATCTCATTCGGTTCCATTCTGACAGGTAGTGTTAATCCGATTATATGGAAAAAAAATTTAAGGGGAGGCAGCCACACGGCCTTTAGGTGTGCAGGCAGAGGGTATAAATAATTGAGAAGTGATCTCTGCAAAGATCCGTACCCCTCACACCGAATGATTCGGAATGTCACCGTAAATGAAACCCAAAAGCTCAAAATGGTATCGAAAACTGTCGAACTTGGGAGTGGTATTTTACCACTAGCAATATGCTTATTCATCGAGTACCCACATGTCTTTGTGTTTTGTATGTAAATTACGGGGTTCCGAGACAACACTTTCAAGTCACTCTCGAGTATCCCATGGATCCTCTGAGACACGGAGGAATTGGTCCCATCCACATATCAACTATGGACCAACTCTGCAGATGTGTATTTAACATACCTCTGCCTGCCACTCATTTTATCGACAATCAATCAATCCACTCGTTATCTCTCAATTCGCTAGTTCTCATACGTATGCATACCCGTAGCTGATAGTTCGTCAGTTATGAGCCCGAATGCACACTGGTAGAACCACAAGGTACATCTTACCGCACGAGAGCTCTGTATCTTGCCAGTGAGAGGCTTCCATATACCCCTGATCGTTCTTGTTCCGCCACGCGGTCGGTCGCACGAGCTCGAAACGAATCCCTGAGGCTCCACGCGAGCAAGAGAGCCCAGACTACACGTTTCCCGCCTCAACACGACTTGAGAAGCCACAAGAACCCATACAAAGTTATATGCGAAGATGTCAAACGACAAACAAGGCAAAGGATCGGATAGTGTCCCATGGGACCAGCGTCTTCGGTCAAAGCCACAGTGGAGGGTATGGATTAATTATATAAAATCGGCAGCGGTCTCGGAGGGAGTTTGGCAGTATATGGACCCGGACCTGTCAGACGACGAGGTTAAAACACTGCCAAATATAGAGGACCCTCCTACTCCTGAGATAGTCAACCCTAACGTCTCGGACATTGCAGATCTTACCGATAAGGAGTATAAGAGATTCAACCGATACACTACCCAGTAGACCTTGCATCGGCCCATTTGGAAAGAGGCATGGAAAGGCCTGAACCAACTCAACGATAAGATCACCAGCAGTGTCGCCACAGAGCATCACTCTCGCCTGGTTGGTTGCCGTAATCCGAGGGAGAAGCTTCTGAAACTAAAGGAGCACTTCGCACCAGAGGAAGATACACGGAGAGAAGAACTTCGCCAGGCATGGAGAGAGATGATCCGATATAAGCCGCGAAGCACTGTTATCGATCAGTGGCTTAACGGTTGGACGAACTTGTATGATGAATGCAAGGCAGCAGACGTCCTAGACGTGGTTTATCGACCAAAAGACCCTATCCGAGACTTCCTCAGGTCAACAAGAACACTCGATGAGTTCTTCTACTCCACTTAGATGAGGCAGGTCAAGTTCGAGACTCCTACCTTTCTGCACATTATCGAGGAGTATCGGAGAAGGCATAAGGAGCTTAGCGAATCCAAGAAAGGTGGAAGCAGTGCACTTGCGATGTATGCGAATACGACGCTCTTTAGTCGAAAACCTGGGTAGTCTGGTTAAAACCCTTCAAGAGATGAATACCGCAAGAGATGCCCCTGTGGAGGGAAGGAGCACCACTTCTCGGAGTGCCCTTATTTCGTCAAATCAAGGAGACCAGAGGGTTGGAAGCCAGAGGGTCGCATCGAGAGGAATATGGACCGTTTCATCAAGATGATGAGCCCGTCTGATCAAGAAGAGATCAAAAAGCTACGGGGATCAACCGAAACTGCCCTAATTCCCTCGTCAACGAAGGTAACGACGACTTCACCGGCGCAGGCGAAAACCGTTCAGTTCGCTGCAGCAGATAAAGAAGACTTCCCACACATCAATATAGCAATGTTATCCGTGAATATCTCACCGTATATGTATCACGCTGCTTCGCTGTATCCGCTGAAAAATGCCTGGATAGTTGATTCAGGAGCGAACGTTCATATCTGTAACCGACGTGACCGTTTTGACTTCCTGGAAAACGATCACTTCAAGATATCCACTAGCGACGGCGAATCTTCGATTGAGGGCGTTGGTACGGCGAGACTCACAGTAAGGAATCCTTGGAATAGAAAGCAATCGATTACCAAGATATCCAATATGCTGTATGCCCCAGACTTCCACACGAATATCCTCAGTGTCTCGGAAATCAAGAAGAATGGGTACTTCTTCAACAGCGAGATCCCCGCGATCACTTACCGCAGAAAGGCAATAGCGCATTGCGCAGAGCTCTATGGCCTATATCTCTTGGAGTACAGTAAGGCATCCGCACTAGCCTTTCCCTCCTTCAAACCGTCTGCAAAACCCCTAGTATCAACTGCAACACCGGCGCGGTGGCATCGAAGACTCGGACACATGTACGACCAGCGTGTTAAGCGCCTCGCAGAGATGGTGGATGGCATTGATATCAAGGGAAGAACTAAGGAAAACGCTGAGAGCAATCCAGAGAGGTGTGAACCTTGTCAGTTAGCAAGAGCCAGGAAACAGATCTCTCGTCGTCCAGCTGGTCGTACCCATATATATGGTAAGTTCGGCAAGATTCATTTTGACCTGATTGAGATGGATGAAGCGTTCAACGGCGACCGGTGGGTCTCGCACCTCTACGTTGAGGGGATTCGGCTTCATCTAGCAGCATCACACCGAAAGAAAAATGGCTGTCAGCAAGCGATCAAGTACTTCGTTACATACCTGATAAATCATCTCAAGATGCCCCTCAGGGCGTTCCATACTGACAACGAGCGATCCGCTGGCGAAACGGTCTGGGACTTCTGCAGATCGATGGGATTCGTCGTTGAATTCATCGTCGTTGATACTCCTAAACAAAACAGCTTCGCTAAGCGAGCTAGGGGGGTAATTATCGGTGTGGCAAGAGCTTTCCTGGCTGATGCGGGTTTACCGAAGAATCTCTGGCCCGAAGCGATAAAGGCGGCGGTTTATATCATTAACAGATCGCCCACGAAGCTACCAGACGGCCGGTGGATCATCCCCTGGTCGGAGGCCTCAGAGATCGATAAAAACAAGCCAAAACCTCGCCCAAACCTTGCTAACCTCCGGGTATACGGTTGTAAGGCGTATATGCGTCGTCATAGGTTACCGCGAGCCGAGAAGATACAGGAACGCGCAGAGATCGGTTATCTAGTTGGTTATACTGCTTCGAATATCTGGAGAGTGTGGTTTCCGCAGAGAGGTACTATCAGAGACGTTCGCGATGTTATATTCGACGAGAATGCTCGTTTTGACCAGAAAGACCTCGAAGCACCGCCAGTCAGAGATGTGATTGAAGCCATGCCATGGTCAATTGGGGAGGACGACGAGGAGACTTACCAGCCGTTCTCAATACAAATGGGACTTAAAGAGCTCCCACCACAGCAGCAAGGAGGCATTCAGCAGCCTCAGCGGGAGTTAGCGGCCAGGAGCACTGCGGCAGAAGCAGGGAAAACACAGGAAGCAGTTTCCTCAAACCCGCAGGCGAATCAACCGATAACACCCTCGCCGACGCCCTCAGCAGGCGCCCCTTCACCCTCTCCGGCAGTAGAGAGACCAACCACGTCAAATCAACTACCGGGGGCTTTTCCCTCTGAAACTACGGCTCCAACGGCATCGAGAGATACGGCAACGACCTCGTACAGAGAGACTCCGGTAGCCCTAGACCCAGCTACACAGCTACAAGAAGAGCTGGAGACCTCTCAGACCACAGAGATTAAAGGATATCGCACAATCGGCGCCCTGGCGCCCAGAGATATAAGTTCATCGATTTCGCAAGAGAACATCGTCACTGGTAAGAGGAGAAGAGGCCGCGAGGACATTACGCAGTTCGTATCGCTTGAGTCACCCGAAGAACACCATCACGGCGTGTTAGCAGCGTTCGCAACAGGCCTAAATCCTCCACAGCAGTACCGACGACCTCACCGAGATGATTTACCCCCAGAGCCAGAGAACTGGTATAAGCTAATAAAACACCCTCACCGCGATGGGTTCGTCAATACAGCACATGAGGAGGTTAAAACACTGGAGAGAAAGGGCACTTACCAAGAAGTGCAGCGACCAACGGACCGAGGCGTCCAGGTCTTACCGTTGAAATGGGTATTCACGTATAAGTTCGACAGCGATAGATTCATAATCAAATACAAAGCAAGAATCTGCGTACGTGGAGATCTCCAAGCCGTCACTGCCGAAGAGAAGTATTCCGCTACTTTAGCAGTTCGCACGGCTCGAGCTATCTTCGCCCTCGTTACCGCTTTTGATCTTGATACTGCTCAGTTTGATGCTGTTAACGCATTCCTAAATAGCCTGCTTGACGAAGAAATCTATATGGAACTGCCTCCTGGACTATTCTCCGCTAACAGAAAGATAAGGTGCTGGAAGCTCCTCCGAGCACTATACGGTCTGCGGAAGTCTCCACGCCTCTGGCAGCGAGAGGCCTCACGGATACTCACGTCTCTCGGCCTCACAGTTATTCAGGAAGATCTGTGTCTCTTTACCACCGATGGAGTTATCGTTTTCTTCTACGTGGACGATATCATCGTTGTCAATCACCCTAGTCAACGCCAGAAAGCTAGTCAAATCTATCAACAGCTCCGACAGGCCTGGGAACTCAGGGAAATGGGCGAAGCTCAGTGGTTTCTGGGTATTCGAATTGTCAGGAATCGTCAAAAGGGCGCTCTCTGGTTATGTCAAGATTCGTACATCACTACCATAGCTAACCGGTACCATCTCACTAGCGAGAGACGTTACGAGACCCCTCTACCGGCGACGACCCTGGAATATTTCGATGGAACCGCCACCGACGGCCAGATACACGAGTTCAGTGAGAAGGTCGGATCTGCGCAGTACGCCACCACTATCACCAGGGTAGATTCTGCCAAATCTACAGCGGCGCTAGCTCAGTTCCTGTCAAACCCGTCCCCTTCTCACATCCACGGCATCAACCGTCTCATCTCATATCTCTACCAGACGAAGAACCGGGCGATCTGCTTCAAAACGCCTACACCAGGGGAAGAGACGCAGGCAGTGCAGTTCTTCAGTGACGCATCATACGGCGATAACCCCGACCGGAAGAGCTCAGAGGGATACATCTGCCTGTTGTTTGGAGGACCGATTGACTGGAAGGCCTCTAAGCAGAAGACCGTTACTACCAGTACTACCGAAGCTGAGCTGCTCGCTCTATCGGAGGCCGGAAGGTCACTTTGCATGTGGGCGCGTCTCTTTCAGACTATCCGTTTCTCACCTGGTCAACCCCTATCCCTGCGCTGCGATAACCAGCAGACCGTTGGTCTTTTGACGAAAGAGACTCCCCAGCTGCGCACGAAGCTTCGCCATGTGGATATACACCATCACTGGCTCCGTCAAGAGGTTCAAAACAAGCGGATACCAGTTGAATGGGTACCATCAGCGAATATGGTGGCCGACGGCCTTACGAAGCTTCTTCCCCGGCAGAAGTTCGTGGAATTCGTTCGCCAGCTAGGCATGGAAGATATCGAGATGACCGCCAGCGAGGTGTAGCCACTTTCCACCTGTGGGCACTCGCTGAGGGGGTGTGTCGAACTTGGGAGTGGTATTTTACCACTAGCAATATGCTTATTCATCGAGTACCCACATGTCTTTGTGTTTTGTATGTAAATTACGGGGTTCCGAGACAACACTTTCAAGTCACTCTCGAGTATCCCATGGATCCTCTGAGACACGGAGGAATTGGTCCCATCCACATATCAACTATGGACCAACTCTGCAGATGTGTATTTAACATACCTCTGCCTGCCACTCATTTTATCGACAATCAATCAATCCACTCGTTATCTCTCAATTCGCTAGTTCTCATACGTATGCATACCCGTAGCTGATAGTTCGTCAAAAACTTCTATTCGTCAACATTTGTTTCTAGCATGTCACTGTAAAGACGGCTTTGGGTTAGTGTCGTGCACGGTCCACTATCCTGATCGATGACTAAGGCCAAGCAGACAGAATCAAATAGGATCAGAACGGAACCAACAGGGTGTCGCGAGACTTCCGCCACAGTGATCTCCTCCGCGGCAAACAAAGTTAAATTTTTGGTCCTTTCTTCGTCTTCAACTTGTATGCACTGAAAGCGTGCGGATTCTATATTTTGAATAGGGTCCCTACTTTCCAACGCCAGTTCAGAACCGAAAGGAACCTCTGGATAGCGCGAAAGACTGTAATTTGGTATCTCTTCAGACAACTTGTCATGAAATGCGAAGTAATAATGGGCCTGCAGGAGAAATAGTGGAACGCAACTAAAGAAGAATAAACGCTCACAAGGAATCACATAGATGAGTGAAGAAGTAGAAACTGAGATCATGGTCTTCTTCCAAGAATGAGATAAATCTGGAACAACGTATGAAAGTCTTTAGGTGCAATGATACATAGTGAATCATTAGCGTGTAGATGGTGCCTATTCCATTGGCAACCCGTAAAAGCTCGACGATTCCGTCCGCGTGTTCTGAATCCAACGGAAATTCTGAGAGAGTCCAGTAAAGCTTCTGTAAACTCACATTTCGAAGTTGCTCCAATCCATGTCGAGCAGCGAAGTCATACAAACGAGCATGCACCAGCAGTGTCTTGGGATGTGTGCACAGGTGGCTTCCATCTCCACAATGTGGCAAAGATATCGAATTGTCGGACTTCACCTGGATATCTGTATGACTCGCAAAATAATTTTCTTTCAAGGGAAGTAGATCCTGCGTTGCAATATCGATTTCATCTTCGCATGCAACATGACTCGATTGATCGGCTGCTGGAACAAGGACAGAGTAGTCCCCACTGTGAAGGTACTGAAGGATATGGCCGAAGATATCCTCAACATCGTCGTCAACACATAAATTCTTTCGGGCGAGCCTTTGTAACGACACCGGAGGCTTTGGATTATCCGCTCGGCGCAGCGAATTTCTTCCCGCTGGGGCCAACCTCCAGGTATGCGAGGGGGGAGATAAAATGACTGGGTGTTATTAGATAGCGCCTCCAGAGGAAAGGAAAGCGCACTTACTCTGGCCGTACTTGAATCATAACAAATTATTTCGTCGGTGATATCAATTATACTCGAGGCATCACTATATACAGTACTGCGTACTGGAGCATCCGAAGAAGTGAGCAGCATGAGTTTAAATAATTGATCAGTGGCTAACAAGAATGTGTCGCCGTCTGCGTGCTACCTCAATATGATTGGTCCAGGGCGATGACTCAGCACACTGGAGCAAGGCCCACGATTTTGATCATCCGTCCTTCGTGGTCTGAAATCTTCTCCCCACTGGAACGTCCAGCCCCCGCTATCTGCGTCATTTGCTAGCGGGAAAGGGTATCTAGGAACCATCCAAGCGCTAGAGGTTGAGATTGATCTTGGTATGAGAGGCTCGCCCGTATGCAGTCTTACCATCCGTATCAAACTGGAGGGTTTACGAGCCCCCTTCGGGACGTTTACCAAGAGGTTGAGGCTAGATGAGCTTTACGATGGATTCAACTAACAAGCTGGGCAGGCGCTTCTTGTGCAGTATTCCACATTGGGGGGCGGCAAGTCTGGGGACATGGAGCTTCCATGGATGTAGGAAGAGCGTTTTCTGGCCTGTGTTGTCCCCAGGCTGAAAGAGACACAAACCCACTGCCTTAAGGCCAGTCATGTAATAGATCTGTAGATTTGCGTCCAGGCGAGCTTGGAGTCTGCAGATGTGGGTCCGTAGCTGGGAAGCTGTGGTGGGAAGGCTTTGGCTTTAGGCCCCGTGACCTAGAACAGTTGATTCGAGGCAGCTGATGGAAGGCTGGGGACGTGGATCCACTTTGGACGTACGTCCACAGCTCCAGGTCTACTACAGCCTTCAATCAGTCAACGGGCGGCCTGTATGGCTGAGTAGCCTTGGGAGCCACGCGTCTACTGACTGCAGTCTACACAAGACAGAAATCTTCAGATCTAAATCTCAAGAACCATACTCCATTGCTCAAGTCTGCTGCATGCGTTTCGCTGGCCGATCATTGTCGCCGTCGGCTTGGAGTGCCCGTGTGATCGAATCCACCGTCTCCTCACTTACAGCCAGATCATCGCCGAATGTCACAAAAACTGTGTTCGTTCCGTCCTCAATCGCCGCATCGAAGCACTGCCCAGGCGGTATCTGCCGTAAATTCTGGTCATAATAGGTTGCCTTTTGGGCTCGCGCCTGCTTAGCTGCCATTCGCTCCACTGGAGACGGGTCCGACGGGTCGACCTCCATTTCGTGGACTAAGCGATTCCACTCGCCGTGCTCATCACGTGCACGGAACATGATTGTCACGCTGGAGCTCTTGGTCGGGCCACTTGCTCCTCCTCGTCGCGCAGACTGGTCTCGCTCCTCGGCCCGCTTCTCCGACCTGGCTACGTCCATTCGTGTGCGCACATCGGCCCGGGTGGAAGACTCTCGTTCTGATGACAACGAGGGACGCTCTGTCACAGTGCTCTGCTGCGTAGCATCTGCGATAACCTGAACGTCCGGCGATGCGTTGGGCGGTACAGACTCCGACCGCCGTGGTTCCCGTTCCGACTGAATATTCGTCATCCCATGGCGGCTGGAGTTCTCATCGATAGCGCCTGAAATTTCTGGCTGCGGTTGGAACCCGACTGACCCTGATATTTCTTCCACTGCCTGTTGGTGGTCCTGAGTCAGGTCATCTTCCCTAACCGCGGGTGATGAACTCTGCTCTTCGTTCATTCCTGACACAGGACCATGCTGAGCCTCGAGGAAATTAATCTCAGTAATAGGTCTTGGTGTCTGTTGTTGGGCAGCTGTTTGTAGCAGTGCGTTTATATCCTGCTCCAGAGTTTCCTGGGGCGGCATGGATGGCTTTCGGGTTTGTTGGTGCCGCTCTGTCTGGTCATATGGTTTGAACTTCGCCCTCTCTCGCAACGCCGCGCCCTTTCTACCCATAGTCCTAGAAGGTCCCGATTCGATTCCGGGTCGCCTACGTCCTTCTAATCTGTCCAGTGCCCTTTGAACTTCTTCCGCCGGAGAAGGCTGCGCGGTTTCTGTCGCTTGATCATCTTGTTCGCTTGTATGCTCTTCCATGTTCGCATCTTCCTGGGGCTCCCTCACAGCGATGCTCTCTTCACTCCCTCGTCGTGGCTGCTCGTCCTGAAGTCCTAACTCAGAATGGCCTTCCGACTGTTCGTTTTCGCTCAAACTTTCCACCCCCCGACTGGGTTCATGGTGCTCGAGTTCACGCGCCACAGACGGCTCCATGTCAGGAGTACCCTGCTCATTTTCACCCAGTATACCGTCACTTCCAGAAATTCTGGGCTCAGTCTCATCTGTCCGGTTTAACGCCTCTCCCAATCCGCTACCTTCCGAAAGACTGTGCTCGATTTCCATATCAGACTCGGGAGGTAATGATGATAAATTTCTAGAAGGAGACGGTTGATGGTCGAAATGTGAGGATTGGTGCCTTCGTTGCTCTCGTTGTTGTCGTCTCCGCAACTTCTTCGCTCGCTTCTGCTGTCGTCGCTCTTTTTGGGCGTCTTTCAAGCGTTGCTGATCTAAATTACTTTCCTGTTCGACTCGTGTTCCCGCAACCTCTATCTCTTCTGTCCCTTCATCTTGCGGCGAACGATTACTCGGGACAAAAAGCGGAGACATCGGCATGCCATTATTTGGAGATGCGCCTGTTGTGTCGCCATTCACACTGGGCATTGGGAGCTTGCTGAAAAAGGTGAAGTAAACACTGCTCCTCACCAGAATGGAAGTAGCCTTCCGCTCCTCTTTGATGGAGTCACCGTGGATTCGGTCAATGAAAAGAAACGGGCAATCTTGCAATTGTGCTTCGGTTTGCGGACGTCCACATCGAGACTCCTTTTTGGTTTCCCTTCCACCAATGCTTTGCACTGGAAGCTGATGGTCAAGCGGGATAGCCCTCAAGAAGCACTCGGTGACTTTGTTGATCAGAGACTCAACTTCTTCCTCGTTGTACCGGTAACGATCTGGTTGACGGGCTCTCAACAGAGCATCTTGTGCGATTTCCCGATCTGGTGACTGCTGGATGAGTTGCTCAATTTGTGGCGATTGAAATCCAAGCTTCTTTGCGAGTACAGCCATGTCATGCAGTACCATAGGCTCCGCCACCTCACGGGTAGGCTTCGCCATAACGTCTGTCTTCTGCGGCTGTTTGGATAACTTCGGGTAGTGACGCATAGCATAAAGCCAGAGCTGTCGGTAACCAAGTTCTGCAGGGTCGCCCTGAAAGGGTGAATAATACCGAAAACCAGTTTCAGATGTTTGTATCAAGGGTTGCGCATTGGCATCATCGAAGGTCAAAAATGCCGCGCGCACAGCACTTCTGATCGTTGGGAAAGATCTAGAAGGTGTGACGAGTCGTTTGATGCAGTTCGCGCATGATTCCAGGTACCAGAGATCTTTAAAGAAAGTATAAAGAGATGGAATAATGCCATCTGTCCTCTTCAATCGCTTCCAAATCGATGTCCGTTGTGATTTCGTGAAATTTGTAAAGATTTCGCCGCTGTGTACGAGACCTTTCACGGTGGTTCTATCCACCGAGGAGACTCCAGGTGCCAAAAGTTGCAATGTTTCCACGGTATGGGTGTCCACTCTGAGCATTTTAGCACGATCTTGTCCCACGAGTGAAGACCAGTATTGCAGAAGCCGGGTTAGTGCATGCACTATCTCCTTTGAATTGAATTGAATCAGCATCCCGTTTGTATTAGGTTTGAAAGTCAGATGATCCTACCTCGTCGCAGCCAATAGCCAGCGCCTGTGGAAGAGACCCAATTTGCATTCCATGTACCAGCAACGAAGGCATGGTAAGTAATGAATCAAAAGCAGCTCGAACGCTTGGATGAGACTCAAGTCCGCGAAGCCGCCTAGCTTTGTTGTCCGACAGCCGCGCCAACCATCGATTCTCGAAGTGTGCATTTGCTTCATTTCGATATTGTCGGACTTTTATGTAGATTTCACCATCGCTTGGAACTCTCTCGTTGGCATATTCATCAACAAGGCTTGTTTGAAGATCCGGGCTAATGTCTTGGGATTGTCAAAACGGGCTTTGTGCAGGAGAATATATGGTGGATTTGTGGCTTACCATCCAAATACAGGTCAACAGCCCACCACTGGTCAATCGATGGTAAATAGTGTTCTCCGGCCTTTAAGCGATGTTGGCCGTGAAGGAACTTTATGGATCCAGCCGGGAAATGGAGGTGTTTGAAACGATTTGGTTGATCAGTCAGCAGTTCAGCAGCGTTTACTCCTGCTACGTGTAGAGCCTCATGGAGATGCTGTCTTGACACAACAGCGCTGACGTGGTTATGTACGTCGAGTCTTCGACAGCCTTCTTTGTCAAATATCTCACAAAGTCTTTCCACATTCTTTGTGTTTACATGCTGCGAGATGGATGGATGGGGGGTCATCTGATTCATGTTAATCTTGGCTGTCCCTTGGTATTTCCGACACCTTTCTGCTAGAATTTGCAGCTCTGGGTCTGCGTACATAAATTCGTCCATGGCTGTTCATGAAGGCACAATTGGGAATTCTTGGGGAACGAGAGTTATTTATATCCAACAGGTCTTGGCTTCACGGAAGAGAGGACCCACCTAATTTCTGCTGACTCAGCGTCCTGGTGACCAATGTAAGTTAGTTAAACATAATTAATTTCCTTGATACAATGGCATAATAAATAGTGCCCTCTTCGTGTCCAAACGCTCTACCTTTTTAATTTTTTTCTTTTTGAAACCCCTAAAATTGATACGAATATGTCGAGACAAGACAAACACTGTACAAAGGTTGACTTCACGGGCTACCAAGAACTGCCAGCGAACAGTCCATCACGAGAGGCACCCTCGAGCAAACAGACCCCTCCGCCTCATGTGCCCTCACAATTGAACCGTAGTCCCAACTCCAAAAAAAGAGATGCATCTTCTCCCCAGAGCGAAAGTGCACGAAAAGTTGTCAGAGGAGGCCCCAAAAGCCTTGGCTTACCTCAAGTGTGCGAAGACGGTACATCTCGCCGATTGATCGTGAGGGATGAATCCCCCTGGGATACTTACCGTCGGAGGCTGAGGTGTACCCTGGCAGGCAATGTATTCATTGCAGCTCACCGTTCCCGTCCATTCCAGGCGGTAGCCATTCGGGAGTACACCAAAAGGGATGTGGCTAAAATGCGAAGACTGTATGATATCCTGGACCATGATAATGTGTTGACAGCCCGAGAGTGCTTTGTCAACGAAGGATGCATGTATGCTCTTGTCAACGACCTCCCGCTCACTCTGGAGCAACTTGTGGGGTGTCGGTCTCTCTATCCCACAGAGACGGAATTGGCTTCCATGGTTTGGCAGGTAGGTGGCTCTTGACCCTTCAGCTCTCTAAAGCGCACGAGCTCATGAGAGTCCAGATTTTGAGTGGTTTATGTTACCTCAACGACACGGGATTAGAACACCAATCTCTGACATGCCGGAATATTCTTCTTGGCCTGGATGGCGTCACCAAGATCGGTAAGTGGTAATTGCCTCCTTCGTCATGGTTCTTCTAACTCCCTAAAGCTAGCTTGGAAATGTGCGTGGAATGTCCGCCGGGTCAGGCACAGAATATATACATCAAAAGACTCGCATCAATTACCATGGAAATCATGCAGAAGTATGTGAAAGATGATGGAGTGGTGGGAGTAGATGACGTGAAACGTTGGCCTGTCGACTCGGATTCGTTTGGGTTCCTTCTTGCCCTCTCGACGACAAAGTCCATGGAATCCTTGAAAGAGGTAATCAGTCACTAGGTCTCTCGTGGATTAACATATTACTGACCTTTATAAGCAACCACTTTTTCGCAAAAAAAGTCGATCAGCAGGAGAGTTGGTGCTTCTTGCTCGGTCTGTTTTAGTCTCTGCAAGGATGTTCTATTCCTACGAGAAATAGAGAGAAACGATCTCTTCAAGAAATTGTTAGTGTTGGCTTTATCATAATTTCCAGGTATTCTATTATATGCCCGTGGCCTTCAATCATTCGAAAAGTTGTCAGTAAATGCATTGAGCGTGTACCCAGTCAATACGATATAGGTTGAAATAGACTTCCAATAGTGGTGGTGATGCTCACAGGCGGCGGTGAGGTAAGTGGGGTTTGCTTTTGGCGATCGTTGCGTCTGACCAGGGCCGGGAAATGTTAGTGCAATTCACCAAGCAAACATCCCCTAATTCGTAATGGTCGCTTCTATCGTGAGAGAGCACGGTAAGGTCGACAGACTACTTAGTATATTTATCATGAACTTATAATATCACCCTGGATCACATGATAACCAACAGGCCAAAAAGCCCGCTTTATTCTGCCGGGTTGCTGGTTCGAATCCCGCAAGGGCTGACAAGAAATATTAAGGACGGCCGTGGTGACTCAACTATCGCCCCGTTCGCCTGTGCGTGATGCTACAGCGTGAGAGTGATGAGTGCTAAAACACGAGAGGTTCGCGGCTGGCCTTTTAGAAAAATCCATACTTCCATGCCCGGCTGGAAGCAGTCCTTGGCTAATTCCTTAATGTCGCCCAACCGTCGTGACTGCTGAGAGCCGATGGCGAAAAAGGCGGCGTGGGTTGAGGTGATGTGAGCCTTAACTAGGCAGCCGTGCTAATTGGAGATGATGACCTGATGCAACGGGCTCTACTTGGAAAAGCTCCCACCTTCGATGGCCGACTCCCTACGGTCTAAGATCAAGAAAAGAAAGACGTTGGAGTCGTAAACAACGTAGTCATTCAAGGATTTTTGGGACTAACCATAGCCTGGGACCTCTGGATACATATCAGGTGGGTAGCAGCAAGTCTAGACAGAGACTTGAGGTTGGGAATCAGCCATCTCTCTTGCTTGCATGGCAGAAATGCTTCGCCCTCCACGAGCGCCTCTAGGAAGGTGTTTAATTGGTCACTAGACAAAGCAGCATCACCTCCAAGCGTAAGGTCCATAGCCATAGGCTCAAACGATCGATAAAAACTAACTAGAGCTGGATAGCGATTGAGGACATAAATAGCCAACGTGTCTACCATTTTATTCTGAAATGCTGTTCTTCTGCCTCTATTCAAAGTCAGTAAATCAATCATCCCATAATACCGTGGAGCATGAATGAACATACATTTGATTTGCCAAGTCTTCACCGGCGAGCAAAACCACACCTAGTCCAATGCAAGTAGCGACTTTCCACCAACGCTCGCCCCAGCGGCATTGATCGCTCAAAAAATCACGATCTGCTTTTTTCGGCGTGAATTGAGACCCATGAATAGCCTTTAAAATAGAATCTCTGGCTATCGTGGAAATTGTCCGACCTCGGCGGTTTAGCGGAAGACCGTCTGTTTCACTTTTCTCCAAGTCATTAACATGATTTTCGAAATGAATATGGATCCAAATCTGTGCAAGGCGGCGATGTACATCGTCTGGCTTCGAAGTCGGACCGGCAACTGAGTCCAGATACCTCAGATATGCCACGCATGCTGTCAGAGACGAATTCAAGTCGTAAGAGTCAAGGCTAGGTAAGGCATGCCGGTGACAACTGACTAAAAGGGACTTTAACGTAGCAATTGAGCCCTTGGATCGTAAACTGGTGATCAAACCACCACAGCAGTTTTTGACGTCTCGAGCTTGTTTTTGGCTTAATGTCTCGCCAGTTGCAATCTGACATATTTTTTGAATGCAGTCAATGTACTGATCTGCATGGGCCCAATTATTGATTGGCTTGGCATTGTGGGAGGCCTCTCTTTCGATATCTTGTACTTTCAAAGACTCGAAATCTGGTGAAGTGAGAAATGTTTTCTGGCTATAATCCGCGGAGCCCAAAGCACCCCTGGGCTTTGGAGATTTGAGTTGCTCATTTTCTCTGTTCAGGAGGGGAGGATTTTCAGTGCTTTCGCATTTCACAAAAGCATATACACTTGGACTTGGTGTTCGGGGATTTGTCGTCATAGGCTCTTTTGTTGAGTCAAGGGACTGCATCATCTGCAAATTCTCATCTGATTGCAGAGGGACTTCTGGCCGTTCAGAATGGAGCTGAGGGATATGTTGCAGTAACAGCTGACTCGGATTTGTTTCATCGTGGAGTGCCTCTGGTGTGAGCCAAGCATCCCAATCAACAGGGTCGTGATCGGGAACATCAAGTGCAGGGGCCTCGTAAGAGACTAAAGTTTCTGGGTCAAACGATACCATCCTTCTTATGCTGGGTGGGGACAATAGGGAGAAAAATCAATGGTGAAGTGCCTGCACTGGCTTCAAGGAGGAGCATCTAAATTACTGATGATTTGCCTCGGATCCAGCAACTAAAGTGTGAGTGAAGAGGAACATATGCTGAATTTAAGGCAGCTGGATTAATAAAAGAGGAAATGACCAGTCAGTAAAAATAAAAGGAAAAAATTCTTAAGCGCCCCGAAAGGAGCATCTTGAAAAGGGACAATTGCGCGCCGTTTTGGTTGCGACACTCAAAATGGTGTCGCAACCAAACGGTGATCAGTACGGTGATCAGTTGGCCACGGTTTTCCCCACATGGCCACGGTTTTCCCAACCCGCCCACAACTGTATCGATGAGGTGGAATTTACCGGTCGCAGTACAGAAATGAGACACTTTGACAATGCAACAGCAAGGTCAACGGCAAATTTGTGGGTCAGAATGAAATACATGCTTTCCAAACCGTGATCATCTTTCCAAACCGTGATTTTTCCAAACCGTGATCTTTCCAAACCGTGATCTTTCCAAACCGTGATCTTTCCAAACCGTGATCTTTCCAAACCGTGATCTTTCCAAACCGTGATCTTTCCAAACCGTGATCTTTCCAAACCGTGATCTTTCCAAACCGTGATCTTTCCAAACCGTGATCTTTCCAAACCGTGATCTTTCCAAACCGTGAGGTGAACCAAGACGAATGGAGTACACTCTTCGTGAGGTAAGCCCGGGCTAAGAATACACACTAGCTAACCATACACCCATAGAGTGCATGCTATTCCATGGACCATGGAATACACTGATGAATTGGAAGGCGTGTACGGTGACGGCGAAGAGACAAGCTACAATGGTTAAACGTTGGAAACCAGGAGGGCGGTGAATCGATTCGGTACTGATGGCCAATTGATCATTCGCTGGGCCCACCCGCCCGTCTCACCACCTCTGGTCCTTTCTCGTTATGAAGGTTGAAACTCCGTCTCATACAACCTAACTTTCTGTTCGAGGTGTTTTCGAACTATTTCTCTCGAGAGGTCTCGTACTTCATGGGATGCCGATACTAAGAAGTAAGCGTCTATCATGTAATGAAGGTATAGGACTTACTCATCACTAAAACCTCACCGCGGGCTTCATGTGTGTTTGCCAGTCGTTTGATGTTTCGACCGGAAGCCTCTTTTGATATTATCTGATCATATCGAGGTTTTCCATTGAAAACTGTGGCACGGCGATGTTGGCCGAACGGCTTGCCATGTTCTATCATCTGGTTTGATGCCACATAGAAGGACATTTCAAGTATCTTTTTCACTTGATCAGTGCGAGAATCTCTAAACAAGAAGAGTCAACCTACATAGCCATCATCCAAGACATCATCGCTTAACAAGCTGTTCAGAAGTGGTTGGGCTGCAACTGCAATATCTAGAAAAGTAAGTATCGCATTAGTTGCTCTATGAACATGTCAGCCGAGCTTACCCAATGTTTGGACTTCCCACACGAAATGTACTCGACGCACTTGTGAGGTGCAAGTGTTATATCCGTAGAGGAGCTTTTTCAGGTAAGAGATGACTCCTGCTATACCGAAATCGGTCGCAATTGCTAGGACACATTCGTAATGGTCCACGGATTTGCTGACTCCATACGGCCCGGTAACAAATGCCGTCAAGGATGTATAGCCATCCAGGGCTGTACGATGGTGAATAGTCTCCGTGAGCCCTTTTCGAGGTTGAACAAAAAGCTCCAGGACATCTTGCTTTTCTGGTGACCAAGATGTCACCATGAATGGGTGTGTCTGAACCCAGGAGAAGAGGCTCGCCACGGGTATCCAGAGGTTTATGTATTGGCCTGCCTGGATATGTATAGGCCGTGCAAGTGCCACCCTTACTTTAAGCGGTGTCATCTCTTTGCCCTCTATCGGTGTTTGTTGCACCTGATCACATCTGATCGAGGCACGAGAATAGGGGCGTGAGGGGAAGACACCATTCCCAACGATAAAAAGAAAAACTTCGACCAGGAATGCAAGTAGCATTATGCCAAGCGGAATGTAAACATACAGCCGAGGTAGCAGAGTGTCGGATGGCAGGTGGTGCCATACAAAATATATGCAAGCTGCGGCCAGTGCTTGATGTAGTCGAAGGAATGGCTCGTAGAGGAAACGGCGAACGACAGGGAAGGATAACAATAGAAGCGCGGCCATCATCACAGCACCCTAAGGAAGATCAGCGTTATAAACTCGACAGGGTGGAGAAGGAGGACAAACAATGAACGCGAAGAGATTGGGTTTCTCACGAAGACTCCATCCTTTCTGCTCAATTATCAGGGCCATGATGATATGTAGAATAAGGAGAATGCTGGTCATCCAGCCCACTGCCCGATGAATGCGCTTGCACATCATCAAAGAAACACCCATTGCATTTGCAAGGAAGCCTAGATGGTGTGCTAAGAAGAGGAAACTCATGTTGATCACTGAAAGTGTTCCAGCACGGTCTCTAGCCAATGTTGTTGATGGGGTATCGAAGGCAATAAAAAACACATTTGCTACAGCGTAGACAATGTACAACAAGGCATCAGCTCGAGTGCAAGGAGCAACCAACCTGTGGCGACCCCATAAGTATGGATATGTTAAGTGTTTCGTTATGAGGAATGAAAGAATTCTGAGTAGGTTCAGAAACGAAGGGGCTATGCGAATGAGAAAGAGCATTGTCAGTAAGGAACCCGCTGCAATGGCATAGATTATTGTGAATTCCATTGTCAACCGTGTTTATAGTATCAGAAATCTCCGACTATTGCAAGAAAACCATGCTACTTTATAGGGAATTCCCTATGTTGCGGATGACCAGTAGGCTGACATAATATATCATCTTCCTTCTCAAAGAAGTCAGGGACGCTCACCAGGAGGATGACTCATCTTTGTACCATACCTCTTCAGGTTGGTATCAGGCAGGGTACCACGGTTGCACCTCAGGCACCCACCTCGCTGGTTAAAGCCAGCATCGTCATGCTGCTGGAGGATAGTACCTCTCCCGAAAGAGTTCATTGCAAGGCTAGACCATGATTCCTCTTCATCCAAGTTACCAGTCATGTCAATTCGACTCTTCCCAAGTCAAGCAGCTGAGCTTTTTCTACTATAACTATACTCAAGCAGCTTCCTATCATTTTATACACTACAGTAAACAATTGCTTTAAATGCGGCCTTTTAGATACAGTATACTTGCTGGCCTCGCAAGTACGATATTGGGCATGTCAAAGCAACGCAGCATCCTTTATTCCCTATATTCTGTGGAGAAAACCCTAAGTCGAGTGTAATCCTTATTCTAAAACCTGTGCTGTGAAGAGCCTATCGTGGGTCCTTAGAAGCTGTATCTTCTTCCGCTTTCTTTAAATCGCGATCTGTCATCACAGCCGGAGTCGGGTAATGGGAGCTCTGACCAAGTCAGCGTTCACTCTGATGGATGGTGCCATTTTGTGTTACGTACCAATTGCAAAGGAAGAAAAGCCCAAAAGCCCGAAGTATCCGCGGACAAAATATGTATCTGATCCGTCTCCCGCATGCGAATAACTACGCATACATCCGCATCACACATCTTGCTATATTCAGACGCCTTTTTCATCATGTTTGTCTTGCGACGGTACTGCTTTTGACGAATCAACTTCCTTGTAGAGGGGTTATTGGATTGGGCTCTTTCTAAAGCAACCATTGGAAGTTGATGTCTTGCTCTTTGAGGTTTCTTGAATGGAACGGCACTTGGCAGGTTGGGGCCTGAGAGTGGTGTTTTTAAAGGCTGGTCGGAAGGAGAAGCGCAATGAATACAGGCCCTAAAATCCAATTGCGAAAAGCTGAATATTTGAACCTTCCATATGGAAAGAATGACATGGTTTTCCTCGCAAAAGAAACCGTGGTCTTGTGTTGATTCACGTTATGAAGACAAAAATGGCACGTTAACCGCCCTCGTAAAACTGCCGTCACCATATAGATCGCCAGCTCATTTTCACGACGGGGGTGGACAATAAAATCTTTCTGAACAAATCGGTGAAATGGTTGAATCAACATTCCAAGGGTTTTCCATTATTGCCCAGAGTAAATTGGTGTACAACGTGATGGTCTACAAGCAGGAAATTGGTATGCTGTTTCAGTTCAAATCGCCGTCTCAGCGACACAAAATGTGTTGCAAGAAAGTATTGCGACTAGTTAATTTCGTGAGACGGTAAGCCAGTTTTTGACCCCCTCAACCTGAACTGAGAACGACGCAATCAATGAGGTGGTGGTACGCGCCCAAATGGTGAAGGTAACGGACACCAAAGAGTGTCGGTAGCAAACGGCTCGAATTGGCCATTTCGGAGAGTGGATCAACGTCCCCAAATGGTGGAGACAGCAGGACACCAAAAAGTGTCGCGGACGCTGCGTAATGAAATTGGCCATTTCGGGGAGTGGATCGACGGTCCCAAATGGTGGAGGCGGCAGACACCAAAGAGTGTCGCGGACGCTGCGAAATGAAATTGGCCATTTCTGCGTCTGATACAATTATGAGGGCCACCGCGGCGGAATGCTGTGCTTCTTTTCTTGCCTACCTGGGTAGGTAGCGTTAATGAATTACCTGTGCTCTTTAGGAGTGTTTACGTTCACTATCGATAGATCAAACATGGCCATCTCACGGTGGTCGTGTTAGAGTATGGACGGTCTTTGTCGATGGGCTACTACGAACCTGCGATCCCCTTCGGTTTGGGGGTCAACACTATAACAAATCAATTAATTGAACACCCAAAGTACTCTCAAAGAGATATTCAAATGGTAGTAGTTTGAATAATCAAATGACTGGTCAGTTTCCTTAACCAGACATATTGATCTGATTAAAGAGCACCGCACTAATAGACAAGAAGGGCTGTCTGGCGTGGTTTCAATGCAAGGTATGATACTCTGTACATGGAGAACGGTGGCAGGCGGTGAAACTACAATTAATCTTCCCACAGCCCTTGGAAACATTAATGCGGACTCTCTTCATCACCATCCTATTTGTTTGTGAAGGCCAAGGAGGCAATCGAGGATTGGTGTCACCGTTAATTCCCAATTAATTGATAGCAGTCTCTACTTCCTTGATCGGATTACATGAACTAGTCCCTGGAAGGCTAGTGAAAACAAGCTGAGGTGGTGATATACTGTAGCAATTAATTCAAGTGTTTCAACTTTAAAACATGCGGGCGTTCATAGTGGTGAGAACGTTGATTGAACATTAAACACTATCATCTCTGGAGATCGGGTTGATTGAACAGGATTGGCTAAACATCATCACATTCTCCACCTAGATCTAAGGCCCGTGCACTTTCCTCATACTCTCGCACCCCCCAGGTCTCTGGCCCGAAATTATTTCAGCCTGGTTGCAAGGACAACCATGTGGGTGGGTACCTCAATTCCACTCCGAGCCTCGAGCAAGGCCGGACAACTAGAAAACAGATCATCGCTCGCTGATCCTCCGGAATTAGTCGAGATTATACTGTATGCGGATGGGTGAGCTCCCCCCAAGTTTGGGGGGTTTAGTGAAAGGCAACACTGTAAATAGCGAACCTCCCAGAACATCAGGACCTCCTTACTTGAGATTCAGCCACTGTTAAGTGTCCGCAGGGGTCTCGCCACAGCAAGCATTTCCGAATCAGAGACCACTGTGGCCGTTGTGTCTCGGCTGTGACCCACTTCAGCAGGCATCGAAGACAATGGGCCAATAGAGGTTTTCCTCATTTGGAGCGCGAAGTGAGCCACTGAATCGAGCTCCGCAGCGGGTTGTGCCTTCTGAGCAACACTATTGGCCCTCTACCTGTCTAAAGCCGAGCTTGGCATAGGACAAATACAGAGCGATCTCCACTTGGGCCTCACAGGACTAATTCCCTCTCAAGACGATTCTCTGAGGAGGATTAGGTTCTCCGAAGAAATGTTTTATACCAAGGACTACAAGAAGCGCTGCATATTTCAAAGATAGAAACAAGACAGGCTGCTCATTTCTTCAAGTCTTCCAAGAGCCTTCTCTTGGGGCCACATCGCTCATATCTCTACTGGCCTCTTGTTACGAGCTACACAGTACCCATGTCTGCTTAAAATGGTCCCCGTGGATACTATTTTGCTACTGCAGATCGACCGTGACAGTATTTAAACCACAGAAGTATTAAGACTACAGTGTCACGAGCCAGTCAGAAAGGAAACGAAATCGTCAATTCTGGTGCATTCCAACGAAGAAACTAAGTCTGGAGAGAAGAAGGAGAAGAAAGGTTCTACTGTATCTGCTAGGAGAAATCACTTTTGTAGTCACTCCCCTTCTTCCTGGAAAGTTCCATACGCGCACATGCACACAAACAACCGCTCGCCAGTTGACTTCCGTTGACTTGGAGGGCTTCAGACCCTCACGATCGTAACATACAGTTCTAAAACCCCAGTGGTTTAAAAACCACGATATCCATTTTGATTGATAGTACGAAGGTATTAAAACTAGATTAGTTTTAAAACTACAGTGATATTAAAACCAGAGAATATCCAATTTGGCCAGTCATCTTTTCTCCGCTGCCAGTCAGAGTTCTATTTTTAAGTTGATTGTCTAGTTAGTGTTAACTAAGTGTCTGCAACAATTCCCAATGTTAACGGATACCTTACGTAACACGTTAGAACCATCTGTCTAGACGTTCGGATCAACTATATCTCCGCCAGGTTGTCAGGCAAAGGACCAGGCCAATGCAATGCTTGAGTCTACAACTTTCACCCCGAATGTTCATCTGTAGACGATCTCATCGTTCGGCTGTTCCGTCGAAGAGACTGGTTGGGGAGCGATGCCTCAAAATAGAACATACGCTGTTGCATAGCAGATAAGTGTCGTGGAATGGCTATTCTTTCCCAGTGAGTTCGATTTTGAACGGTCAGAAACCCAGAATTATCCATTTTTAATTCGCTTCTCATTAAATCGACTTTTTGTCAAAGACGGTACAGTAGTTTTCGAGTTTTGACCGTAAACTCTTTCGACTTGATTCCCGGAAAATAAATCCTCATTCTACGAGGCCTGATTGGATGTTATTTTAAGCACTTAATCTAGACCGCTTTCCATAGTAGTCAACATACTTTACAATACGCCTCAGTACTATTACCGGTGTATTTTACACGAAATTAGCGGGAGATGTCAACCAACGCGGGTTTGGTTTTCGTGGGCGGAAATACATACAATCCAGTGTGAACCATAAACCACTCAGATTCTGGGCGGGCTTATATAATCCACGCGAAAATCCTCTCCCATCATAACTTCTCTCCACATGCAAGTAAAGTCCCAGAGCTTGAATCATCCAAAAGACGTCCACTTACCACTATTCATCCACAGGCTTGAGTAGTTCTTCTTTTCAATCATGGCGGAGGCATCTAAGGATAGCGCTCCGTATTTTGCAACAGCGTAAGGAATTAACCAATATCCATTCGTTCCACGTTTTATACTAATTCCTTGATCTCTCAGTGTCCTTCCTCTTTACCACGGTCCTCTTGTCAAGATCAACATCAAGCCTAGCAATCATGAATTCAAAATCTCCAAACAGCTGCTCTGCGCGGAATCTCCGGTATTTTCAGCAATGTTCGAAGGTCATTTCAAAGAGTCCCAGGAGATGATAGCAGACCTGGAAGAAATGGAATGTGTTGTCTCGGTACGCAGTGTTCAAGCACTGATTCAATGGCTATACCTTCGGGTTGTCATTTTGACATTGAGGATCCCGGAGAGCATATTACGGCTGCGATGGAGCTCGTTAGACTCGCGGATAAGTACAATATTGTGGGACTGGAAACCAAAATGGCCCAATATATTAGGGAGATAATCATCGCCAATCCACATCCAGAGGCGAAGAAGTTTTGGCCACCTGTCGACATTAACACTTATTGGATTGACCGTGAACATATTATCTCAGCGATCTCCTTACGTCGAGAACATCCAGTACGACAAACTCTGGCCGCAGCCTCTGTCGCAGGGTATCTCCGAAGCGATAATTACAAATTCATCGAAGAGACTCAGGAATACCCCTCCTTTGCAGCAGATTTGCTTCTTGAAGTCGGATCGGCACTGGACAGGCCAAACTCTAAGCCAGCTGGCACGTTCGAAGACCCCATTAGTAGAAAGGTATTAGAGCTGGATCGCGTGAAACCAGACGTTTAGCTTCACTTAAAGGCGACGAAGGATCAGCAGGTGGACTGTTTTCCAGTCGCGTTAGTCCTGGGCGTGGCCAGCCAGAATGAATGGCTGACTTTGTTCAAAGCCATACACTCCGTTGGAAGTACGGATTAGAGTATATAGCGCACATCATCGAACGCATGTAGAGAGACTGAGGAGAGCTATGGCACTCCAATGTGGAGCTTGGAGTAATATGGGCCAATAAACTCCTTGCAACGGGCACACAAAAGCCCCATACGGCTCCGGTTTCCATCCCTAAATAGAATATTCTATGCAAAGAGTTCAAACAGAGCTGGAAGGTGGGTATTTTCCAGGCCACCCAACACGCCGCCTACGTCATACAAACATCACGCCTAGTCAATTGGCTACTGATGTTACTCTGTGCTTCAAGAAAGGGCCTGTGACTGAACAATGCGGCCGCGCGGTCTACCATATCAGCCAGTCCTAGAGGGACTGCTCTGGTATAGAGCATATCACCGCTAACGCAGGCCAACTCGAACACAACTAGTTCGGCGACGCTGAGTGTTGAAGTCGGCAGGTCAAAAGTTAGGCATACAATTGAAATACGAATTCTCCGGTTTGGCCCGACGGCTCGGAATATGTCGGAATTTACCCTTTCACAAGAGGTTGAATTAATTTCTCGTTAGACAAATGGGGGTGTGAAACTATTAGGAAGTGCACGGACCCATCATGTGGAGAAGGCCTCTCTGGCTAACCAATCTTTCTACTCCTACTCTGTGCCATTTTTGAACAACAAAGAGCGTTGGAAGCTTGATGACAATTTCAACATTTCCTTATGTTGACCAAACTCTTGTTAAACTTCTTCATAAGCGGGTGATCAAATTTCAACTCTGTACTCAGTACTACTTTTATCAATTCCGTTACGGTTACCAGTCTATTTTCGCTGGGTTTAGAAACAGCAGTACACTTGACCAAAAGTCCTGATATCTCCCAACCTCTCTTTCAAACGCCAGCCTTCGTTAAGGTTCGGTCACTGTTTCACGAGCCCGCATAATTTTTTTCCTCGCCTTGAGCGTACTGTAAGTTGAATCTCTGTGTTGATGGTCTACTGAATTTATCTCCACAGTAAACTGTCTTCATCAATTTTATTTCTGGCCACATCGGTTTATTTTTCGGATGCGACCGGGCATGGCAATGCATTTGACCAAAATTCAGCTTTTATACAGACTTTCAATTTTCTACTGTGTATACGCATTCTACTGTTGAAATGTTTACAGTACTGTACTTACCTGGCAAGATCGGCCCTTAGTTCACTTGGCAAAATTATCTGGAGGCTGGCCTGGTCGCTGGCATGTTCAAAACCAACTAGCCACTTGTCAGCCACACGTTATTTATTCACCATCTCATAGTTAGTTAACTAATGTGACAGTCGATCACCCCCAAATAGCCACGTTCGATGAAATGACGATAAACGTAAACACTGATATAGAGCATAATAACGTTATAAACACTGCCTACCCAGTTGTACAAAAGAACGGGCACCACATTCTGCTCTGTTTGCCTAAAGAAATGACCGCTTTCGCTAGGCAGTCTGCGACACTCTTTGGTGTCCCGCTGCCTCCACCATTTGGGAACGGCAATCCACTAGCCGAAATAGCCAACCCGGGCTATTTGCTCCCTTCACCGTTTGGGCGCAACAGTCTACTGCAGCCTCGCTTGAATGTTTCTTTATTCTGAGCTCAAGTTGAAGGGGGTCAAAATCCGGGCACTGTCTCTCAAAATTAACTGATCGTACTTGTAGTACTTCCTTACAACTCATTTAATGTCGCAAAGAGGGCGATTTGAACATACCAGTTACCTGCTTGTACACTATTACGTTGTATATCAATTTACCGTGAGCAATAATGAAAACCCCTTAGAATAATGATTCAACCCTGTCACCGATTTGTTTACAAAGATTTTATTGCCCACTTCCACTTGTGAAAATGAACCACAGACCCATATGGTGACCGCAGTTTAACGAGGGCGGTTAACGTGCCATTTTTGTCTTCATAACGTGAAAATAACACAAGACCACAGTTTCTTTTTGTGAGAAATATCATGTCTTTCTTTCCGTATCGAAGGTTCAAATAATCCGCTTTTCGCAACCTGATTTATTGTAGAGCCTGTATTCATTACGCGTCTCCTTTTAACCAGCCTCAAAAGCACCCCTCTCAGCCCCCTATCTGACAGGTGCTGTTCCATTCAAGAAACTCCAAGACATCAACTTCCAATGGCTGCTTTGGAAAGATCTCGATCAAATAATCTCTCTAAAAGAAAATTAATTCGTCAAAAACAGTTCCGTCGCAAGACAAACATGATGAAAAAGGCGTCTGAATATAGCAAGATGTGTGATGCAGACGTGTGCATAGGTATTCGCATGCGGGAGACTGGTCAGATACATATTTTGTCAGCGGATACATCGGGCTTTTGGGCTTTTCTTACTTCACAATTGGTATGTAAACTGCATGACATCATCCTGCAGTACGCTGACTAGCCAGAGCTCTCATTACCCGGCTCCGACCGTGATGACAGATCGTGATTTGCAGAAAACCAGAGAAGAGAACGTTTCCAGAGACTCACGATAGGTATTTCACACCACAGATGCTATGTGCTGATGTATGCAGGTATACTGCAGTGGAACTTTTGGCTACTCCAATTGGATTAATGTGGAAAGGGTCATTGCTATCCAATATCATACTTTGGATGCCGCTGGATATTCATTCAAGCATCATGTCTTTAGCTCTTCGCGATCAATCTCACATTGTTACTTGGTTACTACCTTTGGTACTTTACACTTCACAGTTCATCTTTAAGGTAACCCAACCTACAGTAGGGGGAGCTCACTTAGTATCACTACTTTATGATATCCTTACTTGGCGTGCACTTCTGGGACGTCCTACAAGATAATCAATAGGACTGGAGTCCGCGTAAGGCTTAGTATAGCAACGATACAGTTGCGAGATACTCTTAGGATCCGCAGTGGAACTACTGTACAGTAGGCAAGTATGCCGGACAACTCTATTCACAGTGACCAGTTGGCGACGCGTAACTAGGGACTACCTAGCCATTTTGAGGACTACCTGGCAACCTTGAGTAATTCATTGTTGATAAAGGGTCGAATCTTTGGATAGCTTCGATAAATTCTGAACAGCAATATCGCTGCACATACCACATGTGATGCATGATCTGGTTACTCTCGCTACCCCTCCCGTTTCTCTTTTCCTCTTGAATGTCTTCAAGAGTGCTAACATGATGATATTAATGGCTTATGGGTCGAGTATCGTCACAATAATCAAGTTGTGCTATCCTTTGGTGAACTGGAATAGCATCCCAGCATCCCCATGCTTTGGCGAGCGCTCTTTGTCTGAATTCGCAACATATTACTACAATCATGCTTATGGAGAGAGTTATCGCACTCCAAAGTGGAGCAAGGAGTAACAATATGCCAATCAAGTATAGAAAATTCAAGCGGGGTGTTGCCAACTTAGGTCTAGTGGCATTTCGAGAGTAAGGGATACGCTAACCAAATATGGTCACGTTCTGGACCGTTCTCACTCTCACTACCCAAACCCCGCCCATGTCCTCCAGCGAGTACCTCTCACATTCATTCATCTTCCTCATTCAATTAAGCGTCGCCCAAAAAGAGCACACCACAAGCTGAAACGATGCCCTTCAAGATCGATGCGACTACCCTCCTCTATATCGTGTTGGTTGTGGTAAGATATTGAAAATCCAGCCTGGTTATGACCTCCGTTGATAAAATTTTGCCACTAGGGCGGGGCCATCTCCTTGATCCTTGGAGCGTGAGTTGTCACGTTCTTCATCACGTCTCTAGCCAGCGTGTACTGTATTGAAAGAGAATAATGAGTAACAGACCTCTCGCGGCACAGGCTATCTTGGGCTCGCACCGCCGCTCTGCTTCTTCCTTTACCGACATGGGTTCCAGCCACCGCGACATTCATATCCCCGCTCACAGTACTCACACTGATAGCCATGCGAGTGTTTTTCCAGCAAACAGACCATGAGACTCCTCGCAATTGTTGGCGGAGCACAATATCCGGTATACTCAATCAGATCCAGACCATCATATCGACCATCGTGGCCACAGTAGCGCTGGCGTACATCTTCCCCGACAGTATTCTCTCATGTAACCTAGATCAAAAATGGCAGGCGTTCTTCCAGTCGAAGAATTCGCACGCTATCCGCTCAATCCAAGATGAGTTCCGATGCTGTGGTCTTCGAAGTCTTCACGATAGGGCATGGCCTTTCAAGGACCGGAACCATGGGGACAATGCATGTGAATTGCAGCTAGGATATCAGAGGAGTTGCTTCGCTCCTTGGAGAGAGCACCAGCAGAGTTCTTCCTGGATGGTTTTTGCAGCGGCTGTTTCTGTTTTCGCGGCCAAGGTAGGCTTACCGTCACCGAGGTTTATGGAGAAGTGGCTAATATTCGGCAACTCTACATAGATCGCTCTCATTCGGCTTTCCGGCCGTCGAACGAGTTGGATGAGCAGGCAATCTGCCTGTAGGAGGCCTGATTACCATCGGATTTCACACCCGGCAGTGCAGGACGAAGGGGACATCCAGAACGGTGCCCACGGGGAGGCGCAGAGGACATTCTTACCCCAGTCGAACACCGAGTATAGAAACGACTGGGAGGTAGATTAAGTTCGAGCGTGTGCGCAGTCTCTTGTTATAATTCTCGCTTTCTTCATCGTTTCAGGGCATCGGCGTGCGCAGCGTGCGTCACCAGTTGATGATGAAGTGGCGAAGTATGAGAGGCTGTATGCTGGGCATTATGATGTCTTCGTGAGCCTCTTTGAGCTCGAAAATGAATGAGGCGGCCAGAACCAGCAATAGGAATTAAGGAGTACAGAGTACTTCGTGCAGGTATAGTACAGTATTAGCGCAGATCATTGTAGGCAGATTAAGTTATGGTACTCCAAAGTGGAGCTGGGAGTAAGTTTGGGCCAATCAAGTCTTTGCAATAGCTCAAAAAAACCTTAACGAGAGCTTTTCCTCATTTACATGGAGGCCTCTCGCTACGACGAAACCTAGATATGGCTGGGGGAGAAAGGTTTTCAATGTTCATTTATTGTGCACAAGCAAACTACGTAAGAATTGCCTCCGTTTGAGGCCTCGGCGGCCACGTGTCTACTATACTCAAAACATATATTAATTCCCATTCTTAAGAGCTTCCAGCAGTACCAAGACTAAGTATAACTTCGGTCAGGCATTCAAGAAACCAATACGCCCAGTCGGACGACTCCGAAAAGTGGATCATATAGGTGCATTAATAGAAATCATAACGGGTCTGAATAGCTAACTATGCCCCTTTCTCACAATTTGTGTGGGCTTAAATACATGACTAATCTCGGGGGATATACAGTATCTCCTGTCTCCCAGTAGCCACCTGTCCTGCTGCTTTGCCAAGCCCGAAAGGACTCATAATTCTGATTTCTTCCCAGCAGCGGCAACATTCACATGATGTTGAAGCTTGGCTGGCCCTGCCTTGGTGCCACTTGGAGGGCTATTACCTCGGTCAAGTTTTGTAGTGCGCTGCAGAGTGTCTGACCCTTTTTGAGTAGGAGCTGAGCGGTTTTCGGAGATTTTCTGTTCGACATCAACGGGAATGGCTTTGGCCCATCGGGAATAGAGGTCGTCGGGGAGCATCTTCTTTCTCTCGACTTTCTTGATCACAAGTTTATCTTTCAGAAAATCGTACCGAATAGTTGAACTCCCACCCCAACTTCTTGTTACTCGAAGGATGCAATTTATGAGAGCGACGAGTTTCCTGATAAGATCTTGGTGGGTTTGCTCCCAATCTTTCAGTCCGGCAGTGATATCTTCTACTTTTGGTGTAGAGAATATCCCACGTTGATGGTAAGCACGGGCAAGCTTGGGCGTCTGGGAAATCCAGAGCTGAGGGGCAACCTCTGACAGCTCCAGAGGTTTGTGAACAACTCGTGTTTTAATCTCTAAGGTTGATTCCCGGGGTACTACCCGGCCTTCTCTCTTGATGGTCAATTTCGATTGAACGGAGGTCTCGTCCGTGGTGTCATTTTCTGGTGATAGAGACAAGGACTGCAAAATGTTTGCAAGGTTGTCCCCTGTCGACTTATCTTTCTCCACAACCGGCTTCCAATCTTCAACAAATCCGTCAGTCTCATGGCGCACGAGAAAGCTCAGACCACCCAGTCGGTATGAAATTATGCGGTGGTGCCCAGTGCTGTCTCGAACTTGATTGATAGTGTATGCTCTCTCAAATTCATGACCAAAGCCCCTGAATTCGCCTGGCCCAATCACTTCAAAAGTAGCGGTCTCGTCACGACAAAATATTGCAGTTTGAGCGGCCATATCCACCTGGATGGTGAATGGATCGAGTCCATTCTTGGTCAAAGTGGGTTTGATAAAAGATAGAAGCTTGCGAATGTTGTTTCGGTCGGTAATGACGTCGATTGAGTTTATGTCGAACAATGGATGCTCGATATATAGGGAGCGAAATAACGGTTCTAGGGGACTATCAGGATGACGAGCAGCATTCTGAGCAATATAAACAAGGCCGCTATCCTTCTTCACCTGTCGGGTCCCCTGTGGAGCAGACCACCGAGCTGGACTGCCTGGGACAGCGATAGTGGGTGTGGATGCTTCGATCCAATTATAAGAAGCCAGGTGCTTCACATCCGTAATGATTGCTTTGGCTGGTCCAGTACAGTCAAGATCGATGCGAGAGATTTCCACGAGCTGTTCAGAGGTATCTGACATTTTCTGGATCTAGTAGCCCGAGAATAGAAGGTAGAATACGATGGGTTTGCCTGAATCTTGGAGCAGAGACGTAACCAAAGAAGAAGCCCAAGTCCACTTCAAGAACTAATTAAGCACCCAGACCCATTGATCTCTTGTCAGCCTTCCAGTACTGGCCGACAAGGGTGTGCGTCATGAGTGAAATATAATACAGTATTTGTACGTGGTCCAGAGGAAATAATTTACGAATATTGGAAATATCGTTAAAAATGGGTGTTCTCCGCTCCGTACTAAGTCATTGGAAACCAATCTCAGCCCGGGAAGAGTTCCAGCCATCTCTTGCTTGGCGAGTTGCAGATCTGTTGCAGGCTAAGCAAATCACATTTGAACACGATTTGAGCAGTTACAAGCAGCTTTACATTGCATGTAGTCATGATATTGTGACGTATCACAAGCGAGCCGAATCTGAGGATAAGTATTCCGTATGAAGTACTCCGTAGTTGCAGTAATCGCCTACAGACTTACAGACTGAGTGCAGCTTCTCTTCATCACCACCTACCCAATTTGTTTGAGGCCAAAGGAGGTAGTTGAGATTCGGAATGCTGTTACGGCTACCGTCGATTCTCAGTCTACTACGGAGTACTTTGATCAGATTAAATGAACTGGTTCTAGAGGAATAAAGGACCGCCTAATTCACATTCACCGTCAGATAGTGTCAGCCTATGTAGGTGTGTGGGTGTATATGCCTATGTGTGTGTGTGCTTATGTGTTACCTGACCGGCCGGGCCGGACCATTGTTTTTCCCCTGCAGAGAACCCCTCTATATACCCCTCTTCAACAGAGATAACGACCATGGCCTAATTGGCTATTTGACTAGGGATCCTGACGTCCTTTCTCCGCATTTCTATCCCGTGTTGAGATCTATCAGATTATTAGATCTCTGCCCTATTTTCTGCCCTATTTCATTGCTGCCTAAACCACTGCAAATCGTGTATTTAAACGCTCGTTTACACCACTGTTTAGCCAGGAGTTCAATCGACTTTATTGTTCTCAAGACCTTCTTTCCCTTCCTAGATAGTAGGATCCTATGACCAAGAGGAAGCTACTATCTAGTCCCCTTCGTCCTATGTGGATCATTGTACCATGTTACACTAGGATCTGTTAGATAGCAAGGATGTATTTACCCCTACGAGGAACCTTATTTACGGAAACATAAGCTCTTTGTGGCAAAGCCTCTATCAAGTAGGCTGCAATCTATGATCACACGAGGCTCCCCGCATTCCGGCCCAGTCTAGATCCTAGGTCTCGCTGTCTCATATATGATTGGCTCGCCGCTACTCCTTTCTCCACTTTGGAGTACCACCAGTTTCATGGACGATGCATGCACCACGCATGCTTTCCACTAAGAACAACTCACGCTTCGCAACTTTGCTACCCCTCATTCCGGTTGGCCCGTTGCAGGGTCTCATTTTGGCTTCCGCATGGACTTCGTGGCAAGAATTTACAGGTGGATTCATACAAAAGCCTCTCACAGTGATGTACATTGTCCTATTTAGCGCAGGCCAAACCCAAGCTTGCCGCAAGCCTGCCGTAATCTGTTGTTCAGATGCATGTATGGGAGCTATTTCGAAATGGAAATTTTCAAAGAGTACGATCACTGTTCATTGAATCATTCAGTTACTAACTGCCAAAGACTCATTCGATCTCCAGAATTTCACTTTCTCATTGGACATGATCGACGGAAGCTGACGATCCACGCCGGTCTTGTTCATAACTTATCGGCCCCGCTGGATGCTCTCATGAACAATGGTTGCATGAAAGAAGCAGTAACCCGAACTGCTACTATAGATGATGTGGAAGAGGAAACTTTTGTTGCATTTTGTGAGTTTGGTTACAAAGGAAATTATACTACGCCTTACCGCAAAGACAAAGACGACGATGGTCATTTTGATGCAGAGAGTAAGTACTAGTTACTAAAGTGCAGGAGGAGTAATTACTCATATATAATCTAGATCAATTGAAAGACAGCAATCCACAACGAGAGCAGGAGCCAGGGCCGGAGCCGGAGCCAGGGCCTCAAGACACAGGGCCAGAATCAGAGGCTTCATCTTATGTGTGGAGAACCCGAGCTTCCAAGAGAGCGCAAAAAAGAAAAAAGAGCTACTATTCCTCACCTCCGCCGGAGATTGAATACGCGAAATCAATCTATGTTGAAAGTCCCTATGAACGCCGGTGGAGTCAGTTTAGACACCTAAGATTTGTTGGAGATGAGGCCACAATTTCTTCCCACCCCGACCTTCTTGCTCATGCAAAGATATATGTGTTCGCGACGCGGTATCTTGTTGACCCATTAAGAGAACAGTGCTTGAAGTCACTTCATCGCGACCTTTGCAACTTTCCTCTTAACGGGCAAACTATGACACATATCCTTGATCTGCTAGAATATACCTACGAGCAGACAGGTAGACAAGAGCCAGGTGGATGTTATTCCCTTAGAATATTGGTTATTCTCTATATCTCATGTGAGGCGCGAACCCTGGTTGAGAATACTCGATTTCGGCATATTTTGGATGATCATGGGGAAATGGCCTCTGATCTTGTTGCAAAGCTTGTTGAATAAAAGGCCTGTGATATGCTATACTGTAGTATGAGGGGGAAAGTAGAAACGACAAACATTAGGTGATGGGAGACTAGCCCGCATCTCATAGCCTGAAACCAAGCCGGAAAACCAAGGTTCTGTGACAAGGCAATAAGACATTAACCAATATACAAAGACTGTCGGCCTTTGGTGTTTGGGAGGCTGCGGGGGGTGGGGCGAGTCCACAATGAGCAAAGGCTTAAGTGCCCTGAAACGAAGGAACCGAGTGAAAGGAGTTACAGTACAGTTCATGGGTCTGCACAAGGCTGACTAGAAGGCTTTGAAGGCTTTTGAAGGCTGAGTCGACGCTTCGAGAGTGGGAGGTCCTCGACTATTAGGAAATGCACGTGATGCAGATCAGCGTGACGAGGAAGTGGGGTTAGAACCTCCTCCAGAGGTGAGTCACCGTTTAAATACCAGTCCTCTGTCACTTTCATCCTCAAACGCTTTTCGCTTCTTCCTCGCTAAGCCACCTTCTTACGCATTCCAGGTGCAGAGCTGTTTAATCCATACTAACGAATGTGATTGCTTCAACAAGCCGATGGGTAGGTATTCATTTTCAGCTCGTCGTCTTACTGTATGCGCAGACTTGGGGTGATGTTTTCTTCTACCAGCCCTGTTCATCCCATTCCCTCTTAATTTTTTTTGGAGTGCCCCAGGCTTTCCAGTCCAGTTCAAGAACTGCTTGTCTTCCGAATTTTGCACCTATGGGTCCGGTAAATAGATGATTTCGTTACTCGGGGCACCAACCACGCCACAGCCAACCACATTCAACGTCAAGCCAACCTGGCCTGCAAGCCAACGTTCTTTTCAAATCGCCAACACAAGGCTGCGATGTTATATTGAAGCCGTGGACTGGACACAGCGTAGATGCGGCTTGGGGAGGTCGGTTTGAATTTTGAGACCACAAAATGACGTCAACTCACAATGTGGTCTCGATCTACGCCTAGGACTTCTAAATCTGGGATAAGGATACATGATTGGCTTATCACTATCAACAGCTCCACCCAGGTGGGCTTAGCTCGTCGATCAGTCTCGAAAGTTCCAGAGCAAAGGAGGAGGCTTGTATTTATTATGAAGGAGGTGGGCACGTCCTCGGTCGCACACGTCGCATTCTCCAAGTATTATGGACGAGACCGCCCGAGGCTTTCTAGCCCAGGCTATCCGGGACGTATTCACGTCTTCTGGCATCGATCATAACGAAGAGTATATTGACTGCTTGATTTCTAAAGTCGACAATGACGGTACGTTAGACACTCGACTTGCCTAATAGAATAAGTGTTGACCGTGATTCTAGTCCTCCAGGCTCATCTAGCGAGCCAGGACGGCAATACAGAAGAGTCCCCGTTACGAACCACCGGCTTAGCTTTACAAACGCCTCCGGCTTCCCCGCACAGAGAGCGTGGATCCTATCGGATTCTGAATGCACCAAAAAGGAACTATGGAAATCTTGCAGGCGCAGAACCGAGGAAGAAGAGAAAGCGGCCCATTTCGCAGCTTTCGGAAAAATGTGGTGATAAATCCCCCCACAGAATTGCTGATGAACCTGTCGAGGTGGGTTGTAAGCATATAAGTCAACAAGTATGCCACTTTTGCCATCGGACAAAATTGTTTCAGGTACTTGATCCGAGGCTAATGTCCTTTGATCTAGCCTGACTACGACAATGTGAAAGGTACCCACCATTTAGATATCCCCGTCGACATTTCTTCGTCCTATCAAGCAGACTCTGCGTATACATTGAAAGCAATGTCATCGATATTGTTCGAGTGCGTGAAGGTCAATTTCACTATTGGTCTCTACGGGCACCGAACGAGCCGTATCCCGACAACAACTAAGCCTGAGAACATCCGGAAATATGTTGATGAGATTTCAGAATTCGACTATGAAACGGCAGTTGACGTCATTCGCAGGGACAATGCTTTGGCCACGGGCAAGGGTCTGCAAAATCGATACAATGAAACCATTTTCTGGAAGATCATTCTCAAGGGTGCTGCGTTGATCGATCATTCAAAGCTGCCATCCGCGAAGGGACCCGCAGACGGATTCACCATGGCTGAAAAAGCTGCAACCAAGAAGTTCATGGAAGATGCTGGATACGGGCTTGGTGCGGAAAACCAACGGCAATGCCGTATTTTCTGGAAAAACCTCTTCCAAATGCGTGAAGCTGGTATTGACAAAGTTCTCTACTACCGCACCAAAGAATTCGACAGCTATTGCAAAGGATATCCGAAGACGTCAAAAATCTCCCTTGTGGATGCAGTAATGAAGTGGGAGACCCAACATAGACCTCACATCGAACAACTGGAAACACGGGCTCTCAGACTCGCGAAAGGTGACCTCATGCGCCTGTCTGATCTTGAGGACCCCCAAGTTGTAGAGAGG